TCAATCAATCATGCTTTTGTCACTAAGCACAATCTCTCTACTTGGGCCACTGCAGCTCTGATACCAGTCTATAATGCAGACAGCATCAAAAACTAAGCTGGTTCAATTACCAAATTCATTGAACTTAGACTCATAATTAGAGATCACTCTAAAAGGATCAACTTGGCTGTTACTAACCTCAGAACTAAGGAAATTTTTCTTGGTCATGATTGGCTAATTCACCATAATCTGCTAATCAATTGGAAGACTAGTTGAATCACTTTTGTCTAGTGTCAATGTCAAAAGATACCTTTCAAATTGCCTGATGAAAACCCAAAGAATTGATGAAATGAGAAAATAGAGGACAGTGAGATGATTCTCACTATAGATTTGCAGAAAGCCATCCACATCTGTGCCATGCATCATGCAAATAACCTGGCCACAAAGACCAATGTGGAGAAGAAGATTAAAACATTTGAGAAGATAGTATCTGAATAGGTATATAACTATTGGGATCTATTTGACAAAGAAAATTTTGATAAACTATCTGACTCAAAACCATGAGATCACACCATCAAGCTGATCCCCAATGCTAATACTAATCTGGACTGTAAGACCTATTCTCTTGGCAACAATGAATAATAAGAACTTGACAAGTTCTTAGACAAGAACCTATCTAGTGGATGGATCCAGCCATCAAAATCCCCAATAGCCTCTCTGTTCTTCTTTGTCAAGAAGAAAAATAGCAAACTCCAATCAATACAGGATTATCAGAAGCTCAATGAGATGATGATCAAGAATTGTTATCTGCTCCTGCTGATCTCTGAACTAATAGATAAACTCTATGGCATCTAGTACTATACCAAGCTGGATGTTCACTGGGGTTACAACAACATGTGCATCAAAGAAGGTGATAAATGGAAGGCTGTCTTCTATACTAACCAGAGCTTATTCAAACTAATGGTCATGTTCTTCAGCCTCACTAACTCACCAGCTATATTTCAGTGGATAATGAATAATATTTTTAAGGACCTCCTCACTACAAGGAAAGTCACCATCTACCTCAATGACATTCTCATTATGTCAAAGACCAAGGAAGAACACTGTCAACTAGTATGACAAGTGTTGGCTCTTATGAGAAAACACTAATTATTCCTTAAGGCTGAGAAGTGTGAATTCAAGATACTCAAAACCAAATATCTTAGAGTCATTATCAGTGAGAGAAACATCAGGATGGACCCTATCAAGATGGCAGAGATGACAGAATGGTCAGAGCCCAGCAAAAAAAAGAAACTACAATTCTTTTTGGGCTTCACCAACTTTTACCAGTGGTTTATCTGAGACTACAGCAAGGTAGTCTGGCCAATGACCTAATTAACCAGTAACACACCATGAATCTGAGGTCCATCCTAACAGTCAGTGTTTAACAACCTCAAATAATGACTGGCAGAGAATATTATACTTGCAATCTCAACTCAAGATAGGAAATTCCAAGTCAAAGCTGACTCAAGTGAAGGCATCATAGGCACCATCCTCTCTCAAGAACAGGATGGTCAATGGCACCTGGTTGCATTTCTATCAAAGGCACTAACTATTACAGAATGCAACTATGAGATATATGACAAGAAACTACTTGCCATAATGCTTGCCCTAGCCAAATAGCAGCATTATCTAATTAGATTGGTCTAAACCTTCAAGATCTGGATCAATCACCAAAACCTCTGATACTTTCAAGTACTCTAGAAGCTAAATTGCTGACAAGCACATTGGGTTACAGAATTATCAGAGTATGACTATATGCTATACCACAAGGCTGATGTAGCAAACAAGAAGGTGGACCTACTCAGTAGAAGAGCCAACCACAACCAGAGAGAAGACAACAATGAGAGGATCACTATCTTGAAACAGAAGCACTTCCAGGTGATAATCATGCTGATGGAAGAGGAGATCCATAAGTGCATCAAGAGCATGACTCAGGATACCTGCAAATAGGACTAATGAGTGGCCCTATCACTCAATTATGAGTGAGGAATGAAGAAGAATGAGAGGATGATCTGCTACAATGAGTGAATCTACATTCTGAGAGACCAGGCATTTCATGGTGAAATAATTGCCATCTGCTATAATCATATGACTGCTGAACATCCAGAGATTGCTAAAATAAAGGAACTGGTTCTATAGGAGTACTGGTGGCTCAAGATAGGCTAAGACATAGAAAGATATGTCAAGGCATGTGAGACTGGCTAGTGAGGCAAGTCCTTAACATAAGCATAAGCCATGCCTCTCTATCTAAATGAGGTCCTATCATCACCATAGACCCACATTTCAGTGGATATGATTACTGGATTACTAAATTGTAATAGCTATGATACTATACTCATTATAGTCAATTGATTTTTGAAGGCTATCATTCTGATCACATGTTCCACAGAACTAACATCTGAAGGATAAGCAAAAATCCTATGCAACAAGGTATACTCTAAGTACAGTATGCCTCAAGTAGTCATCTCAGACAGAGGACCACAATTCATATCCAAGTTCTTGGATGACTTGTATTATCTTTTTAACATCAAATAGAATGCATCCACTGCATACCACCCTCAAATGAATGGACAAACAGAATGAGCAAATCAAGAGATGGAAAAATATCTCTGCCTCTTTATCAATTATTAACAAGATGACTGGGTGAAATGACTGGCACTTATAGCCTTCCAACACAACAATCAAATTCACTCAGCCATTGGTAAAACCCTGTTTTTTGTCAATTATGAGTGACATCCCAATATTGCTCACACCAAACAGCACTATACCACAACACCTGCTTCAAGTGACTTTGCAACCATAATAGTGAAGATTCATACTAAAACCAAGGTGGCCCTTAAAAAGGCCACCACAACAATGAAGAAGCAGTATGATAAACACCACTGCACTGCCCACAAATATTCAGCCAATGATAAAGTCTGGCTGAATACAATGAATCTTCACCTCTTATGTCTGAAACATAAGCTCACTGACAAGTGGACTGGACCCTTCTCTATTATCACTAAAATCAGCAATTCCATCTATAAATTACATCTTCCAGCCACTTGGAAGATATATAATATCTTCAATGAGATATTATTAACACCCTATATTGCACTAGCATTCCTGAACCAAGAATGCTCACTGCCACCTCCACCAGACCTCATTGACAACAAAAAACACTATGAAATTGATGAGGTGTTAAACCACAAATTATGAAAAATTAAGGCCAAAGATGATAGAATGACAACAATGGTCAACTACCTGGTCAGTTGAAAAGGCTATAGACTGGAATCAAACTAATGGGTTAACAAATGACATATGGATGCAGAGGATGCAATACAGAAATACAATCTGAGGTATTGACCAACTTAATGATTAATGTCTTCATAAATCTTACAAGAAGAAGAGCAGATTATCTGCTCTGAGATGCCTGGACTTATCCCTAAATTAAGCTATTGAAATGATAGTCTTAAGAAGGTGATAATATTATGATTTTTTCTCATTTTTATCTTTTATCTCGGGAGATTGACTCCTATCTTTGCTTAGTCATAGCACCTAAACTAGCACTTAGAATCATGGGACAGGGCTTAGTAATCACAATATGCTCAGTCAGTCATTGTTCTTCAATGTGACAGTAACCACTCAATGACAGACAATACTCTTTTATGGATAGCTTAACAACACTGGACAAAATGCTCTATAGTGCCAGAATGCACAATTAGGTAGTTATATCTTTAGATGGATGACAACTGGTATATAAGTAGTATAGCTCTTGCTGTAGTATCTCTAGCTTTGAGCTAAAGTTTATTTCTTCACCATCTTATCTCAAGTCAATCTAAAGACCTTGTGATACAAAGCCATATAACACATCAAGTGAACTCTGACATCATTGTCTGAAGTGTGAGACAGTGTCAGTTTATCATATGTTTAGGTCACATGTTATTTGGGCTTAACAGAGTCTGAGATACAGTAGATTGCTCTTGGCCCTTGTCTTCTATCAGCTTGTTCTGACATTTGGCAAGCATTTCCTGCTGTGCAGTCATCAAATTCTGTTCAGCCACATCAATGGTAGAAAGCTGTTCCTTCATGAACTTTCTTCCTTTGTCTAGTCTTCTAAAATGAACTTCACACTTCTCCAGATCATCAAGACTCTGAGTATAGTGAAGCCTCACAGATCTTGCCATTCTATTGGATTCTTCTGCATCTGTACTATGGGATGCTTTCTCAAAGGTAGAAGATGTAGATGATTCATAATCATTTCCATTATCTACATCACTACAGGATAAATCATTATCTGAAACTTCTATGGTTGGATTTCCTTTGAAACCAACATCCTCTGACTTCTCTGAGTGACTTGAATCCTCTTCCTCTGCTTGTGCATGGGCAAGAGGAAGGTTTCTCAGCACTGTAGCACCAGACACCGGAACATGGCTTGCAGCCAGAACAGGGGTAGCATCCTGAGTGCTCACAGCACTAGAATCTGCCACATTTTTAGTATCAAAGTCTGTTGGTGACAACTCACCTGATAACTGAGATAAAGGACTGTCCATCCCTGGTGTAGCTGGTACAACAGTGGTGTTGTGATGGCTGCACAAAGGGTAACATGACATCCTAAGGAACCAAGAAGTAAAGAGAAAATTAGATATTGGTGTCAAAGTTGAAATGTCCTCAGGTGATCAAGCCATAGGGGATCCAGATATCAATGAAGAGAGATATAGAGAGTTTAGAGAGAAAAGCGCAGATGAGAGAGAGAAAAAGATAAAAGCAAAGATTAAGCCAATGGAGCTGTCAAAAATATGAGAGGGTGGCGAAAGTCACTTCTCTCACAAAAGGCTCATGCAGTCACTGACAGGCATAAAGGCTTGGTCAATTGCGAAAACCTCTAGCTACAATACGTGTACTGGCTTATATATATATACAGTAGGAATAACAAATACGGGCTAAACCGGGGAGATGGGGGAAAGAGGGAAAAACGTCAGGTAAAAGTATCGGGCCGTGGAACGACTCGTAACACTCTCTCACACGATACACCATGTCCAACGAAGCGAAACCTGCTGCGTATAAAACTCACGGGTACCATTCATCTGTTCTGCGTTCGCACAAGTCACGTACTGCCGAATCCTGTGCGGCTTACCTTTTACCTTTCATTGGCCCGGATATGAACATCCTGGACGTTGGATGCGGTCCTGGGACTATCACCGCTGGCTTTGCTGCGCGAGTACCCCAGGGCCATGTCACTGGCATTGACATGAGCGCTGAAGTGCTAGAGCACGCTCGCGCGAATGTTGAGCAGCAGGGCTTAACAAACATTACGTTCCAAGTCGGCAGCGTCCTTGAACTTCCATTCCCAGATAATACATTTGACGTCGTGCATGCCCATCAGGTCATTCAGCACACAACTGATCAAGTGAAGGCCCTGCAGGAGATGCGCAGGGTCACTAAGGACGGCGGGATTGTCGCTGTTAGGGAAGCCGACATGTCCGCCATGACCTGGTTCCCGGATTTGGAGGGTTTGGAGAAATGGCGCAAGATCTATATGGCAATCGCACGTGCGTCTGGGGCGGAACCAGATGCTGCTCGACGGCTTCATTTTTGGGCTAAAAAGGCGGGCTTCAAGAGACACCAGATCTCTCTCAGTGCCGCCACTAATCTGTATGCAACTGCCGAGGAAGTCGGCTGGTGGAGCAATATGTGGGCGGACCGTACTATGCAGTCACTTTTCTTAAAGACTGCCACTGAAGGAGGGTACGCTTCGCTGGATGAAATTACTCATATTGCCGATGTATGGCGCCAGTGGGGAGGGAACGAGGATGCGTGGTTCGCAATATTGCAGGGTCAAATGCTTTGCCAAGTCGAGAAGGATGGTTGTAACTAGTGCGAAACATGCACCATATGGTAGGTCTACCGCAACGTTGATAGTAGCCCGGAAGAAGGAAAAGACGATGATAAGGTTGTAGGACTCGAGAGAAGAGAATCACTGGATGCTTAACAGTTTTGTCATTAGAAATTCGAAATAAAAAATAAGTCATCAGATCATCAGATATCTACACCACCGTCTTACTCTCGTCATCGCTCATATTCTCCTTCTTCTCCGTGTACTCGGATTCAGAGCCGGGACGTAGATCGTGATTGTCGATCGTCACCACCGGTCCCGTGAACCAATGAATGCCTCCGTACACAGGGAAATAAAAGTAAATCGTCGCTAAAACAAGAGTTCCGCCTGTGAAAATTCAGAACGCTACTTGAAGCTCACTCAGGAATGTTGACTTACCTAGGACCACAACGGTGTAGTTCATGTCCTTGGAAGTGGGACTAGGCGTCGTAGGAAACAGGAACACGATGACCATGAAGATCATCCAAACAACCGCAACAACAGCCACAGGAAGACTCTTTACGGAAGCTGTCATTGAACCACAAAGCCCAAATACAAGTCGCAGCACTTACAAATTTTCCAAGACTGAACGGGCCGGGTTTGATTTTCTTACCTCCAAGGAACCTGGCGCTAATGGGGACTGAGTATGCGATGTATTGACCGGTAACTACCAGGGAAAATATTGCGCCAATAGCGACACTTCCTGCAAACCCGAGGAGACCCAAGAGTGAGGAGATGAATACGACAGCCCATACACAATGGACAGGCGTGTGACTGCGTGGGTGGACGTAATAGAGCCAACGGGAGAAGGGGAGGCCGCCATCACGCGAGAAGGCGAATATTTGACGAGAGCAAGCAGTCAGCTACAAGCCTCACTTAGACACCTTAGCTGAAGTAATTAAGTATACATACCATACTTGTTCCTATTGCGAATCTTTGGGCTAAGTCAGTACTCGAGAGTAGAAGATCAAGGGTCTGCTACTTACTGGAGTACAATAATTAGAGACCACAGTGCCAATGCCCCTTTCTTGCCAAACGAATTTAGAAGAAGCTATAAATATCCAATAAGGTTGTAGCACTCATACGAATCGAAAACAAAGCCTACTGTTGCCATCGGTTGCCCAACAGGACTGTCCAGAATAGCCTCAACATCCGTGCCCATGCAGAATGCAATTGCAACATTGATTCCTAAGTTGCACGATTGGGTCTCAAGAGAATATCAGCATACATAATGCGCACCCCAACCGAGAATGCTACTCGAGGTAGCTGCCAATATTATTGCAAAAGGGATTGCCACATTGGCATTCGTAGCCTCCTCACTGATGTGCACAGTCGAATCGAATGCACCTGGCAACCAGACTGGCCTTAGCAATGGCATATAGTTTAAAGAGTAATGCCTATTACCGATACTCCACAATGGGTAGAGGAAGCTAAGAATGAATGCGTAACCATTTGGCCACCCGTAAACTAAGAGAAGATCAACGGTGGTGACGATGAAATGCACAGTCATGACACACAGTTTTCAAAGTCCCCGAAGGCATAGTTTGCCGTATTCATGGATTCTTTAGGAGTAGCCGCAGGCAGACCGATGATCAAGGCGAAACATAGGCTATAGCAGTAGTCCAGGTAGTGAAGACTCGAGACAAGAACCATACTTACAGAACATTGGCAATAATATAAGGAGTTTGCAAGCGTGCAATTATTTTGGGATCAAAGCTGCAGATAGTGCCATGACATATTAGTAAGGCTAAGAACAGGCCGCTGGAGCAATATCGGGTTAGGACGAGTCTAGATCAACGAGGCATACGGGACCCACTATGTTTGGCCGGTTGTCGCTGTGAAATGCAAATCTGAACCAATACTAGCGGCGGCCATAATTTGAACGGCACATCCCCAGTCGACGCTGGCGACAGAAGCAATGTTGCCAACACTATTAGAATCTTGATGTCCGTTAATATGACGGAATTATATGATACTAAAGTGCTGCGGACTCACACCCGACTATCCAAGCAAGAAAGCAGCGCCATTTTGGGGAAGAGAACATAAAAGTCCAATAATACAGACCGCCAGACGTTGGAGCGGCAGATCCTAGCTCGGCCATTGCGAGCCCAATAATAATGAGGAGGACTGAACATGCTGTCCACTAGCAGAAAGACCAATAAGATGATTTGTGTGCACGGTGGAATATTCAAAGACTTGCCCCCCAAACCAACGCGGCAGCTCCACCGTTGGGCAAGGCGTATACGAACGTCGATCTGGCGACAATTCAGCGATCAGTTCCTGTACAGATCATCTACACGACTTACGCGAGAGAAGGAACGAGTCCGATAATACTGAACCCGACGCCAAACACCTCTATGGGCCTGAAATTGCGACGAAACTCTTCGCAGAAAAGATCAGCGCTTCTTAAAATTTTATCAGCGACGTCTCACCTTGTTTATACCCTAGACGCGCCAGAAGAGCTTCATCCTTCGATAGAATAGCGGGACCAATGCTGCCATTATCGTGTTCTCGCGTCTCGCTGTCTTCGAGCATGGTGGGTGTTCCGAGTGAAGGCAGTCAACTCTCATGATGGCGTAGATCAGTTGATTTCCGTTTCCCAGGGCCAGCAAAGCCCTTTACGGCATAGATACTGGGCAGCTGCTTACTCGGGCCTGGTTCCAAGCTTCGTTCGTCTTGGCTGCACGTTCTTCTGTTGATGGCCGAGTAAGCCGAATAGAATACAACGCATGTAAAGGGGCAAAGAGGAACAACAATAAATGTAGAAAGCTAAACGACAGGTCCCACTGACTTAATATTGTGCACACAACACTACCTATCGACACGACAGATCAGTCATGCTTGTCCTGGTCCAGGCACAGGACTCACAGTCACACCCCGACAACATGGTTGAACTTGTTATTTTGGTGAAATGTTCGTAAGTCCATGAGTTCAGTGTCTGTGGAGGAATCCGTTCCTGTGGTCGTGTAATCTGTGGTGAACTCGCCCGTAGTTGTCGTCCCTTTTGTCTTCATCTGAACGGTGTGGAACTTTATGCCGGACATCATATATGTGTCGAGTTCCGGTCTTATAGCTCGATAGTGGTTCGAGCGCACAGAGATAACGAGTCTATTGGCGAATATGCTCGAGATCACGAATGAAAATGCTGTCATCAATTCATCCAGAGTAATCTATAGGGGCCATGTGAGTCAGTGCCCTTCACTGCGAAACGATTGACAGATTGAGATTTTACCCGATTCCTGACCCACATTATGAGATTCACCAAGTAAATGCAGAAGAGTCTGGTGACACAGAATGTCAGAACGTGACAGTGGCAGGTGGTTCGTAGAGACTACTCACACGGCAAAGTACATCGCAGAGTCTCGAGTGAGCTGTTGCATCAACTTGCTGCCTTGGGCCGATGGTCGATGCTGCCATGCTTTCCATAGCGCAAGAGAAAATAAGGTGCTTTCGATGATGAGGATAGACATCCAATAATAGACAACCCAGTGGGAACCATCCAGTGGGTCGGCGTCGGCACAAATGAACAATTCAGGAAAAGGTTCGTTCGTGCCTGTTTCAACATTGACGTCCGAGGGCTACCTGTAGACGGAAGACGGACTTACCGACCAAGTTCTTGTTAGGGATGCCAAAGACTAGTCCCATGGCCAACGCTTCTCCAAAGGTCAGAAAAACCTATCAAAGGGTCAGCTCCGCCTGAAAAGAGTGGAATCGCCGCATACAAATAGGCAAAGAATGTATCTTGAACTTTGATACATCGCATATAATCGAAGCTCGAGAATCACTGAGAGATGCTTAAACGTTTTTACAGTGATCACAACCACTCGATCATACCGTGGGAAGTGATGACCTGTAAGCTTGCTCCAGTGTTTTGCCAGTGAAAGAATGTGTTGCCTTTAGGATGATATATGTGTGAATGAACAATGAGGTAAGTAGGTAGAAACATACATCTATAAAAATTTGAGGGGTGCCATCTCTTCAGCAAATCCTTATCGATACGCACAGCTAAACAAAGAATTAGCGCTTCGATGTCTATGTATAGTTTACGATCGACGCACATTCATAGAAGGCTGAGGCTGCATAAATACTATCCGGAGGTGAGTAACGCCCATTCATGCCGCGCAAATCAAGGGTACCTACGAACCTATTGCATTCGAACTACGGAAACGGTACGATCGGCGATCATCAAAGATGCGGAAGACGCGAAAACATACACATTGAAGGCCAGACCATAATATCGACTCTGCACAATGTATTAGCACAGCTCCACCGTGCTGTGAGGGGCTCACCCATAGGAAAAGAGCCTTCGCTAGCGACCACCTTTGTTGCTACGCAAATGTTGGTAAGCGTTACGCAACTGCAGCAAGCCACGTACCCAAAAGAACACGACCTTCGAAAAAGAAAGTGAGAAGAACGCCAAAGAATTGCTACTGTTCTCACCTCCGCATCTAGCTGCAAGACTAAGGAATTTGCAAAGATTTTGTCAGGAGGCTGCCGAAGATTGGAAGGGACAAGAATTCGCACAGTATTCATACACAATCAAAGCTGCACACGCGACTAGAAACCGCAAATGTCAAGTCTGGAGCGACAGTAGATAGAACTCAGCACGACGTACGATACGCATTCCGCTCTGCCCTCGCCTGTGAGAATCCCGCAAGATCAAGACCTCCAGTTGCCATGGTTGACTAGTAAAAGAGGGTGCGTTTAAGTAGCATCAAGGCATCAAATTCATGTCTCACTATACAGTTGCAGAGACAGTTAACATCTGACCCGATGGGTGTAGGTCATCAAAAATCGAAGAACGCTGTAAACAAGCTGAAAATTGAAAGTCAATGAATAGGCTGATTACGGCTACTCCGACTGGGTCCCACCGGCAACGTTGATTTTCAACAAACGGGGTTAGTCAAATTACCGAAGCTATTATTTATGGTCCGAGTTCACACGCGGACCCTCGTTCTAGCATATCAGCGGATATTACGCCGCCCCCTTCACAAGCAAACGAAGGGCCCATTGGAATGCACCAGTCAAATAGAGTTCATGTTGCGGTCGAGGAGCGGTAAATAAAGCTTTTCATATCCTCGGAGTACAGGATGGGTAGGGGGGTTCGTCGCACTGATTGAGTTTCCAGCTGTCGTGTGGTTCTTTTGTGTATCGACATCACCGGAATCCTGGATAAGTGTCTTCACGACACACTGTGTGCCGACTATGCCCGGGTAGCTAACCGACACGCACACCAAAGTGTACCCGATGGCTTCCCGGCATGTGCTATTATTTGTCGACCGCCCAATATCCTTCTTCTTCAAAACAGCCAAGGCGGTACAACATGTGTGTAGTTACGCGCCAAACACACCCCGGAAGTGAAGGAATGAATACATTCTTTTAATATCTTGGCAGGGATATCAGAGTTGGGTGATAAAGTTCATCTTAAATAAACATCTGTACTCAATTCCATCTCGAAATCCCGCATCTTTGAATAAATGATAAATGCCAGGACTGGCATACAGATCATCAAGTTAAGGGAGTTCCATCGGCATTAATAGAACTCAACCAAGCGCGTGAGACGAGCCTGCTCGGTTTCATCAGATTCTTCCAACAACGTGCCCAAAGTCTATGCAGAGTTGGCAAGTCAGACGGTATATTTGGACAGGTAACACGGTAACTGACCTTGTTGACAGACAGATATTTCGCTACCATATTCTTTCCGAACGTCTTCTCAACGAGCGTATCTGATTGGAACGCGGTTCTAGCCTCGTCCCATGTTAATGGCATCCGTTTCTTGATGCCGTGTTCATGCCGTTGCTTCTCGTCCATCTGGGCAGCGGTCAATGGACCCGGGCAGTCCTTGATGACCAGCGGTTCTTGATTGATAACACCGTCAAGGCCAGCAGACAAAATCAATGCAAGCGCAAGATAAGGGTTGCAAGTTCCATCCAAAAAACGTAATTCAAAGTTTCTGGATTTGGGAGAAGCCGCATTTGTCAACCTGATAGGAGCTTCGCGATTCTCTGTTCCCCAGCAGACGTAGGTTCCGCCAGACCAGACCTGTGAGGAATCTCAGTTACGGTTCATGATATATTTTGATGCAAAGTGCTTACACCATCGGCAACACGTTTGTAGGAGGCTGGGATAGGAAGCGTGATGGCAGCCATCGCTGGAAGATGCTTCAAAACTGAGGCCAGGAATGATGATTCCAACGATGACAGGGAATCTGACAGCTTCGGTCCACCAGCCACGGAGTGAACTGATATGTGGGTATGAGCAGCACTCCCAGCACTTGTCATATACACACGTGGAGCGAAAGTTGCTCGGAGACCATATCTGATGGCAACATTCACGATAGTTTCGCGAGTATGTATGAGTGCATCAGCAGCTTGGAGCGGCAGCAAAGGGCCAGTAACGACTTCATACTATGCACATGCCACGTTAGAATTGGACAGATGCGATCAGACTGGGATTTGATATCTTACCTGGCCCGGAGCAGCCTCAGGGTGATACATAGTGACTTCGATCCCAGATTTCAGTAAGGACTCCACAATCTCACGCATAACTCGCGACTCGACAGCCCCGGATGGTAAGCCATTGGATGCTGTCCATGCGTGATAGTTCGCAGCTTCCACAGGGTTTGTTGATTTCAATAGAATGAATTCAGTTTCGAAGCCGACCAAAAACTCTACACCGGCTTCTTTGGCTTGGCTGTACACAAGTCAGAACTAAGGCGGGTGGCCAGTCATAAAAGCACACTCACCCAACGACACGCTGTAATGCGCTTCGAGGACAGAGATCGACGTCGACGGTCAGACTGCAATCCGCGCTAGGTATAGGGGCCTTCTCCTGAAACCATCCCAATACGCTGGCGTGTCCTTCTTCGTAAGGACAGAGTGTCAGCGTAGAAAGGTCTGGAACGTAGAGATACTCTCCGATAGCATTGAACTCGTCGGCAGTGTGCAGGTAAACGAGACCCATGGTCACTTTAGCGATGGCCACACTGGGACGAGGCGACCGGAGCATTTTGAGGAAGTACGCGAGGGGAATCACGCGGAATCGAACGACACTGGTAAGGTCGACCCATGTCAGGCGAACGAACGCTAGTATACAAGTCACTACTAGGTAACATGATATTTGAATGAGTACTTACTGATACCTAGCTCTTCCAAATCATCAGCCTTGATGACTTGGGTAAGGGCAAGCGTTGCTGGAGAGTACTGGACACCGTGGCTATAGTCTACAGACATGATCAGTAGAGGGGGAAAAAAAGGTGGAGTACAAACTTTATATACCTTAGACTGAAGAAGTAATGAGAATATCAGCGGCGTCTGATGACGAGAAATCGAAGCACAAACAGACGTGACCAGTACGACCCTTTATACACCCTTTATACATAATAAAATGATAATATGTACGTTCAGCAGGACTAGTCTCGGGCGCGCCTAGCGTCGGGGAGCAGAATGGCGCGATTCAGAAATTGGCTTGCATCATCTTCGGAAGCCGGCTCTGGGACCCATATGTGTCGGGATCTGAACTCACCCCCTCTTCTCTACCATCACCATCACCACCATGTCACCTAAGATTCTCAATACCGCCCTCGACGCCGTTGGCAACACTCCGCTCATCCGCCTTGACAGAGTCGCCAAGCACTATGGGCTCAAATGTAATCTCCGTAAGTCCTCGTGCTATATTGACGTGCTCTCTTCAGGCGCCTGACACCGCAGTTTCTAGTGGGCAAAGTCGAATACATGTCGGCGGGAGGCTCAGTAAAGGACAGGATTGCGAAAGCGATGGTTGAGGCTGCTGAGAAGGAGGGAAAGCTCACTCCTGGCAAGAGTGTCGTCATCGAGCCGACCTCTGGAAACACTGGTGCACACCTTCATATCTTTCACGCTTAGGCCATCGGATATTCATATCCTGCACAGGCATCGGTTTGGCTATGGCTTGCGCAATCAAGGTATAACACCTTAGTATGGCCTTGAGAGGGTGCTGAATACTACAGATAAGGGTTATTCGGTTATTATAACCTTGCCCAACAAGATGTCTCTTGTACGCGCCCATATATGCTTTGATTTATGTTTTTTTTCTCACTGATATACACAGGAGAAGGAAGCGGCTCTTCGTGCGCTTGGAGCCGAGGTTGTTCGAACTCCCACCGAGGCTGCCTGGGATTCGCCAGAGAGCCATATAGGTAGACACCCTCTTCTGCCATCCCCTAGTCTCGTGGCTGAATTCCTTAACGATCTCTAGGTGTGGCGCAGAAGTTGCAAAGGGAGATCCCTCATGGCATTATACTGGATCAGTATCGAAACGTTCGTCGCGCGTTTTGTTTTCCAGAAGGATGAGGGCTTATCAACTGCATTTAGGTTAACAATCCGCTCGCCCATGAGCTGACTACCGGTCCTGAAATTATTGAAGCAATCACGTCGACAGCCGCCACATTGTCTAAGCCATCATCTGGGAAGGTGGATGTACTTGTCGCTGGTGCTGGAACAGGTGGAACAGTGACAGGCATCTCTCGCGCTATTAAGAAGACACACAATCAGGATTGCGTTATCGTCGGTGTAGATCCGGTTTGTGGCGTATTATCCGAAATGAAGGCCAAGGTGCTCAATTCCCTCTTGGGGCATACAGAAAGGAAGCATCCTCGCCGTCCCCGACAGTCTAAACGAAGCGGACAGGGGTATTCAATACGTCGTTGAAGGTATTGGATATGACTTCATACCTGATGTCCTCTATCAAGGCGACGTCGACGAGTGGATCAAGACCTCCGACGAGGAGTCGTTTCAAGCCGTCCAAGTTTTGATGAAGTGTGAAGGCTTACTGGTTGGCGGAAGTAGCGGTAGCTCCCTTTCTGGTGCTATCGAATGGTTGAAGAAGAGCGAGAGAGGCAAACGTGTGTCAGCAACTGAAGGAAGGAATGTAGTAGTTTTATTACCGGATGGGTCCGTCCCTTTTTCCTTTTGTTTCTTCCTGAGCTTACTGTACATTCTGTCTAGAATTCGAAACTATATGAGCAAGCCATGGTTCCTTAAGCTAGCAATGGAGAAAGAGCCTTCGCCAATGGCTAGTGTCATTGCCAAAGTGTTACAGTCTAAAACTGGATAAAAGGATGTATAGAATGAAGCTGTAATTATGTATGTGCAATGGACATCTGGAAAAATTACGATCCAAGGTATTCGTCTTGTCGCCGAGAAAGCCTCCGCAAATCAGCTCACAGGTGCGTCAACTCGTCAATCCAAAGGGAATAGCTTGAAAAGGGTATACTGTAATGCGTCGTATTTAAGGATTTCCGCCTCGCCCAGCACCAACCTTCTTCAGCAGCATTTGCTGGTAATTCTCCCACTGGTGTATCATCTGTTCCAGAGACGCGATATAAATTTGTATCCTACATTCTTGAAAGCTTTGCTGCTCACCTGCTTCTGTCTCACAATCATGCCCTCCAAGAACGCATTCAGTGAATCTTTGATGTCCTCGATTCTTTCCTGTTCAAACCTAGCGACCTCTGACTTGACAAGTCTTGAGACGCTTTCAAACTCGTGTTTGGCCTCCAACGACTTGCGTTCCGCCTGCCAAAAAAGATATTCAAGTCGTGTGTAAGAAAGACACGGAGCAGACCTACATCAGCAATCTGCGTCAGTCCATATCCCGCTCGATCTGGCGGTATTCGCCCTTGAGCCCTGTTACGGTCGTGAGTCTGCTTCACCCGAACCGCTTCGCTTTCAGCATTCCGCCATGCATGATACGTTCGGATACGGGAAGAGAACGCCAGCTGAAAGATAATCAGTTTAAATTACTAGCGAGTAATAAATGAAATACACACTCGAACCGAGTTTATCAAGCGCGCATATTCATCAACTAAATCCCAAACCAATCAGCACCTCCGGGAAGGAATTTAACTTGAACCTACCAGTGGCCATCAATGTGACCATGTCCTGCTCTGATTGCACGACCTGACTATCCTGGGATTTGCGCTCAACGTCTGCTAGACCAGCTAGCGACTGTGCCAATTGACTCCCGAGGTCGGAAGACGACAAGTCCGCGACTGTTTGTGCAAATTCGCCAGTTGCTACAGAGATCTCTGAAAAAGGTGTCAAGTTTGCTAGCAAGGGACGGTTACTTAACTGCCACACCTGCGCGCTGCTTAGCCACTACTTCGATAGCTTTCGCCAGTCCACGGAGCTGGGACTCAAGACTGTCAAGGTATCCTTTCTGTTTGTCAAACCACTGTTCAAGGCTTTAAGACTTCCTGACTTCCTCGAAGGGCAAGATTTACCTCGTCGGTCTCAGAAAACCTTGGCCCAGTAAGACTATGCCCAATCGTGGCCATCAAACCGCCGCTCTGACCTTTCCGGTGCTTAATCTTCTCCTTCATTAGTCTCATCTCCCGATAGCCAAAGACAGAAAGCGTACATCTAACGCAAAACTATCACTCTCCAGGAACATCTTCAAATCTGTGTCCTTGCCCAAGATCGGGTGATTGGCAATCTTCTGTATGCATTTCTCCAGGGCGAACCGGCGTTGCCGTACAAACTGGTCGTCAAATCGACCAAAGGTATTCTTTTCCGGAACGGGCGGAACGACAACGCCTGGATTGTTGAGTGATAGCTGCTCGTATAACCACAGAAAGTCGGAGTAGCGTCGTAGAACAGAAAAGGATGATTTTTGGTAAAGAGGAGATGTTGTCCGCGTATGCACCGTGTACATTGTAAACGACCGAATGGGATCTCCCACTTTCTGTGGATCGTCAACACTGATATCGAACATGGGCTCGCTAACTTTGGATTCATGTTGGGTTTTCTGCAGGACATTCAGTGTGTACTAGAAGGTGTAATGCCCACTGAGCGCACCGGAGACGTCAGTCTACTTTTGTCTGGCGAGCGCAGAGTCCCAATAGGCTTGTCGTCGTCACTATCGTTGTCTTGTTCCGTCGGTAACGTCGACACAGGGTGGTGATTGCTCCAGTTCTCCTGCTCACCCCTCCACCCCCCCGAAGTTTCGCCGCCCAATGACAGACTCGAAAAGGCGCGGTCGATGCTTCCGGTCTGTGCGAGAGGTCCCCAAGCTGATTCGCTGTGAGACGATGCGGATCCGCTCTGAGATCCGCTCTTAAAATGGCTGGGTATAGTTGATGGAACATTATCCTCCTGCGTCGGCGCCGGTTCCTCTGGTACAGGAATGGTGGGCTCGAACTCCTCAGGTTGTGCTGGCCTGATTGTGGCTGTTTCCGAGAAATGCGTACGTGGAGGCTCCGTCTCCGTTGCTGTAGGTTCCACACTTTCGCGGAAGCCAGGAGAGGGTGACGAATTGTCTGTAGTCAGTGGAAGCTTGTGCTCCTCCTCCTCCGGCTCGTTGGCCGCAGCAGAGTCTAAAGGATCTGCTGATGCAGTGGGTGATACTGGGGCAGCTATCGCACTCTCTTCGTCGTGCGATGGTTCGTCCGTAGGCGAGATCGGTTCGTGGCTACCGAATCCAGAGTGAAATGCATTGTCGTGTTGCTGAGCGAATGGCGACGCCCACGGGTCCGGAGAGCCTGAACGTTTCCCGAATGGGTCCGAAAATGGGTTTTCTTCAAGGGCATTGCGGGAAGGCGCTAGTAGATCGTCGAAGCCGTCCATGGTGGTCACGGTGATGAAGGAGGAGGTTAAGGTTGCCTAATCTGAATCGCCCGCTTTGCTATAGCATACAATAATTCCGTCAAATATATTACAGAGATCATACAACCAGTGCAAACAAGATAGGACAAAGGTATATATGAGATGGGGAATAATGTCAGTTACCATGACCTATAATATCTATGAGAGAAACTGAAACTGTACAAGAACATCCAAATTTCGTGAAGAAATCAAATTCATTTCAAGACATGAGTCTCTCGCCCCACACTAATTTGTGACGATAGGCTCGGTAGGCACCTAGTAAAGCAATCCAGGTAATCCAGGAACATATTAGAAATGACACCGCAAAAAGGAACCGCATGAAGGCCTTCCATCGCCAAGAAACAGGACTGGACGATGTGAAAATGATGGTCCTCCATCTTTCGTAGAATTCCGTGTTCAGCCATGTCAGGTCGGCAACAAGGGATCGGGCCTGTCATGGATTCGATGAGCATGTCGTAAAGAGAGAGAGAAAGAGGGTGTCTTCAGCCAACAGAGAATGAACGCGTCACAGCGCCGCAGAAAAAGCATAGAGCTTTCCATATGGACCAGCTGCAGAAGGCCAAGCCTCCATTCGTAACATGATTTTGCAAAAGATGAATGCCTACCTTCTTCCGGCCGGAATCATATACTGCCCGCAGGTCCGCAACTTGGTGCTGTATAGTCGGAAGTGTCTCAGAAAGGTCCTGAAGCATGACATTGCATTCATCCAGCTCGGCCGAGATGTCTGGGAGCTGCTGGTTCTTTGCACGTTCAGCGCGTCGAGTATTGCGCTACTCGCAAGGTCAGGACGACGGTGAAGACAAAGACGATGAGTCGCACCCGGAGAACAGTAAAGGCCTCTTGCAAGAAACTGTCGATAGCACGGAAATTGGACAAGTTCTCGGAAAGCTTGGACTGTAACATTCTGTCAGCGACGAGGTTAGCACAGGAGGGCTGCTGCTCACCTCTAGGTCCTTCATTTGCGACTCGTATTGCGCTGTCTGCTTGGATACTCGCCTTAGTGCTGCCTCCAGCTTGCTGTAAGAGATGGTCGGATTAGATTCAGGAACTACAGGGGCGACCCCGCGTACTGGGTAGTGATGAAAGTAGACGACTCCGTGTCCGTCGACGGTTGCGAATGCGACAGGTCCCAAACAGGCTTGGTAGACGCCATGAACGACGAGGACAACGACGAAAGATGGAAAAGAGAGGGGTTCAAAGAGGAGAGGAACTGGTATTTACATAAATTCTGATTTCTCTTCACGGCCTCATGGGAGGATCCGCGAAAATGAAATCTCCTTTTTGGCTGCGGCTCCTTTCGGTCCGGGAACACCTGACCCGAACTCCCGAATCCCCGAATATTCCGATCAGCGGAAGCCGTCAACTCGACTTCAAATCCAAGCACGAGTCGTATTCCAATCCTTTTTTTCTACCTGTTACCTCGAGGTACTGTTCAGAAAAATGGTGTTTCCCTTGACACACGATGTCCTAGTATTAGTTCGCTCAGGTATGGAATGGTGTGTGACTTCCAAGTTCCTACTTTTAACATGACTGTCTTTAGTCCGTGGCAGTACCCACAATAGCTGTACTGGTGACTACGTTATGAATGTGCCAGTAAATAATGCCTTGTCTTATCATCAAAGCCAGCGTTCAACTGCTGAAAGTGCAGCATAAGGTGCTAACAGGTTTCTCACCTCCTGATGTGAAGAAATCGCCCAGATACCCTGACTATCGCTTGGAGTATCGCGAATACTCGTAGAGCGAAAGATCATCTCCCCCCCCTCTCCCAACCCCAAATCTTTATCCAAAATTACAACCAGGACTGTAAATAAGATCTATACATTCAAGAGAGTCTGACCGAAGATAAGGTCTAAGGGAGGCAAATCTCGTAGTGGTGACGGACGTATGTACTTAGTATTTCACCGTGCAAGTGCGCCTTCTTCGTACTAGCAGGTACCAAGGAGAATCCGACTTTGGTGTGCACGAGACATCATCTCAGACGATCAAAACGCACGCGGCGTATCATGACATGGTGATATTCACAACCATGCAATGTGCATTGGTCGGCATAACGAACCAGCAATGATTACGGCACTTCGATAATTTCTGATGCCAACCACCCCGTTCCACATGAAGCTTCCCTTTCCCCACAGTATTGATCTCAGATCTTTCTCCAACTCCAGGGCGCGACAGGGCACCAACGACAGCGAAAAATTGTTCATTCCAATGTTCTGCTTAATTGTCAGGTTCCGCCTCCAGCTTGGCTGTGGATGAGCCGTATATCCCCAAATCCAAGCATGGTATGTTCCCTTCCTAGGTTCTTGAAGCTAGGAGCCTATTCTCGTGTTTTCTTGACCTCGCTGTTTGTTGCGGCCAGGTCGCTGCAGACTCCCGTGTAACTCTATTTTCCAGGAACCACCTGCATGCGGAGCTCTGTGATTGCCATACGCGTGCTGAGCTCCTTGTGCGTTGCATTTAACGACGTTCTGCCCATGATATAAAGGCCTACAAATGTGTGGAGAAGCCTTATTCTTCCAGGCTTACAAGATGGTTTTCGGCTTTGCAGCTGCTCTGATTTCCACTCTGTCTCTCTTGACTCGTACAAGCCAGCCCCGTCAATACGACCGTCTTTGATCGCATCAACGGCAAAGCGTGCGTCATACCCAGACGCTCGACTCTCGGCCCCGCATTGGGTGATCTATTCGGACACCAGTATAAGTACAACGGCCCGCCTTATGTATATGATATTTATGTACAGATTTTCTCATGGATGTGGAATTAGCTTATCAATCCTTCTCGTGTCCCTTAGGGTTTCACACTGGTACTGTGCCTTCCAAGTGTTGAATATCATGGTTTCTAGCTCCCTATCATTCCTTCTCATGGCTGGCGTCTGGGACAAGGCAGCCTATGCAGCTCTTAATACCATATATCTCTTTGGTGACTCAGTATGGTGAATTCTTCAGGCTTACGAATGGACCACTCTCACAGACGACGAGAGAACTGGTATTAAATCCCAATACGCAGCCGCTGGTGTCAAGTTATTAGTGTCCATATTTGGTTCCTTCGACGTCCCTACCACCTCCAGAGCAGATCCCACAGCGACTGCTGATACTATGGCCGCTTGGGTTAGCCAATACAATCTCGATGGCATTGATGCAGACTACGAGGTTAGTGCGATACGTTCGCGTTTCCTCAGTCGGTTTCTAAAAATGGCTTGTAGGATTTCGCTGCTTTCGATGCAGGTGATGGCAAAGCTGAAGTATGTCAATTTCTCATCCAATGTTTCTAAGAGCTTATTCCTGTTTGCGGTAGCAATGGTTGGCAGACTTCACGACGCGTAACCCTTCCGAAAAATTCATACATTCTGACACATTCCCGTAGGTGACTACTTTTGTCTATATATGTTGGTTAATTCGACTTCTCTGAAAGCGATTGCACTGAGGTTCTCTCCCACGCCCCTAGACAATTATTAGTAGATATATCAAAGAAAAGCCCTGCTCTTACGTGAACCTGGGATGTCGGAGATGGACCTATAAGGCCAGGAACTCAGGTGTCACCATAAATAACTAAGTAAGGCGGACCAGCAATGGTGTTAGCGCCAAGAGCTTTTATGGGAGAAGATACATTGCCAAACGGCGTCGGAGAGGCGGATACTAATCCAATCAGAACGACCAGCAGGGAGTTGAAAGCGAGCATCGTCAGTAATCAGAAGCCTGTAAAACTCTGGAGCATCGAGCTTTTATGCATCTCGACTCGAAAGGTGTAACATCGACGTTAAGAAAAATTAGTCAAAAACAAGCGCAACCTAATGGCGATTCGGTTCAAGAAGCCAAGGCAACATCTCACGTAGCTACAACACCTAGGAGATAATTCGTTTTTATTAAAAGAAAAGATCATTGACAGTAAAGATATGAGGAACAACATCTTAGGCTTTAAAGGGGGTATTCGGGGAATGGCGAAGATCCTAGATCCCAGGGAAATATGGATTTCGGTGCTACAAGATCAGAGGAAGAGTACCGAAAAAAATGTACATTGAAGCCACATGCACAGGAAGTGCGCTGGCCTTCCATACTCACAGGTGGATCGAGCGGACAGCGGTTGCAAGACTTATTTTATCCATTGATCATAGCAGATCAAGGCCTATTCGATACCAGGATCCGACGATGCGAGCAATAGAGTTGTTTTGCCGTATGGATACCATAGTTGAAGAGGTGGGTCCAATCGGGTGCGAATTGTGACCAGGAAAAGACTAGCGGTAATTCGTTTTCGTTTAGGCGCCTCTCACCACGGTTCATGAGGGTTCATGTCAAGAATCGGAAGGTACAACGAAAAAGGTGCTCCTGTCTTCAGCTTGCTTCATTATGGAAAGAGGTCGCATTGAAATTCATACGGAGAACACGGGAACTGGGGGATAGAGAACAGGGTCATATTTATACAGGCCAAGAAAGAGACCGAACGGCAGCGATCCAAGATTCTCCGGCGTCAGGATACTGAAAGGTTATCAGTTGATATCATGACCAGAACATCACGAAATTAATGACTTACCTCCCACACCATTGCGCCGCCATCTGCAATCATTTTACGCTCAGCAGCGTTCATCAATTGTAATAAATGGGACAGCGTACTCCATCCTTGATCCTTCGCGGTCTGTAAGCAAGTTGCTAGAGTTGAAATATTCATATAACCACTGCTTGCATCGCTAGCCGTCGCTGGTTTTCCGATGACTAATTTCGCAAGAGGGACACCACTGTTAGCGATCTGGAATAAGGCGGTTTGGGGCCATGTCGAAGACGAAGTAGTCAGTAACCCGCTGCAGGTGGTGTATTCAGTGGATCCCTCTGTCATAAAGGTCATAAGAAGTTGAAGAAGCACAAACGATCGACTTACGGTTATAAAACTTGAGAAGGATGAGATGAGCGCTAAGATTACACAGATGTGAATTCACTGACTTGAACGTTATACCAATCAATCAAGCTTCCGACGTTCGCGTGTACTTTCAAGTACCCGCCTCCAGGATAATAGGTCGGCGTGAACCTGAAGGAAGATATTAGCAGTCGGCCGCTGATCAAACATCAAAGAATTGAAATGACCAGGGAGCAACAGCTGCATCGAGACGCTTCAGCAACCGTGGTTAGACTGAGAATGAACGACTGACGAGCATGAGAGATGATGTAGGAACCCAGAGGAAGATTCACCCGCAGCTGGGTGGTGAAACTCGTCAACCAGGCCTATCACGTATCAAAACCTGAATATAGAAGCAAAGTAGGGCAGCCCACCTCGGCTGTACCTGAGTCCATGGCGTCAAAGTCCTAAGTATTCCTATGAGAGACAGAGAATCGTAGGGTTAAAAGAACATCATACTTCGTAATCAATATCTATGCCATCCAGGTCATACTCAATGACCCATGCAGCCATGGTATTGGCAGTCGCGACCGGATCTGCCCCCGTAGTAGTTGGAACATCGGTCGAACCAAAGGCAGACACTATAAGAGAGATGCCAGCGGCGGCATACTCTGATTTAACAGCCGATCTCTCAGAACTTGTGAGCGTTGTCCATTCGTAGGCCTAAACCATTGTTCAGTGACCGGCGTGTACAACGCGAGGTAATTTGCCTTATCCCATGCCCCTTCTATAAGAAGAAAAGAAAGTGCACTGAAAATCAATTTATCAAAGAAGCGTGAGGGAGATCACTGAAACGAAACATTTACAAGACGTTGAAGTCCTATGAAACCGTTCGTCAGCAATCTTGGAAGATTGGACATGGAGCAGGGTCTTCCATACCTTGACTTCAGACACTGCTGGTGGTCCAGTAACTCCCGGCGTATAAGCATCAGCATACACAACCCAATGCGGTGCACCAGGAGTGGCTCGCTCTAGAATGCTCCGTGCGTTTCGACTAAGTCCAGCGAACGCTGTACCGTTCACGGGGCCGGAGAACACGGGAACAGCCATAATAGCAACAAGAAGAAATAGCGCGAAATCAACGAAAGAGCGCAGAGCCATCTCGAATGTTGATTTTTAGGAGTTCGCTTTGACGCCTTATATACACCGATGATTAGGATTTCACGAGCTTCAGATTTTAGTGGAGGTGGAGCTAGAGTCATATATTCAATACGTACCACACATCTAATCGTAAAGAAAGCAGTTCAGGTTATCAAACTTGCAACAGACTCTGCTAGGACCCTAGAAGAAATCGAGCAAAGAACCAAAAGGTGCTCTCAAGCCAGGATACTTCAAATACTACCGCTTAGTTGCGTTAGCACTGACCGCAGCACGGAGAAATACGTCGCTAAAAGCTTTTCAATTGACAAGAACGCGTAGAAAACAGGTAAAAAGTGGGCGCCATGCGGTCTGTTCTCAGCCAGTACCAGGATATCATGCGAAGTGGCAGCAGAGTAGTCGCAAGGGATGATTACAGTAAAAAGAGACAACGTTACGCATATGGTCGCGAAAGGAGTCTGCGCTTGTGTGTCTGTGAGTTAAAAAACTGAAAAAGGTGATTCCACGCGGTTCCTGCGATGGCCAAAAGACAATGATAAGCTGAGGATGGTTAGTCTTTTGCATAGATAAGAAATAACCTTATCGACGGCCCCGCTATGGTTAAAGGAAGGTTAGTAGCAGCGATGTCCTCCAAAGATGCTCCACGTGGGATCAGGCAAAAATAGATGTCGTCGATCGGCTGATCGGCATTGAATCACACGAGCATTTTTCCCAGTTCACTGGTCAGACGGTAGTATAGTAAATAAGGTATTGGGGGTGTAATAAGTAGTGGAAGAGACGCATATATCAGACCGGCCATGATTCCGCCCTGACCGTAGCAATAAATGGTTACAGAATTCAATATTCTGAGGTGTAATATTGAATTTTCCATGCAGTGATATGGTCCGTAAGAATCACACATACCTGCCACTCCATCGCACCTCCATCTTTCGGTTCAGTAGCTGATAAGCTATCGTGCTCGTTGGATTGGGCCAAAAGACTGACCCCATCCTTAGTCTTTGGCAAGGCAGGTGCTAAAGTGTCCGGATCCGTGTAACCGCTGGTAGCATCTCTGGCCGTTGCAGGCTTTCCGATAAACTAGTTTGGAAAGGTCTACGCCATTATCTACAATTAGGACTAGGGCTGTGCTATTCCAGGTGCTGGAAGATGTGCTTAATAGCCCATCCCAGGTGGTATATTCGTCTGTCCCCTCCGGTAAAAACGTCGGAATGAGAAATAATCTCAGTTATAGAACGATAAGGCATGATTGTCAATTAAGCCTGACAAGAAGAGGTTACTTGCTTACTTGAACGTTATATCAATCAATCATGTCGCCGACCATCTCGTGAACCTTAAGGTATCCTCCACCACCATAGTACACAACGTTTTGTAAATATCTGTGCGGTTTTATTTTTTCAATATCACAAGGCTAAGGAATGGACCCAACTAACAGCAGCTTAGCATATTACAATAAAGGCGCAATATCAGGAATCAAGCTCATTGCTTCCGTCTTTGGATTCACTGATGCCTCCACGTCAAGTGGTGCAGATCCCATTTCGATGACAATCACAATGGCTGCGTGGGTCAAGCAGTATAATTTGGATGGGATCGATGTTGACTATGAGGTAAAAAGAAATATCTCTGCTTGTCTCACACGAAACGTTGAGGACCATAATGACGGAAATGGTCGGGCTGAGATAAAGATACCCACACTGAGTCGTGGCGTGTCTCTAACCACTGTTCCAAGACCTGGATCATAGCCTTTACCAGAGAACCTCGATTTCAATTTCCTCAATGTGAATACATTCTTACTCATGCGCGTCAGGATTCCATTTTTCTTTGAGGGGGTTCCCATTAACTAACCAGCATGGTGCAGAGTGTTTTTGCGCCATTAATACTGGACTGAAGGGTAGCAATTTCGTACAGGTTCTCACCTAATAGGTTTGGCGGCGGCGCTTAATGCACCGTCCACGTTGCCGTTGGAAGTTTGATCGACTGGTATAATGTCCAGGTGTCAGGTCTCCCCATCTGCGTGAAGTTGATAATCTCACGCTGCTTCGAAACTAGTTTTACAATGGTGCGGTTCCAGTTTTCTTGTTGCCTCCTTCTTCAATTGACCTGGCCTGTGCAGAGGGAACCAGCGAATACACGAGGTGCACTGGGTTATTGACTACCTCCTCTGCACTTTGATCCCAGTCGGCGCTTTTCCAGATAGCCAACGGCGCTGGAGTACCGCTTTCGAAGCTGGTGATAGGTAAATCAGGCACAGCCGGCGATGCTAGTAACGGTTTATGTCAACGCCTACATTAGCCTCGTGCTTAGAGACAGCGTATAGCCAAGAATGGAGTAAGTCACGGTACATCGAGTAATCTGCACAGTTCAAAACGTTGTCCATTATCTACAGGCACAGGCGTCATGGTCTGGGAAAAGTACGGTCAGTATCATGAAGTCCAACTCAGCTCATTTCCCGAAACACCCAGTTCCCAAACGTCGTGGCTACTTGGATCCAGGCTGTTCGTGGCCTGGCTTTCCCTGTTTAACGACATCCTGCCGGACTTATCACAGAGTTGCTCTTTTCCCTATTCTCGCATATCCACTGTCTGGCTAATTATAATAAATACAAGATTGAAATGTATGCAACGTGTACATGTCCATGATGTCAATGCGAAAAATACATGTATGTACGCCATCGATCACTCCCAATACCTCGCGGCCTTATTATCCGATTCACCACCGACTTCGAGAAAATCCGAAGGACGCTCCCGCTTCAAGTTACGTCGTCGATTATTAACAGGTAAACGCTGGTATGCCGAGTCTTGTCCCGCAGGTTGTTGGTTCACGAATGGATTCGACCAAGCAGCCGCCATGTTGTTATAAGCCACTCCATTAGCGTTCTGGACCTGCTGCTGGATCTGTTGCTGTTGCTGGATAGTCGCCAGTGCTGCAGAGAAGGTCTGAGCTTGCTGCAGTTGCATTTGGAGCTGCTGATATTGCATCTCGGTCGTTTGTCGTACTTGCATCGGGAGGGAAGGATTTTGAAGCATGACAGATATTTGAGAGATTTGTGCCTGTAATTGAGGGATGCTGTTTACAAGCATTTCCTGCACGTCCACATCGGCACCAGGCTGTTGGTCAGAATAGAAGTCCTGTTCCAGATTCGGTTCCTCCTGCTACACGATCTCGTTAAATAACGCGACGGTTCACACCAAGATCAGCATACCTGAACAGAGTCATCTGTCGTTGATTTAGTCTCTTCTTCGCCCTCCATTTTACTCTTCTCGATAGCCTTTTCGATGTAGTCCGTTACTTTGATACGCATCGGCTTATCCGCAAACAACTCATCCAGGGAAGCAATTTTCTTAGCACAATTTGGACATATGAAATCTCGCTCGAGAAGGTGCGTCTGTATACACTCTTCGCAATATATCGTGCCACAACAAGGAGTCTTCACAGCGTCACGGAAGAGTTTATTGTCGATGGGACAAACAAGACTGGCATCTGTGGGTATACGTTCACGGACATCGGCAGCGGTGAGTGCTTTGCTTCGTGATACCTGCTTATGCCACGAGGCTCTGCAACCAAAAATGAGTATCACTGAAATAGTCGAATGGATGAAGTGACGAACATGTCTGGTTGAGCAACAACATAACCACCCTCTGGTGTAACCATGACTCCCTGTCCAATTTGTGCACCGGTGGGGTTCTCCACAGCCTTGAGCATACTCCGCGGGATACCTGTCGTTCGTTTGATGCGGGGTTTGTTGTCATATTCACGATCATTGTTTGTAGGGCAATCCTTGATCCAGTGTCCTTCAGAGTACGTCAGTGTAACCGTCACTGTGCAGATAAACTAGCCGACCTTTCTGACCACAGCGATAGCAGACATAACTGGGAGGCAACGGTCTGTCCGGTACTTGATAGGGCTGGTGCGCCGAATGAGGTTTGCCACCACGAGAGAACCCCGTTCCTCGAGCATTGTAGTAAATACGTTGAGCGCTATTATGAACAAATAGAAAGAAACAAGAATTCATTAGAAAACAGGCTACTACATCGACAAGGAACCCCTCGGGGCGACACCAACTGTGACATTTTTTCCTGTGTCTCTTCCCAATTCGCAGTTTGGGCTTGAAACATTGCAGCCATGGCGACTGCTTCGTCACTCTTGGTTACAGATGATGAAACGGGAGTAGGTGCAGTCGGCTAGCACAAGCGTAAATACAGAAACCTACATCGCAACAGTCACGCACAGGTCTTTGCGGAGCCTCGTCCTTTCCATCAAATCGTTTTGATAGTGCACCCTTATGCCATGTAGATCCATTTCTGGAGACAGGTTCGGAGGTCGGTACAATATTTCCAGCGCCAGCGATATACATTGAGGCTTTACCCTTGCCGGGACGTGACGCAGGTAGTCGTTTGACGATGACATAAGAAGAACGAGGAATGATTTCGGAGTCATCCTTGTACTCTATGACACGACATGTAAGCTCGGGGGGGAAAAAAACAAGTGCGGGTACACACACCTTGCTTGGAGGTACTATCATAGATATAAAGATCAAAATCGTTTGCTTTGCCCATGTTGTTCGCTAGAATAATGTCGCGCTTGAGATCAAAAACAGAGATACCGGTGCCATCGAAGGACACTCGAGATTCGTCTCTTCTCGAGTTGAACTTGTAAAAAACAGACGATGCCATATCTATAAATTGACAAAGCAGATGCTAAGAAAACAGAATGGCAGCGTGCAACCGGAAGAGAATGTATTCAGGCAAGTCGTCGTCGTCGTCGTTGTAGTGTGAGAAATACGAGACTGGAGCGGAGTGAGAAATGTGCGATTTTAAACTCCGCTCTGCGGCATCGGCATCTCAACCCCAGTTGCTCCAATTCCGACATATCATTGGAAACCACGAAATAGATTCATTTCTCGGCCACACCGAATACAGAGTTTAAAGTCTAAGGCGAATAGAAACCCAAGTCCATCTTCTCCATAATTTTATTCTTCTTTCCCCATATTTGACTCAGGTTAGAATACCCGCACAATCCAAGCGTGATTTCAGCTTCACACAGTATGCCACGTACGACTTCTTCAACTCCCTGTTCGCCGCTAATGGCAAGACCGTACATGTAGGGTCGACCCACTGGATAGATTGAGACTTGGACTCAAAAAAAGTCAGAAACCACGTACGTAAGACAGCTTGTGCGCCAAGCGCGATGGCCTTAATTATATCGCTACCTCGCCGTATGCCAGAGTCAAAAAGGACGGTAAACTTTCCCTCAACCTGCGCGGCTTGAATGCGAGGGTCGTCCGTAATCTTCTCTAGTGCAACAAGGGACGGAATAGAGCCATCAATTTGTCGACCGCCTAAGGAAACGTTCAACACACATTGAATATTGCTATGAATTACGTTCTCACCATGGTTAGAGACAACGATTCCATCGCAGCCGACCTCCATTGCCTTGATTGCATCGTCGACAGACAAAATACCTTTCAAAATGAGCGGCCCCTCCCAATGCTTTCTCACAAATGCCAGCTCGTCCCAGGTTCGAAATAGACCAGAATGAATTTGTCTTGACCAATTCCTGCCCAGCATCTTCATCTGGATCTCATGTTCATCCCCTTGTGCTCGTTTCACGTCTAACTCAGCAGGGTCGAATGGGAAAGGAATTCGCTCGTCAGGGCGTGCCTCGAGGCCCTGCGTGCTCATGAATGCGGGGTCGGAGGTTCCGACTTGTATTCCGATACCATGCTTAAAAGGAAGATAGGCTTTATCAAGATCATACGGACGCCAGCCCATATACATGGTGTCCAGAGTCACGATACAAGCTGTGTAACCACCCTTTTTGGCCCGGTCTAGCAAGGACAGAGTAATCTCCTCAGAACGCGGCCTAGTATCGATATTTAGAATCTCTATGCATGCTCTGGAGGCTGAGAACATACCAGTATAATTGATACCAGCGTTGACCTTCTCCGTTGGCTTCAGCGACATCCTCGAGAGAGCGAGTACTAGCGGTGCTGGTAATAAATGGAACGCCGACTTTTGCGGCTGCTCGTGAAGTGGTCACTTCTCCGTCTTTATTCAAGAGACCATGGACGCCGATGGGGGCGAGGAGAAGAGGTGATTTGTAGGTAAGACCGAATAGAGTCGTCTAGCAAGCGCATCGTTCACCTCGGAAGGGATGGCTTATATGAGAGAACTATTCTTACCTCTAGAGTCCGATCAGAGGCATCAACGAGCATTTTAGGAATGAAACACCATTTCTCAAACGCCTTCTTGTTAGCGCGATCTGTTGAGCATGATCCCGCGCTCCCAAAAACGTACAGGAAAGCAGCTGTCAAGACTGAATCGACACCCTTCACACGACAGATAGAGTACATACAGTGATTTGCCATGGTCACCTCTCTTGCTTTGGCCTCTAGCTTGTCTGCATCGTATGATCCAATTGAAGGTGGCCGTCTGCTGTCATAGACAACATTCATATATGATGACCATGATTCGGAAGGGTCCTGGTCGGTTTCGAGAGCGGCCTTGAAAGACATAACGTTTTGATGTGGGTAAGCAAGACAAGAGATAATAATGATTCAGTAAAGGATGTTGAGCCGTTATCTCAGGCATTGTATATTTCCTATCATAATCAAGTGCGAACGACGTCGGCCCTTCGAATAGACGATAAACAAAAGGAGGTAAGGTTCGCCGCGTCCAAGTACAGGTACATGTTAGGAATATTGATCTATGACACCAAAAGTTCAAAATCGACTGCGATGACAAGGGATAAATGATCTACCTCTGGGATCCAGTCCTGCCAGTGGATGAGGAGGTGACGGAGCAAGGTCGGACCGGACGGATCCGCGGAGCTGACAGGGACAACACGCTAATTTCACGATGATAGGATTAGGGAAACTCAGAATGAGCGTCCCACTAGGATTTTCCCACCGTTTCTCATTTTCATCCATGTCTTTGAAACCTCTCGTCGACGTGCATACTCATGTATACCTTCCAAGATACGCTGCATGGCTTCGGTCGCGTTCAGTTGCGCCCAAAATCATGTCAGCCGAGGGGGGAGAGGAGCGACTTTTGATTCTGGAGAACGAACCTAGCGGTGGAAGGCCCGTAGGGCCCCAGTACTGGGACCGCAAAGAGAAGCTCAGGTTCATGGATCTGCACGGCATCGATATATCTTTTGTGAGGTACGTTTACTTTTCATTACATGTTTGCTTAAAGACTAATTTTGTCCGTATAGCACAGCTAATCCTTGGCTCGACTTCCTCTCCGCTGCCGATGCGCATGAACTTACGTTGGGGCTCAATAATGATCTTGAAGAATACTGCTCAACTGGGCCATCGTACTCGGATTCCGTTTTGAAGAGATTATACGGACTCGGCTTGCTTCCATTGGTTCCCGGCATCACCGTCGAAGCAATTGTCGAAGCAGTGAACCAGATAGCTGCTGCACCTCATTTGAAAGGGCTGATAATGGGCACTAAGGGTATCGGTAAAGGGTTGGATGATGAAGCGCTGGATCCTGTTTGGCAAGCCATCGAAGCCGCCAGTTTGGTTGTCTTCCTCCATCCCCATTATGGCGTAGACAGCAATGCGTGGGGTGACAAAGATAACGGACACGTTCTGCCATTGGCCTTGGGCTTCCCTTTCGAGACTGCTACCGTGGGTAAAATCACCGTGTGTTCTAGCTAGTTCGCTGATGTGTTTTTAGGCAACAGCTCGTTTAATCTTGTCAGGCGTATTTGACAGATTCCCATCGCTTCGGATCCTTCTTGCCCATTCTGGTGGAGCACTTCCTCAGCTATCCTCCCGCTTGGCTTCGTGTATCGATCACGACCCCGTTGTCGCTTCTCGTCTCAAGCACGACGCGCGCTTCTACCTTGGTAAATTATACTTTGATGCGGTCGCTTATGGTCCAGAAGAGCTTGGTTTTGTCAGTGAGGTAGTTTCACGATCAAAACGATTCGAGACAGGAAGTACGATAAAAGGGGAGGCAGACAGAAGAGAGGGAAGTCAGAGGATGCTCTTTGGTACTGATCACCCATTCTTTCCTCCTCTCACGTCGACCGAGAAATGGAAGAGCGTTGTGGAGAATCTGGAAGCCATCGCCTCCGTACCTGGTTGGGGAGAGTCGGAAAAGGATGGCGTACGGGGTGGAAACGCGTTATCATTATTCGGATTATAGATGTAACACCTGCGTAGTAGGAAGAAAAATAATGGAAACAGGTTTTGGGAGACTTCGAGCGCACCAAAAGGGATCCGAGATTGCCGAAATAGATGGTTTATGACGAAGTCAAAGTCGCTTTCTTCTCTCGTGCGAAACACGTCGCGGCCAAGCTCTATGAAAACGACTGTAAACCCATAATGCTTATGAGAGGCTCCTTGACCACCTTAATACCTCGTCCCAGGGTCCCCCACTGTCCTTATTGAACTTAACCTTCACGAAGCTTTGGGTCCAACAACGGGACATCAAGTTCTCTGATTTTTCCTTACGTCGCTCAAGTCCTACATAAACGTCATTATCAAATGAGCTCAGACCAAAGTTTTGATCTTTTGCAGTTAGTTTAACATTTAGTCGACGGTGCACTTCCACTTTGGTTGAACCTGAATCAGTCGAAAGGTGTTTGATCCTGCGATTCAAGCTTGACTAAAGCCGAGAGATTCCAAATCGAGTTCATCCATTGCGTCTATCATTACTACTTGGCTCGTACGCTTCCAATTAAGCGGGCATACCCTCGTAAATATATAACATAATTCATCTATCAAGATTCAGACTTGCGCTCCAACGAATTCTCTTCGTCGGAAATACCCTTGACGTGAACCGAAGCGTCGCCTTTACCGCTATACTCAATAGCTGCAAGCTCAGGATGAAGAGTAACTTCTAGCGGTTTTCCATCGAAGAGTTGACCGATTCTGAGATGATACCGTCGTCAGACATACGAGCAGTCAAAGAGGCAAAAATGGAGCACTGACTCTTCAAGGGTGTGGCCTTTGGTTTCAACAATGAAGAAGTATATGCAAACTCCGGTGACGCAGAGGACCGCAGTGCTAAGGAGATCAAAGGGATCAACAAAACAAAACCCAGATATAGAGTTCTCGCACTTACTAGAATGTATACCACTTATATCCAATGTTAGTCACTGTCAGAAAAGAGACGCTGTTAACACTGATAACAACGAAAGAAAGTAAAAGCAACGCACTGGCAACCGGGTTTGTATATGCACTAAAGACTGATAAACATTTCGCAGTTATTGCCCACACCATCATGCCCTTGCCACGCATTGAATAGTGGAGGACTTCAGCAGGGTAACTGAAGAAAATAGGACCGCAAGAAATGAAGAAAGCACCGTTGTACAACCAGACGAAGACCACAGCTCCAATACCGGCCCCCTTATTTTTGGTCTTAGTGTACTCGGCGGTGCATACGGTAAGACCGATGTTAGCAAGGAGAACGCAAACCCATGTCCCCATGAGCTGAGGTCGACGCTTTATGCGCTGGGTGAGCCAAAGACCAAATAAGGCCATAAGGAAAGTATACTGGGGAGGAGGACATCGACGTCAGTGACACTACTAGGTCCAACTGGACTAATAGTACTGACCGATGTCAGCCCAGCGTTGATACCAGTTACTGTGACTGTGTTCGTGATTCCGACGAGCTTAAGAACTAAGTGCTGTTTAGCGGAGCAAGCGAATATTTAATCATTGGCACGTACTCGCGGTGTAATCTAACATTATGTCAGAATCAAACTGAAAGACAGAACCAATAATACTCACAATAGCTGATGATGGCGGTTCCACTCAAATTTTGGCAGATTGCGATCAATATAACTGGTATAAATGTGAGTCACTGGCTGGTACGGATGAAAACAATGACACCTACCACAGCCAAGGCGATGACGACTGCTCCTGCTACCGAGAATTGCTTTCCATGTGTCCTGTTTCGTCTCCTTCTCCATACGGAGCGCTTCCAAAATTTCCGAATACTCGAACGCAACCAGTTCATCGTCGGCCTTGCCATTCGCGTGATACTTGACTAAGTAGGCTTTGGCCTCCTCCTCACGGCCATTCTTGACTATCATTGGTTTAGCACGACGAATCAGAGTTGACTTGAGTAAACTCACTCAACCAACGAGGAGACTCAGGAACGAATGTGATGAGGATAATCATGATCAAGGCTGGGCCGATGTGGAGCTGTACCATCGTCTTAATGGGTGTATCTTGCGTTATCGAAGAAAATAATCACCAAATAAGGAATTCCTGAAAGATATTAGGTTAGTTGTTTTCGCTCGAGGAGGTCGTCGTAAACGACTCACTCCATGCCCAGTTGTTCGTGAGATGACTGCATCCCTAATGAACAACTTCAGTCAGCCGTGAAATATCCATACATGTAGAACGAACGAACAAAGTTGACCCTGCATCATGCTGGTCAGTCAACAGCAAAGTTGGTACAATAAATGAACCCACCAAGCTGCCGTAAAGTTACCTATGATCTAAGCGTCTTGTCAGGACTCTACCATGAACGATATACGATGTACTAACAAATGCGACATCGAAGAAGCCGGCCATCCACGTTCTGTGCTTCGGATGGGGAAGTTCCTGAAGCCTGCGTACAGTAGAATCCTGTCAGTGGAAGTCTTGACGAGAACGATAGATCCTACATGATCGGAGAGCACATGAGTGCGAAAGCAAGACCTGAGCCGATCTAAAATGACTTTAGCAAGGCGTGTTACAGCACACGAGATTGAATATACGTACAACAATCCGTGACATGAGGAACATGGCATATGCATTTGTGCCTCCTGAGCCAGCTGCGGCACCGATGGCGGTACCTATAAGATTGGTAACGGAGGAGTACCTAGGTGAACGAGCATTAATGCGATTTCAACTTCCATGTGATTGAACTCACCGAATGCACCACTTGCGCCCCCAGCGATCGGCAATGAAAGCGGCAAATGGAGCGGTGCATACTGTGATGAGATGTGATTAGTAATGGACATGAGAAGAGGAAACTGGACGGCTTACATCCAGACAAATATAGGGCAGCATTCAACAAACCGATCCGATGAGAGTCGGGTTCTCCAAGAGCTTCGTAACAAGAGGTCAATATACTATCCTTTGGTCAAGAGTTATTCGAAAAAAAACACACACTTTTCAACCAAGGCTTCATGGACTGGAAACTACTGACAAGAGAACCGTCGTAGCCATTCAAAAACTGAGCCACGAAGATGGTTCCGAGCAGTAGGTTCAGTTTTCGAAGCCCTAAATAAGCGTTAGGACGACTTAGTCCTGCTCAGTACATGGAATCTTACCGTCGTTTGCCCACCAGGACTAATGAGGTCAACATCATTAGAGCGATATCAAGAGTGGCTCGTCACTGACGCACCAGGTGGGAATCATAATTGGGGATGCTTCGAAAGGCTTCGGTACCAGCCAACATGGTGTGCAACAAGCGACGATGGAAGTCGGATTATTGACGGACAAGGGGAAAGTCGAGGGAACCACGACCAAATGCGACGCCTTTATGTACAACTTCCATCAGGAACGAGAGATACGAACTTAATCAGCAGACCAAAGGAAAAAATAATAATAATAACTGATAGAGTAATGGAAGGGCTGCGGTGTAGTAAAAACCCCTAGGCGTCATGTCCAGAGCAGATATCGTGGAGCGAGCCAGCGCTTGCTAGTACTATGCTGAGAGACTGCTTGGAGCGATACAATTGTCACGTGATCCCGATATACCGAAAATCGAACTAATTTTTTTCAGGGAAGATAACGGTCCGCGATCCGCGCCCGTCTGACTCTGGCCTCGGCAATTCAACGAGGCTACGAATCCTTTTATGACCCTTATCAGCTCCGTCCGAGGAGACGGACATACCTCACAGCCACTGTTATCATCTCCTGACCCTGTGTACCTTGCTCGCGATAAATTATTGCGGGCAGGGTCGTGCCCACCAGGACAATCCCAGATAATCCCCCACACCTTCGCCGCGTCCACCATAATAATGGCTACCACTCCTTTCTATAGAGAGCTCAACTTTGCCTCTGATAAATCGGCCCCTGGTGCATTCGAGTTTCCGTTCGTGACATGCGTGTCGTCTGGAGAGCCTTTACATCTGAAGCCACATAAAGTTCAGCTCCATGATCTACGCAAGGAGGATCAGCGGCCGTCGTTGGATGTCGAAGGCTTTACTTGGCAAACGGTACCGTTCGAAGGTTTGAATGGAGAGGAGGGATGGGAAGAACGCTATATGCAAGAGACCTGCGAGTAAGTAGTCCATCTTTGTATGTTGAGTCAGAGAATTGAACCACGTAGATGGTTGAAAAAGCATGCCGGCGCGAAAGATTGCAAAGCAATAAACTACCAGATCAGGTTTGCGTATTCTCGGTTCCGTCGTTGTATTTCCACTCAGAAATAGTTAAAAAGACGTAGAGCTGCAGACGGACTGTCTCATCAAGAAGCAAACTATGCGCAGGATTCTGATCAAGTTCTCTCGAAACAACCTGTACCGGCCGTTCATGTTGATATTAACAGGGAGCGGGCGCGTGTACGATGTCTGACTCCATACGAAGAGGACCCTTTAGCTGTAAAGGCGGAGAGAGTCGCAATTATGTGAGTCTGCTATAGTCATTTCGTGGTAAATACTAACATTTTTGCAAAGTAATGTATGGCGGCCGCTTCATGGGCCGGTGATGGATGCGCCGCTTGCAGTGTGTGATGCTCGCACGTTCGACCCCAAAGACATGACCCATACAACCGACAAAGTGGGTATTTGTCTCGGAGCTCAATTTCGTTCGTCTGATCCTATACAGTACGGCGGTGGATATTTTATCAAACATAATGGTTCAAGTTGCCGTTTGTATCCTGGATCCCTGTTAGTGACTTGTGACTTTTTCAGCGAATATGAAGTGGATGTACATCCGCGACCAGATGCCAGATGAGATCCTTGTCTTTCGGCAATTCGACAGCAGTAAGGACGAGATTCATCTGTTGAGCTGAACTTACTGTATTCATCAGCTTTGATTCCTACCGCTGGAGACGCAGCATGCGTTGCGCACACGGCTTGTATGTGAATTCAGTTTTCTCGAAGATTTAGCACTAAAAATACGTCTAGTCATTGACGAGGAGCGAAAGAACCTAGGAGTACCTCGCCAAAGCATCGAACTGCGCTGCGCTCTTGTATATTAAAATATGAGCTAGCAATCAGAAGAAATTTTTGAACAGGAGTTCTTGGCTTGGCGCGTACGGAGTTCGAAATTCTGCGTATCTACTTCAAGCTCCGACTAAATTATCCGCTCTTAAGGCAGGCCGGTGTACTCCTAAAATATAGTAATGTCTACTGCTCCCAACGTAGGAGGCTCTAATGTTTTAGAAAAAGTATTTTGCTCCTCACCAGCGCCCACTGAAGTTCCCCCTCCCTCTGGAAATGGGCTGCGCCACTCTCGCACACTGTCCTCCTCCTCCTCGTCGCGCATTACGGAGCGACCACCCCCATTCTCTAGGAAATTAACCCGCGCGCTGTTTGTTCGACCTTCGGAAACAAGGGGTCCAGTTCCCGGACATTTACAGAGCATAAAGTCAGCCTTGACTTACAGCTGGGTCAATGTACTCTTTGTCTTTAATCCGATCGCATGGGCTTTACATTATACCCGTCAGGCAGACGGTGCTGTCTTTGCCATGGCCCTTTTGGGTGTGGTACCTTTGGCTAGTATGCTTGGCCACGGCACAGAAACTATAGCCCTTTACACAGGCGACGCCCTTGGTGGTGGGTTTTCTTACACTTCGCCGCAATAGCAAGAACTTAACTCTTAATCAAGGTCTCATTAATGCATCCCTGGGAAATGCCACAGAGTTCATTATTGCTATCCTTCTGCTCGTGAAATGCGAAATTCGTGTCGTCCAGGCTTCGCTACTTGGAGGTCTTCTTTCTAATCTGCTTCTCGTAACTGGAATGGCCTTCATTGTGGGAGGTATTCGTTTCTCCCAGCAGCAGTTCCAACAGACAGCTGCGCAGCTCAATACCTCCTTGCTTACCTTGGCGGCAATCGCCCTTGTTATTCCCACCTGTTTTGCATTTGCGATCGAGCACGCCTCTGGAGAAGAAACTGAGCGGGATGTCATCCTTGAAATGTCTCGTGGCAGTGCGCTCATCCTCATTTTCATTTACGTGAGCTATATGGTCTTCCAGCTCTACAGCCATTCATACTTGTATAACCCTGATAACGATGTCCTCAATGACGTCCATTCGACCGTGTCTAGTGTGCGATCCGCTCCAGCAGCATCGATCCAACCTGCTATGCATATTCTCAGCGATGACTTTTCTCGTCCTCCGCGAGTAAACAGGTCTCAAAGTCTCGCCACGAGCTTTGGCAGCCGGACATTTTTGGGATACGGCGCGAAACTAGTAGGAAGACGGTCACTCCCTGTACATCTCAGCAGCGTGGGTGAGAAAGAAGAGGAGATTCGGTAAGGCCTCTCTCCTCTGTCTACTGTCATTCAAATTCACTGACCAAGAGTCGATAGCGATCAACTCTCTGCACAAAGGGGGCATCAAGACCTCGAAGCAGCCGGCCTTGCAGGAGACACTAATAGCGAGAATGAATTGGACACGCCAGAGATGAACCTTACTGTCACAATTGCCGTCTTGATTGGTGCTACTGGCCTCACGTATCTGACAGCGGAGGCCCTCACTGATTCATTGGAAGGGATCGGTCAAAATGGAAGTGTCAGTACTGAATGGTTGGGTTTGATTCTGTTAGCTATGTGGGTCTTATTCACTACAATTCATGGACGGCCATCTTATAACCCTTTTCTATCGCAGTGTGGGTAACGCGGCAGAGCATGTGACCGCTGTCTTCGTTGCGTATCGCAATAAGATTGACTTGGCGCTCGCTGTATCCGTAGGATCGTGTATTCAGGTAAGTAATTTTTAGTCGATAAACCATATCTCACGTTTACATACAGGTATCTCTTTTTGTCATCCCCCTACTGGTATTGATTGGTTGGATGGCAAATAAACCACTCTCGTTGTTGTACGTGATTAACCCAGTTTCATGTGTACAGCTTTTTTGAACTACCTGCCATTTAGATTTGATCCTCTTGAAGTTGTTACTCTGTTCCTCTCCGTTCTTCTCATACGGTTTGCCACGGAAGACAGACGTACGCATTATATGAGTGGAATTCTTTTGTTTGGGACCTACGTATTGATTGTGAGTGCTGTCCTTGAATCTACCCTTGCTATGCTGCTAACATCCGCCAGGCATTTTCGTTTTGGTTTTACCCCCAAAATGGTACTAGCGCGGGAAACCTTTTCTCAGAGTGCTAACATCAGACCTAGCTAGTTGTATGAATAGAATAGAATACCGGCCCCACCTACTAGAATGATACCAGCTATCTTTCTAACTGTTGACATCTTGTGGCATTTCACGAGTCATAGAGCGAACAGAGGGTGTGAGTGAAAAACATCCAGTTCGGACTGTCTTTTGCATTCATGAGAATGTTGTAGTGGCATATGCCATCTAGGATACAGACAAGTTTCACACAGGGTGTGACCTCAGCACTTTCCACTTTCCATGGCCCAAAGCCAGGGCCGCCTACCGCATGCTCGTGGGAATTATGTGATCACGGCAAACTCAATTATTATTCGGCAGGCTTCCTAACCCAGAACATGTAGTTGCATTCCGTCGCGGCCCACGCATCTCTGGGGGCCAGATTCCAGCTGGACGAGAGGGGGTTGTACACTATGCCTCGCACTTCGGCTTCGGTCCTTGTTGGCTGGGCAGCCGACGGTGCTATCCATGGACATGACCCGTAGGACTGGAAGAACTCGACAAGCTCGGAAGGTTTTATGAATTTAGAGTATGTGTGTGTTCCGGGAGCTACCCGTCGCAAAACATTCTCAGCCATCATGATAGTGAGGAAATAGGCCAGCGGTGTCCTGGAGATTGTGGAAAGGAAGAGATGGCCAGATGGCTAGAGACATTTCAGGATCAAGTTGATGTAAGATTCGGACAGTCTCAGACCTTGAGAAGCTGAGCACATGTGGATAGGAAGAGAGCCGGATTGTCAACATGCTCGAGGACCTCCATCGAGCACACGACGTCGTATCGCCTAGACTGCGAGAGCAAAGACTCTGCTGATGTATGCATATAGGACAGATTTTCGGACAATCTTGAGTCTGTCGATGCATGATGTTTGGCTATCTCAATATTGGGTTCGGACGCGTCAATGCCGACGGTACGAGCACCCAGTCGAGCTAGACTCTGCGACAGGTAAGATGGTAATCTTGTAGTAAAACCCAAATATACCTCAGACAGTAATCCACCCCCACAGCCGACGTCCAGTACTTGGAGGCCCTTTAGGATGTTTTGCGATACAGTCTCATCTTCATCACACGCTGTTTCAAGAAGTTTCTGCCGGATGAACTGCATTCGGACAGGGTTCATCTGATGCAGAAAGGCAAACTCGCCACGTTCATCCCACCATTGCGAAGAAAGACGCGAAAAGAAAGAGATTTCTGCAGCGTTGACTGTTGAACGCAGGAGACGCGATGGTAGCATGGACGAAAACGGAATATTATCTGGGAATTTTGGAACTTTTGAGGATAAATCACGCCGGAAATGGCTCACCGGATCATTAGTCAGCAGGGCAACTCGGCCGAAATCTGCGGCATTTTGGCACATTATGTCACTTTCTGCATTCACTCAAGAGGCTCAGTCATCTAGCGCAGGGCGCATTCCGACAGGCTCCTTGACTTCCAGTTCCCATCATTTCTTCTCTATCCGGTCCATTCATCCCATCGGTGCGAATTTCGCATACATTTCCACGTATACACTACCCTATTCGCAAGCTACTATATCACGGGAGGGACCCACAGGATGGCCAATTTCCTCACCAATATTTGGGCACGGTCCCCTCTAAGCTCGTCATTTGGCTCTGTTGAACTGCCAATGGGCTCATCGGAACCACTCATGGTCAACGCCGGCAAGGAGCTTGATCTTGAGGCCCCAGCGTCTGAAAAGTGCGAGGTCAGAATCGAGGGAATGACCTGCGGAGCGTGTGTAGAGGTGAGCGCGCTGAACTGGCTAGTATCAGGGAAACTAAACAACTTCTCAGTCCATCGAAAGGATGCTACGGCCTCAGGAAGGAATTCGGTTGGTCAAGGTGGCATTACTGTCGGAACGCGGGGTGGTTGAGTACGACCCCTCCCACTGGAATCCAGAGAAGATCGTCAGTGTAAGTATACTTGCTTCAGTTAATGTGCAGATCTTATATTCATGTTACCTAGGAAATCGAAGACATAGGCTTCGGTGCTACTATCATACCGCCATCACGAGAAGACTCGATAGTCCTTCGTGTATATGGCATGACCTGCGCGTCCTGCACGAACACCGTCGAGTCCGGTCTGTCATCGGTCCCTGGTATATTGAGTGTATCAGCGTCCCTTGCCACTAACACCGTTACGATTCAGTTTGACCGGTCGTTCATCGGACCTCGGGAGATGGTGGAGCGCATAGAAGGCATGGGTTTTGATGCCATGGTGTCTGACCAAAGCGATGCGACCCAAGTGCAGTCGCTTCAGAGGACCAAAGAGGTCCTTGAATGGCGGTCACGATTCCTGTGGTCTGCCGCGTTCGCTATCCCGGTTTTCATCATCTCCAAGATATGTCGTCTCTTCCCACCGTTGAGGATGTTCCTTTCCATGCACCTGTGCACCGGGATTCACTTAGAAGATGTTATCCTTCTCGTACTCACTACTCCCGCGCAGTTTTGGGTGGGTGCTATATTTCACCGTAACGCATTCAAGTCCCTGAAACACGGAACTGCCACTATGGATGTATTGGTTATGCTGGGTACTTCGGCCGCTTATTTTTATTCTGTTGGAGCCATGTTCTTTGCGCTCTTCAATGATACGCCAGACTTCCACCCCATGTTATTTTTCGATACCAGCACAATGCTGATTATGTTCGTGTCCCTTGGCCGCTATCTGGAGAATAAGGCCAAGGGACGTACAAGCGCTGCTCTCACGGATCTGATGGCCCTCGCTCCTTCGATGGCCATGATCTACACAGATGCACCGGCATGTACACAGGAAAAGAAAGTGCCCACTGAACTCGTTGAGGTCGGCGATACTGTGAAACTGGTTCCCGGCGAAAAAATTCCTGCTGATGGTACCGTTTTGCGAGGATCGTCCAGTGTGGATGAGAGTGCTATCACCGGTGAAGCGGTTCCTGTCATTAAACAGGTGGGAGACACGGTTATCGGAGGCACAGTCAATGGGCTGGGTGCGTTCGATATGATCGTTACGCGTGCAGGCAAAGATACCGCTCTATCCCAAATTGTTCGTCTGGTTGAGGAGGCACAAACGTCCAAAGCTCCCATTCAAGCTTTTGCAGACAAAGTCGCTGGGTATTTTGTTCCGACGGTGATCTCGCTTGGGGTGGTGACATTCGTGATTTGGATGATCTTGTCTCATGTTGTCAATGATGAGAACCTACCGATGATGTTCCACCGACACGGAGCCAGCAAATTCGCGATATGCCTGCAGATGTGCATTAGTGTCATCGTTATTGCATGTCCATGTGCGCTCGGCCTCAGTACGCCTACTGCAATCATGGTGGGAACTGGGATGGGGGCGAAGAATGGGATTCTGATCAAGGGTGGACGAGCGCTAGAAGCAAGCAAATCCATCAAGAGAGTCGTTTTGGATAAGACGGGGACCGTTACATTCGGCAAGCTAAACGTTGCTGGACTGTGGTGGGTTCCCGGACACCAGAATGAAGAGTCATATGGAGGCGGCTCACAGCTGACCGGCAAGTGTGCGGATGGATTAACTGAGAGGAGAGATGCTCTTGCGATGGTAGCTGCAACGGAGGCGCTCTCCGAGCATCCTCTTGCCAAGGCGATAGCGACATTCGGTAAAGAGCTTTTGCGAGATCAATCACTCCCTGAAGTCGTGGTGGATCAGTTCGAGAGCGTTACTGGAGCAGGCGTTAAGGCTGTTCTTGCGTGCCATGGAGAACGGTATACGTTACTCGTTGGTAATACGCGCTTCGTTACCATGGCTGATGAAGGAATGCCGTCGTCGGTTTGGGACTTCGAGAACCAGGAGACCGAACAGGGCAGGACTGTCATCTATGTGTCGATACAGAAAGGGTCTTCGCGGAAGTCGACACCCATTCTAGCGGTCTCCTTGTCGGATGCTCCAAAGGGTTCGAGTAAACAAGCGATTTGGGCGTTGCAGCAGATGGGCATTGAAGTGAACATGATGACTGGTGATGGGAAAGCTACTGCGTTTGCCATCGCAAAGCAGGTGGGTATCAAGCAAGAGGGTGTTTGGGCAGGAGTTTCTCCGGGAGGCAAAGCGACGTTAATTACCGAGTTGATTGAGAAGCATGGCGACGGTGTCGCAATGGTGGGTATTTTGAACATGTATTATTACTTGTTTGAAGCGCTGATCTTCTTGCAGGTCGGAGACGGTATCAATGACTCTCCTGCTCTTGTTGCGGCCACTGTGGGAATTGCTTTGTCCTCTGGAACATCGGTAGCGATCGAGGCGGCTGATATCGTCCTGATGCGTTCTGACCTTCTTGACGTTGTCGCGGCCCTTCATCTGTCTCGGAAGATATTTGCTGTGATACGACGCAATCTCATATGGGCGTGTATTTATAACGTCCTGGGCGTCCCGCTCGCGATGGGCGTGCTTTTGCCGTTTGGACTGTACATGCCACCAATGCTTGCAGGGGCGGCGATGGCGTTTTCGAGTGTTAGCGTTGTCACTAGTTCGTTGACGCTCAAGTGGTGGCGCCGACCCAAAGACAGTGTTATGCCTGGTGAAGCGGTGCCAGAGGCTAGCGAGTTCTTGAATAGTGCGATGAGTGTTTTCGCCGATAGGTGGGATATCCTGAGAGGAGGTAGAAATAGAGATGGATATCGTCAGCTGCCAGTGGAGATGAGCACGTCGGGCACTTCGTATTCGGTGTGAGGTGTGTTGCTGTCGTCGCTTTCGCTTTCTCATCTATGCTGATCTTTGAATAACGTTTGTCCAAGCAATTCGAATGTACTGTCTGTCTTTGTAAATTATACTGTAACATACCTAATGTATTACCGTCCTCTGCTATAAAACGCTGTTCCTTCGCTATACGTCATTTCAGGATTGCGCAAGGACTGTACAGCCACCGACTCTTGTCCATCAAGCGTGATGTTCAATTCGCCTCGACCTGCTCAACGGTACAGCTCGTCCAACAATTTTGGGGGCAGCTTTGTAGACGAGAACCCTCTTTCTGGCTCTGCATACGATGGTCTCGATCCATGGAGTACTGCGCCCAGTCCTTCACCTCCAGTGCCCTCGACAACTGTCTTTAGTTCCGTCATCGGTAAGGAACGCCATGCTTTTGTTGGACGTGCTGGATGGATTGTTCTCTCTAGCGGATGCTACGGTGCCGTCAATATACGATAGGGCGTTTGCGTCCGTCGACCCGACGAATAGCGGTGAAACATCGGTAAACTCGCTGTCGAGGGTGCTTTCCACGTCATCGTTGCCGGCGGGAATTATTGATAGGGTACGGGGATCATATTTGGGCGAGAATTTCGGCCTGAGATGACTCGTAGATTGTCAACCTGGTCAGCACTCGACCACGCGTATCTAAGCTCGAATTCTTCGTTGCACTGGCTCTTGTTGCGCTTGCACAGGCGGGTAAAGGTGTGTTTGATATAACTTGCTATTCATGGTAGACTTGACGATTATCTGTAGATGTGAGCATCGAGCAAGTCGCTGCCTTGTCATCACAGAATACGCTTCCCGAGCCGAGTCTCGACTTGGACACTCTTCAGCCTTCCGCTTTTGGACCCGTGTCTAATTTCAGACAGAATACTATCACTGCTGATGATCCGTGGAAAATTGGTGGGGGAATGGTCACTGGGCCGTCAAATATGGGTGGTTTCGATTCGGCCCGTACGAACGGTGCTCCATCGACGCTTGCAGGGTCGGGGCTACCGAAGGAATGGTGGAAAAGGCAGGACAGCGTGACGGTGACAATTCTTGGACAGCAAGGATTCATATTAAATCGATACATGGTCTATCAAGTATCTTCGGATGTGCGTTTCCTTATTCACGCCTATGGACCACCCCTTTTCTGACATCAAGCTTTATGGCAGCGCGGTCCGGCAGTCGCGAGACGATACTCGGAGTTTGTGTTCCTTTGGGATGTTCTGACGCGAAGATATCCATTTCGCCTTTTCCCAGCTTTGCCACCTAAACGAATAGGCCGTGCGTAGCACTTGTCTTGTTATGTCGTTTATTGATCGTGTTTCAGCTGATGAGTACTTTTTGGAACAAAGAAGGTACGGAGTTGCGGGACGCTGACAGTACTTTACTTACTCTTTCCACCCAGACGAGGATTGGCGAGGTCCTTGAACTACGTGATGTATGCGTCTCCTCCTCATCTGTCTTGTTTTTGGTAATCACTTCCTAAGAAACCATCCCATCATCAAAGAGGACGGCGTTCTAGCCGTATTCTTGACAGAACCTTCGTTAGAGGAATGGCGAAAACACAACTCTATGGTTCTAGACGAAGAGTCCGCAAGTAAACGCGTCGACAAGGTGGAGGAAATGGCCATTCCGAGTGATTTAGAAGACAAGATTGCGTATGTGTGTTTTTTGTCTTGACGTCGTTCCCCGAGCCTTGTTCACGTTTTGATAGGATTGTACGTGGCAAGGTCAACCCTCTTATTGATCAATGGCAAAGGATATGTATATTGGCGGAGAGGATAATAAAGAGACGCGAAGCAGCAGCGGTACGGATGTCCGCGTTTCGACGTACCTATCACTCGGCTCACTCGGCTTTGCCGTTTTCTTCTTCTGCGCCTGTTTCGCGAACATCGTCTTCGAACCGCTCTGTTAATTCTTGGCTTACGACAACCTTTTCACTGCAACCGGCATTTGATGATACACAACAGGGCGATCTGGCGCGATTGATGAACACTGTACGGGCTGTTGTGGAGGTGAACGAGAGTTGTTGGAGGGGGGATGAGTGCGACTTGTCTAGTGGGGTGAAGGCAGGGCTTGAACAAGCTGCTGCACATTTTCAGAGACACTCAGAACTTTCCGAGTTGAGGGTGTGAAGCGCTTCTATTTGGTCTGTTCTATCGGCTAACGAGGTTCTTAGACACGAGTATTGTTTGATACGACCCTGGAAGCGCTTAAGGTGCATAAACATTTTATGCTTGCCTTTTTCTTGTGATAATCGCTGTTGTAGTCGCAACGCGATTTATATATCGCCGTACGCGATCTACTGATTCGACATGACAGACTGTCTATTGATCAAGTTGAGAGGCTGAAAAAACGGGTCGAGGCGAACTCGTTGAAGATGGAAGGTGTGCGGTCTGCACAGAAAGATGCATGGAGGGAGGAAGTTGATAGGATAAGTGGGCTTATCGAGAAGGATCAAGCTACCATAGCGGCTCAGTTGAACCGGAGGGTGTTTATGCGTGCTTGGTGAGTGTGCCCTTGTTCTTCCGTTCGAATGGCGTAGGTTTGATGGGGAAAGCATGTGGCACGAGCTGCGCGCCGTGTTGCATAACAGGGAAAATACGTTAGTGACCTTGTTGGTGCAAAACTTCGCAAGAGAAGAACAGGAGTTTACGGAGAGCGTGTTGGGAAACTGGGTGTCCCTTGGCGAAGGGGTGGAAGGGATGCCGTTTGAGTGAGCATCGTGATTTCTAACATTGGATCTACTTGGAATACCCGACACTTTATGGACCACGTTCACCTTCTACCCTGTTATTGACTATCCTGAGCGGGCGACGCGCCGTCGGAAGCGGCGGGATTTGGGCGGTGATAAGATTGGATTGGTGGAATGAGTCATCTCTGTTTCAAAAGGGTTGAACTGCTGCGGTGGGAAAAATGTTGGTTCCTTGTTGCGTCACATCAGATAAATGAGTGCCAAATAGACCGAGATAGACGATTCCATCGATTCCAGGATTTTTTCTGACTTGGTTGCGTCTCGGCCTTGAATTTTACGTACCTGTCTTTGGCGTCTTGGGGCTCCCTTTTTCTTCTTGCTCGCCTTGAATTTCGCTCAGGCCCCGCTCCGTCAAATGCCCACTGTGTACTGTCCGACCAGCGGCGACGTTCCTATAAATGATCCTCACCTCCTCCGGGAGATGATCCGCCGAAAACGGTTTCCAAATTTGTTGTGTTGACTGAGTTCGTTGTAGAAGTAATCAGCTGGATATGAATTTTAATCTCCAAGTGATTGCTTCGAAGGATACAAGAATTCACCGAATCGAATTGGTGCCGTGGTTTGTGATTAAATATACCGCAGGGAAATTTGTTTTTGGTAGACGCGTTAGGTCACCTAAGCTTTTTGCGGAGACATTCCGACATACGGTGGGGGAAGTTTGGTATGTATTTAATCTCGTTGAATGAAAATAAGATGGATGCTTCATGCATTTTCATGTGGGCTCAGATGTACTTCGTCCGGCTTATAATTAGTGGCCAGGGACGCATGGGGGAAATCAAATAGCGGGTGTAGCAAGGTGCAGCAGTACGAGAACGTTGACTGTGCGTGTGGTCGTCACAGTCACGTGCTACCAAATTGGGCCAAGTGACTGCAGCAACCATCATCCTCTTCTGCATCCTCCTACCCTTTACGTTTTTTTCTTGCAACGCCGCTAAATCTAGCTCCCATCCCGCCGTAGAGAAAGAAACAGAAAAGCAGAAGCGTCGGCCGTGATTGTGACAGTTGATCTTGGTTGCCACAGTTACGGTGGGAGTACATCGCAGTTTCAAGGGTATCAGGAATCAAGAATATTATCGAGGTGCGCCAGATAATTGTTTTCGGTGACGGAAGCAGTGACAGCAGCCTGCCAGGGCCACCAGACCTGTATTGATGTCTCTTTCCGGCCAGGCAAGCTCTCCTCATCACCGCCATCGTCAGTCCAAGATTACTGTCGAATATCACCGTCCTTCGAGGGAATCGATACAAGAATACAACGCTCTCCTTGCCGTTAGCAACCTACAGGCCTCGAGCAGCCCTTTTGTCCCTTCCAGAGCACCACCACCGCCGCCGCCGCCGAACAGGGCGCAACCAATCCGTCCCAGAACCTCGCTTCAAAAACAGAACTCGCGCACTCGAAAGCTCAGTCTGCCGAGCGAGCCGCCTACCGACATGGGTTATTCCACCACCACCGTGCCCCCGCCCCGTCCAAGCCGAGCCAACACTGCCAATTTAAACGACATTTTTGCCGCGGAGCCGATCCAGCCGCCCCTCGCCCGCCGTCTCTCTACGCCCGGCCCGCCTCCACCTCCTCGCGACGACTACTATGCCGAGCCTGCCGAAATACTGTCCCCAGCCCCGCAGAGCGAATTTGTTGCAGGCAGGGCACGCAGCGGCACCACCAGCAAACAGAAGAAGAGCGTCCTTGGCTTTATTTTCAACACCCAGAAGCGACCCGAGATTAGCACACCTTACGACCCTGTCCATCTTACCCACGTCGGCTTCAACTCTTCCACTGGAGAGTTCACTGGTCTCCCTAAGGAATGGCAGCAACTCCTTCAAGAGAGCGGCATCTCGCGCCTAGAGCAGGAAAAAAACCCTCAAGCAGTCATGGAGATTGTCAAGTTCTACCAAGAGGGTCATGGCGATGTCTGGGATAAGATGGGTGCAGTAGAGGCTGAAGAATATCAGGCCGCGGTAAGTTTTTTGTTTTTCTCCAAATCCATTGTCTTAATATTGTACAGCGTTCTCCGCCTATTCCCCCCAAAAAGTTGCAAACAGCAGTGGCGCCCAGCGCGTACCGTCCCGCCCCTACGCCTCCGACAACCGTAACGCCTACCCTTGACCGCTCCACATCGCAGAGGGCACCCAGCAACACGAACAAACAGTCCCCCTCGTCTTCAACAGTCCGCCGCTCCAATACCACCCGCGATAAGCGTTCCCCAGCCCCAGCCCCAGCCCCAACCAAACAACAACAACAACAACATCATCATCAACAGCAGCCCTCCCCGAAACCATCACCCGGATCCTCCCAGACAGATCTTCCGTTGAAACAACCAGGCCGGAGTCAGCAGCAGCAACAGCCCAGTCCCGCAGCCCAGAGTCTGGCGAAAGCTGCCGGTGTCGCTACTCCACGTCGAAGAGAGAAAAAGGTCGACAAGGCCAAGGAGGAGGACATTGTCAAACGCCTTCAACAGATCTGTACCGATGCCGATCCGACGAGGCTGTACCGGAACCTTGTCAAGATTGGACAGGGGGCTAGTGGGGGCGTGTACACTGCGTATCAGGTGGGCACAAACATGAGCGTCGCGATCAAACAAATGGATTTGGAGAAACAGCCCAAGAAGGATCTCATCATTAATGAGATCCTGGTCATGCGCAGCTCCCGTCACCCCAATATTGTCAACTATATTGACTCCTTCTTGCACAAGAATGACCTCTGGGTCGTAATGGAGTACATGGAAGGTGGCTCGCTAACGGACGTTGTCACTGCCAATTTAATGACCGAGGGCCAGATTGCAGCGGTCTCACGGGAAACGGCGCAGGGCTTGGAACATCTTCATCGGCATGGTGTGATCCACCGGGATATCAAGTCGGACAACGTGTTGTTGAGCATGGTCGGTGATATTAAGCTCACAGATTTTGGGTTCTGCGCGCAGATTAGCGATCCTGCGAGCGCGAAACGCACGACGATGGTGGGCACGCCGTATTGGATGGCTCCCGAAGTTGTTACAAGGAAGGAGTACGGTCCGAAGGTGGACATATGGAGTCTGGGGATCATGGCGATTGAAATGATCGAAGGGGAGCCTCCGTATCTGAACCAGAACCCGCTCAAGGCGCTCTATTTGATCGCGACGAACGGGACACCGACGATTCAGAACCCGGAGAATTTGAGTTCAGCCTTTAGTGATTATTTGGCGAAAACGTTGGAAGTCGACGCGGAGAAGAGGCCAAATGCGACGCAGTTACTACAGGTTCGTTTTTCGTTTTATTCGTTGATCGATTACTGAGTCTCCTCGTAGCATCCATTCTTCAAGCTTTCAGAACCTCTAAGGACGCTTGCGCCATTGATCAAGGCTGCCCGTGAAATGGCTAGCTCCAAGAATAAATGAATGACATTAAGATCCCACGTCTCCGTTTTTGCTTAACTCTCATCTTTTCCGATTATGCGTGGTCCTCGGCGCACCTAGACAAAAGCATTTATATCCGTCAATCTACTCGTCGTCCTATGTGTACCCCCACGAAGCTTGAAATTGTAATACGAACCGTTTTTCTTTACATTACACTTTCACTACCCTTTCCTCTCTTTCAGTATTATTAAAGTTGCCGTCGGATTTTTTTTTTTTTTTCAAGTTGTTAGTGTGCTATTTGATACATATATTGACTGGACCGTGCTCGTTTACATTGTGATGGAGAAAAAAGATGAATGCAGAAGCGATGCAGAGGAAATTATTATGTAGTGTATCGTAAACCTAACCCTTATAGCCATGGCTGCCAACCTGGAATGATTTCGTTAGTTGCAGTATTACGTGAAAAACCAAGTGGAAAAATGGACCGAACGCTTACCTGGAAACATCTGACTCAGATTCTCCGGGTCCTTCGCCTCCGTGACGAGCCCGCTGACAGTGGACGCCACGCTTAGCGTCTTTTCGAGCTTGCGCGCTACACCACTTAGGGCGCGATCCGCAGCCTCTTCTGCCCCGCCGCTACTCATATCAATCCCGATCCCCATCAAAGGCTTGTGCATTTGATCCGCCGTGATACTATTTCCATTTGGATTAGAATCGGTTGGCTGGGCCGCCTTCACCTTGTAGTCGCTCATCGTCCACGTATGCAGCGGATCATACCGGAATACCTCAAGGATGGTCATGATCACGTCGCTTCCTTCTCGGAGCACTCGCAGCGTTTCCTCGGCACATCGTTGGAAGACCCCGTCAGTTCCAGCGATGCCCATCCCATCGACCATGTCGGGTGTCATGCGGAACGGAACCCGCTCAGGGACGCGTAACAGCTTACCCTGGTCGAATGCAATGCCCAAATCGATGTGAACCACCGCACCAGAAGAGTTGTCCATAAGAATATTGGACGTATGCCGGTCCCCGAGCCCCAGGACGTGTCCAACGATGGAAGTCGTAGCAACACTCCGGGTGTAATTCAACCGCATTGTGAACCAGGCTGTTGGTGATTTGTGTCGTTCTGTAAAGTAGTGCCGCATGACAGGGAGATGACGAGCAACGATTTCGTTGAACTCTGCGAGGATCCCCTGAAGATCATTTTTTGCTTGTGCTTTCGACATCTGTGCCGCCGGACCTCCCTTACTCATCCTGGGTCCATACCGAGAATGAGCAGGAACCAACCAACTGCGCATGGGTGATGTGTTCAGGACAAATTCAAGGACACCAGCTTGGGTTGAAAGGGGAATCACTTTGTATGAACGCACATGGAGGCTTCGCCGTTTGGTCTCTCGATCGTGATTAAGCACGATGTTGACGAGATCGAACACTTGCTCCATAACAGCATCCTGGCGCAGGTCATCGTTGCCTTCACCTTTAAACTACTGAAATGTCAACAAAACTTGACTGTAAACTAGTCAGGGAAAGCGCACCAATTGCTTATATGGCCTCCCATGAGTGTCAAAACATGTTGTGATTTTGGGAAGGTTGATGCCCCCAGCAGTGTAGAAGACGGTTTCAAAATGATTAAACCAGGCACAATGTTCATACTTCATAGTAAGATCAATTGGAGTATGAGCAGTCATTATCGGGGCATCGAGATGTCTTCCATTCCTTGGACCAGCAAGTTTTAGGATTTTCAGTCCTTCCACGACAGGTAAGGGAAAGTGACCGTCCTTGTAGGGACTTTTTGCATACTGCGGATCATTCTTGATACCATAAGTGGCCCACCCCAACGACACGTCACAAAGGAGATTGACATCCTGCGTACGCTTCACGATGTTGGGCTGGCTTTTCGTCGTCAACTTCTTGAAAATTTCGATGGCAGCGGCTCTACGATCAGCCCAGATTTCTCTCTGAGATGAGGTGGTTTTCGTTGTGCCATCCGTTTCGGTGTTCAGGCAGAAAACTTGATACAGGCTATGAAACGGATGCTCGGTGCACATGCGCATCATCATGTCTTTCAGAGTTTGCTGACCCTGGGATTTGTCCTTGGCTGATAATCTTGCGGAGAGTTGATGCTAATACACTCGTCAGCAAAGCGACAAATCAAAGGACGGAAGAAACACACAGCCAAGAAGATGAACTTCCGCGAGGGAACTCGTCTAATGGCGGATGAAACAGCGGTTTGCAAATCCTCCTCGTCAAAGTTAGCAAGCCATAGGGAGCAAAGACGGATGGGAGCGTCATCGTCAAACCGATCAGACAAGACCAGGCAACTCGCATACATAGTAATGGCATGTTCAAGGAATGTGCCACGCTCGTGGAGAATTTGCCCGTAATACGCTGTGTCGTGTTCCAAGACTAACTTAGCCTTTTCCAGCTCTCGGAGCTCTGCACCACTCCTCAACCTCTGGGATGTGCGGTTCTCAATTTCCTGCTGCTTGCGCTGAACGTAAACTTTGAACCGGATACTGTCTGGTGACTTGACGATAGCCTGATACTGCTGTGCAGCAAAAATAGCACAAGCGTGATATACGGCAGCGCAAGAATCACTGTTTGTCCGATTCGCACACTTCGCGATAATTTCGGAGGCGGGAAGAAAGAAGTCCCTCCAAATGACAGATGGCTTTTCCAGGCATGCTTCCGCGGTCCACGTACCCTATATAATGTTCAGTGAGGTGAAAGATTTGTAAGAATTGGATAAACACACTAGACATGCATTCATAGCGGCTATCTTAGAAGCGTCTTGCAAGGGAGCAGATCGGCTATCTCGAAGACTCCTCAAGAGCTCCACGGCGCGCTTTTCTTCATTTTGTGCCCAAAGAACACAGGCGAGTTCCTCAGATACGTCAAAAGTAACGGGGTTCATCAACGTTTCTGCGTGAATGACGGAGTTTAAAGCAATCTGTACTTGCTGTTCGTTGCGAGCTGCCCGTGAGAGATGCAGGAGACATTGCTTTTCAACTTCCCGCAACGTCTGTATGAAATCAGACGTCATATCACCCATCTGTTGACGTTCCTCTCGTCGTCGAACTGAACGAACAATGGAGACTCTGGTTGCCATGATGCTTTCCACAAGCCGGAATCTGTATTTGCGTCATGAAACTCTTGAAGGAGAAACAGGAAAGGAAGCTTACTCTATACCAGGTTCAACCTTCGTGAATCGAGCCCATTCCTTCAGATCAGTGTTCTTTGACGACACTAATGTCGGGAAAGGCTCGTACGTCGATTGCGAAATTTGATAAAGGCATACTAGATTCTGGATCACTTCTCGAATCTGAGTAACATTCTCTGAACCTAAATTCCGTAGTCTTTCCATTTCTCGGAAGATTGAATCGCGAACAATGACATGTCCGACTTCCTCATTCCTTTGGACATGGATAGCACGTAAAGCAAAGTAGAGTGCCGCGTCGGAGTTCTGGTCTTGTTCTCGTTCCGGTAAATCCCATGTTTCCGTCCTCCAGCCTAATTTATAGTTCATGCAAGTGGACTTATCCCCAAAGAAATTCTGGGAGGTCTTGTTTGCAAGATGATTGAAACCAAATGAATGAATGGATTGGAGTAAGCCCTCCATATCTCGCGGGTCTTTGCTCCCAGCCTCTAGAGCGGCGCCGTGGAAACGAAATGCCTTGTCCCACTGATTCTCGTGGTGAAAACGATTGATCAGAAATTCTCGAAGATCTAGAGGCTTGATCCCATAGAATCCGTCGGGTTCATCGATGTTACTGTAGATGTTGTACATTATCTGTTCGACCGATGGATCTTTGGCGAGATTTCGGCTCCCGTTCTCGGCAGCAAGCTCCAAAAAGAGGAGAGCAGTGGTATACGAACCGCATGTGATTGCGTTCCGTGCCAGAAGAACAAAGTCGATGGCGAGCCATTTATTATAAGCAAGAAGGTCGCTCGATGGCTGAGGAGGTGGAATCTGGCGTAGATGAAGAACAATATCGATGATGGATCGCACACATGGCATTGCTGCGTGTTCGAAGCGAAGAACCGATTCGAAGTAACGAGAAAGAGTTTCGCAGTACTTCTGACGATCTGACCCCTGCAAGAGATATTGCACGAGTATTGGTAACATGTCCTCAGCAAAGAGGAGATCTGACTGGAGAACAGGGCTGATTTGGGCAAAGTAGGCATTTTTACTGGCCGAAAGGTCGCTGAGGAGTGTGCAGATAGGGCCTATCCATGAGACAAAATCTTTAGAAGATTCTAGATAAGCCTCCGAAGAGAGTTCGTTTATGTCAGCGGTGGGTCGGGATATCGGATCGAAAGAAAAATCTTGGAGATAGCCAACTTCTTCCACATATCCTTTATCCTGCGCAGAAAATTCTGCGACGCCAGCAATAGCTCGCAGAGTGTGGTATGCGGCATGGCGGCGAGAAACATCACTTCCTTCAAGCAATGTCAGGAGGGAAGAGATAATGACAACAAAAGGATCCGCCCGGGATGCTTCCCGCTTCCTTCCTGAAGTAAGATCACTTCCAAACCCACGGATGAGCCCCTTGTTCCATATGAGTAGGTTAGCGAAAGCATCGACATCCAGACGATTCAGGCGATCAGACTTTGGAATGCTTTCCTTCAATCGCCAGAAATCTGTGTTTGCAAATTGGCCTTCATCGTACCCATTTTGATTCGCGCGATCGCTAAGCGCAACTACAAGCCTGAATTTGTTCGACGTTATGGCATTGTCGTTGAGGGTATGTGATACTGATAAAGCACCAGTCGCGGTGTAAAGTTCTCCGAGGTCTCCTGAGGGCTTTTCGGACCATGCTGGAAGGGCAAGCAGCACTTGATGCTCCAACTGGGCGACCCGAAACACCATGAGAGCCTGTTCATCAATCCATTGACAAAGATCATGTCCCAATTCCTTGGTGGAAGGCTCGGCAGCTAAAGAATAATCGTACGCGAGACGGCTGACTCGGATTAGAATGTCAGGGAAGCGGCGATTAGTCCGCACCTGCTGACGATACATCATGAAGCACCAATTGAGAATAGATTGAGCACCACGAGCAAGATCCAAATGGCACATCAGGGATATGGCTCCACGCATCAGGACATGTAAAAGTGTTGCGTTGTCAAACGCCTCATGCAGATACGCAACCCACACACAAATACTATTCATGAGGCGAACTTGTTCGTTTACCAGAAATGACTTTTCAATGCCAGCGAAAAGGTCTTGAAGGACGTGGTACGTCAGGGCCTTTTCATGTTCCTTCCATGGGGCGGTGCCTCGAAGCCATTCCAGACAATGCAAGATGGTGGAAATTGTATAGCATGGCAGAGTGGGCTGATGCGTGATGAAATTCTCCACCCTGCGATATTCTACCAGCGCGATGAAGGTCTGTACCCGCTTGCCCTTCTTAACGTCAATATTGTGAAGACCAGTAGCAATGGCCCCAACGGATGAAACATCATAGTCGAGTATGGTACGGAGGATCGCTGAAACAACAGCGTCCAGCTTGGAAGCAAGGAGAACATGAAAAGCAGATACGCTCTCGACTCTCATCCTTTGCAACAGCAAAGAATCGAGAATATCTTCATCCGGATTTGACGTAGGAGGCTTCAACAACAAGTGTTGACCAACGATATCACCAAAACAATCTCGTATGCCAGCGGCAATAGGTTTTTGGATCACTTTACAATGATTCTCGAACTGTCGTTGTCCGAGAATTGCAGTGGCAGGGTCTCCGGCAGTCTCCGCTAATACATTGGAAGGAGTAAAAAGGGGAAAGGTAGCGAGCGCGCACTCTTTGCGGTTCTTGTACCCCAATATGTGCGGAGGAAATTTGAGGCCATCTTTCTTCGCAACGATGATAGAATATGCCAGCGAAGATGCGTAAGCTTCGAAGAGCTGAAAGGACGAGACTAATCCGAGTCTCTGCGTAACGCTACGCAAGATAGCCTCGATATGTGAAGTGTATGTGTCCTCAAATAACGTGGGTTCTATGAGATGCCAATATGACAACCGTCGTGCAGCCGAGCTGACGATGATGATATTCGCCAGGGATAGCATCCGGGTAAGAATGCCTTCATAGCTGATGCGACATTGAGCACCTTAACAAAGACTGAAGGAAGAGTGGAGTCCACGTACTCATCAAGATTGACTGCATAACGACTTTTAATATCGGCATACACTACGTTTGGATCTCTCTCCGTTTTCTGGGCAAATGAAAACAGGTGCGCATTGGCAACTGCCGCTCGAAAACGGACACGTATATCAAAATCCCCAACCATGAGTGGTAAGAGAGTGGCCGGAGAAATAACAAAATTGTTGGGCTCGTCTTCCTCCACTTCGAAGAATGGCCATCCAGAGAGGGAGTGGTTCTCCACCACAAACCTATCGTACAATCGTACGAGTATCTCACGCACTTTCCAAGACTTGATAGTGCCTGTCTTCAACGCTTGAGCCATTTCTGATAGGAGTCGTACACCATGCTCGCTACCGGGTCCATCAGCTTCATTGATAGGAATCCAGATAAGAAGAATCGATTCCAAAAAATGACCAATGAGCGACTGATATTTCTCGTTTCTTGCGTACGGATACTTGTTAGATAGATCGATGATGCCAGCCAAGAACTTCTGAAGCGCATCGACCCCGAGATAAAGAGTCTTGCATCGAAACTTCTCGCCAAGAACCGAACAAAGCAAAATGAATCGGTCGGAATGGTCTTCTTGGCAACTGAGCACTATGTCCAACAGTTCATTGTCACGAGTAGGCTCTCCCGATAACGACTGAAGGATAGGAACGGTTGCCAAAAAAGACATACAGGTGTCGGCGATCAGACGAACATTGGTGATGTCATCCCAATCAGACAGCTGCCTTGAACCGGTCCTGACAGGGCCAAAGTCAACGTCCATGACATCGTCCTGTAATTGGTGTCCAGCCAGGATACGCAACATGTCAAGCATTGTGGTTTTAACGACTTGTAGATGATCAGGCTATCATGAAAGACTGTCAGTACCCTTCATATTGGTCACAAAATGCTACGCACTTCAAGAGTACGCCAGATGATTCTTTGAAAGTCCATCCTGCTGGAGCGTTTCTGGTCGAAATACTGCTGTGGGTCTGACACCAAATCCTGCAGCACCCGAGCCCTGATTCCTGAATTAATGTCCGGAGGCAAGAGATCAACAAAAGGAATGTCGTTGGCACGCGGCCCCCCTGTGGATATCAGAGGTTCCAAAGCCTGAATGACAACCGCCTTTTCTGCCGTCGTCCATGGGGTCTCCCGTAACAAGGGCAGAAGTAGGGCGACGACCTTCCCTGCTTGCTTCACTGTGAGGATGTCCAACTTCATGCCATTATGGACGAGGGAACATTGAAAGCAGAGCGCTATGACCGCAAAATCCAAACAAATCCGGACACCTGTAGCAGAGTGAGGCCGCTTCGCTTCTGTCCGGGCCTTCCACTTCTGGTGTACATGCTCCAGTATTTCTAACATGAATTGGGATAAGCGTCGTTGTCGATGACCCATGTCTAAAAGTGCAGTCTCCTGCGGGAGAACTTCCGAGATGTAGGTAGGAGAAACCTTCATCCCCTCATTAGAGGGGACGAACTGCGGCAACTTGGCATCCAGCAGAAAATCTCGAATGACCTGCGTCCGTTTCTCCTGCTCGACTACCTGAACAAGCTCAGAAACCGGAAGCAGCGTCCTGCATACGACTTCTGTTCGTCTTGAAAATCCACAGACAGTCTCTAGCAGATGCATCAGATCCTTAGCCATGTAGGACGGTATCTCTCCGTCAACTATGCGCCCTAACTTCCAGCACCCTACCAGCCAAGTCAACACCTTGTCCTCAAGTTGCATACGGTACAACCGGACGTCTTGGCTCGCCATGGTCAAACAACGGGAGAGGAATAAGCATACCGAGTCATAGGGATAGTTAGGGCCCTGGACTTCGAGATCTTTGGTAAGCATCTCGATATCTGCCAGGATTTGTGGAGCATGGAGAGGTGGGTGGGTGAATTTGTGAGTATGAGAGTCAACGTGCAGTAATAGCGCTCTAGCAGCATGACAGGCGGCTCTGCACACCCCTGAGGTTGTCGCACGCCGCATGGCATTCGTCCATATTGTCTCCCAAACTCCCTGATCGCAAATCAATGGGCGATCAGTAGATGGGCCTCCCGACGTCGGAAACCGACTCTCCAGACGATCAGCATGAGCTATACCGGCAATGCACAAAAATGCCCATGACTGAACCGTACTGTCGTCCACCTGAAGAGTTCCCAACAACAGTGTGATCAACTGCCTCTGGAGATCGCCATGTAAAAGAGACCAGTGGTAGTCGATGATGAACAGAAGTCGTTGAAAGGCAGGAATGCGATTGAGCCCTACATCATCTAGAATTTCGCTCATCGGGTCGCGCTCATCTCCTTCCTGGTTCAATCGAGACCGCTTCTTTCGACTGCGATCGACTGAAACCATAGATTCACGAAGCAAATAAAGCTAGAATTCATTGATGCATCAGATGCAATCCGCCAAAAGCTTCCGAACTTACTTTCACTACAGCATCGGCCTGGAGCTTTAGTGCCGCCCAAAGAAACGCTTGCACACGACCAAACTTTTGGCTAACACGAAATGACCGCGCCCCAAAAGCCGCATTTTTCTCCTCTTCATCGTCATCTTCGGATAGCGAGTCATTGAAGCCCAGCCTCAATGATTCGATTGAGAGCTCGCCCCATTTGCAACCAGGAGCGTCTTTCATCCTATCTAGCGTATTCCACAGGTCACCTGTCCAAGCATAAGTGTCATCTGGGTCTGTGGCAGTCATGAAGGGATATAAGACGTGAAGAACGGAAATGAGATCCGGTAACATATTGCTCTCCTTCACAGCCCAAACGGAAGAGACCGTCAAGTGTGCCCACGCCTTTCGAGCAAACTCTATGGTAGCATCCCGGCGGTTTAACGCAATATGAGAGAGCGTTGCCAAGAGAAGTTTGAGGTAGTCTGAGCTAGGCTTAGAGTACAGCTCGAGGTATCGGTACAATCGGTCAAGGATAGATGCAGCAACCAGAGGCGTGTCGGGATTAAGGATGTAATCGTTTGCCGAGGGGATACGCATAAGTGAGACGAGAAGTTCACCGCACTGTGTCTGTTCCGGGGAAGCAGACACAACACGACGGCTATTCTGCAATTTTCGCCTCCTGGAGGATGACTGGGTGTTTGGATCGTTTTCTTGTGATGCGTCGTCGCTGAATTTATATGTGAGAGAGTCCCCAAGAAGGATGTTGAATGCTCTTTCCACCAACGACGTCCACTTGTCTCGAGGGAGGTGGTCTGCATGAGGACTGTGCTTTGCCAAACAGGTCAGAATTTTGAGGAACGACAAGGCGACACTCGGAATAAGGTCTCCTTGGTTTCTCATGCTCTTCATTGAGCCGTCAATAATCGTCTTGACAGTCTTGGATAAGAATTGAGTGTAGGCATGGTCGACAGTCGTTCGTATCACGTCCGCCACTGATTCCATCCTCTTCCCCGGCGCTGCCGCTTCCTTTTTATCAGCGTACGCCTTTTCCTTATAAAAGCAAAGGAAAAGGGACTCAAAGGTCTGGCGCCATAGCTGTTCGTCTACAAACCGCACAACGTTAGGCTGCACGAGGAGGTCCTTGAGGTTTGAAACAGCGGCCATGCGTGTTCGGAGTGCATCGCTCTCGACATCTCGAAGATGGCGCCGAATTGTGTCTACGTTGCTCATTGCCGCCGCCGTAGAAGGGGTGAGAAGAGAGAGGGTAGCATGAGTTTGCCACTGGATGCAAGTGAAAGAATTGCATCCGAGTCTCGAGACGCGTTTTCGATACTTCGGCCCGCATTCCGAGCGACAGCGTAAAAAGTTTCGAGGTCCCACGAGAAGTTGTGAAATTCTTGACTCTCGAGATTTTATATTGCTCGGCGAACTTTCCGAAGAGGACGAGTGCTTGACTGAACTTGAAGCACAGAAACAATATAAATTGTTGCGGACTCATGGACCACTATACTAACAGAAAATGCTTTACCGAAATACTACCAACCGCGGTGAACCAACAGATAGCTAGAACACTAAATATGAGAAGGACACTACAGAAACATGGAGTGTCTAGGATACCTGAATGAGTTTAATTACCATAACCATGGCCGCGACCATCTGAGAACCTAGCATCTGAGCCCTTGTTGCAAAGTATCCTCATTTTTAGTCACCAAGTAAATATTCTAGCGGGGAAGAGGTGTCAGTGACAGAACCACATAAAACAAAGATCCCTACAACAGGCGAAGCCGCCCAGATATCCGGCAATTGGCTGGTTAGCTCGAAATCACACACGAGTTCATTAGTCTGACCAGGCCAGCATTATGTCCGGTTTCGAACCGTCCGAATTAATCCAATGTACTAGGTGGAGGAATTAATAACTCAATCCTATATTCAGAAGCATGGGATTCCCGAGGAGCATTTACCATTCAACTCCTTTGACGTGGGATGTATTGACCATATCGCAGATTGGGCAAAAATATGAGGGTCAGACGGTGGGACCCAATTAGGGAGCGCTGTGAATGCTTGAGATAAATGTCCAGCTGGAGATGGAATGTCATGGAATACTCTGGTTCACATTTATGAGTCCCGCTGTACTGTGACAGCATGAGGATCTAATTATCGTATGAATTTCGGATCGTCTCACCTTTGAGTACCATGGGCTAACTGCGACCCTTTAATTCCAAGAAAGAGAGGTTCAGGGAATCCTAGTTCTATACTCTAGTAAGCCATATAATGCATAATACAGGGTGGACTGCGCACAGTAATAACCACGTCAAAGGGACCATTTCCAGACATAGTTGCTCTTATCTTGACGAGGAGATCATTCTCAGGACGAACTAAATTGATGCACGACCTGCAGAGCAAAGAGTGGACAATGGATGTAGGACGGTTACGTATCTCACATTGAAGAATCGACGGTCCCAATAGGCCTCCAATTTTCATTGCGAACTTGAAGACGGCAAGTGTAAGTGACGAAAGGGACGGCTGACGGGGACGTGCTACGTTTTGTACGTCAGAAACAGTGCGTGACCCGCGAACTAGATATTTTTGTGGGAAAGGAGGAAGCCCGTGAGCCACACGCTTCCCACTTGTCTCCGAAGATGCCGGCGAGTCGCGACAAACCAGAGGCGAAGAATATTAAAACGACGAACGGTAGCCTAGTCATGACCGTGGATATGGGATGAAGACGCAAGGCGGATTCAGGTCCCATATAATGTATGATACAAAAAACCGGTAAGGAAAGTCTATAATCGACTCGGGAGTTAACGTTTAGAATAACACGCCAATGTACAATTTCGTACACGTATTCCAAAGTCTTCCGCATGCACTCATCACGAAGGGTGAGCCCACAGCGGAGTCAGAGTTTCTGTTGCAATGTCAGCAGTCTTTCCGCTAAAGTTTACTCTAGGTAAAAAGGAATAACGTACTGATAAGTCAACGTTGTGAGTTGTAGGCAGTAAATGCGGCCCGGAGACCCGAACACCGTAACGTCGACGGCCCGGTGACAGCCCAAGTTTTTGAGCAAACTTGTTGCAAAGATCATCTGCGCGGCTCACACAGTTGACACCGGCCCGATGAAACTCAAAGGTATTTAAGTCATGCCAACTTGAAATCAACATCACCTACCCCTCAGTCTTCGAACACGATGACATTTGAACGGACAGAAAGTAAGCTGATCCTTCGTCACACAAAGGTGCACGATACCTTCACTACAGCTTCTAACGTACACCGAGGCTTCTTTTCCAGGGCCCAACAGTTGAGATTCTTTGGTATGGAGCAACTATTCTTTCATGGAAGTCTGGGTCCAAATCGAATCCAGCGCTTTCCGAGCGCATCTTCGTATCATCGAAATCACCTCTCGACGGCTCAGAGCCCGTCAGAGGCGGTATTCCACTCGTCTTCCCTTGCTTCGCGTATCCAACCCATCCCGACCATCAGAAACTTGGTATACACGGATTCGCCCGGAACGAATACTGGAAATGGGATGGGAATATCACTGACAACGATTATGAGATATCCGTCAAACTCGGTAGACACTTATTTTCCACTTGAGAGCTCTGTTCTCCCTGACATTGGGTCGTGCAGCCCTCGATCCTGTCCCCAGCATCTGGGCCGTCTACGACAAGTCCTTCCATCTCGACTACGTTGTCACGCTTTCCGAATACACCCTCAAGACCGACTTGCACGTCACTAACACATCTGCCGCACCGTTTGAATTCCAGGCGCTTTTCCACACCTATCACGTTTGTCCTACGAAAGACGTGCGAATCAAACCGCTCAAGGGTCTAACCTATTACGATAAGACTGAGCTCATAGATGGCAAGCCGACAAAGAGGATCGAGGACAGGGACACAGTCGACGTAACCAGCTGGACTGACTCTGTCTATGAGAGCACTTCCGGGACATATGAAATCAGATGGCCGGGCGGCGGCGTCGATGTCACTACCAGTAACATGGACGACCTTGTCATATGGAACCCTCAAGCAATCGCTGGTCGGAAAATTGCTGCAATGGAGGAAGGCGGGTGGTAGGTGTCGTATTACAAATTGATCGTCAAGGCCTGAGTCTTTGCAGGGACAACTTCGTTTGTGTAGAACCAGGTCTTGCGCTGGCATTTGAAACTCTTCAACCAGGGAAAAGCTGGGTTGGGAAACAAGAAATTACCGTAAGATGAGGCCCTTTGAAGAGAAGGGAATTTGCTTACAATTCAATGGCACTTGCAAGAAAGGAAATGAGATCATAAAGCTAAGCTACCAATGCTATTTCCAACCAAGCCTTCGTCTGCTCTGGTGTTAAGTCGACGATGAGATGACAGGCTTCACTGTGACTTGCTTCACAATGGCTTGCTAAATCGTGGAGGGATACGTCAAGATCGAACACTGCCTGATCTCTGAAGTCGCAATTAGTGTCTGACGATGTGATTGAAAGGAAAACACAGGTAACGCACTCTTGGCAGAGACGACAAACCATTACCTCGTTCATCTGGAATATGGCATGAATGTGATGGGTTTTGAAACGCAAGGTACCATAAACTATCCGGAATGTATTGAGCTTGAGAAGGAAGAAGAGTAAATATAGATTACCAGTAGCATCATCCGAAAAGTCAACTTGATATTGCGCAGGAAGTAGCGGTACAGTTTCACTTGTTTCAAACTCTGGGTACTGAAGCTCGGGTATAGGGATACTATCGTCACCCATAGGCATGTCTTCCTGTACGGAGGCATCACCCAAGGGGGACAGGGTAAGTGGGGGAAGCGACAGCGCCACTGGCGAAATCCTCGCAGAAGGCGACGGTGCTGCCAGTGACACTCTTGGTGGAGGAGATGGCGCGGCCGGAAATATCCTTGGGGAAGGAGATGGCGCGATGAAAGATTTCCTCTGAGGCGACGGTGCGGTAGTGGGGACAGATACGTCACCGTCATCACTGAGAGTTAAATCGATGACAACGGCCGGTGGTTTCTCGGGTTCCGGGACCGTCCTCTCTACTGGACACTGGTTAGTAACCACCCTGGATGCAGATGCAGATTCCTGGAAAGAAGTCAGTTAACCGGAACACCAGATACGTATTCGCACGCTTACCTTGCTTGGACTAGCGACGGAAGAGGGACGACGCGAAGTCTTGACAACTTTTGGGAGTCGAGAGCGAGCCTCACCCCGCACTGGCATCCTGGCCAATGACGATGAAGCTGAGGACGTTTTTAGATGCGTCGAAGCTTCGGAGACAAGCGATTGCACACGTTTTCTTTTCTGTGTCGCTGAAGACACAGGAGATTTGGAGATGAGACGTCCACGCTGCGGCCCGCTTGAAGATAGTGCGGCCGGACGGGAGGGACCAGCTTTAGCAATTTTGGGCCGGAGTGAGCCACCTATAATCTGGCGCTGAGACTCGGGTAGAGCCTTGGTTAAAGGCGAAGACATGCCTGGTTGATGGGAAGCAGGGACAAAAGGCCTCAGACTCGACGAAGACGACGCGTTGGTTCTCGACTTTTGCGGCGAGACAGATCTATTGATCTTTGTCCTGAGATCAATGTAGGGAGGTTCGGCATTTGGAGTGGGCGGAGGTACTGGTAGAGCAGTGGGAATGGATGATGTGAAGGACATAGGTGAGTCTGTGACCAGAGGAGGAGATTTGGTGAGAGGCATAGTCGAAAGAGTACGATACATCGGAGAGATACTTGTATCCTGGCCATGGGGCATGGGAGACTCGGTGACGAAGATAGGGAGCATGGGACCCGACTCGCCATCAGCATCGGGAGAGTTAAAGCTTGCCACCCAATTATTCAGTGCCGGCGAAGGGTGGGAGGCCGTACCTATCGATACACGTCGCGTTTCTCTCAAAACGCTCTGCACCATAGCAGGGCCAACTGAAGGAGGAGCCTGAGGAACAGAGATGGCTGGTTGTCTCTGAACTCTTTCTGCTTGAAAAGGCCTTCCTGTGACTTTGTTCTTTTCATCTGCTTTTATTTGTTCAGTGAGGATATTATTCTCTGTATCTAGGAAATATGAGTATGTATGTGAATAAACTTGAATGAAAAAAGAAAATACATACCCGACTGTCTCCTCTTCTCTATGACTTGGAAACTTATCCAGCCCCGCTTCCCGGTCGTAGCCCAAAGAACAAGGTTTGGATACCTTGGATGTCGAAGGAAATCTGAACTTTTCCTTTTCTGTGGTCCATTCCAGCGCTCCCATTTCGTTGTGAAGCCGTACAGGACATGGTGTTTAGATGTTTTGTCAACATAGATGTCTCCTGGACTACCCAGGCCGATGGGAGGGGGACCGAAAGCGCAGAACTCGATATATCTATCACGCGTTCCTGAGATGACTTTGTCGAATGCCATGCCAGAGATATGCTCGATGCCTCCAGTTGTTAACCTGGAGCCCGCCGCACTCAGGCTCGAGGACGCGCCAGAAGCCATTGCTATATTCTGTGCCGTGTGTCGTAGACACGTGTTATGGATGGATCGGTTAGATAGATGTCATGAAGCAAAGGCAGAGGGGACGTAGAGGAAGGTCGTCTTTCAGTAAAAGACAAAGAGTCACGGTTTAGCGGGGCTGGCCTGTTTACCTGTTAAGCGTGGACCGTTGTGACAAAAGCCATCAAAATGGAATCGTGGGAATTCCATCCAGAACCTGCGTGTACAAAGAAAAATAACGACACCCCTGTAAAAATCACAACCCTCTCCGAAAGCTTACTCTTTCGTTCTACCTATATTATATATTCTCTACACACTAACCACATGAATAAAGCGCGAGACCTTACGGCAGATCATGAGTATATAAACGTTATTCTTGGCTTGACCTGAATTTTAAGTTAATTGCAAAGGAAAGGGCCATGAAAGAAAGCACTGACCATCTAATTAATCTCACAGGATTGTGCTTTAAATGTTCTGGATCGCTGATTCGTACTGAAGTCACGGTACTGTCGTAGAAATGTGTCGTCCGACATCGTCATTGGTATATATATATACATATTGTGCAACAAGTAGCTTCAACATTATGTGATATTCTAGTAGTCGAAAGCTTGGAGAGCCTGTCAGTCGCTCTACTAGATAATCGCGACAGATCAGCTGAGTTACTTTTGGTGGAGAAGGTTCTCGAGCTTCATAGACGACAAAAAAAGTATCACATTCTTTTCCTGGGTTTATTAAGTAAATTTATCTCCGGCCAAACAATGACGATCTTTCAAAAAATTATCCGCACTGTATGTGTGTGTGGTGGCATCGAACGCATTTTATACGAAAACGTCGGCTTCCTTCAACCGAGACCCGGCATTATGTAATAGTTGGTCTCATGTCTCATTGGGCACGTCGATCCAAGAATCCGTTGTAAGTAGTATAGGAACGTGCCCTCGGGCGGGGAGGAAAGGTGAATTTGATGGAGGTTCCAGCGAAAAGAGGATGTAATCCTACACGTTCATAGCATGATCGACTGAAGCATCAAAACAAAATCGAAACTACCTTGACTGAGACGCCAGAGGCCGTAAAGCCCCCTACTTTGACGGTGGGTTTACATTTGACTTCACCTCCCCAATCAATGCTTTTTTCTTCGTCGTGATCACAATGGGACGGCGGAGGAGGGATGGGCCGCATAGCCCCTACTCCGATTTGTTGATTTTGCCATGACTTTCGACCCTGGATTTTGACGACGACTTGTCGGTGCATAGTGACAGAAATTGAAGTTTCGTATTCGGTGGATCGTTGGGGAAAGAGCATCAAGAGGGAGAAAAGCGGACCACTGAGTTGGATGTGGAAAGGGATCACATCAGAGAAAGAAAATGCCTGGACAGATGGTACGAAGAACTATGGCAATGACCATGATGAGCATAAAGTGAGTAGATGGGAAGTTTTCCTCACATTACATTGAATGGGGAGAACGTTATAATTGCCCTTGGCTTTAACGGTGACCATGACCTGGTACCATTCTTCAGGGCAAGACTTGATGCTGGAAAGTAGGGGGACATATAAGGGAGGTCGCTCAGGTCGCGTTCTGGGGTAGTAAGTTATAGGTACACGCATACTGAGAGATGCATAAGACATAGACTAGTACGTGTAAACTTGCGACTTACCTTGATACCTTTTCAAACCCAAGCATTATTGGACGACGTACAGCGGTGGTGGAAGCAATGAGTGTATAGATCGAGGTTACTACCGAGCCGGGAATAGCAGTGAAGGCAGTCTGGAAGGTGGGTGGCAATGGGTAGCTGCTTCCACCATCCTCAAATGCCAGCGGGAGGCAGAAGGAGAACGGCAGGGAACTCGGGCATGACTCGATCTCCGTTCGGGAGCAATTCCACAGGATATATGTTTCACTGACGGTCGTAACTGTCCTTGAACCACACTCAGAACTCATGAAATGTAGGCGTCCTTCAAGCTTTGGAGAAAAGGTGTCAGAACAGGAGGGATAGAGCCAGAGAAAGCTGAATAGAAAGAGAAAATGATAAAACACTTTACTTGTATTTTGACCTCGAATATGTCCTCTGATGAGCTGAGAAGTATGGCTCCGGTGATGTTAGCCATTCGGCCATATACTGGAGATGAGATACCATCCTCTTGTTGTGTTAGTAGGACGGTAAGACTTCCACGATTCCTGATGAAACTACCGTCTGAAATGCGCCCTGCCCGGTGAGGTGTATGCTCGATAGACCTTTCCCCATCTGTTGGGTCTATACAATAATGGGGAGGAGGGGTATTCGTGCTGTAGTTCGGAGGGGAAGCTGAGATACGCGGAACATCTGAGGGGGGTGACATCGGTATGTGGGAAAACCAAGTTAAAACTTCAAGTAACCGTAGTTCACTGTGAGTCACTCGGGCATTTTCAACAATCGATCAAAACATTCCCGAATGGTGACATGCTCGGAGAGCTTCGGACTTACGGTCTCGTGGTCAACTGGAAATTTCCTAGTCTTGCACCAGGAATGACAAAGGATCCAGCAAGGCTGGCACTTGCCCGGCCTGAAGGAGTCCAAACATGGTTTTAGGACCGGAGAAATATTATTCAGGTGCGGATAGGACTACTTACTGACATGTGGTTAATTTTGATTCGAGTCATCGTGACACAGAAAGAAATGGGGTCCTTTCAGGTCAAATCTGGCAAGGGCGCGCGAGTCTGAAATGGACTGTAAGCTGAAAGAACATTTAGGTATTATTTAACGTATCTCAGGATCTCAAGGGCTGTCCTGATAGGACGCGTGACACGAGCGAATAAATACGCGCGTTCAAAGGATATTTTTAATATCGAGAAGTTGTCGTTGACAAAAACTTGGTAATTTGCGCGGGTGGTGATTAACCCAACACTGACTAAGTTAAAAGAGAACGAGCCGACAGAGATGTTGAAGGGTTGGCACTTTTATTAGCATATTCGAATGAATAATAAACACCAAGGAAGTGTGTTCGACTTTGTTTACTGGTACAACTTTGAAGAGCGGCGAATTGTGCTAAACGTTGGATGTTAGCATGTATTATTTAGGAGAAGAAGGTAACTAAACGTACGTCATTAAAGTTAAGATTGACGAGTTTCGCATCAACGACGGCGTTGCACGGTCCGACCTTCTGGACGCCGAAGCTGCAGCTCTTGATATATTTTACACAGTGAATGCTTATTATATCAAAAAGAACTGGAGCTCGAGAGGGACACTTTGAACCTGTAAGCGAACGAAAGAACGTTTAACTTCCAGAGGTGAAGAAATACATGGCGGTAGAAAGTGCGGGGAAGTGCTGGTAAATTACGACGTCGACGACGCGCCCAGCTGCAACTCGTTGCGAATATAAGTTTATCATGCTTTTTTGAAAAGTGGGGTCCAAAATATACCTGAAGGCTGCTTGCCGTGGTTGTGGTAAACAGGAGGTTGCCGCACGTGCGACTCACCGTAATTGCCGCGGCGGTACGTCTCATAGTACGACAAATTCAGGCCGTACACCACGATATCCGCTAATTATTCTTTGTCGTCCACGATTGTCTGATTTCTACTGTAATTCCATGGCGAACATTGGCAGCGTCTTTCTTGGTGATTCGAAGAGGATTCGTGTACTGTCGTCCTCTAGTACTCCGCCATCATCACCGCCTTTGTCAGGTTCCTCGATGTCGGCCATTCTGGCCGGAATATCATCCCCTACGCAGTCGCCGCCACCTGTGGCCACGTCACCCAAGTCCTCACCTGCAGCTAAGGAGCCTCGTATTGATCCAGAACTTTCGCTAGAGTTGCGCCTACGATGGCTGGAAGCAATCGTGTTTGGGGTGAAGCACGACCGAAAGGGCAAGGAGAAGGAGAGGGTACACGGTGACCAGACGCTCATCCGAGCCGCAGAGACCCTGCAGCACACACTGGACACCATTGTCGAGAACAACGATGGGCTCAAACGATTCATGAGCCGCTGTATGTTCCTTTTTACTACATGATTCTTGAGGCTCATTTGTCGTCAACAGATGAACAACATGCCCATCTCCTGACGCCTTCCTTCGCGCTTGCTGGACTACTTCCAGACGCACCGCCATATCAGAATATGTCACAAGAAGAACTGGATGCCTTTGTCGGAGAAATGGAAAATGATATACGTTCCGCCGACCGTGATATGCAGGAGATCGACGCGTTGCAGAAGAAGGGAGTTACAGGTGCAGGAAAGCTGGCAGGTATATTTCTCTAACACGACTAACACGACTATACTCGTATCCTCATATTGTGTCCCAAGACTACGAGCAGCTGCAACCCCGCCTTGACGCTCTTCGCAAGTCTTATGACGAGAACATCGAGCGTGCCGCACGACTTGAAAGGCGTATTGCTGCTATACTGGAACGACATTCTACTCAGGCATGTCTTGACTTCCCTTTGTCTTCCACAAAATCTTACTGCCGGCAGGTTGACGCACTGTCGGAGCTGTTTGTGGCGTGGGACGACACTCTCACTGACGCCGAACACAAGATCACTAAGTTAGAGCGAGAACGTGCCGAGCGAAGGCGGATGGGCCTCCAGTAGCTTTGTTGCATATTACAGCTTATTTACACAAATACAAAACTCAGCAAGGAAGGAAGATTCAATGACAAATAGACAAGAGGTAAAGATATACACAACGCTAGAAGCCACTTAGATTGGAAAGATTGAGGTGCTGGTTGTGGAACCTTATCGTCTGAAGTTATAGACAAGGGGTCTTTTTGATCATCAAGGAACATATATATGTGCTCTTCGCTATTGCATATTGTTTCTTCGCCTCATCCCAGTGGTCCTACCTTGCAGAACAAGAACTGGCGCTGTAGGCTTCGAGCGATATCCGGAACTAGGGAATCAAGAGGTAGAGGAGTATCAGTATCGTCATGTTCTTCCTCGATACACGCTCGTAACGCAATCTAGAGACCATATTCTTAATATCGACCCGAACAGAAGGAGAAGACTTACTAGGAGATCTTCTCCATTAAGAGACGACGGATATGAAACGCCATTTCTCACGTTAATATCCTTTATGATTCTTGTTTGGAGACATAGGGCAGCTTTCGATAGCAAGGACATATCACAGTACAGTTGCTCGTCAAGTGCTGCCTCAAAATCCCAAATCCCGGCTGCCTCGCCTATTCCTCTTCCATAGCCAAAGATTCTAGGGAAGCTCGAAGGGCAAAGTGCTTGACTCTTTTGTGGAGATATCCGTAACCGAGAATCAAAAGAGGATAGATCCAAGTCACCCCTTGAAGCTGACTCGGCTGACGATATGGTAGACTCGTCATCCCTATATTTATTGTCAAACAGATCAGTAGCTGGAGACGATGCATCTGATTCTGGCTCATAGTAGTCCAGATCCTCTAAAGAGGTTGCAGGACTTGCTACCGTCGGTGACGATACGGAATTTGATTCGAAGTTAGGATGGGACAATAGGGCCCGTGAGGACACCGAAGCCCTGGATCCCGGCGATCCCAAGGATGTAGTCGAGCTAGGGGAGTCAGATACATCGAAATGGACACGTTTTTGACTACCAAGGTTGACCTTCTCCTGGATTCGTGCCAGAATATTTGGTGTTGGGTAAGCTGAGATGCTTAGAGGCTGCGAAAATGGCTGCAGATTTTGTCAGCACACGTTTCCAGCATGAAGGTGGCACTGCTACTGACTTAACTGAGAGTTGACATCACGTCGACCACGGTGTCGATATCTGGCCGCTCACTAAAATGATGACTCTAGCAGGACTCAACGAGTTTCCACAGTTCATCAGATATCGCTTCAGACCCCGACGGCCGTTCAGGCCTCTTCCCCTCTGTCACCTTGAGGACTACAGAAGGGCCATGAAGAATATCGTGAAATGGTGCGCGGCCCGTGTAAAGCTACAGTAGTGAAATTAGACTTTTTTAAAAAAAGCTAGCCTTAACACTTCACCTCCAAGCATACGCATCCAAGTGCGTATATGTCACTAGCAGGCATCAAGCGAAAGCGGTCAAGACCAAAGGACTGAGGAAAGTAGAGCTCGGGCGCCATCCACCGCACAGAGCCCCAGATAGGCCAGTCCTTATGTATTCCATACAACTGGGCCCCAATATCAAAAAAGGCGATCCTGACCCGGAAGATTGCAAAAAAGAGACGTACCCGCTTATCAACGTTAACTCCGCCGTTGTCCGCGAGATATTTCAGGACTGTCCCATTTCTCATCCATGGAGATACCAAGCAAAGAGCGGACGGAAATTCCTCCGCTACAGTTCCAAGAAACGGGACAATGCATGCATGCATGCCTCAAGCTTTGCCATGTCAAGGCTTCTTGACAAAACTTCTACAAGGAGGATGGGTTGAATGACTTTGTCAAGGGCGTTACAGGAGCGATTGAGCTTACCCGACAGATACTAGGAAGGTTAGGATCCCTTTGGAATATTCTCATACGCTTGAGAGCTACGGTTTTCCCGTTGTAAGATGCTCTAAAAACATCACCAAACCCTCCACCGAATGTTGCATGCGCATCAGATATTTTGAGACCTTCAATGAAAAGCTTGGAAGGAAGCTTGTAACACGTCGATGAGAGGTTTACGAGAAGCCGACAAGCTTTAAGCCCTTCAGCAAGGTCACCGAGGAGAAAGACCTCTGTCGAGCATCTGGGTACAAGATTTTATTGATTCTCACAGCCGAGTTTGACTTACATCTTGAACAACATTTAAGAAATTTTGTGCATTGTCGTCCAGAAGCCCTAGAACCTCCTCTCTGTCAGAGTCGGATTGAGATACGCAATGCAGTAGAGCCGCAATGTCCTCTTCATCGGCTTGAAGTGCTTCTCTTATCCGTGGGTCATCGCTAAGACCAAGCACAGATGCAATCTGTGGTAATTGATGAATGAGTATTAGTTTATGAAAGAAAATGATTGATTGGATAGGAAACACCTGTATCAAGCTTCCTCTATAGACCCTTCTTACAAGCGACGTGACCGCATTAAAAGACTTCAAAGCATCGGAATGGTCCTTTAATGTATCCAGGATGCTGAAACACGTCAGTTGAAAAGAAAATACTGTCAGTGAGCCTCTTACCTTTTCGTCATTGGGGTGTTCACTGGCGTCACTTCCATCAACAGAAGTGTCATTAGATTCTAATCAACAGCGTCAGCGTCTTCAGCAGGTAGTCGAAGAACGTCCACGAACGTGATATATTGGTTTATTTGATGTGAGAGGTTCAAGACTTTCTTCGTTTATTGATAGTGAGTCGCCGACCGTTTCAAGTAGTGCACTGCTTGCGTCCTTAACGTTCAAGTAGATGTCTTGGGGCTCAACTTTTGGCGAGGACTTCAAGTCGGTATAATTTGCATCGGAATAAGCAGAGGCGGACCGGGGAAAAGGGAGAGGTCTTTTGGATGCCTGACCCGCCGGTGACCCCGTCCCATCTGAACCAAAATGTACGTATGGCAAGAATGAGACCTTCCCTGACAGATACGTTATTGGCGCCGAATTAAAGACGCTTACGCTCTCCGAATATGAAGGGGGTTGGTCTTGACTTCCACTTTCGTCAAGCTGAAAAGAATACTTAATTGAACGAATGGCCTTTGAACATTATTGAATCTCACAGATGTAAGTGGGCTCAAGCTGGAGCTTGAAGATGGCAAATCACTGGATTCAACAAGATTATTGCGAGCTGGAAGAATCGTGAACCGACTGTGACAGAGTAGATACAGATGGTATTGATCTGTCCTGCTTTTTCCGGGAGCTTTTTCGTTCGGCCACTATCGGAACCATCTATTGAACGTCGAGTCGAGCCATTAGTACTTGAACCAGTGTTTGTCACCCAGGGGATAATGGCGAAAGCTGGCCTTGGCTTGCGGGTAATATGTAAAAACCCCAGCAAACCAAGAAGGCCCTTCGACTTGTGCTTCGTTCGCGGCTCAAAGTTTCTAGGCCCGTGTGGGCGAGCATGATCACCTAGCGTGCTTGTGGGCCCTCACGCAAAGATAGAGTAATGAACACCGACGGTGCTGAATGAACAATCTCCTCTACTGATGTTTGTACGGGCTCCCGGTCCAAATCATTGTCAGTGAGGCCTGGAATCGAGATGAAATAGCTAGCTCCAGTTAAATCTGTACCACTGTTCGCGTAATACGATGCCCATGCCTGAATGTAGGGGTCCGCATAGATCCCGTTGGGATCGTATATACAGGTTGGTGCGATAACACGAGGCTAATTGCTATGTTCACTGACGGTGACCTTAGGCATGGGGGTCAGAAAGACGACATGAAAGTTGGGGAAGAGTCAAACGCACTGCCCTGAGCCAATAGTACTAGTCCACGATGGTTTTCTGATGAGCCCGCGTCGCCGCGGATATAAATTATGGAGGCACCTCTTACAATTCAATGTATTATATGCATAAGAGTCATCAACAAGTACTACTTTCAGCCAAGCGCTTCGTCCAAGTTACAGCGTAATTGCACTCTATTCAAATCCTATTCATTACTTAGCTTCTATTTCACCTCAATAGCCCATTCGACTGTACACTGCAAGGCTTCCTTGTTAGTACTTATGCCTAGGATGCGGAAACAGCCAGCTCAAAATGACAGGAAATCATATCGTACATATATATAAAATAAGAAGACAGATAACTCAAGCTACAGATATGAGAAGACGAAAATTTGATACATCATCAGAGCCGTGGTCGAACAATTTATCACCAATGTGGTGAAGGGTTCCCGTTTGTAGAGCCTCCATCTGGTCGTCTACGGGGCCAACCCGAATCAACAGGGCGATTCAAATCATTCCCGCCCCCTCGACCACGACCCCTTCCACGGCCCCTTGGACGATCACCGCCTCGTTGACCAGGAGAGTGTCCACCTCGCGATTCGCGTCGCTCGTGGTACTCTCCTGGCCCACCCCGGTCATACCCGGGACGCGAGTAATCCCGACGTTGATCAGAATTATTGGGGTGTAGTGGCGGCTGGTACATACCGTACATCGGGGGTGCTCCATTATGATGTGGCGGTGGGGGTGGTGGGGGTTGCAGCGGGTTGAGTCCCCATGACTGTGGCAACGGTGCAGGGACATGTGAGGCAGCCGGCATAGAGGGTGCAGGAACGGGTGGTATGGGGATGGATAATCCACCCGGGCCTTGCAGAGTTCGAATCATGAGCTGAATCTGCTCTGGAGTGAGCGCGGCAACCTCGGCTGCCAATGCTGCTGGTTCAATTTGAGCCGATGCTATGGGCGGAGCAAGATTTGCCAATGTCGGAATATTGGGTATGGGGGGGTTCGTTGGTACTGCAGGGTTAGGAGGCGAAAGTGTTGAAGGTGGGACGCCTGCTGCTTCTGGAGGTGGTTTGAGTTCCCCTTTGTTCAGCACCCAGATGCCGATCATGTAATTTGTCTGTCGCACTTTGGGTAGGCGGAGGTTATCAAGGAGCTCCATAAACTCTGGAATTGGATCGCTCGAAAGTAGAGGAATGATGTAGAGCTCACGTCCAGGAGCGTCCTTCGGTCGTGGTCCCCATGGAAATACCAATCCATGTCGTCTGTGAAAAAAATGCATGAGTCTCGAACCTACGCATCTAGCCCAAGGAAACGTACCCTTTTCCTACTAAAAAGTCCGCGAATACCATGAAACCGTTGTCAATTGCGTCAGGAGCTGGCATGAAAGCCACGCCAATCAGCTCTTTTGAAGGATTTAATCTGACTTGAAGCAAGAACTGAGCCGACTTGTCAACTGGTACTCGGCCATCAATCCTGAGCAGATCCGTGGGGAATAGGGTACGCCAAAGCGGAGAGCCCACTTCTATTGGTCTTCCCCCCATCTGTCGCGCGACAATGGGCGTCTCTGTAGGAATCGAAGAATCCAAAGGCATTGTGATCTAAAATTTTGCCATTGATCAATGATTATATCAGTGTGAGCCGACGAGTTGACACATACCTTTCCTGACCACACAGGTTCTGTGGCGTTGAATGCAGTTTGCACACCACCCGGTGACAGAGACCTCTCGGGTTCCTTTTCCTCCAAAAACATATCAAAGTCCCGATCATCAGCTTCTGCAATCGGCTCGGGGTCCATGGGGTGATGCTTGGTCTCCTGAGGAAGGGAAGGTTCCTGCGGTGTTTTCGTCTCCTCGGTCTGTAGGGACCATATCGAGTTGAGGTCAAATGATGCGGAATGCGGCGTCTCGGGAAGTGATGGACGCGACGCGAACGGGGAGATGCCTATGGTGGGAGAGGCAACATTAAAGGTGGGAAGTTCTGGTGCTGAGACGACAGGAGAAGCCGTGGATTTTCCGTCGGTAGGAGCCACCTCGACCATGGGGTCATCGTCAATGTTAATCAAATCGGTGAGACTCAGTTCTGGTTCGACGGGCTCGGTCGCGTTTTCATATAATGGTGGTCTCGCTGAAGGGTAAGGATCCGCAGATGCATGCGCATCATGCAAGGGTACCGGAGGTGGCAAACCCCAGGACGCGCTCTGTGATACAGGAGACTCAGGAGGAACAGACACGGACATTGTGCGCTGACGAGGCTGAGCGGCTCTGAGCCGAGCCATACGCTCCCTTTCCATCCTCTCCTGTTCTTCAGCTTCACGCTCTCGGTCTCGTTCACGTCGACTGGCAACCTCGCCGTTGACATCCTCGATATCCTGCAGTCCCTTGTGCGTGATCTTAGCACGGGGTGCTGTAGTTTTCTGCAGAATTGAATGTTCCAGAGATTCCTGTTCAGCGATTTTGATGGATTGCTTTGTCTCCTCGTCCGCTAGATCAGTGGAAGACATAGTGGATATTTCTTTCGCGGATATCTTCCCCGAAACTATACGCTTATGAAGAACGACACGATCAACTTTGCTAAGATTGAATTGTAATGTTCGAAATCGATCCCTGTGACACGAAGTGTAAGTTAGTACCTGAATGACAAGTTTCATTGCGAGTAACTCACTTGTACCCATCTCCAGCGTGCTTATCTGGGTCACAGTATATTTCGTACACACAATGCTCAAGATCATTAGCAAACTGATGGGCAGCACTCAAAACAGCCTTCTTCTCTTCCTCAGTCAACTCTTCAGCATTTTTCTCCACGTCGTCCGATCCTTCGCCACTGTCTTTGGTACGAACATGAGGATACTTGAGAAATATGCCACGAAAAAGCTCCTTAAACTTTCCGAGACAGTACTTCCTTGTCGGATCTTCCGTTGATTCAGACGAAGTTTTGGTCTTCTTTGATGCCGGTGGGGGATGAGGAGCAACCTGGGCCTTGCGTTTGAGGGTATTACTGGGGCCCGGAGATTGGTGAGAGGGTCGGCGGTTTCGACCAGGTTTCTTGGAACCATCCGACTCTGATTCGGAGGAATACGACAATCGACGAATGGGTCGCTGGAAAGAGCATGAGAACTGAAAAACCCCGAGTAGAACTGAATGCTACGGACCTTGCCCCCTGCTCTCGGCTGCACATTTTCTGCGACGTATTCGTCTTCGCTGCTTGGGACATCTTCCGACTCTGACGGATCCTCGACGTCGGATTGGAGTACCTGTCGTCGTGTTGCTGCCTTGGCTGGTGGAGGAGATGTGACTTGTTCAAGTGCATTGGGACCCTCCCATGTCACTGCAAAACGATGGGTCAGTGTCTATTATATACGACGTCAACTAGAAATTGACTGATAGAAATATAACATCTATCGCCCTGGTTCACGCTGTCTCGCTGTTGTTCTACATCTATGTAACTTCAGGGCTGCAAGTACGACTGGCAGATTCAAGATACACCGTTTTCCGTCCATGAAAACAGAAGATACCACCACTTGCAGCACGTACATTGGAGAGCACAAAGTCATAAGATGAGATATAATGCAGCGAAAAGTTACAATATATGGCAAAGCGACGACTACACGAGAACCAGAGCGCGTAGAAAGGCGGAAGATACTCACTTGCAGTACGACGACCGGTCTTCTCGGTGCATCCTGGACAAATGTAGGCCACTACAATTCAGAAAGAATCAGCGTAAATTCGCAATCATGGCTGCAGTTATCAAACATGCTTGAAGGCCCACAGCGATACGGAGAAGGGGGAGAACAGGGAAAAACTTGCTCACCTATATCTTCCGCTGTATTCTCGGTCAAATTCACGCAAGCAAAATGGTACCTGAGAAGTCATCTTGGATGAGCATCGAAAAAAAAAAAATCGGACAAAGAAAACGTACCAGTCTGTGCACTCGGCGCACTGTATCATCGGAGTGCCATTGTCACCCCTCCTGCAGATGCAATACACTTTCTTGCTCTTTGTAGCCTTGGTATGAGTGGATTTGGATTTGGTTCCCGATTTCTCATTTTCTTTCTCAGGATGAACAGTCACTTTGGGGCTGCTGCCAGTCCGTCCCTTTGGCTTTGCTGGCTGTTTGACTGTAGAAGACGATGGTGGTGTAGAACCCAGGGCTGCTCTTGCTCGTGTCGTACGCGTGCTCATCGTCGTTGGAATACAGGTCTCACCGTTATCTGTGAGTTGTGACTCAGATTATGGCGTGGGAATTCAACAGATTTTAGAGTTCAATGAGTACAAACAATGCACGGCCCGGCTTGCATCCACATTGTTGTCTGCTTCTTCTACGTTGTGGTCCCCACGACGTGATGCCTACGACGCCTGCAGGAAGCAACGCCCATATCTATAGCGGCCGACAGCATGATCTCACGGGATTCTTGTTTTCTGTCTCGGGCGGATATGCTCGTTCCGGTTGCTTGAAAACCCAACGCCAAGGTGTAGCGGCGACCTCTGCTAAGTACATAAATTGGGACTGGTGCATCAAGATGATCCCCAAAGCAACTGGAATATCAGGCTCGCCATGCGCGTTAGGAAAGGCTTGGAACCGGAACAAACGCTCCTTTCCACCGTCATGGGTAAGCATCCACAACCGAATTTGGATTCTTCGGATGGTCCACCTGAACTGACAAAACCGCATGGCACCCTGATTGGGTCATGTTCGTAGACTTTTATGGCCGAAAAGCGGACGAATTTATGCGCCATCTGGCTGCGTATTTCTGTTTCCGGAGAAAACGCGTCTCCACGATCACACGTGATCGCCTCTAGAGAGGCGCATAAATGCTGCTTTGGATCACCTCGAGGCCCTTATCAGCAATGCAGTACCATTATCGAGGGCCTTGTCTTCCTGTCTAGGAAGATGTTCCTCTACTGTTGACGAAGCGGTGGCGTTATGAATAGGGGACCCTATAAAGGATGTCGACGTGGTTCCATCCGAAATAGAGACACAATTTATGGACAGGGGTGCGTTCCCTGGCACTTGAGAGTGATGACAGGACGCTGCGTCATCTCTGGATCATTCTCTAATCATTCTAAATTCAATCTCTGATGTTACCGAAGAGCTGTCACCCATGATTTCACTGTCCAGTTTGAAAATCCATCCCGTCCTTTCAACGGGCTGTCGATGGCGGGGGCTACAAATGGAGGCCAACCGTTAATTTTACGCTTTACTGACATGTATACCACGTTATCCTGTGAATTTCCAACGAAAAGCAACTGTTACAACTAAGTAATACGCTTCCGAGGAGCGATTGAGGCCCAAATTTGTCAAAGAAAAAATCACCAGGAACTTGAAGTAGTTGCCGTGATATGACCGATCGAAACAGTCTTCTTCTTACCCCCGACCTTAAGCTGCAGGCACATCTCTCCTCCGGGTCGGCGCAGATACTCTGTATCGTCGTTGCGCCCACTGGCGTCCACGATTGTTGTCGCCTTTCGTTGTTGTCAACGGCCAAGCAGCGTCGCTGAACAGCCGCCTCGACCTGTGCGCTGCTCTCGATTCCGACCTTTCATTTTCCCAGACATCGTAACAATTGCCAACATTGTGAGCTACGACGGTACAGACGACATCGAAGCCACAGTAGCACGGATATCTGCTCAGGTTCGTACTCTACAGTCATTGTCTAGGTTTTGCCTTTCCCGTCTTGCTTCTAGCTTTTGCTGGACATTCACTACTGCTTTTGCTGGCCATTGTTCTCATGATGAATTGCTGTGCTCACTTGGTTGCTTTCTTTCGTACCTAGAGTATCAGCCCAAGCCTAGTTTCACTTTCCTTTCCCCCCGACATTCGCACTGGCCGTGCTGAATATATTATCGGCGACGACTCGTTTGTTCAAGTCCTGTCTGTCCACCACCGATAACTGACAATCTGGGCTCCACCTGTCAAGAATCCGCTTTGATTACTCCATTGTCCACTTTTTAAAGTCATCTCCGTGCCGTTCGATTCATACATGGCGGCTGCAGTATTGCCCAACGTCTCCGTCTCCGGCCCATTCCCCATGGCATCCCACCAGTGCATCCCAAACAAGATGCTCCCGACTGCGTCGTCCTCTCGTTCAAAACAGCCCCCCTCTTCGTCATCGTCAGCAGCAGCAGAGGACTTATCCACAAAACCATTTACCCGCCTTCGTTCTTCCCTTGAGCAGAGCATTCGGACTGCAACAAGGTCCAAGAAACAAACACCTCCCGTCGACGACTTTGCGACTATTACACCCAAGACCGGCAAGGGAAAGGAAAGGGAAGATTTACAGAAAGATAAAGAGAGACATGGAGTGCTAAGAAGACTGGAATCCAAAGTCAACTTTCGTCGCGGTGGCAGAGAGTCCGTTACACCAGCACCTTCGCCCATTCCGCCTGTTGCAGATGAGACCTCCAACAAGGTGCGCCTCGCCGGGTTCACCAGTTTTATAACGCCGTCACTCCGCCAGGGATCCGTGTCATCACCCGCTCTCCACCTTTCCTCGCAAGCTCTACCATCTCCCAAGTCACAGCCTGCAATTCCCGCCTCGTCTTCATCGACTAGTCCTGCCCTTGTTTCTCCGGCGCGACCAGCTCGAGACAGGACGCGAAGATCAAGCAACAATCATCCGTCGCAAATTTCACCACCAGCTCTCACCGACGGTCGCTCCGTATCCAGGTCCAAGGAACCGATACCAAGGCATAAGTCTACTAGATCTGCTCCTCACAATATCTCCCCTTCGCCATCCAACCAATCGGTGAATCTAGCGACCTGTGTGCCAGAGACGCCTTCAAAGCCCCGTCGTGAACTCAGTAGTCCTCCTGATACGCCTACACCTGCATCGGGGTCACGAGGGCAACTCCCCCCCAAAACGCCTGTGGAAAATTCAGACCCGCCCTCTGCATCCGCGATATCACCGAGGAATTCGAGTCCCATAAGGGCTCGATCACCTTCCACCAGGAATCGTGTTGTCCTGACATCACAGCGTGGCTTAACTTCGTCGTCTACCTCCCATCTTCCGACAACTCAAATTACTGGGTCGTCTCCTATACCCAGGCGGCCGTCTGTAGATTCGCGGAGACCGTCGATAGACTCTCCTCGGCGGCCATCTACTGGATCCCCGAATTTAGGCAGAGATGAGTCTCCATCACCCATACGACCGCGACCTGTATCACCAAATCAACGTTCATACGCTCAGAACAGGCACTTCAACATTTCAAGTACCTCACTGATACCGCCTTTGTCTGACCCCGCATTTCGCGAGCTTATTAGGTCAGCTACCACGTTGCTATGTAAGGAGGTCAATAAACCTCCTGTGCATGCTACACGAACGGAAGTCGGGGCTAAGGATTGGGAGGAGGTGGAGATTCGTATGCGTGCCTTGTCACGACTTGAACGAATATGGGGTAAAAGTGGTGCGAACGGTAGTTCGAGTAATCTGCCCAACGTTGGTGCTAGCGGACTTAGTGCAAGTGGCGAGGAGCGCGAGCGTAGACTATTTGCGGAAGCTCTGCGAGATGGTTTCGTGCTGTGCCAGTGAGTGACATCGTGCCTATGCTATGCATATCGTTGACTTGCTCTATTCACAGGTTAATGAATAAGCTTCGTTCGAGCTCAATCGTGCGCCCTGACCCTCGCGAAGATGGTTTCGTCAGGACTTCTAACATTACGAAGTTCCTGGCAGCCTGTTCCTCCTATGGTTTGCCTGATGACGACTTGTTTCAACGCGACGATTTAATCGAGGCGTCAGCGGAGTCCTTAACGCGTGTCGCCAAAACAATAATCGTGTTGATCAAGTTCGTCGAAACTCCTATTGCCGATCCTGCGAAGATCTTGTCCGGTCAAACCCAGAAACCGTCTCCGGCGGGCCCTTACACTCAGGGTACGACTTCTCGGGCCACCTCCTCTTCACCAAATTTGTTCACCCAGAGCTCTCCTCCGCCGACTCCGTCGCCTCGTAAACGATGGTGCCCTTCGTCCGGATTACCCACTGTAAGATCGGACAGTCCTGAAGAATCTGTCTCGAAGAGTAAAACACAACGAGACAGACCTATTGTTGACGAAAGTAATCGGGGTAAAGATATCGCAAAGGTGTTGACCCCTCCCCCTAGGTCTCCTCTTCGTGCTCGTTCCAAGACAGTGAACGAAGATGAGGATGGCCATGGTCTGTTCACCTGTTCCGTGAACCTTCGTTCTTCTGTCGCTGACTCCACTCGTGCTTCTATTGATGACTCGTCTGTCCGAGACTCTGTTACCTCTACCTCTAATCACTTCATTCGTCATTCTACTGTTTCGACCATGACCGATACTAGCACTGCTACCACGGGGACCATGTTCTCTAGTCTCTTGGACGTCGGAAGGGCGAGTGTTTTGAACAAGTTCGGTACCATCCGAACAATGACCACTGAGGCCACTTCCGAGTCACCATCTATAACTCGAACGGAAGGCAGCTTCATCGTTGAAGAATTGTCTCGTAAACGGACAGATTCGAGTGGCAAGTATGACCGCAAGCTGAGCGATGCGGCAGTCGTAGATCTTTCCAGGGTGATTGAGGAGACAGATGAGAGTAGTGCAAGCTCTAGGGGTAATGGTCGTGATAGAGCAAAGCGTGCGGCAGCGGAGCTGGAAACAGAAACAGAGGAAAATAAACCAGAGCGAGCTCATGCCCTCCGTCTTGGCAAAGGTAAATGGCCAGACGACTTCCTTGACGTTCTTCAGGCGCACAATCAACCTCGACCTGTCCCTGCTAAAACATTTACATCGTCCGATGACATCGATGATCGTTCCTACACTCCATCGCCTACATCTACATCTGCCCCTCGAAAACTTGCCATTGTTGGTTCTAATCGCCGTAATGAAAGCGTTGAATCGTTGCCCCATTTCCCGAGAAGACCCACTCACCGTGCACGTCATAGCATTGACTCACCGGTTCTCTTACCCCGTGAACCTTCCCTTCGCCGGGATGTTAGTCCCGACGCTCCCTCATCGAGCAAGGCTATACTCCGTCGACATAGTACCAAGCCTGCCCAGCGAAGTGGATCTCTCGTACCTAGGGATGTCGATGAATCTCGGAGCTCGGATTCGGACAAGATGGTGCCATTTCCTCTAACGACATCTGGAGAAAACACACCTAGTATATCCCCACACTCCTCATCCGGAGACAACCCCGCCGGGAACTCCGCCGCTCCTCGCCCTCCCCGCGGTCGATTCCAAAGCGACATCGAAGGTAGCAGTAGCAGGCGTATTCGTCCTAACTTGTATGATGAATTGGGTCCTAAGCCTACACGGTCCCGGTTTGAGAGTATGGTCAACTTGGGCGTAGCGTCATCCGGAAATACGAGTGCTAGCGATCTGATGTCACGAGATTCGATGGAAGGGAGTGCGGTACGCAAGCCACTGATTATTCGAGAGGAGGGTAAGCCGCCGACCCACTTCGTACGTACGCTTTTGAACCTCCGGAATTTCACTAACTAAAACTTCATAATCCAGCAACTCGGTAATTGTATCGGTCGTGGCCAGTTTGGTTCGGTGTACCGGGCTTTGAACCTCAATACGGGGCAAATGGTGGCTGTTAAACGCATTAGACTTGAGGGTTTGAAAGAAGACGAGGTTACAACGTTGATGAGAGAGGTGGATCTTGTCAAGCGGCTGTCGCATCCAAGCATAGTCAAATATGAAGGCATGGCCCGTGACGCCGATACGTTGAGTATCGTTCTCGAGTACGTGATCTTCGCTTATCTACTCCGTGTTACTCTTCGTCTTATCTGAACCTAAAGATACGCAGAGAATGGGTCACTTGGTCAGACACTGAAGGCGTTCGGCAAACTGAATGAGTGCCTCGTCGCTAGCTATGTGGTCAAGATTCTAGAGGGTCTGCACTACCTGCATACAAGTGACGTCGTGCATTGTGATCTCAAAGCGGCCAACATCCTTACCACCAAGAATGGTAACGTCAAACTTTCCGACTTTGGTGTTTCTCTGAACTTGCGTGCTATGGAGCGAGAAATTAAGGATGTTGCCGGGACGCCTAACTGGATGGCACCGGAGGTCATAGAACTGAAGGGTGCCTCTCCGAAGTCCGATATCTGGTCGTTGGCATGTACGGTGATAGAACTGCTCACTGGAAGACCTCCGTACGGCGATATCGCCAACAGCATGTCAGGTATACATTACATCTGGTCTAGTATTCTTCATGTACTCACACTCTTTGTCAGTAATGTTCCGGATTGTGGAGGACGACATGCCGCCAATTCCAGATGGCTGTTCTCCGCTACTGGAAGATTTCCTGCGACGATGTTTCAACAAAGATCCGGCTAAGCGACCCGGTGCGGATCTCCTCTGTGAACATGAGTGGCTCAAGAAGAACTGGGGTGCTCACAAGGTGAGTCTACTTACATCATACGTTTTAGATGTTCTGTTGACTTGGCGCTATAGGAACTTCGTCCCCAAGATAGCATCCCCTTCCTTCGTCGCGTCAGTGCGGATTTGCAGAAATCTGAGGCTGTCCGATTCCTGTCCCAGGTTGAAATGCCAGATACACCTCCACTGGAAGAATATTCCCATGATGATGCGATCAGCGGCTCACCTCCTCGTCGCCACTCCAACTCGTCGGCTCGACCCTTGGCCGATAACGACATTTCACCTCGCGAACATACCTTTGTGAAAACTACATTCAGTAAACGTAAGTTTTTCTATAGTCAGGTCTACATCGAGTTAATGAAGTTCCCGCTTAGCTATGACTTGCCGAGTGTGTCTTCTGAACGTTAAGAAGAGTGCTGTTCTTTGTTCGCAGTGCAGTCTAATCTCCCATTCCAAGTGTGCCCGCAATGCCCCTCCCACTTGCGATCTCCGTGCTCAGCTGTTATTATATGCTCAGTACGCCGAGAAGGGCAATCCCAATAGCGTTTACTCTAATCCAGCAGACCTACTACGTGATGGCCATCCCGCGAGTCCGGTGTCTGACGTCTCTTACGTTGCCCATACCCACACCCCACGAACAAGTATTGATGTGCCCCCTGCTACCCCCAATCCAAGTGCCAGCTCGCAGGTGCATACTGCATTCAAGTTCATCGGAGCCTTTAAGCGGTCGCGAAGTAACCTCACCTCGGATCAAGACCAGTCTGTAGCTGGCTCGTCAACATCTTCTCCGGACAAGGCTAACTATACAAAGGGGCCCGCCTTACAGCGGAAGATAACGAAGGAACGGCCGCAATCCCTGTCGAGCAACAGCACTACACCGAATAGTTCTAGTCTCAGAAGTGCACCTGAAAGTACTGGAAGGAAATCTACATTTTCTACTGAGACTGATGGCGGCACGCGTTCAATATCTCCCATCGAAGAGGGCGAAATCCATTCACCTTCAAGGATAGCACCAGCATCTGGATTCTCAGACGAGGGACATTTTCCTGGAGGTTTGATCGATTCTCGTCGTCATAGAAAGACCAAATCCGCCGGCAACTGCATCGTGCAGTGAACATTTTCTTTGTTTTCCTGTCCGTCCTTTCTGTATACATACTTGTGCACTAATCGTTCCTTGTTCTGGTACATCGCTTTGTTTATATCATCCTTTGCATCACTCTCGCGTTTGACTCTGCATTCTGTACATTATTGCTTTTCTGTGCATACTCCTCTACAACATTGTGCAATAGCAGTTTCCTTGTGTCCCCTACTCTTCCCCTCTTGCATAGTACGTATGTTATTCAATTCCCGCTAGATACATGCTTTCGCACTGGATGTGGACTTTGCCGGTGTGTTGCAATGTATTCTTCGTTGTAAAAACACGCAAGTCTGCTGATGTGAGAGAGAGAGAGTAGGAGGTGAGAAAGCTCTCTACTTTCGAAAATGGCTGCATAATAAGCAAGTAATGACTTCAGTCAAAGGAGAAGATATTTCGCGCCCGTTACAAATGGCCTGTTAAGAGAAACTGGTGTTGGCAGGGCCCTGTGCTGAGCGAGAAGCTCAGTATCACCCTCCCAAGAAAACAGGGTTATCACATGGTGTTGTACGCATCGCACATTGTACATTTACATTGTTTCGTAATTCATATCACCTTAATCTTGGATTTGCACTTTGATGGCACCTTGTGCAGGGTCCGCAGCAACGTTGAATGCATCGATAGCATCCTCAAGCGCGAAACGATGAGTAACCAGCGGTTTGAGATTGATGAGTCCGCCGGCCACGAGACGTATAGCCTTCGGGTACTATAATAAGATGGTGAGTATGCCGGCAAACTTGTCATTGTGAAAGGGACTCGGATGCACCTGATTAGAATAACGGTACTGGAACCTGAGATCGATTTCATTTGCACTCAGTTGCATGAATGGGAACTGCGAGAAAGTATACATTAGTTGATGCGGGGCAACCCTTGATGAAGGACATACGGTCTGTTCACTTTTACCAACACCGATGACGAAGACTTTCCCACCAAACTCCATCGTCTGAAGACCACGCGGTTCAGAAGACCCCACAGATATGAAAAAAAGACACGCACGAATATTGCCGTACTAATGCTACTCTCCACACCGGTACATTCCAGCGCAAGCTTCAACTCGCCACCTGCGGCTTCTTTGATCTTCTTCGCCTGATCCTTGGGCGCTAAATCACGTTCAATCAACACGGTTTTCACGCCGGGTACCAGTGACTTGGCAAAGTCCAGACGACTTTGAAAGAGATCTGTGATAACGATGGGTTCGGCACCTGCAGCACGCGCAGCGAGAAGGGAGACTAAACCGATGGGCCCAGCGCCGCTACATCAACAGCTTTGAATATTTGGCGCGCGACGCAGGAAGCATAAAAAGGCGTACCAGATGAGGGTAGGGTCGCCAAGGCGCAGCCCTGCACGATCGATTCCTGCTAAGGCGACTGCCAAGGGCTCGCACAAAGCGCCTTCTTCGAAAGTCACATTGTCGGGAAGTTTATGCAGCCATTGTTCGGGATGAACGTGCCAGCGTGTTAGAGTGCCTAGAACGAAAGGATTAGGTGATGTATTGTTGACACTAATAAATTCATACTAACCGTGGTAAGGAGGGGTCGAAAAGAAGACGACATCTGGACAGCCGTTGTACTTTCCTGTGCGACAAGGTGTGCAGGATGGCTGTGAGCAGGGAATTCCTGCTTCCATTGCAACTCTATCACCTACAGAAAGTTCAATGGTTGTAGATATACTATATGAACTGACGAACTTACCGACTTTCCAGTTTGTCACACCTTCTCCAACTTCAACGACCTCTCCTGCAGATTCATGGCCTGATCCACACTATAATCTCATTTAGTATTGTCGTCACGAGAGACAATAAAGTGATTGCCTACCTCATCAGTGACGATCATATCGCCGATCCTTCCGTGGCGCCAGAAGTGAACGTCGCTTCTGTTCTCATGTATAGGTTAAAAAAGAGTGTTCATGAGTATTAATGACATCCGCAGTTACCCGCAAATTCCTGTAGCACGTACATGCAGAAGGACTTGCCCAGGCCCGGGTTTAGGACGAGGCTTCTGGACAAGGTGGACTTCGTGCGCAGGATTGTAAAATGCCGCAATATTGGCTTCCTTGTCTGTCTTCTCCCCAAGAGCCAGAATCTTAAAGCCAGGATCTTGGAGGACTTTGAGAGGATTGTACAGTTCTGGATTCATGGACATATTTGAAGGCAGATTGCTAAGTGATTGTCAAGTTGCTGGGGGAAACAAGTGGAATGAATAGCAAGCGAACCTTTCTTACAAGTATAGGTCATTTGAACGACGGATTCGGGCCGCTGTCCCCGGGTGGTCAATCGTCAGGTACGTAAGCTTTTACACAAGCTCTTCCATTGGTGCTTTCCCGATTGCCTCAGAAATCCAGTACGCCAACAAGTTTCGAGTGCGATAAGAGAAGGAAAAAGAAGCTTACTGCGACCCTGATTTACCAATCACCAAAAGCCGGGCCATTCCTGTTGATTAAACACTCGACACTTTGTTTGATTTCTGACATCTACCTTCAGATATGTAAGTTGCGTCTACCGTATAGCAGTCCTCGCTGACTGACTTGCAGAAACTCAGCGTTTGACATCAGTATTGGCTTCAGCATACTGACGTCGGCCTTTGCCATGAACGCTGCGCAAGTTCAGTGACATTGAAATGCAGTATTGATGCGCTATATCATCACACTGATGTCGCGCCAAAGTCGATATTAGATGTCCGAGGATCGCTTGAATCAGAGCCAAGGCATGGATCCATAATTATCCACCTCCATATGACCCTATGTCAACATGGGGAAAATGCAAAAAATGACAGTTCCGTTCCCCCTGTTCGACAAGGACATTATACTTAGCCAAAAATGATCAACTAGGCACTCCAACAGATGGATGCGCCTGCCCGTCGGTGTTTTGTTTGGGTAATCCGAAAAGTGGCAGTAACGTAGGTGGTATACATAGATGATCTTCTAGATGACAAGGATCCGAGTTCTCTCGCTTTCACACCGCCATGTCTTCACCTATCCCGGAAACTGTGGCTGACGCCTTGCGCCTCTCGAATTTGTCCTTTCGGCATCTGTTCTATGTTTGTGGAGGTGTGCTTTGGGTCCTTTCCTTGTATCCCGCCCTAATAACCTTTATCTAGTGTATTTTGTCTGCAGGGTGGTTTACTGGTTGATTGTATACCCACGTTTTTTTTCACCCCTGCGTCACCTTCCTGGGCCGCCTGTGGGTGAGCCCATCCTGGGTCAAGCCAGGAAGATATTCAGCACCCAGGTGGGAATGGCAGCGCGAGAATGGATCAACGAATATGGCTCGATTGTACGGGCGGTTGGGCCGGTAGGTCTTGAACGATTAATCTTCATAACTCCGGAGGGTCTCCACCAAATAATGTCGAGGCCGCTGGATTGTCCTAGGGTGGGATCTTCTTCACTTTTCCTTTTATATTCTTATTGTCCACGTCAGCCCCTCTACCTCAGGAATTTTTTCGAGCTTATCACTGGTCGTGGATTATTAACCGTTATGGGTGAGGAGCACAAACAAATGCGCCGGGTCATGAACCCTGCGTTTTCTCTACAAAACCTTATGGCTCGTGCGTGCTAACCCTACCCCCAGTCCTCGTTATCCACTTGCTTAAAATAAATATCCCGTAGAGACGGATATGTACTACGAACCCATCACAAAGTGCGAGTCTTCTCTTCTTCAATCATGCCGACATAACGCAACGCCATCTAGCCTTGTTAACATCATTTCTGCGAAACTCGACCTTAACGGCGAGAAAGGTGCCATCCTTCCTATGTACGAATGGCGTAAGTCTCCGATTTCCCTTGTTCAGATTCAACACACTAATGCGAATTCCAGTCAGCAAAGTTACTCTCGATATTATTTGTGAGACAGCTTTCGGATACCATGCGGACTCTTTAAACAATCCCCATGACGAGCTGGCCGAAGCATACGAAATTCTACTTAACCTTCAAACGGGTTCGCGTACACGCTGCTTTTACGAAGGACTTCGCATGGCTGATGGTGAAGTTCTTCTTAGGCCAGAACATGTTCCGCTTCGTGTTCGCCATGTCGCTTCCTGGCGGCCCACGTTTTCTTTCATCAGAGTTCGCGTACAAATACCGCGCATTCTTCAAATATACCCGATTCTTCGGCAAGTTTTCCCCTTCGTCAAGTTTTGGGAGGGTTCAAACATGTTTTTTTTTCAGCTCCCTTCACTGAGCTACTGGATAGCATGCATCGAATTCGTAAAGTCTCACGACAAATCTTGTCCGAGAAGATTAAAGACTTGGAAGAATCCGGTGTATCTGCCGATGACATGCATGGGAAGAAAGACATCATGAGCCTCCTAATGCGCGCCAGGGCGAATGAGACGGACCAACGCGGGTATGCCATGAGCAACAATATCATGGTCGACCAAGTAGTAAGTTAACTTTGGTGGCGAAAGAGCATGCTTGACCTGATCAACTTACAAAGCTTATTTTCCTTGGTGCCGGACATGAAACCACAGCAAGTGGCTTGACCTGGGTAAGTAGGATTTTATTTTTCTTATCCATCAATATTCTCACTTGAAACAGACGCTCTGGCTCTTGGCAAATAATAAGGGGTATCAGTCAAGACTGCGCGACGAAGTTACCCCTGTATTCCAGGAAAATCCAAGGCCTGATTATCGAACCTTGAACGGACTGGAATGGCTTGATTGCGTGATGTAAGAATAAATCTTTCTTTGGTCGGTCTTTCACTCATTTGTTCTGGTTCAGAATGGAAAGTCTGCGCGTCATGCCTCCTATACCGACGACTGTAAGAAAGACCGCTACGACGGATTATATTGACGGCGTTTTGGTACCGGAGGGAACGCTTCTACAAATCTGTGTAAGAAATGACGTGATCTGTTTGTACTCTGATACTCAAGTGGGAACAGATCCGTCAGATTAACACGTGGAAACATGTTTGGGGAGAGGACGCTGAGGAGTGAGCATTCGCATTCTATTACTTCATCTTCGTTGGCACTGAGTAAGTTTTAGATTCCGACCTGAACGATGGTTTAATCTCCCTAAAGCATATAATCCCTCGTACTCTCATCTTTCCTTCATTTCTGGACCTCATTCCTGTATTGGAAAGACTATGGCTATTATCGAAATGAAGGCCGTGTTGGCGTAAGTGGAATGACCTTGGTGCTATTTCATCTGATGACGAGACTTTGACAGTTCATTGATCCTGAATTTTGATTTCGATCCGGCTTACCCTGGTCAAGAGGCCAAGCCCGCGTCGGCCATCACAATGAGTAAGTCTTTTATCATTCCGCAAGATAAGAGTGGTTCTTGACGGAGAAAATTTTCGGTAGAACCTACAGATGGCATGCCCTTGACTGTTCGTCGTGCCTAATCTAATAACGGTCTCGATACAGACTCGATTCTTTCCGTCTTTTACCGGACTCGATCTGCTTTAAGCACAGACAGGTCACCGGGGTTATACTGGACAAGTATTCAGCTATACATACTCTCTTTTACCATTGTGAACTCCTTTCATCAGTACTAACAGAAGGTGTTTCCTAACGATCATTTTTTAAATAATAATTCATCAAACTATCCTCATCAGCAGGGAAAAATTGGTTCCTCATGATATGCGACGCATCACTCGCCAAAAATACCATGACTGGTGTAAGGACTTTTGCCGTATCTCCTATCGAGCAATGGGAACTGTTCCTTTAACCACTTCTCGGGGACGGCCTCATCGTTCCAATGTACTACTTGTAATTGAGGTGAGCGCAGTCAGCAATCAGAAAAGACCAGCTAGGCTCCACTCCGGCGCCACGCTGCGCGTCCGAGTATGAACAGCGCCCGCATCTGACCTTAAGTTAATGATGGCGCCACCGCCTTGTTCGCGAACGATCGCATACGCAACACCGTATGGCGCCAAAGACGTTGACTTTGTATATGTGCTCGAGGATGTTTGAGGGTACATCGGGCACAGGCTTCTGTATGCCAACACCGTTTGTGAGTCCGCTCATCTTGGTGGCAGCCTCTTGAAGACTGCATCGACTTGGCCACGCCAGTCATTGATATCCAGATGGGCATATGCGACTGTGCCTGGTCTGGTGGATGACACGTCGTGGGCGACACTTTGTCCGAGTTGATCGTTCACATCGAGGGAGGTTACGGTCGATCCTTCCGCAGCATATGCGCGAGCTATGACTTCGTCAATGCCCTGGGCACCACAAGTAAACGATAACCTTTTGGAAGAGTTGCATGTACACGAGGATTCTACGAAGTCAGTGGCATATCTGCATCTTATGGAATACGATAGTCTCGTAAACCTGACTCAGCGATCCGTATAAAGATAAGTCGGTCAAAGGATGTACACCTAGAATAGTGAAGGAGCCTGACCCATTCATCGTACGATAAGTTGTTTCTGTGAAAACGAAATCCGCAAATGCAAGCCACTGAAATTCATGAGCCAATATCAACAGGTAGGCGACAATATTGGCTCGCCTCTCGCTGCTCAGCTACAAGTGCCGGTACCGCCAAGGCCAAAAACCTAGAGCGTAGCAGCGAAGGAGTCGAACTAAACTAGTCCGATCAGAAATGATAAGGCTACAGAATTATTGCTCTTTTCATACAGCGTAGAAGCATGGATGCAGCAAAGAGATACTCGTCGGCTTGGCAATTTCATGTCATAGACGGAAATGAGAAGAGAGCCCGCGGGGCGAGTTGCCTCAATGGAACCGAAGCGAAAAGTGCCAAATACGCTAAATCATCTTTTCTACATTCAAAGTTCACCTCATAGTTTTTTATATGAACAAGACCTCGATACAAACATAATCCTACAAATTGATAATATACACTTTGAATTTCGTGCCACACCCATGTAAAATGTCCGTGGCTTGGTGTAAATGCTGGCCACACTCAGAAACTGTCCGTGACAATGCGTATCATACTTATGTACTGATCTGGGACGAGGCGTTTTAGAAAGTCGGCACATCGAACGTCCCCGGACGATCTAAAGCAAACATCAGCCAGATTAAGGAGACAAAACCCTCAAGACTTACCTTGGCCATTTGCAAGGATATACTCCTTATCCTTTTGTGCAAGGTGCTTCAAGTAGCTCACAGTCTCGTGGGCTGACACCGCAACCTTGGAGTTGTGAAATGCGCCTTCTTGGATAGCACTGACAGCAACATCGTAGCGGGATGTGTGGTTACACAACATCATCTAAAAGAAATTTAGAAACTTCCCAGCCGACATTACAAGCAATTGAGACATACGTCGAACGGCGATGTAGTCGTTCCTTCCTCGTTGTAACCCTGAATTGTCACCCTATCAAGTCCGGGCCGGCCGAATAGCAAACCCTTCAACTCAATGGGATACCCATGATAATTGAAATGAACAGGCTTGTCCTCGGTAAACAGCGAGTGGAAAGCGTCGTCCGACAAGGCATGAGGGTGTGATCCTTGTGTGGATAGAATCATTAAGTCCGTAACGTTCACAACACGGACGCGAAGGTCTGGGGTGTACTGACGGAGAAGGGCGGCAGCGGCAATAACTTCAAATGTTACTTCGACGCCGATACCGACGAGGACGCTAGAGAAAGTTGTTAGACCAGAATTCGAGAATGCAGAATGAAAGACGTACACGTCGGGGCTGACGCCATCATCAACACTGGCGAACTTCCACACAGAAGCACCGGCAACACAGTGCTATAAGATACATGACATAAGCAAAGCGAACTCGGGAGTAGCGTGATGTCCAGACTTACACGAACAGCCTCTTCAGGGGATAGCCAAACAGGTGTGGGATGCTTGCTACCAACCATCAAGTTGATATAGTTCTTTGCCCTCAGACAATGAGAAACAGTCGACAAGAAACAGTTCGCGTCGGGTGGAAGATAGACTCGGGCGGAGGCGGCCTTGAGGTTAAGGACGGCCCCAATAAACGACGGGTTCTGATGGGAGAACCCGTTGTGTTCTTGACGCGTCCATGTCGACGTTTCGAGGTAGTTGATTGAGCCGACGGCTTGTCTCCATGGCGTCTCGGAGGCCTAGAGATGAATGTAAGCTGGCAATATTGAATTCCAATTTGACGTCGTTTTGACGCACCATCTTGATAAACTTGGCGTACTGCACCATCATCGTGTGGACGATCCCCAAGAACGCTTCGTAACTCGGGAAAAGACCCGTTCTTCCGGTTAGTGTGTAGCCTTGAAGCATACCTTGACAAGTGTGCTCCGAGAGGATCTCGATTACTGGATAAACCATAAACAAAGACGAATCATAACACGGAAGATGGCCAACCTCGACCTCCGTTTGCCCTGGAGGCGATATCCCACTGGAAGTTACGACCGCTATTATCAAGGACAGCATCCAATTTGTTAGAGACTAGCTCATCAGGAGAGAAAATCCTGAACGTCGAGGGGTTCCTGTAAAATAATGATGAACATGGGAAACGAGGGGACTGAAACATAGCTTACAGATTCACAACCTCCTTCAAGAACCTTCCGACAGCCTTCATACAGCTCTCCTCTGACCCTTTCTCGACACCAAGGTCACTCCAGTGGGGCAGATCGAGCGGGATGTAGGTTTTGTAGCTCTCCTTCTTCTGGCCCAACTTCTTCTCAGCATTTATGGGAACAACACTGAGAATCTCCTCAATCGGGGAACCCTCCTTGGTGAACAATTCCTCGGGCTCGTAGCTCTTCAACCAGCTCTGCAGGGCTGCGAGTTCCTCGTCGGAGGATTTGGCGTTAGGAAGGGGGACTTGGTGGGAATGAAAAGATCCTTCAATAAGTTCGCCGTGGAATTCTTTCGGTCCTGTAAGACCCTTAGGCGTACGGAGAATAATGACGGGCCAGCGAGGTTTCACGATGGCTTTTCCCGAACGAGCGGCGGTTTGAATCTTTTTAATTTCGGCTAAGGCCCAGTCCATAGATGCAGCAAGATCGTTGTCGATGTTTTCGACATCGGAAACGATTCGTGGCTGATAACCGTAACCGCTATTGATGTCAACGTGAGGCCAAGTACGTAAAGGGAACATAAGGAAAGGCGTACGTGAAAAGAGCAATTAGCTCCTTGTCGTCCATGGTCCCATAAATAGTGCGCTCGGATATCTTGAACCCATTGACGTGAACAATGGGAAGCACGGCCCCAGATTCAGCAGGGTCGATGTACTTGAACCCGTGCCAAGCCGTGGCAGTAGGACCAGTCTCAGCTTCACCGTCACCGACAACACAGGCAACGACAAGGTCAGGCTTGTCCATGACTGCACCGAAAGAGACACTGAGAGCGTATCCCAATTCACCACCCTCATGGATGGCACCTGGAGTCGCGGCATTGATGTGACTACATGTTAAAGGTGTGAAACGACGAAAGATGAAATTTCACGAGATGAAGAACCTAGGAAAGCCTCCGGGTGCACTGAAGCCGGCAATAAGCTTCTTAAGTCCATTATAATCACGAGTGATTTCAGGGAAAAAGTTATTCATAGAATCCTCAAGCCATAGACAGGACAAAATAGCAGGTGCGCCGTGTCCTATATGATAACACCAATTGAGTTCAGTCAGCAGACGAAGACTGGATTCCGGTACCTGGTCCAACGACATAGAGTGCCTCCAGACCAGTTTTGCGAATGATTCTGTTGAGATGCGCATACACCATGATCAGCCCGGGGCATGTTCCCCAGTGTCCAAGAAGGCGAGGCTTGATATTGTCGTGTGTGATAGGCTTCTCGATGAGAACGTTGTCGTTGAGGAATATCATAGCTGGGACGATAAGCATTGTTTCGAGGCGCGTATGTGAAGTTACTCACCAGCAGCAATGTAGTTGGCGGCACGCCTGAACTTCTGCAAGGCGTGAAGTTCATCGCTGGGAAGGTAGTCCTTGGTATTGAGCTTGATGCCAAAGCTCTCAAAGACATCAGGAAGTTGGGAAGGGTCAGGTGGCGGGTTAGCTTGGAAAAGTAATTGACCAGGCATTGTGTGTAAAGGAAAGATGTCGTACGAATCTGCATTGCGAAGGATCCTTATAAGTATACGCGATGTCTCGCGTTTCAATTTCAGTTTCGAGATCGTTCCACAGCAAGACCCCCGCCACCGGCCGTTCGGACCGTTGGTAGCTTGTTTGCAACTCTGCCCACCCTTGTTATTCGCCCGACGGTATTCACGATATTCAACCTTGCTTCCAGTTTATCCTTGAACTTTGTGCTGGTACTGATCCCACTCTGCAATTGTCCTGTTCCGTATAAAAAACTAGTTATTTTTTGGAATATTCTTCTACGACGTCATGGCCTAGATCAGTGACATCAGGTCTCGCAACGATCACTGCTAAGGAGTCTCGCCTAAGTTCGAGCGCGTCTCTCTTTACCATCATGATGTCCCCCAGAACAGGACTCGTCCTTGCCGTCAACGCAGGCTCGTCGTCGCTCAAGATATCTCTCTACGCCCTTAGAGGAGGTACAACACCCTGTCTCCTACTCACGTCGTCAATCTCAAGTATAACCGCTCCACCGGCCAAATTCTCTTTCAAGTCAGTCTCGACGGAACCCAAGAACATTGTGTCTGACATCCTGTCCATCACCGACCACGCGTCCGCCTTCGCCCATTTCCTGCACGTGCTCCAGGGTGAAGCAGACATCGACAAAGGTGCTATTGTGAATATCTGTCATCGCGTTGTTCACGGCGGGGATTACAGTGATCCTGTCATTATCGGTGATGAGACACTTCATCACATTGAGAGGCTTTCTGATCTCGCACCACTGTAAGATCCAGGTTTCTCTCTGCTTTCTCTGTGTTCAAGGTGTGTTTTTTAGACACAATGGTGCTGCTCTGACAGTCATCACTTCCTGCATCTCTGTCCTCCCCAATGCTAACTCTATAGCATTCTTTGATACCGCCTTCCATCGTTCAATACCGCCGCATATAGCTAGCTATGCCATCGATCAGGCCGTGGCCAACAAACGAGGTCTCAAGAAGTATGGTTTTCATGGACTTAGCTGTATGCTTTCCCTGTTTCTCGGTCTCTGGGTCTGAAATTCTACCAGACTCCTTTATACTTCGTTCGGTCGCCGAGTTTCTCGACAAGGTACATGCCATATGTTTCATCTGAATTCCGATTCTACTTCTTCTATCAGTCCCCGACGGAACTGAACCTCATTGTCCTTCATCTCGGGTCAGGCGCGTCAGTATGCGCGATAAAGAACGGTTTATCGTACGACACATCCATGGGGCTCACACCACTCAATGGCCTTCCGGGAGCTACGCGTTCGGGCGCCATTGATCCTAGTCTCATCTTCCATTATACTAACAAAGCCGGAAGAATCAGTCACGATCCGGAACTCGCGACGCAGATACACGTCACGCAAGTAAGTTTCTCCCTATTCGCACCTGCTCCGCTCTTTAAACACTCACCGTTTAATCGTTTAGGCAGAATATATCTTGAACTCCAAGTCAGGATGGAAGTCTCTTACCGGAACGACCGACTTTGGGCTTGTTACCCGACGTGCAAAAAAAGGCTCGGATATGGACCAGCTCGCGTTCAATCTTTTCAAGGACCGCATCCTCAATTACCTAGGGTCTTATCATCTGAAGCTCGGTGGTCGCGTCGATGCAGTAGTCTTTGCTGGTGGTATCGGAGAGCGCAGCGTGGAGCTCAGGGAAGCTGTTGCCGATAAATTGAAATGCTTAGGCTACTCTGGCGTTAGCGGCGACAATGGGAACGTGGATAGTAAATCTGATCACGTCGTGATCGATATCAGCGAGGGGACCCCGGAAACAAAGCGTACTCTGGTATGTCGGACAGATGAGCAGGTGGGTCGTTTTGTGGTCTACTTATGTACCTGAGCTATTTCTGATCAGATGCACAGTTTGAGATGGTGAGACAGTGCGTTCACAGTGATAAGTTTTGGTCCACCGAATGATGATGAGTAATGTATCATATTAATCGATTACATGTATCACCAATCAAAGATATTGAACACATACACCGGAGATGGAAATGTACAGTCGTGTGGGGGTACAGGCGAGACGGCTTTCTTTTGAACCATGCCGCCATTCCCAATTTCCCTGTTCTAATCGCCCTTGATCAAGATTTTCATTGTACCAGTTCCAATCCTAGTACATATTTTGCGTTTGGCTCTTCATCCTCGTCTCAGTCATATGGAATTAAATTCCGCCACCAAGAAGTGTGCATTGATCCTTGAATCGAGGTGATATGGCTTCCTTCCGACCCAGATGATGAAAGCTTCTATCTCTTCCTCTGCACTTGTACGAATGACATGACAGATACGACTTCATACTGTGTCTGTTCATTTCCTCGATGCAAGTGCTCAAAGTATTTCGCGGATCCTATGAACAGGAATGAGCAGCAAATGAAAAGCCGAAACTTGGGCTTACTCTTCGGTGCTTTGGTGATCATCTGCCAGTTAAGAACACTGTTCAGTTGCCACAAATGAGAAAGGCTCATTCACTGACACCATCTTTCTCGAGAGCCACAAGCGAGGGAAGAGAATCCTTAATTCCTACCTCTTTCAAGTGCCTAAGTACCATAGTATTCGCAAAATCCATGAATCTTTTCTTCAGAACCAACGAAGTTGCTTTTTTTTCATGAGCGCATCATCAATCGGTGACTCGTATGGCAGTGTGATCCTTGCGGCGGTTATGACAGCATCCGTCGCCGATATATATGCCTCCACAAAGCCTTCGGCCTCATGCCCATTGAATGATTCTAGAGTTAAAAGAGTTCGTCCCTCTCTATCTGCCATTGAAGCATCACACTCATCCGACAAGTAAAGAACGGAAGAACCACTGACTCAGGGGAATCGCCATAAGTTCGACGGGCAAAGCATCTCCATACGTATTTTCTGCCCAATACTTGTCGACAAAAACGGTGAGGTCCGTTATGACGGTGCTGGTCTGCGACCTTTTCATTCCGCGAGCATCACCAGACGGCGCGTCCCCCCTCCTTCGTGAGCCACTGCTTGTAGGCCTCCATACCTGACATAGCAGGAAAGTTTGCTGTGTGTCCAATTGCAAATATTCTTCCGAAAACCGTTATCGACAGTTTGCAACCCTTGAACGGCTTCGATGATACGCTTAGAATCTTTTTAGGATTATTGCCGAGGGTTCTCTGATATTGCACCTGTGCAAAGTCAAGGCTCAGAATCTCTAAGGAGTCACTTTTCTTCTTGAGTTCTTGCTCACTTTCCTTCCGGTTTTTGAGCTTTTGCTGCACGACCGCTTCTGCGGCGCCACCTTTACTCCAGCTCTCCACCAACAACTTGCGAAGACTACGGTTGGAGGCAGCTGTGGCGAAGAATGGTCGGTCATTGAATTCTGGCACCCCTGCTCGCATATTCGTCAATAGAATCAGAGACAAAAAGAGTTCGACTAACAACTTGCAGACATGAAAGGCAAAAATTACACGGACGTATAAATAAGTATAACGCATAGCGACGCGTCAAAACGAGTACCATATAAAGAGGCGGTGACCATAAAAGTTCATGAAAGGGCTGGGGAACAGAATAGTACAATGGAAACCGTATACATAGAGTCGTGACAGGAATCACCATGATCTCTCGGGAATAAGGTAGATACGGGCCCTCTTAGTCACCCATACATAGCGGTAGTGGCGGGCATTCCATAATTACAAGAATGATCACCTCTCTGCAGCGAGAATTGAGTGATAATACGCCACTGACCAGATACTTCACCACTCACCGTGAAAATAGAACATAGTACACCATTACAAATTGAAGAGACCGTAGTTGAGGGAATCATTGCTGGAGGCACAGAGGTATAAAGTGAATAGGTAGAGAAAACAGTCACACTACAAATGTTCAGTGACGACTGATGATGATACCACTAAGCTGGGCCTATCCAAATTAGGGTCAATGACAGGGTAATAAGTTGACGTGTTGTTCTCGTAGATCGGATTCGGTCCCATGGGAGGATGCGGAGGCTGAAAGAAATAAGGTACAGAGAACATAGATGTTTGTGGTGGTTGTTCCATTACAAGTTGCTCCACTGGCTGAATAGAATCGGACGACGAACGTCTTGACTCTGTAAAATCACGTTGGAGACGGTGTGAGAATAAGTAAGTGTTGAATGCGCATACCAGTATCCATGCCAGCGGGATCTTCGGCTCGGTGACTACATAGATGAGGGTATCCGGCGGAAGAGCAAGATTTACATGCCCGATCAATGCACTCATAATTCTTACGATCACAATGCGTGCAGGGTCTACAACAACAAAGTGAATGAGATTCACCGCATTTCTGACGGCTGGATCAGCCTACCGTTCACCGTTACAGCGTATCTTATCCCGCCTAACATCCTCATCAGCTCTCAAGTTTCTGGCAGGTAATCTCCAACCTACCTGCAATTAAGGCAGGCCTGTAATAGAATAAAGTAAACGAAAGCACTCGGAGAGACATGATACACAGACCTGCTTGACTCGATGTCCATGTCCACCCTGCCTCTTGGTATTGATACACTCTTCATTCGCATTTCGACATGGACCACACGGTCTTAGGTCGTCGCATCGCCTATTAGCCTTCCGGCAGCCCTCACAGCGTAGTTTTGTTGATTTTGGCCCTCGTTCCAACATTACGCATTCCTTTTTCCGGATTACGCAGCGTCCACAAGGTCGTTGCTCGTCGCACTTAGTAGCACTTTGAGACCCTTCTATAACCACAGATAAGATGATGAGCGACATACCTTTTTGTTGTCCTTACGACACGCTTCACACGCGAGCTTGACCCGCTCCCTACCATTCGGCCGAGCGCTCCTAGGCGGAAAGGAATTCTGTTGAATGCTCCGCCGTGCTTCTGCATTCGCATCGACACAAGGCAATGCCATCTCCCGGCAACGATGGCATGGCGCTCCATCTTCACATCGCACCCTCGCCCTCCGACAAGGTCCACAGCCCGTCACGCACTGGTTTGGCGCATATCCCTTCTTCGTGCATACACCACAAGGTCTACCGGCTCATATGAGAGGGTATCACGCAGGGCATCGAGGTAGGATCAAACCTGTTCCCATCGCACCCGACCTTGTCACGTCTAAAATAGAAACTCAGTGGAAGTGTGTCGACAGCAGATGGGGGTATTACCTGCAAGTTGAGCAAGCCTGTGCTGAAGATCAATCGCGATCTGACAGTAGGACAACAAAACATGCATGCCTGGTCCGTGCGTTTGCCGTTCTTCAATGCTTTTCCTAGCGAAAAGCTGAGGAGTGACATGTCTATCGGCTCCTGATGGGGAAGAAGATGGCTGGGAGGATTCATGGCGGTAAAGGTCGAAAAGGGATAGCCCGCTTAATTGGGAAGTGACGCCACATCAAGGTCCTCCGATCATTTTGGATCATTCCGGTACCTTGCCCTGTAAGTATCACAATTCTCTTAGAGAAAAATACATGGTATACATAAGGCTACATATTATCGCGGGCTACCAGCCATGGGAACGCCGCTCGTTGTATCTTCAGCTCGTTGGGTCACTAGGGCATTGGATTCGCTGACAACAGGAGAGGAAATAGCCGTCGGAAGAACTCCTGACTCTGTCCCTGTATCTGTGCCATTTTCCAACCAGATGCTAATTCCACCGGTGGAACCACCATCCATGCTATACACCGCAATGTAATTAATGTTCCATTTTGCATCTAAACAGAATATCACTAGAACAGAGTTCGGAAAATACGAGTGAAAGTACACCCACTCTGGTAATTTGTTGGGTCTTTAACAGCCTCGGCACATGTTCCCGGGCATCCCGCACTAGTGTAAGTTGCGTTAGCCCAGTCGCCACATAGCGTGGTGTCGATAACCAAGGAGTGATCCTTGAAAATTGATCCCGTATTGCAAGAGGTACCGTTTGGTAAGAAAGCTGCAGGCTTCCCCCAGCTCGCTAAGTCGGGCGTCCCAGCAATAATATCATAAGGTATACTCGACTTCGGAAAGTGCCAGATCCGAATTCCTTCGTCATTCCATAGATGCGCAAAGATACCGCCGCCAATCTTATTGAACTGCTTGCCATAGCTGTAGTTAGGATCGGATGTGTCCACCATCCCACAACCAGAGTTGTCGCTCTGGTTAACAGCACATTGCTCATTGTTGAGCTTTGCAGTCATACCGTCACTTGCCTGTATCATGCATCCTTCGCCGGTGTGGAATGTATACTGGTTGGCATTAGCATTGTGAACGTTCTCCAGGACATCAACTTCGCCTGTGAAATGCTTAGTAGTCTGAGGTTGACCACTAGAACAATGGACCGGTACCCTGGTTGGGCCAGTTGGGACCGACCGTCCTGGCAAGGAAAGGATAAACACCATGAAAAGTAGCTTCATATAACGGGTCCTACCACCAAGCAGGCCAGACAGAGCATCCATACGGCATAGCAGAAAAAGATGCAATAAACAGTCCACCATTATATGTTTTGACTGAACTGATGCGGACCCTGGACATTCAAGAAATCGGCAATTTGACCCCAGAAAGATTAATAAACATCAACGTACGAGTCCCGATATTCATTATCATTTAAGGACGTCGTATCATCAACAGCAAGCGTTACAGTGCCATCTTCCCCGACGAAGGCTAACTTCTTCTGCATGGCTGCCTCCATGGCTTGATACTTGACAGAACCATGAGTCGGATCTGCTTCCGACCAGTATTGCCATTTTCTATCAAAAACTCTTCAGCCAATGGGAGGCATAAAAGACCGACAATACGAACTCAGGGTTCAGGAAGTCTTTGCCCTTGTACATATCGAGTAAACGATATGTCCCGTCCGTGCTGGTATCCATCGCAGTCGCAGTCGATACAGGGTTGGTTGACGCATATATACCGGAAGCACCGGCATCAGTGACCTCAGGCGTAGCGGTGACCTCTTGCCGTCTAAGGGGAGTATATTTTGACATGTCCACATCCGACAACGTCGTAGGAGAGCCATGTATCAGGACGGTTACCCCGGGATCTCTTTTATAAATCGAATCGGATATCGAAGAAGGCATATGCGCCTGGGTATGTTCCAGAGAGTTTCTTCTCTCAGGCGCAGCTCCATTTTCTGCAGGATGGATGGGTAAGGAAAGTGAGAGGGTCGTAAAGTAAATAACCAGGAGGGCGAACTGAAAGATGGATAACATGACAGAGAAGGATTAGACAAGAAACCAGTTCTCGAAGCTTCTAAGACCAGCTTAGGAGTGTAGCCGGCACTTGGGCCGTGGAAATGAATGAAAGTAACATTGATTTTGAGAGCTGATGCGTCCTTTATGTAGACTGCTGGCAAGAGATGTGCATCAGGTTTGCTTAGAGATATAGCAAGAATTGCGATGGACTTGAGCGGTTTTGTACAAGTTTTGTAGTCAAATCAACGAGACCAGTGTCAGTCGGCCATAGGGATTGTTGATGGTGACTATGAGGACCCGGTCTGAAATCAACAGAAAGCAATCAAGCTTCAAGACGGGTGCACAGTAGCGTTGTCCAAAGCACAGAGTTATTAAAAGTATGGCTTCTGCTGAGTTGAGTCCCAAGTGCGGGGTCTGACCGACGTCCGTATGGCAGCGATGGCCTGGTCGAGAAGAAACTGATAGAGCACCTCTCCCTATGAAGCTAATAGTCGAAAGTCCTCAACTATCCACTGGGAGACGCAAACATGCAAGATATTACTGACTGACTGTTCACGTCAGTGTCTAGGCCTGGGGTAGTGTCGCGACTCGCTTGCACTATTAGGTCGGCGGCGCGGTCAACGGTGGGCACGATAACATCCAGCATCGATAATGCGAGGCCATTGGAAACGTCGTTCATTGGCCTGAGTATGCGAGGAGTCAGACCATCGAGTGGCGTCGACTCGGAGGACGAACGTACAGTAATGTTCAACTTGGTGACGGTGTCGAGGAGTTCGCGTCGGATTGATCCGTAGATCCGACATGCATGGCTGCCGACCTCTGCCGACTTGCCAATCACTGTCCGAACAGTGGTTGATACACTCGACGGAATCTGTCTTCCCCTCCCGTGGACCTTCTTCGCGCATGCCCAAGTCCTTCGCATATCCTCCGACCTCGACTTTTTCAAAATCACCGCACCGCAGCCCCGCAGCCGCCGAAATGCATCCAAGCAGCATTCGGACCCTTGTGAATTAGCTTCTGACCTATAAGTCGAAACTCAGCATGACCTCCGTAGCCGTGATTACGCTCTGAGGCGAAGTTCTGCAAACCCCCTCCTCCCCTGCATTTTTTACCCAATGGCCAGATACGGTTCTGCTTATTGTTAGTCTCCCCGTAGGTTTAGCTCACTTAGTTGTCGACTGCTGCGCCTTGCAGTCGCCTCGCAACAAATTTCCCCGCTTCACAAATTGCCGTCAGATCTTATATATGCAAGTCTTCTTTCTGATAACGGCTGAAGAAAGTCGACGACACGAGATGGATGCAATGATCATCGCTACATTCGAACAATGGTGGCCACGCGGGATCTTGCTCTCATAAGTGACGCCGGAATTCTGGTAACCAAGGGAATACCGCCCCGTTATGTAGTACAATAAGATGATGAATGATCCCTTAAAGATGTAAAGGCGTTGAGTCACCCTCGGGTTACATGTTCGTTGATCGTCCTACCTCACTTTTCTTCTCGAAGTTTTAGCTCGGGCAAATTGTCACGTCAAGTGTGTATATTCTATGAGCATCACGACTCGTTACGAACCGCCATACATAATGTACCTGTATAAAACATTATAACCCCAGAACCCCTAATCCTACAAACAGTGTAACAGCAATTAGATAAAAAAAGAGGACCAGCACGATCAACGTTAGAGAAGGATCGATGCTACCAGGCATCGCGATGTGTGCATTATGATACAATGATTGAGACGAAAACAAACGTGTAATGATCGTGACAGGCATACTACAATATGCTCTCCTTAGGACTGATAAACGGCAATATAATTGAGGGCCCACTGGGCATCTAAGACGTATTATCAGCTTCAAGAGGGCGAGCCACTGAAATGATTGAGACATACAATCGAAGTTAGTAGGATCAGCAACTGCGTCTGCACATGTTCCGGGACAAGCACCACCGTAGGCAGCGCCGGCCCAGTCTCCGCAAAGCGTAGTATCAATGGTGAGACTGTGGTCGTAAAAGTGATCGGAGATATTGCACGATGTGGACGGGAAGAAGGCGCCAGGGCTCGACCATGATGATGGATCCGGGGTTTGAGACGTGATATCAGCGGGTATCTCGTCGCGGGAAAAGAACCAAATGGAAATGCCATCATCAGCAAGCAGATGTGCGTAGACGCCTCCCGCAGCCATATTAAAGTTATGACCATAAGAGCGAGTATCGGTTTCTTGGAACGCGCAACCTGTGTTATCTCCATTACTCGAAGTGCATGTGGTGCTCAGGACCCTGCCAGAGGAAACGCTCTCGTTGGTCAAGGAGCAGCCACTACCGGTGTGAAGCGTATACTGATTAAGTTCCTGTAGATTGACACCCTCAATGACGTCGATTTCACCTATGAGCAACCAACAGTCAGTATAGACCAATACACTGATTGTACTTAAACTACTGACCACCGTTGGGCCAATCCGGACCGACGGACCTAGAAATAAAAGTTGAAAAATGATCGAAATTTAATAAAGGATGCACTTACCAATAAGCGGGCCATATACTGCAACCATGCGGCATGGAATAGATGTCCGCAATGAATAGGCCACTACTGTACTGAGTTTGTGAGCTGATACGAACTCTATATTCGTCAATCAGCACCGGCAGATGGCAGTCGTTGAAGAAATGCTCACGATGCCCGACTTTGGCCCGACTGTAACGTGGTAGTATTGTCAACCTTAAGGATGGTAGTACCGTCGTCCTGAACATAGGCGAGGCCTTTGGAAGCAGCATCCTCCTTGGTCTGATAATCAACGAGGCCGTTAGTCGGATCGGACTCTGAGAAAAAGTCCCATTCACTGCGGCAAAAAAAAGTGAGCGAGCTGTCAACGGGATAAAGATAGATCTCCTCACTCTAAAAATGACTGTCCCTGATACATGTCCTTCAACGTATAAGTGGCTTTGCGAACGTGGGGGGTTGATGCAGCGCGATTGGACATCCTGCGATGTTGGCGCGAAATACGATCATGTCCATGGGCGCTAGCAAAAACCGGCAAAGCGAGAGTGAAGAGCGCAGCGAAGGAATGCATTATTGTTGAAGGAGAGTTAATAAATGAGAGCGAAAGAGATAATGAGGATCAGATGCCAGCTGAACCGTGCAGAGGGTGAAAGTGAAGGACAAGAAAGGGTTAAATTGGTGGGGGCCAGGAGCACAAGGAGCACAAGCTGATGGGGGCGCCGGCGAACCCTTTTATACAGAGCAGCCATTATTGTCCTAACTTGATCAATCGATCTGTTTGGTAGGCTAAACAAATTTGACTTTTGTAATCGCTATGCCTATTTAGGTACAGAGCTGATTTCGGCACGGACATATCAACGCCAGTCAAGAATAATTTCGTGCAGATGCCACTGACTGGAGCAATGCATGAGAAGCCAACAATGGACTCTCATATTCTCGTGAAATAAATCAATGGAAGACTTATTTTTATCCTAATGAGCATCAACATGCGGAGGTATGAATATATGAAGATCACCAGGTACGACGAGTCGCGGTCTCCGCAAGTGCGATGGAACAGCATCTGTGGCAGAGATTCGATATAACGACAGGCACTCGGGAGTGTTTGATGGATGGATGGATACATATTCTGGCTGAAGTCTCCGTGTCTTGTTCCTTACGTAGTGCCCAAGCGGCGGTGATGTTACAAGCGGATTTTTCGGGGAGCATGAGGAATAGCCGATCACTGACACGACATCCAATTGATGATGGTAAGGCCCCATGAATCTGCGCAAGGTCTAGTCTTGAATACGCAGAAATGTGCAGGAGGTACTCGCGGTCACCATAGGCATAGATTGTACCCACGGGCAACAACATTCTGAACTATTCTGTAGCCACTTGAATGACCGCGGACAAAACAGTCTATTAGTCATGAATGCCTCTTGCAACCCCGAGTTCCAGGATGGAGTACTGCGTTGGTCGGCAACTTGTTCTACATTACCCCTGAAGATCAACGTTTGAAAAATTTCACCATACCTTCCTTTGACAGACAGATACTGTCAAGAAGGGTCGAGATCACTGTCGACGAAGGTTTTACATAACGTATACTCCTAAGAAAATGAATAAAAAGTTCGAGTGACTGAGCTAACTTGTGTTGATCAGGCCGTAGGTGAAAAATTGGATTCCACATGTACTGATGTCGTACATGGAAACGCAGTTACGATTGCTTTTTATCATGTCGCCTTCGTTTGGAGTCCCATTCTTTTCTCCATCGAAGCCATTCGTGCTCGCGACCCCCATCTGCCCATACATCCCAGCCGTCGCGTATCTGAAACCAAGTGGATACGGGGTTCGCTAATAGGAATATTTTGAGCTTGCCGAATATTGAAGAAGGTTGCCGCCGCGGAAGTATTTGAGAAGCAACAAAGAGCATGATGGCAAAAAAGACGCCAATGCCGAAACCCCACAAAATTTGATGTGCGTTATGGTATCCGAGAGCATACCTACGTAAATTTGCATTAGAAAATAAGACCGCCATGGTGGTACCAGATGCTCACCTGGAATACGCGACAAGAAGAGCCCAACTACAAATTGCAAAGTAGACCAGGACGCGCCATGTAAAATCAAGTAGGGTATAACCAGTTGTCCCGAATTTGTGTTGGAAATAGAGATGGCAAATCAGAAACGTTGCGAAGTAGCCCATGTATTGACTATGAGAGGATGGAAATCCATATCCATTACCTATACGCTGAAATATGTGAACGTGCGCATGAAACCGATTCTCACAGCACACACCGACAGAGCCTGCAGGTCTGTTCTCTTTTACAGCCCGTTTAATCAACCAGCTCAAGGCCTCACAGGCGAACTGCCCCGCCCACATCACTATGACGACGTACTCTCGAGTTTGTACGGCCAATGACGCATACGCTGGCTACATTGATCAGTGATGGCTGAGCACAGATATCGTGACACATACCATGAGAAGAATAGGGCTCAGTGTCACTAGAGCGAGCCCAAGAGATAATAGAGAAGAATCATCGTCTACAAGGACGTATTCGCATCAGCGGTTCACACAGGAGAAGAAGCCCTACAAAGAACGTGCGTCAAGTCCAGCGATGCTTGCGGACCACGGTGATAGGCCATTATTCCAAACTGCGGTATAGTGGGGAAGGTATTCGGTGGTGTATCGACCGTAATAGTGACAATCACCCTGGTGCACGACGAGGACGACGACGGGGACTAATACCACTCACACCGCTTGTCGCTCACCATCGTCATCATGTGATGTGACGTCAAACATTAAAGCAGTCAGATTGAGCTCCAACTGGTCTCACTCTCTTACTTTCTCCGTCAATGTCCTTCCCTGTTAAAGAAATCGCGACAGAGCCTTTCGAAGGCCAAAAGCCGGGGACCTCAGGCCTCAGGAAAAGGTTTGCCATCGTCTCTCTTGCCTTTGCTCAACATCACTGATGAAGGTCGCGACAGGGTCAAGGTCTTCCAGCAGGAGGTACGCTGATAAGACGCGTCTCATTGATCAGGCATTCACAGAAAATTTCTGTAGCATTATACTGAGAACTTCGTCCAGTCTATCTTTGATTCCATCCAGGCAAAGGGATCAACTCTCGTAATAGGTGGCGATGGACGCTACTTCTCACCAGAGACCGTCCAGACCATTCTCAAGATTGGGTCTGCCAACGGCGTCGCCAAGCTGATCATCGGGAAGGATGGCATACTGTCCACCCCTGCTGCTTCCAATGTCATCAGAAAGTACAAGGCTGATGGTGGTATCCTCCTGACCGCCAGCCACAACCCTGGTGGTCCTAACAACGATTTTGGAATAAAATACAACGTATCTAATGGTGGCCCTGCCCCAGAGAATGTCACGGACAAAATATTCGCAAAGACCAGGACAATCACCAGCTACAAGATCATCGAGGACAAACCGGTACGTTCCTGCGATATTGCATATGGTCTGCTTCATTCATCAAAAGTGCGTAGGTGGACCTGTCCAAGATTGGAGAGTTTACCTATGGTCCTACAAAAGTTTCCATAATCGATTCCGTCGATGATTATCTGATCCTCCTCGAAGAGATCTTCGACTTCCCCCTCATCAAGTCCTTCCTCTCTTCTCACTCCAACGATTACCGTGTATTATTTGACGGTCTTCACGGCGTTACCGGTCCGTATGCGTCCAAGATTCTTGTCGATACCTTAGGTTTGCCGCCCACTTCTGTCCAGAACTGTGTACCTCTTCCAGACTTTGGCGGAGGACATCCCGATCCTAATCTCACTTATGCTCATACCCTGGTCGAGGCCGTCGAGAAAAACGGTATTGAATTTGGAGCGGCAAGTGACGGCGATGGTGATAGGAACATGATCTATGGCAAGGGCGCGTTCGTAACTCCTTCAGACTCCGTGGCCATCATCGCGGATTGGGCTGATGTGATTCCTTATTTCAAGAAGCAAGGCGGTGTTAAAGGTTTGGCGAGAAGTATGCCTACGAGCAAGGCCATCGACTTGGTTGCAAAGAAGAAGGGTTTGGAATACTTTGAAGTTCCTACCGGTTGGCGCCATGTTCCTCCATTCTTGCGTGCTCTAACCATATCCTAAGGCTGGAAATTCTTCGGAAACCTGATGGATGCCGGACGTCTGTCCATTTGTGGCGAAGAATCTTTCGGTACCGGATCTGATCACATCCGTGAAAAGGATGGTCTCTGGGCAATTGTTGGTGAGCCGCACACCACTAGATACGTCGCCTGAGTACTCAATTCTGGATAGCTTGGTTGAATATTATCGCTGCAGCCAACGCCAAGTCTCCCAACAAGCTTATCGGCATTAATGATTTGCTCGAGTCTCACTACACGACTTACGGTCGTTCATTTTTTAGCCGTTACGACTATGAAGAGGTTACATCTGAGGGTGCTCACGCTATGGTTGATCACATCAACAAGGCCCTTGAGTCAGGTTCTTTGAACAATTCCGTGCACACATCTGCTTCTACTTCCACCACATTTACGGTTTCTGGATTGTATAACTTCTCATACACTGACCCCATCGACCATTCCGTCTCGAAGAACCAGGGTCAGGTTATTACATTCGCTGATGGATCTCGGGTGGTATTCAGGTTGAGCGGCACCGGAAGTCAGGGCGCGACTGTTCGTATGTATGTAGAGAGGTATGTACCCCCTGAGGCTGGACCTGCCGCCTTAAAGAAAGATGCGGCGGAAGGTTTAAAGGGCTTAATTGAGGTTGCGCTGGAGATCAGCCAGCTGAAGGAGTTCTTGGGTAGGGACAAGCCCACCGTTATCACTGTAAGCACTTCCTCTTTGTACTGCTACTCTTGAGACTGACGATTCGTGCCTTCCAGTAATCTGAAAACGGCGTGTTTCCCTGAAATAATGACAAATAATCGATGTAAAATTAGTATTCATGTTAGATGAAGGTTCTTTCTTTGCACCTTCTTAGATACGGTCAATGTATTGAAGCTGAAGTTCACTATACCGAGTAGATGGCTGAAGATATTGAACAGCTTTCGCGGGTATCGCAATATTTTGAAATAACGTCATTCGCTGGTTGCGGGTAAAAGTGAAATTAATTGGTCCCGACCCTTGGTCAGTACGCCATGAATTTCTTCTTCAATACTCCAGCCTCCTGAATACAACAGAGAATCTCCATCAAATCTATCCATACATTATGCAAAACTCTGAGTTTAGCTAGGTGCCGCTACTCATCTCCAAGAGCGCCTCGATGCTCTTCCCTAAATCACCTGTATTGGCCTCTAGCACCCACTCTATAACCTCCCTGTCCACAGCGGGGAATATCTGTATCAGTGTGTCTCGCGCTGCTTCTGCTGCCTGCTCATGCGCGGTATCAATCTCCTCCTGCATTCCCACCAGATCCAAGTTGGGCGTCGGTGTGCGCGAAACATGGGCATAATCAGGTCGATATGGGGACGCGAAAAGTGACTGTGAAGGACCGATTGCTAATGGCTGATTTGTATACGGACCAGGCCGTGAAGGCGTCTCCTCAATCCCAGGGGAGAACGACGGAGACGGTACGCGTCGCACGCGAGGCTTATACGGTGTCTGTAACGGAGGTTGGTATATGCCATCACCCATAGGTGTTTGTGGTACCATTCGTGGAGAGCCCGATCGTGGGGAATCTTGTTGCTGTTGATACTGTCGAATTTGATCCGGGTGTGACCAGTGTGGTACAGGTGGGGGAGTTCCTGTGCGTTGTTCTCGAACGGTCTCGAAGGGAGCGAAGGGAGAGGCGGCGCTGTCGATGGCTTCATTGAGTATACGGCTTATGGCGTTGAGAGGCTTTGATATGGTGTCGCCTGTCTTTTGGAGAAGTCGTTTCGCGTCATCGGAAAGGGTTTGCGCAGGTGTAGGGAGGGAGAGTGGCTGTGCAGATTCTTCACCTGCATGGGAAGGAGTGGAGTTGCTCCATGATGACGCTGGTGGTGGTTCGGCAGCAAAGTGTATAGCAGGTGAATCGCCATCATTGGGTAGCGACTGGATGGCTTCTTCGACATTCCTGCAGAAGTAGGTTAACAGACTCCTTCCCAGTGAACAGACCAGACGCTCACTTCTCGAACTCTTCTTGCGTAATGTTTGATAGAGAAGTATGATCCATGGTTTCGATGAAAGATACGGCACCCATCTTGGCATAAAGATGAGCATTCCCTCTCGATGAGACAGAAAGTGGCATACAAGGCTAGATAGATAATACCCTGCCTCACTTTGCAGTTTAACGGGATTCCTAAATCGGTTGATGAACCTGGGAGTGAATAAAGGTCAGCGAGCCGCAGAATCACAAAAAATGATACCCACTCAACGTTCGATAGAAGATTCTCCGGATTTGACTTCAGAACGACGAAGATGAGTATCGGAACAAATGAATCTGCGCCCTCTTCTGTTCTCAAATGTCGAATTAAGCCTCGATGAAATTTTGAGCTTAGGACTTTTGGACGTCAAAATAGGCTTACATACCAAATATAACTTTGCAACAATTCAGTATACATATGAGTTTGTCGCGAGGGGCTTTGTAATGGTTAATCTTGAGTAGCTCTATTGGCAGAACATAAGATGGGAATTCAGTGACTGCGTAAAAATCGAACCTTGCTGAGCAAACATCAAGAAACCTTTGCTACCATCTCCTTCTGGAATATCAAGGTGTTTTTCCTCTACCCACCCAAAAAGAGCTATTCGTTGGGAGAGTACACGATCTCGCTCCAGATCATCTGCGGTGATTTGTCGGCGAGGTACCGCTCGCACCACTTGAGGCGTAAATGTGCTAGAGAGACATAAGTACAGAGAGTAGTAGCATAACAAATACCAACAATTGATAGAGCTGATTCATTACCAGCTTCTCCATGCCCTCCATAGCATTGTCAAATTCGACATCTGAAGCACTACGCCAGACTTCACATTCACGCATTTGCTTCGCGATGAACTACATAATAGCAGAGAAGTCAATGAAAGCTGTTGTGCAGGCATCGAACAATGCGTACGTTCAAAAAATCATTTATGATCTTGATTTGGTCACTGACGGTGAAGGTACGCTTGGCAAAGTTACTCAGAAATCTACAGTCTGATGACTTAATATTCAACAGATGGGAGAGGAAAGACTTACGATTTGAGATATTTAGATACTGGTTCTGCATTTTTGCTCTTCATCTGATCCAAGAACTTCGGAAAATCAAAAGGTGGATCGCCCTTGCCCCGATCTACGGCTAGCGAGTTCTCTCTCGGTATTCCTGGAGAACTAGTTCTTGAGGTTCCCAGATTCGTTTGAGACACCGGCTCATACTTTGGGGGTTGCTGTTGCTGAGACGCAAATGACGACAATGCATCGGGAGAGGGAACGGGCTTTGCTACATCAAGTGAAAGAGGACGTGAACGTGTTAATTTTGGCATTTGAAATGAGCGCGCCAACGCAGCTAATGAGGGAAACGACGACGACGCCTGAGCATCATTGGGCGGCGGGGTTTGATCTTTCGATGGCGGTGTTGGCGCGACTGGTGAAGGGGCTGGATGTGGTGGATGACCCTCGGAACTCTCCCATGCATCCTTTGCATCCTTCTCTTCCTGGTTTACCAGTGGGTCGAATTCTTCAAGTATTTCCTGAGCGTTTACCAGTTCTGGAACAGTATCTGACGCCGGTAGAGATATCTGTATGCCCAGCCCAGATGCTATCGATTCGTCCAGCGCCGACGGGTCTGGCGTCTTCAAGCGGTGAATTGACGTTTCCAGGTCTCCGTCCTTCTTGGTAGCTTCCGCCGTGTCGTCCTTCCATGGATTTGGAGAAATAGCCTCATCTACCGATATTGATGTCACGTCATGGGCTAATTCGGATATCTGAAGCTTTTCAACATCGGGTAGCGCGTCGCCGGCTGTTCTGGCTGACGTAGACGCCATGCCTACAACGCCACTGGCACTGGCGGTAGTATTGGACAGAAAGAAAGACTGTGCAGTAACGGATTGACTAAACGGAGCAAGAATGTTGTTGCACGTGACGAAAGATAGGGGCTCCCCCCGTCATGGCACGATTCGTATATATTCCAACAAGATACTAATCATACAGAAGGCAAAGGGCAATAAATCTTCTCATGTTACACGGCGAATTCTCAATGGCATTCCATCCGCAGGCTCTGGAATAAGTTCATCAGTCATCGACTCTTTCAGATAACTTCTTTCACCTACTCATCGTAATCGCAGCAGAAGGCCGGGCTTGCTGGCCGTCGTATGCAGGTTCAAATTCAAAATTCGTTATCAATGCCCTACAGAATTTCCAAGTTAAACAAACCATGATAATACGAGTCAGCAGACACTGACGCTAGGACAGCCTTCATCTCGACGATTGCCATGGTCTTACCGATGCATCCATGCGGTCCAGCAATGAAAGAGAGAAGAGAGAAAGTGGAGTTGTATGCTTTGGGTAAATTCAACCACCGTTCTGGATGGAACCTGCCACACCATATGTCAAATGACTTGATGGCTAATATTTCCATCAATCTTACTCACTCTTCTGCGTCTTCGCCCCAGATGGTCTGCCAGGTATTCACGTTTCGAATCTACACCATTGATCAGGAAACAGAGTTGTACATCAGCGGAGTTGGATCTTACAGAGATATGCAATAGGGTGCCCTTCGGAACAAGAACCCCCTCAATATAGTCGGTTTTGGCGGTCGTTCTAACTGTGAGTGGAACGGGGGGCATGACACGCAAACTCTCCATCCTACATTACAGTCGTTACGTTGCCAATACAAGGCAATGTTACATCAACTTACACCACACAATCCAACCATTGCATGTTTTTCAATGTTTTGTAATCGGGCCTGGGATCGGCTGCCATAATTGGACGTACTTCATCGCGCAAGCGTTGCTGGTTGGTTTTGTCATTCGCCAGAAGCCAAAGGGTCTGGTACAAAAATGAATCACGCTTTTTGGAAACATGAGGGAGATTTTTTACGTACCCAAGTCAACCCACTCGCCGTAGTCTCATGACCAGCTCCAAGGAAAGTCAGCTACGTGAAATTTCAGTATGGTTTTCGCATCGGGATGGGATCACCGACAACTTGGTCCATCATCGCAGCATCACTCATCGCGTATGCCGTCCGATCTTTATTCAAATCAGCTTGTCGCGCGCGCACCAAGATGCTCATAATATCTTTCTTTGTGTGTGTATCGTCCACACTGACCCCAGATTCAGATGTCTCTTTCATTTTCTGGTCCAAAATTTGTTTCGAAATATCTCTTATACAGTGCGTTGAGTCGATTAGGGGTGTGAGAGGCGCTTACTTATGTGTCAGCGGCGTGGTTGTCATCTGATAAAGGTATTCTTACCGAAGAATCGAATATAAGAAAACATGCCTCTTATTTTATAGGCCAGATTCGAGGACAAAAATTTGGCCCCACCCGGAAGCGACACGAAAAGGACGAGACGAGCCATGTTCGGACCTAGGTTGAAGAGCAATCAACTTTCGTAGAATCAAGCGGTCGTAGGTTTACCTGATTGTAGGCTAAGTAGCTTTTCATACCTGTCTCACTACTGTCAGAATCTTTTCAGCTCTGAATCAACAGGAAGAAGACTCACGCCTCCGCTAGCTCATTATGCGGATTATGCAGAGAGTCGGTATGGTAACCAAAGGCTGTCTCGCAAATGATATCTAGTGTTGCTTTACTCACTATGTTCGAAGATTAGTACATCAAATACCAGCAGAGGACCAGCTATAGGTTTACTCCATTCATATACAGGTAGAACTGCTCCTTCAGGACCGGGAAGTTGAGATGAAAGAACTTGGATGAGACTAGTAAAAACATATCGTTGAGATGATAAAACACGTGATGGAACCACTTTCCCTTCAATCGGTTCGTAATACATATCGGTTTCTGAATTTAAAGGGTAAGTAAGCCAAGGCGGAGAGAAAAGAGATCCCACGTACGCGCCATGAGGTTCGGAATCGAGAAGGCTGGATTCATCACTTTGCGCATCTGTCTATGTTCATTTCCGGTGACAGTGAGCAAGCCGTAACCAGCCACGAGGCCCAAGATATTCCTAAGATACTGCGGCTGCAATCAGTGATTAACAAACAATCGCTGCTAGCTTCCCGGGGAGCCTACCCTGGGACAATCTAGCCACTCCTTCACTAGCATGTGGTGGAGGGCCTCTGGAGTCATGAACATCAAGCGCTCCATACCTACAGGCCCCACGACGCGTACGACAGGTCCATATTTCTTAATCCATTCCCGTTGGACTATACCCGTCTCATAACGGAAAATCTTGATTGACTGTCCAAAAATTGGCTCGCCAATCGGCGGTCCAGGTACAGAACGAAGAGGAGACAAGAGATATGGATACAGGAAGAGTTGATGAATGACTTTGTACAAGACCAGCGCTGAGATTGAGTCGCGTGAGATGGTAAGGTCGTGAGATGGTAAAGCCGTACCTCCGACGAAATAATACAAATGTCGGATAGTCAAGGTAGCCTCAGACACTGCTTGCACGACGATGCTAATGGATGACATGGTGGTATTAGAAGAGATGATTCTTTACATGCATAACTACGACCGCGTATTCATATGAAAGGCTAGAATTGTCATATGATCGGCCCCGATGATCTCTATCAAGTACTAACGGCCACCGACGGCCCACGGCCCACGGTCCATATTCAGGGTTGGAATCCGTAATCGAGATGACACGTCTGAACCAAATCGAGCTAAGTTTTGACTAAGTCAATACGCAGTGGCAGCAGCTTGAGCAACACTGGGGTGATTGACAAAATCATTGATACAAATAAGAAATCAGAAGTATATAGTGTCATGAAGGACGACAGGAGCTTTCATCGATTTCCCGAGTAACAAACACCATCAATGAAGAGTGACAACAAAACCCATCCCGTTCCCCAAGTACCAAAACATTTTCACGGAAGCACCCTTGGTGACCCTCTTGCTGAACGTTGAAACACCTGCACCGTTACGGCCATAACGGCCGACGCTAATAGCCAGCTGCCGCCGAATAATTGCACAGGAAGGAAATTGATTTTCTTGGTAATAGGGTCGGTGTATCGGTCAAGGATTGCCCCAGAAACCGGTGGACCAATCAGAGTACCCGGCTACAAGAGAAATAAGACAAAATTCATCAGAAAGGCTTTCTGCATACCACAAAGCTGGCAAACATGACTCCGGTAATGCTTGCCAGACCTTCTACGCCATACAGATCGGCGGCGACTGCGAGTCAATTAGAAAGCGCCATGTGCTTTCATCGGTGTAGTTAGAATGAAAGACGTACCGACTGGATATAGGCTAACATAGCCACCGGTGAAGAATCCGTAAAATGAAGTGAAAACCATCAGTCCTGCGAGGCTACGAGTGAAAGGCCATATTGCCAGTTGACCAACGCCCCCCAAAAATTGGCACAAAGATAAAACATGCAAGTGACCAAAATGATCGCCGACTACGCCTAGAAACTAGACAGAGTTAATATCTGTGGCAATCCGACTCGGAGGGCAAATTATTACCACACGACCTAAAGCCGAAAAGCCTGATATGAGAGCAGCAGCATTGGCGCCATCCTGCGCATCGCGCTCCAGTCTGTTGACGACATAGTCTACACATGTAAGAAATTTATATTTCAAGGAGTACTGCTTGACACTCACCAGGTACATAGAATATAGGAACATAAAACCCAGGACCGCTGAACAATCCGATTGAGCAAAGGGTAAGGAATACTTTGTTCATCAGCAATGAACGATTAAATTTTCTAGGTGGAACTACAGAAGACCGAGGGCGGAGGAACACGTCGGCTATACCTAGAGCTAGCAGGAAGGTCAGGATCGAGGGTCATGGCATTCAAATCGAACGTATACAACTGACCAACCAGGGTCATCAGACCAGTAATGCGAAGAGCCCAGCGGAAGCCAACATGATCGATCAGTTGTTGTGTAACGGGACTAAGCACCAAGCCTCCAATGCCTAGAAATGAGTGTCATCAAAGTCTAAGGAAGAATCAAGAAGAGAAATACCATATCCGCTGGCCGCTATCCCGGTCGCCAGTCCTACACAGTCACTTTGAACAAGAGACTTGAATTACACTCTAATTCCAGAACTAACCCCGGTACTTGGTGAACTGCGTATCCCATAATCACATTCAAAAGGTTGTAGCTTGCAAAGGGAAGATACTCACCCACTGAGAGGGAATGCATACAGCTGGAATAAAAGCGAAGCCGCTTCCAATGCCGAACATCAATCCTACGAGATCACAGGATCAAAAATTCAATGCTGTAACTGCATTGTCGATGCAAACACCGACCTTGAGTCAAATACAGATGCCATACCTGCGTCCTGTATGAAAACAAACAACATCGTGTTGCACACGTCAAGAATGTGCACTTACGAGAACGACGCTGTGATCAATGCTAGGCACATAACACACGTCCCAATAAATCCAGTAACTCTGAAGCCGATACGCTGTGCCAGAATGCCAGCTACGCTGTGGAAGACGTGAGTTATACGACCCATCTAACACGTTGCTCGCATATGAATGACTCACAACCCAACCAGAGGCTGTCCAGTCGCCTGTATAGACCCAACCCAAGCGAGATTCGAGTTAGATACAGCACCTACGTCTTGTGACGTGAAGAAGTGATTCTGGTATACGCCCCACGAGGATTCAATCCTTCGTGTAATAGTTGTTTCTTGAGTAATTTAGATAAGATGCGTCGACAGCGACACCCACCCTAAAGCGAAGAAGTGGACCACGAATGAGCAGCCGACACATATCCAACCGTATCTACCATCAGGGGGAGGTGTTTCAGAATGAGAAATAAAGGAAGATCCCATCTCCGATAATCGGGCATCTTCAGTCGGTAAAGCTGAGGGGGTATTCATGAAGCCAACGAGATAGAAAGACACATCGCATAGTTCTCCGTATTTAAAGGAACCTCGAAGGCGATCAGCGTAACCCAAGTTCACGACATTCTCTTGGAAGAACAACCACATCTAACGAGCGCTTAAGATATACGAAATGTAACCAGACCGGAGAAGTGCCCCCTGGCAGTGAACTCGAAATAGCGCTCGAGATAGCATAATTAACGCTCTTCCATCGCCGATTAGCCAGACATAGACCGGCATAATGTAATGGAAGGTTAACACAGACATAGACTAGTACAGACGCGAGAGGAGTCCAAACTCATACTTTAACAACTAGAGAAATTTTAATGGAAGCAGTCGGTGAAGTGAAATAGAGCGATGCATGTACAAGATGAGTTGGTACCTGGCGGCCGGAGAAACGACGAGTCCGAATGCTAGGGGGTAACTGCGACAAATTGTTCACAGCGTCTGTCAGGACAGCTGAAATGTTGGACCTTGTTGAGTATCCTCGTGTAGCAGAACGTTAAAGCGTGTTCGGCAATGCAGTAACAGCGTCCGATTGCTACTATGGTCATACCTGCCGGTCGGTGTACCTCATATTATATCTTTCTCCAGCAGTCGGTGTGTTCTGTCCAACTTGAAGGACTGGTGTCCTCAAACGAACACTGAAGTGAACGCGGTTCAAGTGACATCCCCATAGCTGATCTCGCGTGATAGTGAAAACGCTAACTTTTGACGCCCTGGAGTGGGCACAATCAAGATGTGTCAGACGCCCATCAACTAATCAAGACTCACGACTTATGCAATGCTAGGTGCCGTACCGTGTGATGACGAGATGAGAGAGTTGTCGTTTTCCACGCGTTCTTCAGACATGCATATCGTCCAGCAATTAACGATAAGTTCGAGTTGTCCTTCTCCGGTAAATTCAGCCATCAATTCGGGAATGCACTAGATGCATTTTAGACGGTGACTTACTCTTCTCACCCAAACATTGCTGTAAATATTCAAATTTTGAATCTACATTGAAGTAAGATATGATTGCTGGCACAGCCAAATAGAAGTGTAAAGTGTAATTGACGTACAGTGTTATGGATGTCGTGGATAAAAGCACAAAAATGTCATCCTGATTTGGTAGTCATCCTGATCGTTGTAGGTACCGGTGTCCTAAGGCTCCAGCTTTCCATCCTCCGAGTAATCCTAATATCGGGAAAAGTTTGGATGGGAAATGAGGGATCGCAGCATGCACGACATAATGCGAACAATTCAAGTAGTCAAATTGATTTGATTTGATGTGCGATAATCACGGTCGGAATCACCCCCCCCCCCCTGGACTTCAAGAAGCTTCTCCTGGCTCTTAGAGTAACTGGCAAAAGCCATGGAGTTTAATAAAACTTATGATAATAAAATTGTAACACAATCGAACTTGAAACGCTGAAAATGAAAAACATAAGTAAGTCAAGGCGCTTGGATTGGTTTCATGTCCGGCGCTCAAGTGGGCGCTAAAGACAGCGCTCGGCGGCATTAGTATGAGAAGATTCCATGCGAGGGAATAAGAATGGACAAAGGAGAGGGTTAGACCGGAACAAAGCACGGAATCTGGATGTCAAGCCCAATTGTGAGTACCACAACAGGAAAAGGATCATGCTTGCGGCATTGGTAGATGTTGGGTGCTGAAGAAATTTGCAGATACTTGCAATGTAAGTTTCGGTACGGAATTGAGCACGAGAAAAACGCTTCACGAGGAATACGGCTAACGTATGGGCCATAAGTTTCGGGCCAGTAAATGCCAGAGTCATCGCTTTTCTCATATAATTGTGCGAAGGTTGGTCAAGAACCTATACCAGCTATCAAGCAAAGGTCGTTCTGAAAATAGCGCGTCTGAAGAGCACGTCATGACGGAATGTGAAAGGGACCAAGTCATTAGCTCACCCTGGGATAATGTATCCATTCCTTGAGTAGAATATAGTGATAAGCCTCCAGCGAACGAACTTGGGTTTCCCGAAAAACTAGCACCGATGAGAAAAATGTGAGAAGATCCGACTCGGAATTGATCCTGACAGTCCCAACCATATTTTTGGAAGCAAAAAAATTAAATGTGAAAGTCATACATACCAGAGACATTCTACATGCCGATCTCATACGAACAGAGTAGTACAGACCAACGGTTATCAGTATCCAACTCGGACGAAGTCACCCCTGGCTGATGGATGTGTGGAAGAGCGGAGGCCTGAATATTGAATCTGGAAGAGGTCTTCCGGGACGTTGATAGTTAGACGGTCCGATCAGATGGTTGCAAGGAAGTGTTGGTACCAGTGCTTCGTATTTTTTGGTGATGATATGTACACATGGATACGATGAGCCATCGAGAGTACTAGGTAAATGTAATAACCTCCGAGTCGCATGCAGTGGAGATAGAGCGGAACCTTGAAGTTGGAGTGACACCCAAAGAAAATCCTGAAAATAGTTAGAAGAAGTAGAGAAAGCTGAAAACAGGTCGGAGAAGAACAGAATGAAGGTGAGCACGAAGGCAGTGCGTAGGGGGCTATGCTGTTCAAACTCCGCTCTACTCCGCACGACGCGTCCGTCGACCAACAAGGATCAACCGCCCCCTTTTGGTATTGTACTTCGTACCCATACCCTCACCTTCAAATACCCCTAAAAGCCGTCGATTTTCTGACTGCTTCACTTTAGCACTACTTGACCGTTTTGCTACACATTTTCCCAAAAATTCGCTATGGGCCGGGCTCTTTTTTCCTCTATCTATCACTCTGCACCAGCGGTAGCGACGCCCATACCGTTCGCAGATACTCCTTACGAAAAGACGTATGAGAACTGGAGCATCTTCAATCAATTCGATCCAGACTCGGATGATTTCTTCGAAGATGCGCAGTACGAGGCGTTCATTACCGACGAGCAGGAGCAGGAGCAGGTCAGTGAGCGGTCAGACGTCGGCAGTACTCCTGCCTTGTCGCGGGAGAGCAACATGGAGGATAGGGGCAGTCCCATGGCTGTAGGCTCAGACGATCCAGCCGCAATGCTGGCCGATGCAATTGAGAGTGGGGAATGGGACCAGAGCCTGTCCGAGGCCACCATTGAAGGCGACGCAGACGTCGAGAATGACCCTCAGTGGCGGCGTGTAGGCGACTTCGCCATCTGGACCAGGCCAGTCCTCGCCAGTACACGTTTCGTCTCAGACACTCCAGCACCCAGCCTGCCACCCTTCCTGCCACCGTCGTCGCTCCGAAACTCGACGACGGCGAGCGATCTCGATGATGATGAGCCTGCCACTCCGCCGAGACGCAGCGTCACTATCGCGCCCATCACCATTCCCCGTGAACCGTCATCGCCCAGCCCCGTCACCCCAGATGGCCCCCTGACACCGCCCGATGCTCCCTTTTCTCTATCCTCGTTGGCACCTTCCCCGGCTCCAACTGTGACGCCTCGCGTTTATCGCTGGACTGCATTACCTTCCCAGCGCGACAGCTCGGGTCCTCTCACAAATCCCAGTGCTCGCATGTCGCACGCGCGGATTGTACCTGCTCATATTCGTCTTCCCACCTTTGCGGTGTGATCATTAAAAGTATCCCTTGTCATAGATCGGGTCGGTCTGTTTATACAGTATACTATCAGCTATCTATCTTCTCATATCTGAACGCATCGTCCCTTCCTTTGTTGTACTTGGGGTGGAATTGTGTTTGGATTTCATGTTGCCATTTTTCCCTTGTCTAGATTTGCGTTCTCCTGTTTGTGTTCCGTATGCTCCCGTCATCGACACACGCTCCTTCCATCTTGTATGTAACACGGCAGTCTCTTTCGTACTTACATTACTATCTATGTATCAAATGGAAACTTGAATGCATGGTCCGCCCATTCTCCAATAACGGTGAGCTCCTGGTCTCTAAGGTTTTTCTGTCCTTCGCTCTTCAAGACAAGGCTGCACGGTAATAAGAGTCATAGTTTAAAAGTCTCAGTTAGGATGTCTAGTATTATACTGGTATCCACATCAAAGAATATAAGGCACCGTCTGCCAATCCCCTTTCCTTGTTTCATATCTCGTAACAATCATCGACCTGAATAAAAGGCGTCTGAAAGATGTGCAACTCGTGCACATGCTCGATGCTCTTCATCAAGCAAAAACGGGTCTGGAAGCAGAAAATTCTCCGGGTCGTTGGTCATGAACTGGCCAGAAACTGTTTAAAACATTCTCTCCTCTAAATCGCTCGAGGAAAGCGTGAACGCTGGCTGAATGTTTCAACTTTGAATGTTGTTGTTTGCGGTCCCCACCATCTCAAAATATAATCACATACCATAGGCCTAGGGACGGTGGAGATGAGACATGGCTGAAGCAATTGGCTCAACATCCGAACCTGTGAGTGTTTTTTTCCGAACTCGAAAGTAGTTGCGTTCACAATACTTACATCTTTTCAGCCAAGCCGAACGACGGGAGGACCCCCAATCACATGTCCGAGTCATCGCCTGATTCATCTGAGGACTTCCCTCCCAGCGCCATGGAAGAAACTCACTGGCCTCGAAACGTGAGCGGCATTAATGCGTATTTTCTCGCTGGCATCATTTTCAATGCATGTGCGATCTCCTCAACATCCTCTGCTCTGTTAAAGAAGCCCGCATCATACCCATCGAACGGAAGGCCAACATCACTGACAGCGCAGAGGCAGCCAAGGTATACATCTAACTTTCCTAGCTATTTCGTGCAACTGAAGATGAATTTATAGCTTGAATACCCAACGAGAGCAGCTGCGATTCCGTCCCAGTTTGGAAAGATATTTTTGACGAGCTCAGTGTCGATGGCTTGAATGGTCTGAGTAACATGATGACCCTGAATAGCTCGATCCATCGATCTCTTGATGCAACTTCATACGTGTCTCACGGCCGTGGAGGTATTGGTCGTACTTGTGGGGCTCTTTCAAGTCATTAATTCCTCACTTTTAGTGAAACCTTTGACGACGAATCTCAATTCTTAGGAAAGTTTTGGAATAAGAAGTGTCTCCTAGACAATTTTTGCAAGTCGATTCCAGTGAACAGAGGTGGCATCATTAGCGTTTCTATCCCTACCACCTCTTGCGCCATCGACATCGATGGCCATCCTCATTTCAATAAACTGCCTGTGTCTGGTATCTCCGTGAGGCCAGAAAATGTGCCATCTATATCAACGCGTGGCTTTGAAGAGGTTTTGAAGAGGCCTTTGAAGATGTAGAAGAGGAGGCGGAGTACGCAATGGGCGGTCAGACACTGGATACGGGAGATCAACGAATAGGCTTCTTACATGTGCCTGCAAATGCCATGACCACCTATGAAAAAGGGTTTTCAGAAGGATTCCGATCCCCACCACCTACCTTTACAAGAATCTGAGTGACATCTTCCCCGATAATCCTGGCCTGTACATGCGACGGCTCTAGTATGCCATCGTACCGACAGTTAACCGTTGGCATGAGTGTATGGCGTTCATACTGAGCCCTTGAAGAAAGCTGTCGATTGGATGAACACAGTGAAATTTTCCAAGTTTTGTTGCGCTGTTGTTCTGGGAATCGAGGATCACAGGGTGACATTTTATTTTCCGCGTCAAGTCCTTCAACGTGTCGACGTACCAATGGTGCCATTTTCATAGATCAGACGTAAAAGGCAGGTACCACTTTCTCGACAAATTTATAAATGTAAATTGCCAGTAATTCTACCCCGATAGGTCGTTCTACTCACGGCCTAAAATATACAGACCCTTTGTTTTCTTAGCTGCATGTTTGTCCTGATTTGTGAAAATAGGCTCTCGGATTATGTATTCTGTTAATGAGGACTATTTGGGGAGCTCGAAGAAAACGTCGCGTAAGTGCTGCAACATCTGTCGGCGTGTACGGTGTTTACGTTACCGTAGCATGAAGCACTCTATAGCAGTGGTTGTTATGCTAAAATGGTCGATCCTTCATACAACATATAATTCACACAAGTAACGAGTCAAGAAATGTTAGCAACCATCCACAAGAGAATTCTTAGGGATTGTCTGGCCATAATCATCAACCCATGTTGTCAAGTTAGGGTTATTATACGCCTCAGCATACCTGGTACGACGTTTAGAAAGGGGAGCCAAAGCAGGACAAAATGAAAAATCAGACGTACGTTTCTATGTATGCGGCGGTAGGGAAATCACTTGGGTCACAACCAACATTAATGTTATTGGGGTCCTTGGAAGCAGGGTTCAACAGCGGACGTTTACAAATGCAGAATACACCAACCTGGTATACGCGAATCCAGTCTATTGACATGATCGCGGGAAACGTTAGATGGTCCAAATCCACATCTCCAAAGTTGGTTGACATTCCAAGATTGGCCATGATGTACTGTCAAGAAGCCTATTTAGCTAAACGTGATCATTTGGAGTATGCTTTGAAACGAACCAGCGGCTCTCGGGGTACAGGCCTTGCGGAGATTTCGGTATTAGTATCAGCTCCGACTCCAGCAGCGTTGATAGTCCAAGCGACCTTGCCATTATTTATCCATGTGATGTACTATGAAAGTGTCAACGCAGAGAAACTTTGGTCGAGGGAGTAATCGGCTTACGGCATTATCTGAGCTGTAACCTGGACGTCTTCTATGAGCATGAGGAACGTGGCGTCATTCTCCACAGCTTACCAGGTTTATACTAATCATAGAATGTCAGCTGAGGACGAGAAGTGGCTGTATGATTTAAGCTCACCTCGAAACCATAGGTCGTGAAGCAACCGTCAGACAATTGGTAACAGCTTGAATTTGACATCGATACAACCGATGTCGCCTGCTGTGTCGAGCCGCCAATATACGAGTTCAACGTTGATATGCTGCTATTTGCAATGATGAGATTATCGGTACTGTTATCCCAGACATATCCCTCATTAAATGGCTGTAACAATTATTTAGCGAAGAGGAGTACACCCGTAGACGCTAATTGACATACCGCCCATTGCCCAGATTGCGATACTTGTCCGATATCATCGCTAACCTGTGCTTCAAACACGTCAATTTCGGGGGAGGCACGCCCGACATAGGTCCCATCGGAGTGTTTGGGACCTGGATGGCTCTCGCCACTACATGTGCATCGTGAGAGTCGCTGGCCAGGCAAGTATGAAAGTTCGTAGTTGACGCTGGAGTAGCCACTGGTTGTGGCGACTTTCGGCAGGCTGTTAATGGTTTGATTTGGGGCCGTGCCAACGTCGCAAGCATCATATGTGTATGGCCACTGGAATGCATATTAAGAGGAGGATCGCTAGACTGGTGCAGGACAACCTACCATTCCATCGAGGGTTGCACCATAGCCAGCACGTCCCAAATTACCCATGGACCACACAGCAGGCCACAGTCCTACAACGTTACTTATTCCTGGCAGTCGAACGGAAGCAGACAGGTATCCGCCTGTGAAGCAGAATTTATTCCTAAGCTACTAATGAGAAGAAAGGCGGAGTCAAAAGAAATAAAGGGCGTTACCATGTCGCCACCATCCCTGTAGACAGATAGTCAATATTCTATGACGGTCTATGAGTCGCAAAACCTGACCTCCTTGATAGTCGAGATCATGGGTCAACTTTTCCGACAATGTGATGTGCAGAGATCCATTCGCCGTAGTTATGGCCGCTGGATCATACCATTCCATGTTATTCGTACCCTGCAAGAATTCAATGACCGTCTCAAGAGCCCTTGGAAGGATAATCTCACCCAGTAATGGAGGTCCACAGCTTCCCAATAGGGATCATCACCTGGATAAAAAGTCCGCCCATCCGTTTCGAACTCGTCGGAGAATACGAGCTGCCACTCCGAACTGTCTCTCCAAGATGTGAAGGTATATGCGTCTTCTGGGGTATCTAAATCTATGAGGCCAAAGTTTCCAATTTCGGGGACCTAAATGATTGAAACGTGGATATGCCAACAACGAGAAGATTGGGACCGACTCGCCTGCCCCGATGCATTGACTCCCAAGTTTGAAGAAGAAGACGACGAAGATTGCTCTTGTACGTATGTTAGAATAGGATATGCGACACTGTTCCAATTTCAATCAAAAGTATGCCACAGCAAGAGAGAGAGGTACTGACAATAAGGCTAACAGGCCAGCGCAAAGGATCACAAGGCATCCGACGTTAGCCACGCCTCTCTTTGAGAAAGATAGAACATCGTCGTCTACGATCTTGCCACTGCGCACGGTAGGATTGTGAAGAGCATCGTCAGGTTCATGATAGTTCGGAGACAAGTCTGCACCCCATGTGGTAGGGTCGGCGGAAAGGGAAAACTATCAAATACTGTAGATAAGTCTTGCAGAATGCTACACCAGAAGGAACTCACTTTTTCGGATAGAGACAGCATTGTTGAGTTGGTCAAGGTATATGGCGTCTCCCCCTACGGAAAGACCGTGTGTAAGAGAGAAGAGCGCAACAGGAGCAACGATTGATACTGTACGAAGTCTGAAACTCTGCGGTCATTGAGAAACGAGCTTCGAGGGAGAAGGCTCGCCGACGAAGCCTGAGATTCAATAGTACGTGCCCTTCGTGTAGACATGACTTAATGTTTAAACGAGTGGATAGTTGATGGTAAAGAGCGCATGACGGAACAAACTCCCATCGTGCACACTTATGTTGCCGAATTGCAGCCAGAACGATGATCTTCCCTGTCTGTAATTTTAAATTCTGCTGCGCATCCCTATTGAGATAAAAAAATTCAATGGATCAGTGGCCGACGTTAGCACTCCGAGTTCCTAGGGGTCAGCGCTTCAGTACTCCAGCTGCCAGGCTTAAGCAATGTACTCATACATGGTCCGATTATACAGGTGCTGATAAATCTGGGCTGGAGGTCCCATATTTCCTCCACCGTATCGGTCGGAAGGCAACTTCCTAGTTTCCTTGGAAATTCTTGGAAAGCTGTCGAATCTCGATCACGTAACTGAAAAATATGAGATCAGTAATAATTGAGGCGCACGCGGTTGTTGCAAGGTGATATTGACGCGTCCCATTGGGATCCCCTCGGTGTCTCTGTCTTGGGCAAACATTCGTACGTGGTAAACATGATGATAGAATACCATTCGTCGAGAAGATAAATAGTGGCGGGTTGTAGGACCGCCGGATATTTGCCGGAGAAATACTTGGAGCAGCAACATGGAGCAACAACATGGACCTAGAAACGCATCAATGATAGGTACAAACGAGCCCAGTGCCAGAGAGTGCCAGCAAGGAAGGAAATCAGTCAGTGGGCTGCAGCTGCGGATTACTCTTTGCCAAGACTTTACTCACGAAGTCCACGCGAGACGATATCGGACTTGGAAATTTTTCTTTTCTCCTGTACCGCATTCGTCCCGTCCTCTGCTCAATATTCACACGATGGACGGCAGCGTCAACATGGTGAAAAGACCGAGACAAGGCGGAGGCCAACAATCACCGTTAGGGATGTCGAAAAACAGAGGACGCCGCTAACTGCAAGCTGGTGAACCGACGTCAAGTTTGCCAGGTTTACCTAGATTTTTTACTTGTCAAAGTTGTCTCCGTCGACGGCGAACAGCATTTCGCCACCGCTGACCCTTGCGTCGTTACTAGGTTTTTTTCCCCAAAGGCAACGAAGAGAACTCGTAATGCTGTTAGCCGAATCTATTTTTGACTCTCTGGCCAGTACCCATACTCTTCTGCCTTGATCCTCAGCTGATACACTTTTTACTCCAACAACGAAGGGTCTAACGATATCTAATCTGGTCGTATCAGTTAACAGGGCAGAAAGGACTTATTCTGGGAGCATCGACCTTATTCTTGGACGCCATGACCACGATTTTACCCTCTACGGTGACCACAGTGACATAAATCAGGAACAGACGCGTGGTCCATCTGACTCTATACGAATACACTATTTTATCTCGAAATTTGACTTTTACCATCCTCCAGTGAGAGCTGATCATCCGTAATACCATGGCAGTACTTCCCATACAAGTCGTCTCGATCTATCCGATGCAGATACTAAATAGTGGGTAGCTCCATCCAGTGCTTTGGTGACTGAAAGAATCTCGCGAACGCATCCGTCGCATGCGTAAGATCCGACTTGGGATGCTCGAATAAGTAGGCAGTAGTGTAATAAGCCAGCACTGATCAGTTCGTTGTTTCAGCGACGACCCATGCCAACGATTCCGCCTTTCGGTCCGGAACAAAGATCAATGACCATGTATCTCCCGACCGCTTTGTCGGATCCACAATCGGAGCGACAAATTCAGCCCCAGAGTCCGAAGGGGTGAATGCAGACTGGGGAAGGTGTGGTACCGGCGTATACGACCAACTGTGTGAGGTTATAGATACGAATTGGGGCAAAGAGATTTTCCTGGCAAGAAGGTTTAATTATCATCCATTCATTAAGAAGACACGAACATGATGCAGTCGATAATAGACTGGACAAAATCGGGACCGAGGAAGCCCCGCCAGCGAAGGTGCGTGATATTGCCGATGTTGGACGGGCTAGGTGGTTCGTAGAGTGCTACGTGGGGGTCAACACGGTCGTTGACTTGTAGTCTTCGAAGGAGGACGTGTTAGACAATATTTACAGCCTCTGCTCGAAACAAACCTCTGGGCACCTAGGCCAACCATACCCACCCACTCAAACAGACTGTGAAGACTGTCATTCCAGTCGTCGATCTCGTCCTGACTCCCATCCGGTCGAGGGCGTAGGTCGACAACAGGTATATGCACATCGTTCATGCTCATCTTCTGGCATTTTACTGGACACACGGTGCCCAGGTGCGTCAGCTTAGCTGGGTCTACCAACAATAAGCCAGAATGAGGGAGAGAAAACAAAGTGCTCACCTTTCGACGTACAAAGGATGCTCCACGGGCCCCTTCTACTATCCCAGGCCTTCAATGATTCATTTCTACGCTTCGTATTACCCTTGGATTCCGTGTTGGCCTGGAGAGGAATATGTATGACTGGATAGACTTAATCTTTACACGTTCGAGGCCGGCGGTTCACATACCATGCCGGTCCTGGTGGGGATGCTTCCTCCCGTATCCCAATACCACCTTTTTTCCAACAATCCCGAGAGTTTCGTACGTGTCTTTTGCTACGCAGAGCGTGAGGATTCCGCGAGGATCGATGCACCATACGTCGTCGTCGTCGAAGTCGGCGCTTAAGATTGTGAGGTTACTGGTAGATGTTGATCCATGAACAATTATAGACGAGAATATATAGTATTTACGCGCACCTTTCCAGTCCCAGATCCTTTCCAGATGCAATAATGTCGGAGATTGTCATTTTTCCTCTCGCGTACTGAGTTTCAAGACAGAGAAGCGCGTTTTCGAGTCCATCGTGGGCCGGGAAAATCGCGTCCAGCTGCCAAGGTCCTTAGTGTTAGAAGATTTAGAACGGAAAGTATGGTGGTACCTGCTGTATGAATGAATATGACGAGACCAGTCGCTGGATTTTCTTTCCCTCCTCATTGCCGGTAGAATAGCGCACAAACATCGTGGTTCACGGAAAAGTATCAAATCCTTGAACAAATAAAGCAATTTGGTATTTTCCGCCTTCCGCATTAAGATATCTTACAATTGCGACTACGATATCGACGTCTAATGAGATCCCTAAATATTCTATAACAACTTCCCACTCTGCCTGATAGACGAATGAAACTACGCCCAAGAGCTTAAGCCAATGGCGCGCGGAGGTACTTCCTCCTGTACTTGGAGTCCACGCTATCAAGGTAGTAAGCACCTGGCCAGATGTTGTCCACCAAGCCCTCGGGCGTGTAGGAAACACCATTGTGGTTCTTCTCACGGAGCTAATAGGATTCAACAATCAGAATCGAAGCACACTGGCAAATGGAAATCAGATCGTACGTTTAGCGCATCCACAAATTCCTGTGGTGGCACGACCTTCATCGATGCCAAGCGGTTGAGAAGATCCATCTTTTCCCGAATTTCACTGGTGTCGCCCTTAATGCGCAATGTCCAGAAACTTGCTGCGCAACCGGAGCCAAAGGCAAACAAGCTGACCCGCTTGCCAAGGAGTATAACAGGCTCCACGGTGGAGAGGAGAGAAGCAAGACAGCCGTACAGGGAACCAGTGTACATGTTACCCAACCGTTTTGAGCACGCCATTCCAGGGTCGACCTTCTCCTTAAATTCCTGTTTAGCAGCAGCAATGAAAGTCTTCTCGAGGTTCTTATCGGTGAGCGAGGCGGCATGGGAGGCGGCAAGGAAGCCTTCAGGATTGGGAATGTTAGCGTATTTGGGGTGGGAGGCTTTCGAAAGGAAGTCATTGAAGATCATGCGAGCGTGACCCTTTACGGCCTGCTTGCCATACGGGCTGTGGAACAGGTGGTAATCGACATCATCACTGGAGAAAGAGTATTTGACGTCAGAAGAGGGTTTCGAAACCCTGTTCGTCTTTTCTCTGAAAGCGGAATAGGCGGCGTCGAGGGCAGCAATGTAGGTGACAACGGAGACGGGGCCATCAACCTCGGGGTATTCGGAGGACAGGTTAGGTTTATAGAAATCGTACGTGTTTGCCATGTAGCTTCCATGGATAGCTGTACGTCAAGAAGCACCAGGTTAGAGTTACCGTCACGAGGCCTAACCACATGCACTCACGTTCAAAGACGACGGGAGCATTGGGTCCAATCAGAAGAGCAACGGCGCCCGCACCACCGGCAGGACGGGCAGCGCCTTCAGCGTAAATAGCGATATCACCAGCTACGACAATGGCATTACGACCGTCCCAAGAACTGGATTCTATCCAGTTGACGGCATTGTAAAGGGCAGCGGTGGAGCCGTAGCAAGCGTTCTTGGAGTCGATACCCTCAATGTCAAAGTTGCCCGACTCAGCGAAGAGATCCATGAGGTGAGTCTTGACAGACTTGGACTTGTCGATGATCGTTTCGGTACCGACATCAATACGTCCGATGGACTTGGGGTCAATGTTGAACTTTTCGAGGAGGCCAGAGACAGCTGTTGCACATCGTAAGAGAAGCCAAGACGGGAAGGGCCAAGTACGTACCGTTGAGGGCAAACGAGTTGATATCCTCACGATCATCTGGCCACGACATGTATTCCTGGCCTAGCCCGATAGTATATTTTCCCTTCGAGACCCCGTCGAATTCCTCAAGGTCAGCTTCAGAAATGCACTGAAAGCGCGCGTTAGCATGCGCAGCAAGGACGGAAACGTGCAGCACGTACGCGCCGAGGAAAATAGGTCTCCATTGCGAGGACGCCAACATCTTTGGGGCGGCTGAGGGTAGCATCGAAGGCAGACATGGTGGCGGTAGGTAGAGAGATGGAGGGATGAGAAGGGAAAGATGGAATGGAGAAAGGCGAGAACAGATGCGGGGCTTATATACGAAAATGCGAAAAATGGATGGTACGATTTTTGGGAGGAATTACAGACAAAATGGTACGGTCACTTGGTCCGAATTCTGGGCAAAAATATTTCCATCTGCTGGAGAGAGAACGAAAGACGGCTTGCTGGTCGCCATCTGTGACAAAGCTCGTCCGTTTTGATAGTAATGTTAGTCGTTTGGCCAAGTTAGCTCCTCTTCGCTCTTTCTCCGGACACAGGGTCACACCCAAATTAGGCAAGTAGACTGCCATTTTTGCTCCACGTGGTTTGCATCGGCATTCATTCATTTATACGGGCCGTGTCTCATTCTTGAAGACGCTCACTGCGAGACACCATATTGTTCGTTTCATTGTTCTCTGGGCCCCCATCCAAAAACACTTCTGCCCATCCTTTGGCGTTATTTCTCCTTGTCTAAGGTCGAATTCCAAATACAAGATCTCTTGCACCCTTTGTCGTCTTGTGTTTCTCTTGCGCGTTACTCTGGTCTCGTGTAGGTGGCTTTTACCTCCATATAGTGCTGTTTTTTTTGGTAGTATACTACACTACATTGATCCGGACCCGCCCTTTTCATTCTCCTTAATATACGCTTTCTGCATGCCTGAGGCATACGCCGAATAAAACTCTGCCAGCTTTTGGCTATATGTTACGTACCACACTGCATCTTCAGTTCCGTGCTGGAAGCATCATGTAACCACTATCTGATCGCTATCTTTTCATTCCCGTTTCACTAGCGCCGCGTAGGACATCAGTCTCAGGGTGAGGTATTTTTCCTACTTACAGGATTCTAAATATCCTCCCCCCCTTCCTGTAGCGGGGGAACCCGGGCTTCAATATATTTTCCGTTTGTTATTCTGGGCCGGGCCTCATAACCTTGCGAAAGCCAGTGGATATCACTGAATAATTATATATATTGTCAACTTTCAACATTATCGAACCACCAAATAACATTGAGCAACGCTTCCTTTATGGCATGGCTTCGGAGATGCGTGAGATACCAGCTTCAAGAGCAGGATATCTATGTCCTCCCTTGAACCGCTGCTCAGACTTTACCGTTATACTTCAGCAACAAGATATCACTTGTCCTTGTCGCTGGAGGCAGATTTCGTAGAGTTATGCAGATAGACGAGGACAGGGGGTAGCTTATGTATCCTTCACTCTTCATTAAGAATTCGTCGAAAAAACATGATCTGCACTTGAGAAAATATTGTAGAGCAACCATATATCACCTCAGATACGGTCTATTGAACTGCCCTTCACAGATTCCTGTAAGCCTTTGCATTTAAATCATTCGTCTCCATCATTATTCGATTTCAAACGCGTGATTTGTTCCTAGCCTTTCTTTCGAAGTATTGTCGTATCCGGTGTTTGTACAGCAATTGTTATCTCGGACCCGCCCTCCCAGGAATACTTACATGTCCGCACTTTTTGTCCTTATTCTTTAGCTTTGAATTCAACTCAGCGCAGATACATACACTCTTTAGTATTCCTAAAGCAGAATGCGCTGTTGCTTCACATCTAAGAGTGATACGTAATTCGGCATGGTAGGTATAGAAGACAATTGTCAGGAATTTTCCAACAATTGGATCTTTGTGATATTACCAAGTACAATGCTCTTCAAGCGTGCCTGCACGGTTTCAATTGTTCGAGTCGTGTTTTCGGATAGTCGGACCGGACCTACAGAGCAGCCGTGAGAAACATATGTTGCCACGCACACGAACGGACCCAAACAGGGTCTGACTCTGGTTTTCAATAAAAGGCTTGATAGTGGCGCGTCCTTTTCACTCTCTTACCATCGCCCAACAACTATCCCTCACACCTTTTACCGTCTTTGCTAAATCTCTTGCACAATGTCAGGCGCAGCCGGGCCAAGCGTGAACAACACTGTACCGAGCTCCCATCTGTCTCTGGTTCCGCCACCACAATCGCTAGCTCAGGACTGCCCCATTCTTATCTGGATGTTGTCGCTTAATCGAGAGTATACTGCCGAGGTGGGTGTTTTGTCTTGTCGGCCTACGATCGTTGATGCGATTGTTTGAACAGGAGTATGAAGCTTGCTATACTTTCTTGAAGGATTATACAGACCACGTCGAGTTGGGACACTACAATCCGGAAGATGCGGACTCATTCAGTAAGTCTTCTACCCTCCAAGATGAGCTTTATCCCAAGCTTTCTTTTCATCCAGGGCACCTCGTTACTCAGCTCTTACCTGTCCTCATGATGAGACATAGGCGAATACCGCGGTCTAAGTGGCGGGACCAGGTCACAGCGAATGGGAAACATTGGATAGAACAGGTCCGTTTAGGGTCTTAATCTAATCCTCGACACACTTTGACAAGATCGTTCAGCTCCCAGACGACATGCCCCCGGAGAAATTCTTATACTCTATGATCGGATATCACATTGAATGCGGGCCCTCACTGTGTGGAATCGCAATGACACAGGGACCTCAGAAACGAGTTGTTAACATCGGCCTTGGCATCAAGCAGCTAACTGTTGAACCCAGAGGCATATCTGTCGCCGTGTACTTGGAGTCTTTGTCACACAAGGTCAGCCTTCAAATTTCTACTTTACTTGTACTTGTCCTCATTCTCCCGTAGCTGACGCCCAATGAAATGGCCTTGATTCCGCTTGATGAAGGGGATGAGACCGCCTTGCGGCGCCTAACCATTATCTTGGCCCTTAAGGAAGCGTACATACATGCTATCGGACAGCCCATTGGTTTTGATTATTCTCGGCTCGAGTTCAACGTTCCGGCGGGCAAAGCTTGGGGTGACGGACATCCACTGCAGGGATGGGAGTTCCGTATATGGAGCGCTGCTCTTGGTGTGGCGCGTGGTGATCGCCTGGTAGAGGAACAATACCAATGTGTCTGCGCATTCTTCCGCGGCACGAAAGAGTCAACATTTTTGTGGAAAGACGAGAGAAAGGCATTGGATACGTGGGTGCAGTTTATTAACATTGACCAGATGATCAAGGTCATTCCGAAATTGATGGCCTGAGACGATGAACCATAAACGAACTGTAAGGAATTTGTAACTGGCATGTATCTATTATATTGTGCGGAATACCCTCGACTGCTGAATTTTCTATATGACGAAAGTAGTCGTGTATAACATCACTTACATACCTACGTAATCGTGCTAGTAATAAGTTTATCTATGATCTGTTAAATAAATGACAATTCCAGACCGACCTACAAGAGGCCGACTCGCTCAGTCGCCGGTGAAACGATATCAGTCTTTCTCGAGTCATCGTCGGAGTTCGGGCCGTGCGTCCACTCGAATCAACCCGAGTGTAGCACGGAACCGACTTGTGTAACGACCATCCATCATTTATTCTGCGATGTCTGCGTTACAGACCATAGATCCATTGAACCATCTCCTGTCGCGATATGGCCATCACTTTACATCGTTTTCGTGGAGGTTTGGCACTCAATGGGCCTTTGGTCGAAGAACTTGCTCACGTAGCAATAGCGTGTAGTACATCGACACCAGCATCCACCACCGTGACGTTCTCCGGCGAACTTCCGCTTCATATCACTGTATTGACGAAGGATGAGCAGACAAGATGAGCGACCAGACCATCCAATACAAGATCTTCAGGCAGACGTGTCTCGCATCTATTCAGCAGGCAAGTTTGGGATACTCTAGAATATTGACAAAACGTGAACTTTGCTGCAGGAATTGGCGGCAACAAAGGTGTCTATTTCGTTGTCATACTATGGGCTGCTGGACAGCAGCTTCGAAAGCGCCTCGGTTTGCCTCCCAAAGATTTTCACATTACCCTTACCCGAGCTGATAACCATGAAATGGATAAGAATATCCACTCTCTCTTGCAGTACCCTCAATCTCCTCCCTCTGACTTTCTGGACCATCTCGCATACACGCTTCATATTGCTGCAGACCATCAAATGGAACGGCAGTGTTGCTTACAATTGATCCAAACCATACCGGATTCCCACCGCGGATTCATTCGACTGGGAGACGCCTCCTTATCACTCAGTCAGCATAAATTGGCTATGCTTTCGTATGGTGGTGCCTTTCACCTGGCGACGGGCCAGAATGTGAAGGACTACTGTGTTAAGAAGTTAATCCAGTGCTCATACTACACAGAGTGGGGATGCCTGTTTATGGAGTCAGAGAGGGAACAGATACCGGCTGAAATAGCGGCTTTGTTATTGAGACCATGGTCTGACGAACTATGTGAATTCCTGAGTGACGCAAACGTCACACCAACCCTCTCTGTCGCCTCTCGCCAGCCGATGTTCCTGTCCAGTGGTCAAAGGCTCCCACGGTTCTTCCGTTGGCTCATTCCTTTCTATTTCGCCATCATGTCTACCCCGCGCACAGGACAGGACATCACCCTGCTAGCCACTATCGGTATCAAGCATATCCTGACTCTTACCGAAGAGGAACCCCTCCCTCAGTCATGGTTTGACGCAAAGGACATATCCAACACCTTTCTCCCCGTTCCCAATTACCGCCCGCCTTCCATTGAGCAAATGGATATCATAATGAGACTTTTCGACGACCCCGAGAAGCTTCCGCTGCTTGTTCACTGCGGTGGCGGCAAAGGACGCGCAGGTACGGTGGCGGCATGTTACCTTGTTGCATATGGCTTCGGCAAATCTCATCCTAACCAAGATCATCCCGAAATGACAGCCAATGACGCCATTGATACTCTACGTTCACTTCGCCCCGGAAGCATCGAAACATCACAGCAAGAGGCCTTTGTTTCAAAATGGTGCAGTACAATTTGGAAGCGACAGGCAGTGCTACCTGATCCTCCGTCTGAGCCCCCGCCATCTCCATTGGACGTGGAGGGTGTGCTGGATTGCGATGCCGATCTCCTCGTGCTCGTCGGTCTCCCGGGAGCTGGAAAATCGTGGCTTGCGCAAGCGCTGATGAAACGCGATCCCAAAAACTGGACGTGTATATCTCAAGACGACTTACGCAGTCGCGCCTCATGCGAGACCGCCATTGGCCGGAAACCATCTACTAGGCGTACGCTTCTGGACCGGTGTAATCCATCAGCTGCTGAACGCGGGGCCTGGCTTGCTTTGGCGTCAAATTGGGCCGAGAAGCCTATCTGTGTGTGGTTTGATTACGACCACAAGCCATGTGTGTCCAGAGCGCAGCGACGCACGGGACATCCTACGCTTCCTCCAGGAAACCGTGTCCAAAGTGCTGTCCGTCAGATGAATAAACAATTTGAACGCCCTAATGTACGCGAGGGTTTTAAGGCCATTGTGATCATTAAGTCCTTCAATGCGTGCCAGGAGCTCGTTGTACGGCTCTCTTCATCAGTAGGGATTTTCAAATTCCCTCGTACACCTCACCTCATAGACCTTGGGGCTGCGACGTCAGATGATCTTGTCACAGACACTAGTGCCATCCTTGGACATGTCGCTATCACTGAAAAAGTTGACGGCGCCAATATGGGATTTTCGCTCTCGGGCGACCGAGAGCGGATTATTGTACAGAATAGGTCTCATTATGTCAATTCGTCAACCCACGAACAGTTCAGAAAACTAGGGTATTGGGTTGATCGGCAACGGGAGGCGCTGATTCGACTGCTTGGAAGAGACGAGCATTTCCCTGAACGATATGTCTTGTACGGGGAATGGATGTATGCGACGCATTCCATCCCCTATACCAATCTTCCAGACATGTTCCTCGCTTTCGATCTATATGATCGATACTTGAAGCTGTTTATTGATCGTCAAAGTTTGGAGGTACTTTTGGGTCCAACTTCCATTGAGGTGGTCCCTCTAGTTTACGAAGGAAATATGCCTTCGGAAAACGGCTTGAAGAAGTTGGTCCTGGGTCGATCGCGCTTTTGGGATGGAATGGTAGAGGGTGTATATGTGAAAGTGGAGAAGGATGGTAGGGTTACTTCGAGAGGTAAGGTCGTGAGGGGGGATTTTATATCTGGCAGCGAGCATTGGACGAAAGGGAATTTGAAGATAAATGGGTTGAGTATGGATGCTAGGGATCGCCATCAGTCCTAGTGACTATTGACTACTAGAGCTTTCAGTGACCACAAAAACCTTTAGCAGAAGCCCTAGAATTTCTTGTTGTCAGGCCCTGCTCCGGACCGGCTTCGCCGACTATATAACCGCATGAGCTTAAGTTGGTCTTCCTCGGGCATCGTATCGTCATCTATTTATCTGCAAGACTATTCTCTATGCCAGTTATTGCACAAAGTGAGCTGATCACCATCACTCCTGACGAGTCCAGTGAGAGCCGATCCAAATCTCAGACCTAAGGGCACTTGAAGGAGAAGCTGCCCAACGCCGAAGGCGATTGTGAACATTATAAGCAGAAGTTGCGCTGTTTCCCCGTTTCCCGCCTTATAAGCATGAAATTCCAGACCCAAGTACCAAGAAATATGCACTTCCTTTGGTCCTCATGGCTCGACTGTTCCTCAACGATTTAGTTGGAGAACTCTCTCCGGAAGCCAAGGAGGCGCTTGCCGGTTATATTGATGTTATCAACATGCCAAGTAGCCACGCGAAGCTTTATGGACCTGCCGATTTGAGTCCAGGAGAATACCTTTCTTTCACGGCAAGTGCACCTATCATTACTATGCAGGAGTATGGTACCTGTAGCTTTAGCAAAGAGTGCAAAGGAACCTGGCGAACCTGGCCACTGCTACGTTATTCTTGTGGGAAGATCACATACACAAAGTCAATGTATTTTTACCCACACATATATAGAAAATATGCAAAGTTTTTTTCATAGTTTTTTCACTGAAAAAAGTACAGAAAATATTTTAAAACTTATACCATTTTATGCAAAATTTGGAAAATACAGTGAAAAGTTATAAATATTTATATCATTTTTTCTGCAAAAGTATTTAAAAGGAACTTTGAATATTTTCTCTGTATTTGGGAGTAAAAATACACAAATTTTAGTACAGTGATATAAAAGTCAGTTTACGTTCCCAGAAATTCTATGCGAAAATCTTGTTATCTGTGTACTGCCCATTTTGTTCCTTCTTCGTGCCCAGTGCTTTTGGCAAGTGATATTACATGCTTAAAGTAGGCCTCTGTGCATTTCCCAATAGTGATGGAGGCTGATCAAACTGCGAAGGGTTTCAAACACAAAGCGACTGCTTTCTCACGCGATATATATTTTAATCATATACCCAATGATTCTTTGAGAAAGGTGAGAGCTTTCGTGTCTCGCTTTTCTAGGATCAGCTGAAAAAGTAAACTACGACTCAAAAGCTTGTTAGCTCTGAGTGCTGAGCGCACTAGACTTTCCAAGATTCGATATAACGGGATTTCAGGACGATCTCATCGTCATGCAACAATGTCACGTAATAGTACGTAATTGGTTCTTGTGGAAGCCCGCCCAAACAACATTCTTGTTTATACCGCCATCACGTGTCGTTCCTACATTTGCTCCCGCCTGTTCCTCTTCTTGGTCATTTCCCGACTCAGGCGGTAAATGCTTTCTAATCCCCCTAAATTCCTTTTCATACTGTTCGACTTGATTCCGCTGAACATACCTACATTGTTTTGCACTCCGTTTTGTCTCGCTTCACCTTAGTTAAGAGCCTGTCCATAAATCTGACACCTCTTCGAGATGTGGTGGGTTACGAGCTTGAGTCAAACCGGAATTGTCAGCTCATACGCAGTAATCGTCCGTGCTCTCGGCAAGGTCGGTATTTGCAAAGCTTTCTAATAGGAGATGCTTATTTTATCCCTTTCCTCTAGCACAGAAATTCTGATTGAGGATGTTGCTCACAAAGCAGGTCGATGAATAATCTTCAGTGTCGAGTCATCGTCGGTGGATACCGAAGCCTAGATATAAGGAGCTGGAAGGTGAGGGTTGATGCGCCCTTTTCAGATCTCCACATCGGCGATGGTCCAAGATATTTTTCGTGACTCTACCATCGGCCTCGCCGTTAATTACATCTCCAACGGGCGTTTATTCCCTTACGCAGACCAGCGCCCTGATTTCCAAGTCCCCCCTCAATTCCTCCTTCCCTCTGAAAGAGAAACAACGCTTGTTGCTCCCGATTCTGACGCGACAACTATCTGTGGCGACACCCATACATCTAAGAAAACTCTTTCGACTCCTGGCACTCAGTTGACGAGAGAAGATACCATAGTTATCGACGACGCCGAGAAGCCAGCGGAAAAGGAGATCGGTGAATCACTCAAGTCAGATCCATATATCGTGGGGTGGTATGGGGATGACGATCCGGAAAATCCGAGGTGGGCTATTTCACTTCTGCGTTCAAGTCTCTTACTTATCCTTGTTATGTCTGTTCAGGAACTGGTCACCAAAAAAGCGTGCTTTTGTAGCATTCAGTATTAGTTTGCTCACATTCAGCGTGTATATTGGCTCCGCTATATATACCCCCTCTATTCCAGGAATAATGACAGCCTTCAACGTCTCTCTCACGAAGGCCACGCTTGGACTAACGCTTTATGTACTTGGTGAGTGTCATATTGTCAGTCAAGTCTCCGTGTCAGGCTTATGCATCTCCTTAGCATACGGAATTGGACCTATGTTCTTGTCTCCTCTTCAAGAGCTCCCTAACTTAGGTCGCAACCCTGTATACATGGCCACTCTATTCCTCTTCGTCGTCTTCCAAATACCTGTGGCCACTGCCAAGAATATTGGCACAATCCTCGTATTCCGGTTTCTAACAGGCTTTGTCGGAAGTCCTGCACTCGCAACTGGTGGCGCATCCATGGGAGATATCTATCCTATGCATCAGTATGCGTATGTGCTCGGTATATGGGCACTCGGGGCAGTTGCCGGGCCTATTACTGGACCTGTCGTCGGCGGGTTTGCAGCTCAGGCTAACGGCTGGCGATGGCCTCAATATGAACTTATCTGGATCGCTGGATTCTCCCTCATTTTTCTACTGTTGCTTCTTCCTGAGACGTACGAGCCGACGATCTTGCTGAGGAGAGCCCAGCGACTGAGGAAGCTGACGGGTAACCAGCAGCTCCGGTCTCAAAGCGAGAAGGCTTCGGAGGGAGAGTCCTTTGTGGAGATCATGAAAGAGGCGCTGACAAGACCTTTCATTCTGGCGCAGGAACCTGTCTTGATGTTCGCCAATGTGTACATTGGATTCGTCTGTAAGTAAAATTGGTTCCGTTTCTGATATCATATCTGATCATCGTTATTTTAGACGCTATATTCTATCTCTGGTTTGAAGCGTTCCCCCTCGTCTTCACTGACATATACCACTTCAACTTGGGCACCAGTGGCCTGCCATTCCTCGGTTTCGTCGTATCTGGTGGGATCACAGTCAGCATCTTTTTTTTATCCCTTATAAACTACTACTCACATATTCTTCTAGTACTTTGTCTACGTTCTCTATCAAATGTACCACATTGCCCCTCGATATGCGAGAGCCTCTGCCGAGGGAAAAGAAGTTGCGCCCGAAATTCGTCTAGAGATCGGCCTAATGGCAAGCATATTCATCCCGACAAGTGTCCTCATCTTTGGATTCACGTCCAAAGAAAGTATTCATTGGATCGTTCCCATCATCGGTGCTGCGATTTATCTCCCCGGCATCTATCTTTCGTTCCAAAGTATCCTTACATACGTTACGTCGTCATACCCAGCTTACGCAGCCTCGGTCCTCGCTGGAAATGACCTTTTTCGTTCAACGATCGCCAGCGTCTTTCCTCTCTTCGGGCGTGCATTCTTTGTCAACCTGGGTTTGGGTCCCGGGTCAGCGCTGCTGGCGGGTATCTCATTCTTAATGATGCCCGTATTTTTGGTGCGTATCCCATCACCATACATTCTAGTAGAGCCTGATCTTGATATCACAGGCGCTGTGGAAATGGGGTTACATATTGAGGGAGAGGTCAAAGTACGCGCAGGGCCCATAGAATACTACTCACACTTTGGACAGTTCAGTCCGCTTATGCCGTTGGATTTGTGCTGTGGAGAAATACTAGCCATAGAGAGCGCCTCCAGGACGCTACACTTAGATACTGGACTCCCATAAGCGGTCGTAGCCAAGTAGATGACATTAGACGATATAATTATGAAGCATTGTTTGTTTGAGGCTGTATCAGCTAGAGGAGGGAATTGCACGTCACATAACAAGGACAACGAGAACAACTCGATGGCAGTGTTGTCCACATCAAAATTATAGTACCTACTTATTGGTAGTGGATCAAAGCCAGATGTCCATTATACATGATGATAATCATGGTGATCAAAGGGATGAAAAGACTTATATTTACACTCAATTACATACTACAATGCAGCAACTTCCTCTGGAGCAAAGAGCTGGAAATTCCTATTGTATGTGCCGCTTGCAATCAGATTTCCGTCACTCGTTATGTCTACTGACATGACCTTCCCTGCATCCGTCGATAGGGTGCGGAGCAGCTGCCAATCGTCAGCACTCCAAATTTTTACAAGGCCATCGTAGCCCGAAGATGCAAAGAACAATCCTGAACGGTAATCCCACTCTTCCTTCGCCGTCATAGCCTCCGCCTCTCCCTCTGGAGGCTCGAAAAACAGGTTATCGGCATGGAAAAACCGCACATCTGAAACATTAGACAGATGAGCAGGAATGGTGTACAGAGCCTTCAAAGAACGCAGATCCCATATACGAATTGTGTCATCGCCGGCACCTGTGGCAATTTGATACCTAGAAGAAAAATCACTCAGCCAGGGCACAGGGCAGACGATGCATCCGAACCCATTAGGAGAAAACCCTATCGCATAGATGGCCTGGACATGCCCGTCCAGAACCATGGCAGTTCTTCCCGTTCGCAAGTCCCAGACCCTTCCGATGGCGTCCAAGCCACTGTAAATGATATTGTTAGCACGGCACTTGATGGTGTTAGAATAACGAACCCAGAAGCTACGAGAGCACCGTCATTCTGAAATTCAACGGAGTAGACTTCTTTTGAATGTCCCTCCTGCAGTAGAAGCTCCTTCGCAGTGGCAACATCCCATAGGCGCCAGGTTGTATCGAAACTAGCACTGGCCACATAATCTCCCGATGGATGAAATGCGACTCGGCAAACACGCTCTTGATGGCCTTTCATTACTGATATAGGGGCATCACTAGAAGAATGAACTACTTGGATGACAGCAGCACAACACAAAATAAGCACTGTACCTGTTCAACGACCACAAGTTGACGTTCCCATCGCCTGCTCCACTAACGAGATTTGCCGCATCGGCACTTAGAGATCTTGTTGCCTCGGGGTGCCAAGAAATACCACCCACGCGGTCACTGTGACCTACATTGAGTCATAAATGGGTACAGATAACACCATTGGAGGATTACATACCTCGCAAGGATCGTATTGGCGTACAAGCGGGTACGTTCCACAGTTTTACCGTCCCAGACCAGCTCGAAGTGGCCAAAACATTATTATTAGGTGCGAAGCGAACCTGGGAGATGGGTCTCTCGTCGCCAATCTGGGACCCAAGATTCGCATATTTCTACAAATGAATCATCAGACTGAAGTATGACCGTAAAGTGTCAAGCACGCACTTTAACTTCGGCAAAAACCTTCTTCCTGATATCGACGATTTTACCGAGATCCATCTTGCTATCTATTCGCTGTTGGGCGACGCGCTTTTGAGCTCTGCCAGAGAAAACGAAACAACAAGCACAAGTAAGCACCTTGAATGAATTCAACCTATCGGTAGCGAGACTGTTGACCTGGGAAGTGAGTATTCGGCTATTCGTCTTCGAGCCTCAAGCAGCTCCAACGACCCTGGAGAGTAGAATTCTTCCTCCTTGGAAGGTACGTGACTCATAATGCCTCCGTATGAAAAGTGCAACGAACCTCGTCTTCACTTTCTGAACTCTCATCCTCATCCAAAGGCATAGTATCATCCCCTCTCGCAGCATTTATTTGCGATAGCACGTATATGAGGCGGTCTCTGCGGTCGGCAGCCTGTCGACAACACTACCGTGTCACTATCCATTCATCGAGTTAAACAGCACGTACGCACACGTTCACCGAAAAGGGTGATTGGTTCTCCGATTTCCCTCAACCTTATCTTGACGCGATTATCGTCCGTCGGTACAGCCATGCTTCGTGCCTTTTTCTTTCTTTCCAGTTCCTCCAGTATAACTCGGTTTTCCATCCTCGCGCGCTCAGAGCCGAGGTAATTTCCATCGTCCATAAGTGTATCGAAAGTAAGTTCCGACATGATAGAAGAAATGGGTATACGGAGTCGAGAAACAGGCTTGAGTGACTTGTTCGAGGAAGAGAAAAAGGGAAGGTGGCAGTGCAACGGCAGCAATTTCACACGCTGACATGACGTCAGGCGGCATTTCAATGATTATATAACGCAAAAAATTATTCTAACTCTTTCTCTCGTACCATCACCAGGATCATTTAATTGAATTCTTTACATTGATATGGTCTGTTCTCTTTGATCGTATGTCGCCGGGAATTATCTACGTCTTGCATCTCATTTTCCATATGCTTTGACGTTAAACTACCCGGCTAGAAGGACCTCAGGCGAAAGCAGATCGTTCACCAACATGGGACAACGTTTTGATAGCGTGATACATGTGTAGCTATATAGACTTGCGTGTAATTGCGCTCTTCTCTTGGATATAAAACCATGTCGCTTTTATGATTGTCAGACAGTTATGTTTTTTGCGAATATTTATTTTTCTTTTATTTTCCAGTCGAAATTCCGCTAAAATTCAATTATATGCGCGTTGGTCTGTTCCGCCACACTGCTACTCACGATACCCACTGTCATGCTGCTATGCAGACGACGAGCGACCCAGGGAGCACTTTGAATCCCATAGAGAACACCGCTTCTCACGTCGATGATGCTCCCTCCACCTCGTCTTCATTCGAACCGCCTCCGCACATCTACGATGCTGCATATTCATCTGTGCTGGTGAGCTCGGCTGTCTGCAAAAAGGGCGCGACTGATTGTTTCCAGGTTGATGAATGCATGATCAAAGGCATTCCTTGCATGCGTAGGCGCGACAATTCGTGGGTCAACGCGACTCAGATCCTCAAGGTCGCCGGTGTGAACAAGGGGAAGAGGACGGTAGTCATGGACCGGCGAGTATTGAAGGGACAACACGAAATTATACAGGGAGGACACGGGAAATACCAAGGCACTTGGTGAGCAATGACCGACCAAATGTCTTTGCCGTCTCCAAGTCTAATCTTTCCAGGATTCCGCTCGACAGAGGTCGTGAGCTTGCACGACGGTTCCACGTTGACAAACTCTTTACTCCACTATTCGACTACACACCCAAAAGTAACCCATTCGATGACGACCTACCAGAAGGCCCGTCTTCACTAACCTCCGGAGTGTCGTCGTTGTCGATCACGGGGTCGAACAATAACATGGCTGCTTTCATATCTGGCCTCTCTGACCCATCAAGAGTGCGTGGAGATGCCCTTCGCATGCTCAACCAGGCTCGTTCTGAAGGCCTCTTTTCGATGATGACCGCCGATTATCTACTTACCCAACCCACTCTCCCTCCTCCGCCACCATCACCGCCGTTGTCGCTGAAAAGGAAACGAATGGAAGAAAAGGTCAAGGAACCCAAGCCGGACAAAGGCAAGAAAAAGGACATTACAGGACCCGCTAAACGTCCCAAGAAGAAACCTCCGAAACCTTCTATGACTGAATATATTCAGTATACTCCAGGTGTGAAAAAGGCAGAACGGCACGTTAAAGACGCGCAACCTTGCGCAGAATTCTCTGATCAATCTGATGACAGCTTGCCACGCACAATAACACGCACGCTGAGGGACCAACGCTCCAGGAAGAAGTCACTATCACGGTTTCCTCCTCCTCCGGGCTATGAGGATGTGTCGTTTCGTGCAGAGCATTCCTCCAAGCGCCCTTCAGAAGGGCATGTGCTTCGCACTAGGAAGGAACTTTTCTGTTCAGGACCTCCCCCGTCATCTGAAGACGACGCCACGGACGAGAAACCTACGTCTAGGTGTTCAACTCCTCGTCCGTCGGCTTCGGACGGTGGAAACGAACAGAATCATGACATGGAAATCAAGGTGAGCTTACAGCGCTATGTCTATACGTGCTTCATTCGATTGTCTTTCGTAAGGATTCTACTCGAATAAACACACCTGATGAGAAGACATATGGTGGTAGCCCCCCACACGTTCAGCAGGAATTGAATGGTTTACCACGGATGCATGAACAACGTAGACAAGCAGAAGAAAGCGAGAGCAATGAGATTGACAAGAGGGATCATCGGACTTTTAGTCGTCCTGTACAGACCTCTACTGGGCGCTCGACGAGAGCATCGACAGCAGCTGGAAAGTCCCAGCGAAATCGGGATACAGAGCGGCAAGGTTACAGCGTGCGTATCTTGCCACCTCCCAGGATGATCAAGCCACCGGCGTGCGAGGCTCCTCGAAATCCGTCTGTCTGCTTGGTATCTCCCTAGGGATTTTTGGAGGATGTGCGTGTGTTATTGTTATGTTAATAATGGAATCAGATGTACACCGATGCTGTGTCTTCGTAGCTAAGCCTCTGACCGAAATTATCCAGTATCATATATCACCCTTGATCTGATACAAGCGAGGATATTAGTATGAAGTATCTCTTGGTCATTTTAAATATAACAGACTGTTCTGTGGTGGGTGATAAATGTACAATGTGCAGTAGAGCTCCTTTCCCAAGTCGAGTCTATTACAGTCATGTCGCTCCATCACCCCCCCTTTACTTTCAAGCTATGCGCGATCTTCTCCAGCAGCTTCTCCATTCTCTCCTGCCTCGTCTCCAGCTCCGCAAACTTCTCCCAGTACCCACCTGAATCGGCTTCTTCTTCTTTAACCGCAGCAGCTGTCAGCAAATTCATAGATGAGTTGTCCTCGGGGGAAGACATTGACGTGACAGCAGGCGGACTCTCGGACAAAGGTCCCGAACCATCTGTTCGCTTGAAATTACTACCTTCTTGACTTCGTTGATGTGTCGGACTATGGTGACCGTACCCACCGTCCGTCGTCCCTCTTCGGTGTTGATGCATTGATGACAGTCTTCTTCTACTTGCTGGTCCAAAGCTAACCAAATGCGGTGGACTGGGACCTTCATCGGCGATAGGATCATCATGGAGGACCAACGGCTGGAATATCTGAGCCAGCGGGCTGGTGAAACTTTGGGCGCTTTCAAAACCACGATTGAGGATGGAATTTACGCGGGTGCGGGCTATAGGGAAAGGCTGTGAAGGTGAATGTGAAGGGGCATTACCAAGCGAGTCGTCGAAATGGGGATGATTCACATGGGGTGGCTGCTGCTGTCCAGGTGTATTTGCTTGTGGAGCCGTCCGAGAGGGCGGTGAAGACGGCGTTGAATTTCGATTTTGAGAACTCAACAGCGAGCCATTGGATACGTGCGGATAAGTATCGAGCGCGCTTGAGTTTAACTCATCGTCAATTTCGAAGATCTGTATGGTATCAAGCAAACGATGACCGCATCCATGGAATTTTGCACTCACTGCGTCAATATCGGCGTCAGAGCGAGTGAGTCCTTCGAAGAGCGCTGGAGAATATTATCTTAGAAGCAACTTTTGAGCAGGCGATCATCGACATCTACCTAGCCACTTCAATCCTTTGGGTAATGTGTCATAGACCTTTTCAGCGGCGACGGTAAATGTCTCGGAGAATCCTATTGTACCGTAAAATTTAGCTTGGCGTTCGTAAAAAGCAATCATCAACAGTATCGGGAAGCTGGTAGCCCTGTTCACAGAAGGTTACCCAAGATCACAACTGCGATATCCAGACATACCGAATCATGAAAACATTAACCTGGTGGCTTCCACGTTAATCCAAACTCATCCATACCAGATCGTCAGGAACACACCTTGTGGAACCACCGCGGAGTGAGAATGTACCTTGCCGGTAGCATTATGCACACGGCGATTAGATTTATTGGAGGTTGATACGAGAATAGAGAGTCGGCTTTGACGCTAGATACGAGTTTGAATATGAGCTTGAATTCCACGATACCAGTGCATACCCTTCAATTGTTGAGACCGCTCGTCTGAACATTGCCTGCGTCGCCTAAGTAACGATGTTTACGCAGGTAAAATGAAGAATATACCTCCGCGGCGGCATCTTCGTTGATGGTAGCGAAGGTGTTAGATAGTATCTACGCATATTGATCAGCGGGCCGATCACTCTGATGGCAACGCGAGGCGTACCGAAACAAGAACTATATAAAAGAGATGTTACCGAGCAGTGGCCATCATCAGTCAAAGAATCGACCAACCAGTTAGCAACAAGGTGTTGCTCAGACACGCGTAAGTAACCATCAGTACAGGGCCAATGACTCGGTGGAACTGAGCTGAAAGAGGGAGTGAGTGGATTCCTTTGACTTTTGAGGAACTAAAAACGTACTGGCCCTGTCGAACCCACTGGCATCTAGCCCAAACCATAAATCAAGCATCCACCATGCAATAGTTCTTCAAATTTATCATAAGAATAGCATATCAGGAACGTTCAAGTAAAAACTATCATACCCAACGCTGTATCTGTGAGGATTTAGAATTTGACGTCAGAGACAGAATCTTTGGAAACAAGATCGGATATACCCTGCTTCATTTCTGCTCAGTCTAACGCAAGCATCGGCGTCAGTAGAACTCCGAAAGCAAAGAAAATCACTGACGTCCACAACGCGTACAGGAAACCGCAGAAACAAAAGGCCGCGATAAGCATCAATACAACGAATTGCATCATCATCGCTCGCAAAGAAAGCACCATCAAATTGTTCTTTAGCGTGACGAAAGCTAGACTGGGAGACAGGTGGGTAATAATGCATGCTAAACAACTTCAGGGCCATACCGAGGGAATAACAAGCAGGCGATAAGGGCCAAGCAGTCGATACCTGCTTTGCGAGCCCAAGGATCTTCGCAAGTGAGCCAATAGCATGAATTTGGCATAAATATAGCGTACCGTGGTGATAAACCCCATATACACGAAGGATTGCATAGATGAGATAGGTAGTGACTAGTGCGAGATCGAAGCCGTTCTTTCGGGGTGTCAGTAATGGATGCATAGCGACGCCGAAAACGTACCCAAGTACCCTTGAAGTAGACCTGCATCCCATGTTCCTGCATGGCGGCGACCTTCTCCAAAGAGAACCCCAGGCCGTAGATCAAAAATGCCATCTCAGCGGCGTTTATTGAGTCCAGTTGGTTTATCTCGATGGCTGTAACGAAAAGGACGAAAAGGATCAAGAAACTAAACCGAAACCTGAATAAAAAGAATGAACAGAGGATGAAGAACCGTACTTCATGTATTCCAGAACCGACCGAATAGCAGGAACCTTGAGCCGGTAATGATCAAGTAGTGGTGCCTTGTGAGGATCATAGAAATGAATTGGTGTTCGCTTGTATGTATCTGAAAGAATAGAATGACTGCTTGTTGCTTGGTACACACATTTTCCTCTTCATAACAGATAGATAAGCAACCCGCAAGAGAATACCGTTCCACTCACGTCCAGATGCCATCAATGACTTTTTGACATGACGAACTTTTGATAAAACGTTTCGCTCTGCCAAGAATGGCCATTTCGATAGCGTTGCCCACTCGCTCTTCTAGGTCTTCCCTCTCTTCCCTCGCGGCTTGCATTAGTGCTCGGTCGGCACCGTTATAAACAGACCAGCTGGTAGAGAGTGCGTGCACGAGGTCCAACATGTTATCGGCATAATCGCGCAGAACACGTATGGCTAGGATCTCACACAGTTCTGCTCTTGTACGCGACACGGAAGCGGTTGCCATTCCCTGATCACGAATGAAATGGACGCGGTTTAGGAGAAAGCAGAATACAATGGACATGTTTCCAGCGCGTTGTAGAGCAGCATACTTTTCAAAGAGAGGTCGAATGAGCGTGTATGTAAGGTCCGGCGCTGTCAGCTGCGTATCTATGTTAGATTTCACTTCGGGTGCGACAAACATACTTTGAACGTACAGCCTCATATGTTAAAGGTGTGTCTGGAAGATTTCAGTGGGCGTTCGTACGCGATATCTCCATGACGCACCAATAAAATGCTAAATACAAGCAGATGTCGTTAGTATCCACGACATAACACACGAATTTGGGTTATCACACACCGTTATATCCTGCAAAGCCGGTTACAGCTACAACAAAACTGAAACTAGTTCGGAACTTACGGCCCTGATCATATGGATTATAGGATAGACTTCCGTAGCATCCACATCGCTTCTGGATACAATTTCTCATAAAAATAAATGCGTTAGGGTGTGGAAGAGAGACTCACGGTGATAAAAGAGGCTGGCTCTCTGAAATCTCCCCTGGCACCATGGTTGTCAACGTAAAAGGGGGTAGCGGCATTCCGGGCCGTACCAAGTGTGTGCTTAAAATTTTAGATGTCGAAAATTCCCACAAGTATGATAATGATAGTGATGATGATTACTATTTAACGAGACCGTGAATTGGAGTACATATTATTGTTTTAACCGTTTGAGCTAGTACTCTTGAATAGTAGTGAGTGTAATCTAGGTGGCTCTACTGGTAATCATTTAATTTACATAAATGCCCTCTCCTCTGGTGCCTCTCGGAAAGTGTACATGTTATCAACGAAGCTGTCCCACGAAGCCTCAGACAAGATGGGTGCCTTTGCATAAGGAGCGACGCCCATTCCGTCAACCCATTCGTTCATGTGGGGGAAGGCAGAGGTTATGGCGGCATTTTCCATGTCGGCGATACGCGCGCGAGTGAGCAAGCCGGCCTCCAGGTACCAACCAATATCCTTCTTGATTGCAAACACCTCATAGATATCTGCAAGGATCTGGGGTACATGTTCAGTGACAGCAGATTCGTGTGCCATACGGTGTCCAATGGCCTCGACGAGATCCTTGGATCGCGGAAGGATGTAATCAGCGTATTGCGTGCTGCGAGGACCATACTTCTTGGCAAGGGCGCGGCACTCCTCGAATACACCCTTTTCGTCTGAGACATGTAATGTTAGTCCGATTCAACGGAGATAGATTGGACACTACTCACGCTGGGCGAGGAGGCTATGGGGGTAGAGGGGAGCAGGGACGGCGTAACGGCCCTGGAGCAGTTCCGAAGCAAGGCCTAAGAGAATGGGAGTCAAGCCGAAGAAAATAGTATATGATACAAAGCTACTCACGGATAGATAAAACAAGGACATCGCCCTCGGCTATAACGATACCTCTCATCTCTGCCTAAAAACATGCGTCAACGAGAGTTGGTTTGTCCGGAGAGGAAAACCCACGAATTGCGTGACAATCTGGTTATAGTCAAAGAGACCCTGGGCACCGAGACGCTCAGAGAGGTTGAAGTGAGTTGCTTGGGCATGTTCCATGACAACAGCCTTGTAGATAGTTGTGATAGCATGACGAGCCTGGTGGCTAGCGACAGGGTCAGTGAAGTACTTGATGGCGTGCTTGGTTAGGGCCTGAATGACATATGTTTGAGCAACAGCTGTGAAGATTGGGATCTGCTGGGTGCGGAATGAAATAATGGGAACAGGATTGGGCGCTCCAACTTTGCGACGGAGGGAGTACTTGTAAGCAATATGTGCAGCAATTTGGGTAGCAGGGAGAGCGAGAGAAGCGAGAGCGAGCGTGCCGACGGAGATACGCCAAATGGCGACCAAGAAGTCGTCGTGGGTGGATGGTTTGTCTCCTACGGGGCCAAGGAGGGCGGTGGAAGGGAGTTTGACGTTGTTGAAGTGGGTGATGGCGTGGTTGACGGGAGTCGCACCATGACGAGTGGGGATCAGTCTGATAAATGGACAATGAAATTGGAATGTGCAAAAGGAAAAAAAAAAAAGAAAAAGAAACTTTACTTGGCGGTGATGTTCTTGCACATATGGACACCATCGTTCAACTGGACGACAAAGGGCCGGATACCGCGTTTTTCACCACCGACGATGAGTTGAGACCAGACAACGGCATAACAAGGCTTGCCGAGGACGGGCACGGTGGGGGGCATATACTTGGATGCAAATCGGTTTGGAGAGTTAAGAATGAATGTACCATCCGGTTGTAGGGTAGCAGTCGTTTCCAAGTTTGTGGCATCAAGGCCATGTCCAGCTTCGGTCAGAAGGAACTGGCCACTTCAAATATAGCTTGTTAGAGAATGCATTTGATCTAAAAATAGAGAAACATACATTGCCTTGCAATCCATCATATCCTTGCAGAGAGCCTGGAGTTCTGGACGGTCCTGAGCATAGGATCCAATGGTGCCGACAGCCAAGTTGAGGTGGATGGTCATGATGGTGATTGAAGAACCGTCATGCCAGGCAATAGGGTCATTGTGAATCTTCCAAAACTTGGGGGTGAGGTTGATGATGTCCTCAAAGGTAAGCCCTGCCGAGATGTTAATGGTATGTTGTGTTGTAAAAAAGAGACATTTGCTCACCCCAAGTCTTCCAGATGAGCTCTGCACGCTTGTACGCATTGTCGGACAAGGCAAGCGCGTTGTTGCGCGAGTTGGCGTTCGCACCGGCGGCCTTGAAGACGTCGACGGAGAGGAGAGATTCAGATGGCCAGTTATGAGAGAAGGACATTGCTGGAAGTATGGAAGAGAGCTGCTTGTCGTGAGAGGCTTGATGACAACAAGTGCATGCCCTTGCCTTTAATACCAAGAAGCAGGTAGCATCGATGTCAGTTACGTAGCAGCCTGATTTGGCACAGAGTTCTCCATATCGTTATTGGACCAGTCCAGAACAGAATAAAGACTATCAGCGCCCGGGGAAAAAAACAACACCTGTGCCACGGTGCGCACCCGTGGTTTACTCTGACCGCCGCTGCCCAGCGGTTAATGACAGCGGATCAGCGTTAAGGGGACACGGAATGATAGCATTTTTTTTGTATGTTCTCCCAGCAATCAATCTCTAAAAAAAATGAGGCTCTTGGACGCGAATACTGGCCACGTTCGCGTCTTCGGTGGATGGTGATTGAGGGTGGCTTTAATCACGTGGCGGCTTCAGAGTACGTGAACTGGCTGACGTCATGATCATCACTCATTGGTAAATCTTATATAAGGAAGGTTATATTCCGATATCGGATTGAACCGACTTGGAATAATTGCCGATCCAATTCTTGGCTTGTCCGCTGAATACGCAGCGATTTCGAAGTCGGTAGAACTTTGGAAGTGTAGGAAGCTTCAAATTGAATTCAATGAGGTTCGTTACAGCTACCATCATTCGTATTCTTTACTCCTTCACTTCTTCCAGCGGCACCGATTACATTCGAGTCAAGGACCTGCTCGTCAATGCCTACCTGTCTTCAGGCGCTCGGTGGCCACCAAAGGAGCCAGGCAAACCGACTCTGCAGCCTATTTTTATCACGATATCCATACCATATGATATCAAAAAAGCAGCGGACAACGATGACCTCGAAAACAGCATAAGTTACTCGGCTCTGGCATCTACGGTAAGGGCTGCCCTCAGCCCCGACCCATCAGCGGAATTCACCCCAGTGTTTGACTCCTTGGAGTCTGTCGGCTGCTGCATCTATGATCTCCTTCTTTCCGAATCCCCCTACCGCTCCATTTTGCACCAGATACAGCTAAAAATCTCCCAGACTAAACCTCCACTGCACTGCCACGCTGTCGTCGTCGAATCAAGTGCAACACAAAGCACGGATTCGTGGTACCTGGATCGGATCAGATACCTCTGCGAAAATATAGAATGCCATGCGATCATTGGGGTGAATCCTGCCGAAAGGCTTGAAAGGCAGCTTGTCCGCTTGAATGTCTCGATTGATCACCCGGGTTATTGTCCAGGGTCGGGAAAATCTTTGGATTTCAGATCGCTGATACGACGTCTGTATGAGGTGCGTGAGTATGCAGCTCCTACAAGATTCGTTCGACGTATATCATCAATCCTCTTTAGAATGTGGGAAAGACAGAATTTCTAACATTAGAAGCATTGGCGTCCTACACAGCGTTAGAAAGTCTAAAAGAATTGCGGCTCTTCCTTCAAAGCGACCTCGCTCCATCAATTAACGTCAAGGCCGCAAAGCCTTATGCTCTGGTCTTCGCTAGTGCTTCTGAAATCGAAGTCTGTCGGACATTTTCCGATTACCCTTCCGAGTTCAAGACGGACAGGGTAAAACATCAGGTTTGCTGAAAGCTCAGCATGGCTGCGTCCTCTAATGTTTACCCTAGTCACTGGACGTACCCTCGCTGTCTACTGCGGTCATCGCGTTCGGCTCAAACCTTGGGGATCGTTTTTTCAATATTGAGCTCGCCCTTCGATTACTCGAAGTACCAAAATACTACTCCCTTCAAAATGCCCACGCAGTTGTGGATATTCTCGACACCAGTTTCTTGTATGAAAGCGCACCGATGTATGTCACAGATCAGCCTGCGTTCATTAATGGTGCCTGCATCGTGAGTACCAGTCGTCCATCCATTTTTCATTTTTCCGAATATATATAGATTCAAACCAATCTCCTGCCTTTGGAACTTTTGGGCCTCCTTAAAAAAATAGAAGCCACTGTCGGAAGAGTACCTTCCATTCGAAACGGCCCTCGAGCAGTGGACCTTGACATTATTCTCTATAGCGACCTCGTCATCGATACTAGACCCCTTCATCAACGGCAAACCGATGAATATTTAGAGGGAAGTTTAGTGATTCCCCATCCACGAATGTGTGAAAGGGAGTTCGTTCTCCGACCCTTAAAAGAGTACGTCATTAGATCGTCTCTCGTCCCGTCACGTCACTTATCCGTTCCGTAGCATGATTCCCGACAACATACATCCGATCATTGGGAAATCAATAGCCACGCTCTTGGATGAAGCACTATCGACATTCCCTGTGCCAGAGTTCCCAATGCAGAAGGTTATACCTTTTCCGAGATACCCGCTATCCTCGGATAGCAAGGCGCTCTTGACCAACGTCCCCCCTGTACCTTCTAATCTTACATACTGGGCATTTCCCTGCTCACCTGGCTCTCCGTCCTTCCAAACACGACTCATGGCCATCCTTAACTCAACGCCGGACTCATTCTCCGACGGATCAGTTCACAATACGCTCTCTACCGCGCTGGACTGTGCACGCCATGCTACACAATCAGGCGCAGATATCATAGATATTGGCGGCTATTCGACGAGACCGGGCGCTGCATTCGTTAGCGTTGCGGACGAGATTGCAAGAGTTTCACCGGTTATTTCTGCCATCAGAAAATCCGAGACAGATGAAATGCTCCGCGATGTGCTTATTAGCGTGGATACATTCCGCTGGCAAGTTGCAAGGTCCGCAATTAGTTCTGGGGCAAACTGCATCAACGACGTGTATTCATTCACCGGTCCATCATGTTATCCGTATCCTTCCGACGATGCTATGGAACAAACTATTGCCCGACAATATATCACTGAATTGAAGAAGCTGACCAGGGAATTTGCCGTTCCTGTGGTGTTGATGCATTCTAGGGCTGAAGCAGGGGCCAATAAGAATTACGGCGATTATTCATACGCCGGATCAAAAAATTCGGTGGTTGAGGGCGTTCGCGTCGAGCTCGGAATAAAAGTCGATGATATCGTGAAAGGGAAGGGAGGGATAAGAAGATGGCTCGTTATCATTGACCCCGGCGTTGGATTCAGCAAGACCGTCGACGGAAACCTGCAAGTCCTCCGGGATTCATCATCTATAACGGATGATATCTATATTGGATCTAGTTCGTCTTCCTATAGTCTTCAATTTTTATCAGTGCCTTTACCTTCAAAGATAGAATCAGACCGAAGGCGTAACCCCCTCGCAGGCTTTCCTTTTCTCATTGGTGCATCAAGGAAGTCATTCCTAGGCACCATACTTGAGGGTGGAAATGGAAGAACCACTCAGCCTAAGGAACGAGGCTGGGCCACGGCCGCGACCGTTGCCTGTGCTGTTCAACAAGGCGCTTGTGCTGTTCGAGTACATGACATTTCAGAAATGGCGGATGTTCTTCGGGTGGCGAATTTATTGTGGCGGTCGCATTAACAGCGATACTACCGTTCCTGTATGCACTTACCGCATTCTTATAGATAGCTGTCTTCAATTGGCCGACTATCAGGCCATCCGCCACGGCCTCGACTACAATTACAAGGGGACTCTCGCAACGTCGATACCGTTCGGCGTGTTTCTATCATCTGTTTTTTTTTCTTATTCGTCTCGGTTAACTCGGTAGAACATTGGTATGGAAAACCTACCGAAAACAAAGCATAGCGGCTGCTCCGTTGGCCGAAATATGTGGCCATCGCGCTCAAGCTTCTCCATGAGGGCTCAGAGGAGTCTTCAGGGGGGTCTATACGACGAAATTCGGTATCAATAAGGCTACGTGCCTGTTACGTGATTATTTGGAGCCTGATTATATTATTATAAGCACGCAGAACATGACCGATACTTATAAGTATCTCTTCTTTCCTTCGATTTTAATGGTTTCCGCTCAGCTGGGACAAATTAGCAATCGTCGTCTCTCTCTCTTAAAGGGCTCCCGAGCACGACGTGACGGAGGTGCTTACATGCACTGGCATTTTGGTACTACGGTTTTCCTTTTCCTGTTTTCATTTTTTGCTCGAACGGGTCAAAGCGAACAGGCAGGTTAAAGATTTCGCCGTCCATAGACGCCTGTGTGTTGTCAATGGCCCATAATGGTATCCCTTCTTTGAATACAGGGCAACATCCATGTCATACGGTGAGTATGCCAATGCCATTAATATCAGCAAAGCAATCTCTAAATACCCTCCGTACGTTCTGCTCTGACATTGGTAGTGTACGACATTTTGATATCCTTTGAGCAGGAGGCGCGTTTGACGCCCACCTTGTCTGCAACTTGTTGACTGCTATTTTGTGTTCAGGTTGAACTTGTGTGGAGGTATATAATGTTCAGGTATTACGATGGAGACATCCTTTTGATTCGCCTGCAAACAGATCCCAGTGGTCATCTTCCAACACACACTATTTCTTGGCAAGATATCACGCAATCGTCTACTTCGTTTCCGAAGTTCTGTTTCTCAATACGTCGGCATTCATTTCAGTGTCACTGCATGGGGTAAGTCAGTACTATGCTAACTTGATTCAATTATTCCAAACAGCTAAATTGCAGTGAATATATCTGAGGAACCAAGTAATGAGGTATGCTAAAATCACCCTTCATCAGTCATTACTTCTTTCACTGACGATATTGCGTTCCAGTTGTTTGTAGCTTTTTATTCATGCCTCGTACTCGTATGTCATTGTTGACTACCAGGTGTCGTTTATATTGCTATTGGTTGTTCCTGTGTGACTGAAGGACGTCTTCATAAGCCCAGCCTCACGTTTATCTTGACAGTGCCGATCCTTCAACATACATCTTCATTCTTGACATCATTCTATTATTTCGCGTCTACGCCTTGTATAACCGAAATAAATTTCGTGCGTATATGTGGTTTTATTATGCGCATATCTGGCGCATATCTGGCGCATATCCTGATTGCTTTTTCCCTCGGCAGTTTTTATCTTCCTCTCGCTCTGTACTGTTGGTGCGTAAATTTGTACTACAAAGGGCGAGATGACCATAAGCCTCTTGCCAGGATCCACAGCGGTGATTTGACCTAGAATTTTGGCTTGGGTGATCCTTTGGTGCTTATATCTTTATAGGCTGCCCTGTGGGCTTTCAGTGTCGTGTGTCGACATGGTGCGACAGCTATGGCTGCTCCTTGGAGGGCCTGTAGGTCTATGGCATCAAATATGATGTACGGTATTGCCGCATAGTCAGTCAATCTCACCATCATTCCTTCCGTCCAGTGTTACAACTTGTCATACAGCGCTCCCCGCTTCTCATTATCAGGTATGTTTCACCAGTCTGCGTTCATGCAATAGTAAACAACTCTTCAGTACTATTTCTGGCTTTGATGGTGACCAAGTTTTGTTAGAGTCTGGATCTATAATAAGAGTAACTCAGTCTCGGTACGCAAAGTTTTGGCGAACATATTACACCATATGCGGCCGCACCTGTGATCCAAGAACAATAATGACTCGGATGAAACAGATTTCACCGCTGTTGACAGCGTTCGTTGAAGATGGATGCATATTTTTTGTCATGTATTGGTTACGCGGCTTCTGTTTCAAATAACAATGTAATGCTGACCTTCGTTTCAGAATTACATGTGAGCAATTGTTTCTGAGAAGACAGATGCCAAGTTAACTTGGTAGTTGCACTAATGCTACGCATAGCCACGGATTTCTTTATGCATGGTCCCATCCATGATATATTTCTTCCGTATGTATCTTTATAGTCATCGAGTAGCTTGGAAAGTTGACGGAATCATATAGGTGGTCCATCGTTTGCTATTATTATGTCGTACATCTCCAACATGTCCTGCTGACGTATATATCTCCAGGGATCAAACCTTAGGTAGTGTTCCGTTTGTTATTGTAGACACGGCCGACCTACTTGGGGTGATGGCATTTTTATCGTGCTGACTACCATTGTTCCCACTCAAAACGCAACCCAATATAACCTGTCGGCCATTCAACGCGACGTGCTGAAACAAAGTCTGTAGGCCGTCCTCCGCCGTATCCTGTGTAACCTTGAATGACAAGTTCGAGATTGTATGAGTAGCCCCTTTACCTTCAAATTCTTTCTCCAGGCCCATAATCTGATGGGGACTAGATGAACAAGTACAAAAATTGTCAGCACGCACGCGACGTGTAGCCTAAAAGTTTCAGGGACAGGCTCGTCGTAGAGCGTTCGACTGCGCCATGTAAAGTATTTAATTCGTCATTCGTATTCATGCATTGGCTTGGGAATGTACTGTCGAGCTACGGTCGGTACATGAACGCGCAGAGACCGGTAGTCACCATGGAATAATCCAGGTGTGGCCATGTAGGAGATGAAATGACGTATACATCGCTTACAGAACCATATCCAATCAAAATTAACACTGAAAAAAGGACACCGAGTAAAGTTCCCCAAGCTTGTTGAACGAGACACGTGTAACCCGACCCTTTTCCCTACGGACTCTTTCGTTTACCTGTACTCCTATGCTTCAACCCGACAGTATATATACCTGGTAGTTATATCCGCATCCTCAGTCGTTTCACTATTACTGTGCCGACTGAGGTATGCTTTACTTAACTCATATACCATACATACTTTACTCACTCGTTTCCTTAGTTCTAACTACATTGTTCATCTTACTTTAGGTATGGTATCATATCAATACAGTCGTTTCACTATTACTGCGCCGACTGAGTTCCAACTACGTTGTTCATCTTACTTTAAAGCTTCCCCAGCAACGAGGGGCTCATCAACGTCCTAGGATGAGAACCACCACAAATTCGCAGCACAAAATTCTCCACATCTTCATAGACGTTACATTTCCCTTTTCACACTGCAAAGATAATGCGATTGAAAACCCTTCCAGAATTGTCCTAGCTAACTTTTAAGCGTACGTGATCGTGATGGACACGTGGTAATGGTGATAATATTATTGTTTCAAATCAGTTTTTTTTTTTTTCAGTACCCACGACCGCGCGTACGGCTATAGGATACCAGACAGATGCACCAAGTCCTGTTCATCGACGAAATTCTTCAAGAAATATTTCATTGGTGCTCTGTTCTGGAGGTCAATGTCCTATCTCAAGCAGCCAGAACGTGTCAAGCGTGGAAGGAGCCTGCCCTAGATGCGCTGTACAGACAACTTCCGTCGATAGAGCCATTATGGTCCCTTTTACCATCCTTGAAAGGAGGAGAGGAGGTCGGTGGTACTTTCTACGCATTGCAGCAAACCCATTAATAGTTTACAGGCGAACATACCTTCAGATGAACTTCAGGTTTTCCGCTCCTACGCCCGGCGCGTCAGACACATAACTCATACCACTCGCAGTACCAAAATCCTCCAAAATCCATCGAGTTGTGCCACTCTTTGTAGCAGGAACAGCTACATATTTCCTAATTTAATAACCGCGAAGTTCAGGCTGTCCAAAAGCAGCCCGCATCCTTCTTTCTGCCTTTCACCTCGACTCCGAGAGCTTCAATTGGATGTAGGATTCTCAGCCAAAGATTCAAGCTCGGGAGGGCTTGAATATCTTCGGGAAATTTCTATCGTTGCTTGTTACCTACAAAGCCTCACGTTTCGGGGTTTGGTACCGGACCAGTTTGACAATATAATTCGGTCCATGTCAACCCTTCATACCCTCTTGTTACGCACTGGAAGATCGGTTACAGCGGATATCATAGCTTCTATCTCTACGCTACCTCATCTTAATTACCTTGAGCTCCATGCTCAACATCTGGAACCTTTCCAGATCGAGGATACCTGGCGCTCTGCCTCCGGACCATTACGCTTCCCTGTCCTGCAAAATTTGCGTCTGCGTTCTACTCCCGACTTTGCCATCCTCGTTCTCCAGAATGTGCAATCGACCGCAGTCCACACGCTCAGCCTCGATATCGAAACTCGTGACCAGACCACTCCATTCTGGCGAACCATATTTAATGTCCTGCAGGAGAGGTTTTCTACCTCCCTGGAACATGTGTCCATCACGCACCATTTAGAACTAGATCATGATATACCCTTAGACATAGACCTCATAAACACCATCGACTTCGCTGCCTTACGCTCTCTTTCCCGCTTACGGGATCTTCGACGCCTTCACTTTGACACGACAGTACCTATGGACATAGGTACTGAGGATGTCATCCAGATGGTGACATGGTGGCCGAACCTCAAACATTTGGAGATGTGGTCCGAGAGCGTGGTGGATTGTGACGAGAATCCTCGTCGTCTCAACCCCGGTTCCACTTCCAGGCTCACCTTAGATGTACTTCCCGTCATCTCTGCATCACTCCCAAAATTAGAATTTGTCGCCCTCCCTGTAGATACCTCTGGTATTACGGAGGAGATTGTTTCCGGTTTGCAAGTTCCCGGCCACCGCAATTTGCAAGGAATATCATTCTCCTATCCTCATGCACCCGACACGACTCTGCTGCCACAGTATCTTCGTAAAATATTCCCCGCTCTTCGGCAGGTCGGACGTGTATCTGGACATGATAGGCTATGGGAATCGGTGGTTACTGAAGCGTGCGACCACACACGATCCGCCTTATGATAGATTTTTCGTCATAGACGATGGTTATTACTTAGATGAAGATGCATAGACGCACTATATACAAGTTGTTCAAACTGATCTCTATGGTACATCTATTTATCTAATACAGCAGATATACCCATTTTACGTGCCGTGGCATAGGGCCAGATATTATACCGCCGACTGTCGAATTCCTTGAGATATTCCTCCTCCCAGATGGGAAGCATGCTGGAAGTTATACCACTTCTAGCTGCAGCTTCTACTGGGTTGCGGAAAAATTCCTAGCATACGATGAGCCAACGCCCGGTGCTCCAGGGATATTTTTGAACCTTCATATCTAGGTTCATGATGACGCCTATTTCTTCCCCGTTTTTCAAGTCTCGACCACTCAAGTTGATGGGGCTGAAGTAGCTCTGCGCAGATACATGGAAAAGGCCACTTGCTCCAGCAACATCTGGTTTATCGGTCGGTAGACTGGGCTTCGTGTGATGTTACCTATTAACCACCCTGCATAAAAGGAATTACCAGGCTGTAGATTGTGGCATTGTCGCTGTTCGTTAATCGCGGGGTTATAAATAAACGGAACGAGGGGACGTCTGTCTTCGTCGAAGGCAAACCAGTCGCCGTCGCCAAGAAGTAGGAGACCACCTAGATAATGTGTAGACGTCAAAGACCGTAACGCCTAAGAACTTGACGGCAAACTGCCACAGGCATACCTGTCTTCAGAGCATTGGCAATAACGGGTATAAGGCCTAGAACGGAATGAATCACATCAGAAGTAGCGTGTAGGCTTTCTGGCAAAAATTCTGCCAATTCTCACTGAATGAATCTAGGGCAAAGGGTCATTTCCGAAGTGTGGTGAAATATCCTGTGCGATTCGTACCGAAAATCTTTTGGTGCATCACTAATTCCACTGCACGCGAGGAAATGGAATTTCTATCGAGATTGAACACGACGCACCCATACGTCTTTAGCTTCCGGGAACAGCCATTTCCATTGCCCTAAAAAGTAAGTACATTTTCCGATTAGTACTGAGTTATCGCAGCTGGTAAGAATCAAGCAGACCAAATAGCGGATCCTCAGCCAAGGTCAGCGATAGCCGATGTGCACTCCCTTATGATATTTTGCAGATCATCGGAAATGAAGGTGGGGGTACAAACCACCGATCATAAAACACCAGAGTCAATGCTGCAACCCGAGCCTCTAAAGAAGGATATGTGGAAACTTGCGAATATGGAGGAGATTGGAGCCGACGTTCGTTTTCACCATACCTGTGGGAAGTTGGTACAACTGTGTCGAGGTCAGCGAGAGTACACGTGCAGCATATTGAAACACCTTCAGTACACGTTGGTCTCGATTGCTCGTCCTGGTAGCGATGTCTCAAAGGTGCGAAATAAAAAGGGCATGCAATCATTAAATACTGTAGATTCATGACATGACCCCTTGGGGATTACCCAGCTAGACGGCATTCTATTCACTCAAAGGGAAAAGAACATACAAGTCTCCATCTGGTCGAGGGCTTGAGAACATGAAAGGCAGGCATAAATATGGGGGCATCAAATGGCTATCAAGGTGGTCAAGCAGTTCATTGACATGGGAGAACAAGGCAGTACGATAATGCATAAGATCTGACAACACTTCCACCTAGCTCTCAGTTGCACCTTTAAACAGGAGGCTTCGTTCCAGCCTCAAATGTGTAAGTCAAACCGCACTTGCCGCAATACTGACGGTCCTTGTGGAAAGCCATCTACAAGCCCAATATTAGCATACAACGCCGAGGATAAAGAGATGATCACTTACGAAGATGCCAGCACCACACTCGGCGGTGGGGCACTCACGACGGAGTCGTTTAATTTTGCCGTCGGAGTCGACCTTGTAGTACTTTAAGATGGACATCTTGACCTTCTTGCGTTTGTGTTTAATCTTCTTGGGGGTCTAGATAAGGCGAATATTGGGTCCACAATCACGCGCGAAAGAAAGACAAGGACTACATACGTTGTAGGTCTTCTTCTTGCGCTTCTTTGCACCACCACGGAGACGTAACACCAAGTGCAGTGTCGATTCCTTCTGGATGTTGTAGTCGCTCAAGGTGCGGCCATCCTCGAGCTGCTTGCCAGCGAAAATAAGACGCTGCTGGTCAGGAGGGATACTAGCAACCGCCATCAGTGATTATGACATGCCGAAGGAAAGGAATACGCACCCCTCCTTGTCCTGGATTTTGGCCTTGACATTGTCGATAGTGTCAGAGGACTCCACCTCGAGGGTGATCGTTTTGCCCGTAAGGCTAAGGTGAATTTCTCAGTGATACCCACAACAACAACGGAAGAATACTGACGTCTTTACGAAGATTTGCATCTTGACGGACACCCTTGTCTCTCCAACGATGTGAACGGTGGAATCGTCAACAAAAGCAGAACCGAATGTAGTTGATGACAAAAATTGAGCGAGACAGCTTTCCGTCCTGTAGCTGATTTAGGTTCAGGCTCCGATTCGGAATAATCCGGATTAGCTCCGGCCTCGGCTTCAATCGGCAAAATCTACATAGAATCTTTGCCGAAGCCATGTCTCTTAAAGGCACATCGTCATGAATGCATCTAGACATCTTGAAAATTACCCAAATTTCCACCCGAGTCTCATCCCCAGAATTTTGGACGAACATTTTTCATCTGGACATGTTATCCCTGGCCTCAATGCTATGATGTACGAACATATTTAGCCATTCACTTCATGTAGGACAGCCTATTTACATGGATGTGTCAGTCGCCTCGGCCTTCAGTGACAATCCAGTTGGTACTCGGCAGGAGCTGCGTTTCATTACATAAAGCTCCAGCAAGCTCTGCGTGAATTTGTGACCTTGAAGAACAGAAGCTTATTAATATTTCTTCCTCGATCATATTTATTCTCGACATTCTTCAAGTCTGCCACCATTGAATGTCGTTCGGGTATGTTCTACTTCTCTGGTGTTAGCTTGAGTATCACATATTAAATGATGGTTGTTACAGTCCTCGAAGTTCGAAGCCTCAAGGACGCTACTTAATCCTCCTCTTTGCTGTTAAAGCCTGCAATATGATGGTGTGTTTTGTGGGACATGCGATTTCCTTTACTATTCCCCGTTTGATCACCGTGTTTACGAAGATTTTAACACCCGCTTTAAGATTTGTCCATCATGAGTCTTTTTTGGTAACCTTTCTCTCTACTTTAATGCTGAACTTCTGCTGAGACTGCGATGATATGGATGCACGAATTTGCAACTTTTTCAAAACTTTTTGATTCTACTGCCATCGTTAATAGGCAGTGGAGTCTGCTCCAGGTTCTGGGATGTGTATCAATCGATGACCATAAGACTATCTGGCCCAACAAATTGTCTGTCTTGAAACAATATGAAATATTACCTAGTCTTCGTATATGAATCCTAATAAGATTCCGTGATGAGCACTGGAATTTGAAAACTGCGTGAAAAAGGGGCCTCGGGTATAGCCACGTGATCGTGGCTGGTCACGTCTTCTACCACCAACCTCGACCGGCACCTCCAATATTCTATGAAAATACATACATATCCCATCCCAGTCTCTCGCTCCTTGAATCTGAAATCCTTTTGGAATGACAAATTGGCGACCAACATAAAGCAGGTCGCTAGCAAAGCCAAAACTTTATCAGCAGAACCTAATGAGCTGCGACTCAGAGAACTGGAAGAGAAAATGAGGCTGGTTCTGACATCGCTCAAGGCATCTATATGGAGCATCATCAATGAGCAGCCTGAATAGGAATCCACCGTACGCCTCCTCGAGCTGGCCTTCCAGCTTACCGATGTCGATAAATAGGACTTGGATTGTGCGCCTTTTGTTACATCTCATACAAACTGTTAACAGATCAGTAATCAATCCCACAAAGCATCACGTCCGGAACGGAATATTGCCACATTAGTTTGAATTGGACCGGGATCTGACGTACGCCTGTTTTGTAGTTCTGTCCTATCTGCTTTTTATCTCATTGTATTCGGTATTGATGTCTTTAGGACATTAATTAAGCTAGGGCCGGAATCGCTTAACACTGTTTTTATGAGGATACCGCGCCAATGAATCATCGTCCTATATCAGCTGCATGAAATGCTACTTTGAAAACTATTGTAGAACGGCAGAAGGTCCACAGTTATGCAGTGTGAAGGTCTTTACTTATCATTCTCCAATGCCTAGCCCTTGGTCTACCATCAGAAAATACCCAATGCACGTCCTCACCTTGAGAAGGCTTCTGAAATTTATTCGAAAGAGCTCATCTCAACAGTACGCGCTGAGATTATTCTCATGGACACTTCGATGGAGTCACCGCCGGCAGAAGGGACATGTGGAATCCTCTATCATCTAAAATGCTCCTGCAGACACTTGCTTGCACCTTTCATCAGTGCTAAAGGAAAGGCTTTAGTTTGCTTGTCTCCATCTCGTTCAAGTTGACAGATGAGTCAAATATATGCCATGATGCTGATTCTTCCTAGGCCTTTACCACACTATCTGCTCGCGATGGGTCTATCACTGCCAAATACCTATTGATCGGCGCACATCGGACTGAACTCTCGGTCCCTGACTACCGTGGACAATTCAAGATGTCGTATTGTGATGCCTACGTCCGCGTTACGATGTTTCGGACATAAAGCCAAGTACCGGGAACGTTGCGTCTTTGGATGGATCCAGCTTCCATGAGGCTCCCCTCTTTATCTGCTGCTTACTAAATTCTCTTAGGACAGCACACCATAGTTGGCCAACATGTTAATCGATCGAGAATGGTCCGTGTTGCTGTTTTTCAGAGAGAATTCTTCCTAATATTTTCTTTGCAGTTATATTTTCTATCTCTATCACCAAATATGCAGTAGCCCAATGGTCCAGCTGTCTATTGTATACCACCACAATGGTCTTATAACCTCTTATCGACTTACGAACCGAAGTCTTCATGGTAGCCTCATCAGTTAAGACGGCCATAACAAGACTTAGACTACAACGGAAAAGGCGCAGCTGAGTGTAGCATACGAACATGCATATACGGTGAATAAATTTTACCCTCTATGTATGCCTTTCTACTATCCCTTTGACGGCTTACTAACCCTCGTCCAGGCGATGCATTCTGCGGAGAAGTGTGTACGTATACGCACAACCTGAATGGAGTGACTCAATGATCATAGCCATTCAGCCTGTGTACTGTATTCATCTTATCATCTTTCTTTCTTTTAAAAGAAGTTTTACCTTGTCCGGAGGAATCTAGATATGTTTCAAGATAGCGTTCCGAACATCACCTTCGAGTAGGCACATCCAAAAACGCAGACCTAGATGATAATTCTATCCCGCGACGTCGATTGAGAATCATTCGATCCGAGGAGGAGATGAACGGGAGGAGGGATGAGGCCGTTGACCTTGGCGGTAGCGGTGGGCTTTTCATTCCACGTGTGAGAGCCGCCTTTTACGAAAGGCCTTCTTTATAGCCTGTCAAGGTTGTGAACATCGCGGGATATGTGATCACTTCGAAAATAGGCAAAACAGTGACAGTTCCGGTATCAAGTATATTTGATCTCTCACTATTTATATCCTGCTGACAGTACGACAGACTGGATATATTTCAGATCTATATCACAGACACGAAGCGTAAAGTCATCCATGAAGGCCAGACAAATATCAAGCAAAGAGATCGGCAGTGGCAATAAGGCGACGTAGATGTCATTAACAAGCCGAGTTGGGGGGGGGGAGGGGGAAGAGAAAATCAGATCTGTCCTCCTCGAACGTCCAGGTGCTACATCACTTGGAGACGGTCCTGGCAGAGACATTGAAAACCACGCGAAATCAGCTCCTGACCAAAGATCCTGTGTATCAATGATATCCTTCTGAAATGTATACAATCCAAAGTCTTTTATTGACACTATCATTAAACTTCTTCGTCTACATAGCCCGCCATTCACTAGAAAACGATCATGAACATCATGAGAGGGTGTGGGGTAAGGAGCAAGACGGACAAACAGAACAACAGACACAAAAGCACGACGAAAACAAACGGATGCAAAAGGGTGCAAGGAATAGTACGGTGAACAAAGGTATGTAGGGTAGTGAGTCAGAAAACGTGAAACGCGCGAGTGAATGATGGATTAACGGTTCAATGTACTGTAAGTAAAATGAACTGAAAACGCAATGGATTATGCTGAAAAAGGTGGGGATTCGCAAAAAAATGTTCCGTGTTGTCATTATCCGATATGTATAGTGTCGTTTTGCGGTCCGTCTAATGCAGGGTGGGAGCAGGTCAAGGTTGGGGTAAACATTAAGACAGATGACATCAGTTTGATCTCATGCGGCACTATACAAGAAGAGATTGTTTGTCGCCGCAATCTGTTTGAAATTTTGCGCTGTCAGAAACCCGCTGCACGGTAATCAATCATTGAATCAAGACTCACAGCGATAGTGTTTTCCCTCGGGTGCCAGCTCGCATGCAGGATCTTCTTATTGAAGTCTAATGCCTCGAGCGACATCTGATCCTTGAACCCCCCCGGACGAGTTCCGTTCTTCACTCCAAGCTTTGCCCCAGGCATGGCACCCCCAATCTTCCTCGCCTTGAACGCCGACTTGTCTGCTTGAAGAACGACGTCGCTCAATGTATCTGTATCGTATATCCGGAAATAGTTGTGGTATGACCCAGTCAGCACGTGCCTGTATAACTTGGCATTAACATCACAACTTATCAGAGCACAGTGTGATACGTACTTGTCATCACCACCCCACACACACTCGAACTTGTCGAATATGCAATCATTCTCGTACAGATCACAGAGTTTGCCCCGCAAGTGGTCGTGAATTGGGATCGTCTTCACAGGCCGCGACTCCATATTAACATCCCAGATCTTCAGGGATAAATAGTCTCTTGACAGGATATACCTCCCGTCATGGCTGAATTTGACATCCGAGATGGAGGATATGATTTCCGAAAAGAATGATCGTGTCGTAGGGTCTTCCTCTTCCTCAAAGCCTGATGGCGAGATGCGTTGTCAATCAAACCGAACAACAAAGGAGTTCAAGGCGCTCACATTTGGCATGCCGATCACATAGAGCAGAGTCTCGCATGTCTGCAAGTTTGATGTTGCTTTTTGAACTTGAGTACATGAAGAGGTTGCAGTGTATGGGATGGAACTCCGTGGCTGTGATGACTTCAGTTAGCTCTTCCATGTTGACCGGCTTGATATCCACGATGTCTATAGTATAATTAGGAATACACCCTGGCATAGCAACCATGCCACGTACTGAAACTTTGGTCGCTGATATTCAGGTTCCAAAGGTTAATTCGTAGATCATCAGCAGAAATGTACGTCTCCTGGTCTGAATTCACGGAGATCGAATGTATGTGGTACGCGTGAGCGTTTGAATAGACTTTGCGGGGTACGGCGGCGATGATGTTATCCTGGAGGGCCATCCGAGGCAGTCTGAGATGATTGCGCGCCGTAGGCGCTGGCAGGGATTGCTGGCCGTTATGGTGATTTGACTCTGAGACCACCCGTAATGACTTCTCAAAAACCTTCCACAACTTAATGGTTTTATCTATAAAAGCTAATCAGAGACCAAAGCGGAAGAACTAGACTGAGACGCACCATTTGTTGATAGAAGAAAATGCGCCGAGTTCTGTCGTCTGCACCACTTGATCTTGTTGATCTTCTCTTCGATTTCCAGCGACTTCAAGTAATCGAATTCCGGCTCATGTGACTGGAACTCCGTGTAGAACTTGTATTCGCAGCCCTTTTTCTGTTCGCGGTGGCAGAATCATTACAAGAGGCGATGGAAGCACGATCAGCGAGAAGGCAGAGAAATAGATCTCGTGAGCAGCTTGAGCGTGGAGACGGAAAAAACATACGTACCGATTCATTACGCTCGAAAAGAACCACTCGACCACCCTTGTCGCCTGTAGCGAGATAGTTTCCTGTAGAGTCAAACTCCACGGTTGAGATGATGTCAGCTGAAGTGGCGGCAATCAGTTCGCAGACGATGGCAACGCCCAACCACAGGAAACGGCGTGCGACAGCAGCGGCACGACGCACCTTCTGTAATGTCCTCGATATCGCCCTTGTCACCAAAACACTGAGCGAAACGCCAGCCGCCAGAGCTAAGAGGGTCTTCCATGTCGAGTCGGACGATGAACAGAAGGGAAAAAATAGAATAGAGACAGGAGTATCGGGGGAGATGGTGATGCTCGAGAAGAAAGGTGTGTCGCAGCTGAAGAAGACCGGCTGGATCGCTTGGATGTGGTGTGTGTACTACATAAGGCTCGGTTCTGCATGTGGTCTTGTTGTTTGCTCGTATTTCGCTGTGCCCTCCATCTGACAGCGCCCGTATTTCTCCTTCTTATTCTACATCATCACTAGCAGCAGTCATGGCTATCGCTCCCATCACCGGAATGCTCAGAAAGAGATTTATCGTTGACCTCAGCTGCGCCTTAAGCCTTGCTACTGCTGGCGCTTACACTTTCTGGTATGTCTCGCTTTTTATACCAGCTTTTGCGCGTGTTGACTCAATGATACATAGGTATGGCTATCACTTGAAAGCGGGTGCGCAGACCTTGTCCTGTCGCTTTTGTTTCAATCTTCGTGTTACTGATTGGTCTCTAGTGGAGCACCAAGAGAACTTCTACCTCCAACTGGAGAAGGCGAAGTTGGCAAGTCGTCAGTAGGAGGAGAGGGCAGGTGGGACTATATGTCTAGACCATCGTCCAGAACAAATCTAAGAATTAATCGAAATTATGCGGTTTCCGTCTCTATGTTCAATTAGCGAGTGGTCCGATAAGCTAATTGCAACCATATTCCTACATATCCAACAAACAATCCAACAAACAGATAATAAGTTATCAACGCCGTTGCACGTTCAGCCGCTCGAATTCTACGCAGCTTTCTATCACCTCGCTTTCAATCTTCTTCACCTTTTCCCAGTCAGTCCCAAATCCAAAGAGTCCAATCTCTGCCTCCTTTGCCCGCTCCTTTTGGTCCAAACCTCGTCTGCACTCCGAATAGACACGCTCGGTGTAAGCTGTCTCCACACTCCTCTCAAATTTCGCTACCGCCGGTCCCCGTTCTACGCTCGAATCGGAAGCTGAGGATTTTTGTCTCGCTACTTCCGGACCAACTACAGGGTGGCTTGTCCACTCTCCGGGATTGACATAGTACTTGATGCCAAGATCTCTTGTTTCCCTCTCCACCGAATAGCGAGAGCCCCCTACAAATGAGTAACGAGGATCTGGGACAGGTGGCGAGCTGAATAAACTAGGTAGTGCCGATAGTATCGAAAATCCGAATATTATGAACAGAGGCAGAAGTTGAACAAATAATGATCGCGGTTGCGCTGCTTCCTGTTGCTGTCGGCGAAGTGTTGGCCCTCCCATGCGCGTCGTGCGAAAACCGCCTGGTCCAAATGATGCCGAAAATACTGGATTCAATTAGACTGGGGTTGACGGACTAATCATGAGAACACACCTGGTCCACCACCGAAACCGCTACCAAAGCCACTTCCGCCGCCAAAGAACATATTGAAGAGGTCCTCGGGACTAAGCTCTCCATCAAATCCTTGACCAGAGCTTGCAAACGGCCGAGATGCAAATCCTGACGGTCGTGATGACATGCCTCCAGTTCGGTCCTCTGGGTCAGCGCCACTCTGATCATAGATAGCACGCTTTTGGGGGTCTGAGAACAGTTAAAAGTGCAGAGAGTAGAGATACAGAGTATAGCATACCCGATATGACTTGGAAAGCTTTAGAAACCACTGCAAAAATGTCAATACGTGGAAACGTTGGACAGGAAACGGTTCACTTTTGAAAGCTTCGTCAGCACCAGGAGCACCATTCTTATCTGGATGTAAAGCCAGGGCTAGCTGTAAACGGGAATGTGAGATATAAAGGGGCCCAAGTCTGTATGCGCACCTTTCGATATGCTTTCTTCACATCTCCTTCTTCGCAAGTCTTGTGCACAGACAATATCTCATAATATTCTGTTACCTTGCACGCCCGTACCCTCTTCACGATTGATATTTGTTCCGCAGTATACTCTCTCTTCTCACCTCCAATACCTCCAGCGGTCCCATTCCCCATAGAACTCGACGATGTCGACGTATTACCAGTATGCCGGTGCTTAGTCCCAGATGAGGAAGAATGTGTCTCAGTGGATGAAGACGACGTTGAAGATGCCGGACCAGAGCCATTCTCTGCCGTATTAATGGACGCCAGCATCTTGAGTGCCTCAGGCGTCTCAAACAGTGCTATCGACTTCTGGCAGAATTTCCGAGCAGACGAGTAATTGCCTGCATCGCGATGCTTCTGTGCGATGGCGAGACATCGAATGGCCTCGTCCTTGTTGCTCTCCATACCGAGCTTTGCGGTAGCTTGGACCGACGTGGAAGAAGGAAGGAGAAAGATGATGTCAAGTGGCTGGGTCAGCTTAGGTTAGGGTCTAATATTAGTCGGCTGTGGATTTGTAAGGCTTTTCCTATGCAACGACCACTAGTGGAGGATTCGGAGGAGCTGAAGAGGTTCAGAGCAGAATGGAAAGCAGAGGTAGAGCATAGGAAAGCCATCGCTGAGCCCAACATCAAGGGCATCGTTGACAACAGTGAGCACAAGCCTGCTCTGAATTTACCTCAGCATACTCTATCACCTCCTACGAAGCCTCAGCTCCATGTATCCGCCCTTTCTAATGTGCCTCTATCGGAAGCGCAAGGATCAGCTCTGGCCGTGTATCGCAGTGCTGTCGCACACGAGCAACGCGGTGACCTCGATGAGGCTCTTCGGCTGTATCGCCAGGCATTTCGGAAGGACCCCAATGTCGACAGGGCTTACCATCGCGAAGAGATCATCGCTTCATCTTTCTCTACTCAATTACACGATACCCAGTATGCCGTCGTTGCAGAAGTGCCTATGCACAGGCCTAAGGGGACCAGTGTCGTATGGGCTGCCTCTTTGGCAAATATAGTTGCTGGTTTTCCGGAAATGCTGCACTTCGAGCCTGAGATAGAGGAAGATGACGTCCATCTGCAGAGAATTCCAGATGAGGTCCTTATCAAGATCCTGACTAGACTTGACCCTACATCCCTTGAGCGATTCGCTGCAGTCAACCGGAAGGCTCGGGTATTCAGTCTTGACTCGACAATATGGAGGTAAGTTTCTATTATATCGCATCGAGCGCCTGGCCCTCGACGGATTGCACGACTTAGGAAACTGGTCACTGCAACATACAGGCCGCCCCAGGTACCCAACCAAGAAGCGCTGCATGCCGTGTTGGAAAGATGTCTGTATGACTATCGCAGGGTGTTCATAGAACATCCGAGGGTGCGAATGGATGGTGTTTACATTGCCGTCTGCCACTACGTGTAAGTCGGCTGCCTTTGACTCGCTTTACTCTGGCTGACTTTTCATAGTCGTTCAGGACTGAGTGAGAACTCTTGGGTGAATGTACGCTTCTATTCGTTCGAACATACCATAAATTTACTCTGCTCTAGGTCAACCATTTGATAACCTACCACCGGTACCTGTGCGTATCCTATCCTACATCCTTACCGCCCATAAGACTTATGATTGTTCAGGCGTTTCTACCCTAACGGACTTGTCATCTCCCTTCGTACAAACGAAGAACAACCTCCTCAACATGTTATACCCCTTCTAAAACCCAGTCTTCGTATGAAGGTATGCTCCTTCTCAACGTGTCTAAGCATATAGAAACTGACCTCCTCAGGGATGTCTATTTGGGCGCTGGACACTCACCGATACAACTATATACATGACAAATCTCGTCGAAGGGAGTGGGAATCTACCCAACCCTCCTGACACCGACTTTTCCGACCTATCTGACATCATTTTAGCCAATTCTGACACGATCCGTTATGTCTTCAGTATGTCCCTCTCCCTTCGGTCTCGTCCTCTTGGGAGATGGAACAAATTGGACATAAGTTCTTTTAATTCGGTGAACATAGAGACGGGAGATGTGTCTCCCGTTGTTTTGAAGCACGAGAGGTCCTTCTGGTTTTCCAAAGTTCGGTCATATGCCTGACAATCTTGCCGTATACCGGCTCGCTTAATAGAAGTTACCTTATCGTGTATGTGATTGGGGACCTATCTGACGGTTTTAGATTGTCAGGACACGATGCGGCGGTGTAATTCCAACACTTGCAACCTAAGTATATGATGATATAAATGTAGGATATCTAGTATATGTACCAGCCTCCAATCTGAAAACATGTATGAAAGCGGTGTGTTAGTAATAAGGATTGGAAGTTATACATTAATCAATACGCTACATATGCGACACAGAGAAGGGGGAAACCGGCATAAAGGCCAAGCCAAAAGACGACGTTTCCAAGCATCTGGTTCTGCTTGATGACAGGCATTCGACTCAGCACGATGAGGGGTATTTGTATTAGCTGTAGAAGGAATAGGTACATCCTGGGACCAGCATTAGTCCAGAGGTAAGCCAAAGCTAAAAGAAACGAGACCTTATTTTCTGTGTGACGACGACCATCACGAGTTCGTGTACACATGCACTCAAGAAAAAGGTGATGAACATGGCAGACGATCGAGACAGCTTATAGCTGGCCATCGTCGAGGCATAGACATGACGCAGAAGGAACATGTACACTGGCTTGTTCCATTTCCGAGAAAATTCATCCCAGGACGCGGAATTCCACCTATAGAGCAAAGACCTACATAAAATTTGGTCTTATCCTGACAAATCGGCGCTCACTAGGCGAAAAGAGGGATCAGTAAGGGTTGGCATTCGCAAAGACAACATACCCAATCTTCGTAGAATTGTCGGTCAGCGAAACTAGGTCAAGGTAAGAACACGCTACATGGCATCTTTTAGCACTTACTATGAAAGCTCGGCAAAAGCATTACATATACATTCTGTAGAAAGTAAAGTTGTAGCTCTTATTCAGATACTGATCACTGACCGAAAATGATATAGAAAAGAAGGAGATAAGCCAGCATAAATGGCAAAGAAAGGTCGAGCAGTGACCGAAAAAAAGATCCAGTCGTTTCGGTCTTTGGTAGGATGAAAGTCTCGGTGACTGAGTATAGGAGCGCAAAGGTACCAAATGTTGCCGTCTATGAGTGCAGTTATCAGCACAAACATGGAGCGGCGAAGCAGAGAGCTACCGTTTTCTCGAAGATGTACAATGGCCGAATTCTGTAACCCAGGTCAGAAACTGGTGTACGGTCTATAGAAAGCTGGTGTAACTTGTCTGTTCTCGGATACTCCAGCTCATACACCAAGGTAGGGATTAATTGATACACGGAGAAGTTTTTGAACGTGATGTTATTGGGCCAGACAATATATTCCGGCCCAGGACTCTTGAGTTCCCCTTGAAGTTCGGAATATTCTTTTGCGAGATCCGAGATGTACTCGCTTGGGTGATCGATAAGCGGATGAGGATCAAACATGGACGGAATGATCTCGGCGGTAGTCTTCTGCTTAACGTTCTCCGCGGTCACTGCAACTAGACGCCTTCGAATCACCGCCGCCGCATTTGCATCAACATAGGAACCTTGCATCCCAATAGGAACCGGAGGTGTCCTGACTGGGGAAGATGTGGATGTGTCGGTATCCGAGCAGGCCGGACTTGGAGAACTGTCCCCCGTTCGACGGGCAGCGGCATCTTCGAGTGCCTTCTCCCAGCCGCCAACCAGGTCAGTGGCTTGTCGCAGTTGATCAAGTATGACTTGCGATTGTTCGGTGATGTGTTGCAAGTACCCGTTCACTGACATGTAGGAGTGCATCTTCATAATCATAACCTGGACAGGGGAAGGGTAAGTCGGAGACTGTTTGAGAGTAATAAATGGGCATGCGTACAAGAGAATGTAGAGTCAAGAATCCAGACTGAACCCACGGCCATTGGCTATACGACGATATAAATTGAATAGATAGTGTCGGCCGACAGGGAGCGAGGTACAGACCGGTTGAAAGTCCACGTCACAGCGGTGAAGAGAATGAGCGTTTGAATAGTATGCTGAATGAAAACCCCCGTCCAGTAGTATCGGATCCAACCCTTGCTGATAGCTTTCGCGAAAGGGACGCAGATGATAGTACTTCCTACCAGGGCCGCATCGCTCAGTGCAAGAGTAATGGCATCCTTGGAGAGAAGAGTGGCGAATCGAAAATTGAGAGGAGCGCCGCTAGATTCGTAGCTGTTTATATATGTCCTGACCATGAAGATGAATATAGATATCCAAAACAAAGAAAAGAACCCCTGCTCGCGAATTAGATGATAGATTCTTCAGTAAAACATAGCACATACGCGAAATTCGTTACTACCAGACAGTTCATTATTTGTGTCGAAGTGGGAATTTCTGGGAGCAAAGGTGATCAGGGCCCTCAGTTTCTTGGACGTCCTGGAACGAAAGGGTTTGGAAACGTAGAGAGTGCCATCCTGGGTCTCGAATCCTCCACTCGCTGTCCGTGATGTTACTGAGGCCTTTGAGATGGCATCTAAAGGCATCATGGAAGTTGAAGCAGAAAGAAAACAAAAGAGACCGAGAGCGCACACGGGCTTTATATGCCCTTGAATGAATGGCAAGTGAGGGGAGATGTGTACATTTGCTTGGCACTTCCCCTGAGTCCAAATCTTGTCCGGCCCCCATTTGGTAATTGATTTCCTCTGACCGCTATGGACCAAGTATGCCTTTTCATCTTTTCTGTTTTCGCAGTGTGCTGAAGCATTCATAGGACTCGTTTCGACAACTTTTGAATAATTCATCGGGGGCTGCAACATCATCAAGACGTGGGGTAAAACAGTACGTCGGGCATGGTCACTACATTGCCGGGGTTCTCACATATGTTCGTTAGGGCTAAGACCATCAGTGCCTCTGAGCCTGCATTCAAACCGCGGAAAGTGAAGAAGGAAGCAAAGTACCGGGACCGTGCGGCTGAGCGGAGAGTCGGCGGTGGGAATGACTATGCACAGGTGCGTGTTTTCGCAATACCATAGCCAAGCTCTCACAGAGTACAGGTTGAAGCTATCCTGGAGGATTTCGATAAACGTACCGCTGACCAGGGTAAAGATGTAGTGAGGTCTATCGGTTGGCTGTTCCATTCAGGCGCACTGACAACTACCAGGTCGACGCGCAACGCGGCTACCTCGGCGGAGATAGCGACCATACCATTCTCGTCAAGGGGCTTGACGTGGCATTACTCGAACAAAACAAGAACGCCGCTGCAGCTTCGGTAGATGATGATACGCTTGAGAAGGCTTTCTTGGGGGAGACTCCAGAATCTACAGTGCGCAAGAAGCGCACTCGCGAGGACATCGTTCGCGAATTGAAGGCTAAGCGGCCGAAAACAGGTGATTCACAACAACCTCCAGTCATAACCGATGCACCATTACCAAACAATAAGTTCAAACCCATCGGATTCAAACCAATAAATCAGGGCGATGTTGACGCTAAGAAGAAGAAAAAGAGGCGAAAAATCGAGACTATGGCAAAGACGGAAGAAAAACCTCAGAGTACACCATCTGAGCCTCCCAAAGAATCCCCCAAGCCACGATCCGCACGAAAACTGGAACCCGAGCCTGAACCTGAGCTCCCAGAAGATTTTGATATCTTCGAGGGTGCTGGCGAATATGAAGGTTTGGATGTCAGCGATGACGATTCTGGTAACGATATATCCCCTCTCAGAGACGATACCTCATCTCCGGGAGACGCACTATTAAACAGACCCGGCGGTTGGTTTAACGATGATCTACAACCTCCGTTCGCTTCTCAACCCAAGTCACCTCTGGATGTGGTTCTATCACCCACCCCAATTCCACTGCCCTCCGTCCCTGACGAAGATGAGGAGGAAGACAATGACGATGGCCCGGTACGACTGGAGCCTCTTGAGAACTCCTCTCTTCCTTCCATCAAGGACTTTTTGTTGATGGACCAGTCTGCTGAGAAGAGGCGAAAACGGAAGAAAAAGGGCAAAGACGCGAAAGACGCAGTCGATGAATCGAAGAAGCTAAATCCACAGGCAAAGGCTGACCGAGATTACAAAAGGTCAAGTTTCCTTTTTACGCACTGTAACTTATCTGACATGTATATCATAGCAGGTTAAAATCATATCAGGACAAAAGAGTTGCTGGAAAGTCATAGAACGTTTGAATAGCTTGCTATATAATACAGGTCCATCATGAATCTGATCGGTTGGGATGCCCTTGCAACAGCTTGTTAATGGTAATAGTTCGTAGATTCGTGTCCGCAAATAGAGCGCGAACGAGTCTCACAAGTTCATCAACCTCAAAGTCCACTAAAGCCCCTGCCTCGAATAAATATGTTGTGTCTGCCATGGATGCTTCCTGTCCAAGAGATCAGCATGCCGGCGGTATTCTAAGATGAAAAAACACTGACTAAAAGCTCTGATAGATAAGAATACTTCAACCATGATGGCGCATATGCTACCACAAAAGACGGCTGATAATTGTTTAGTAAAACAGCAGAAAAGGACGTAGGCACAACAGAGACATACCTGTTCCGGATCCTCAACGAATAGACCTTCAAGAGCATGAAGAATACGACATAGCTCTGCCAACCGCCCTGACTCTACTTCTGGGATATCAGGCAGGGCAAGAATATCCACCAAGACCCTTGAGAGCGCAGCCTCCGTCACAGATCCGATAGCCATGTAATATTTACTCTTCGTGAGAATCCCCTTCCAAAGTTGCGCAAGGCGCTTGATGTCTTGCAAAACTCTGTTGAGGGCCGCTTCACATTCGTCATATCGGTCCTGGTCTCCCGTGTACGTAAACCCTACAGCACCATCCTTAATGATTTCATCGACCGACTGTCTGTATTGTTCCTACATACAAGAACGAATCGGTCGAAAATGACAGGCGCGAGAATTGTGTCTGGTGACTTACAATGGTATCATCCAGCCAACTGTTGCCCAGAATCTTCAAGCATTCCCGGGACTCTTGCATTCGCTCTTCGACGGTACCCGCGTCAATTCGTTCCAGCTCTTGACTGAGATACAGGCAGTCATTCGAAAACCGCAGTGGAGCATCCACCGCAGTCTTCAGTTCTCCACTGAACACCACAGGATACAGTGCTTTGTAGAGATCCACAACCGATGGCGCCGTTTGCAACAGAAGATTTCCTATGGGCGACTTTGATGACGGAAAAATATTGGAAGCGGCCAACTCCGCCCCTTCATTGAGGATGTCTTCAACAATCTTGAGTATCTCCATCACCTGTCCCGAAACTAAGTAAGTCTCCGTCAAAGTGAGCTTGGGTGGCCGCTTTTCCGGCAGTTTGTGGGGAACAACGCGTGCTGCCGTCTTCTGAGAGCTCATACGAGAGTTCCCGTTAGCTCCCTCATTGCATTTACTCATCGCCTTTGCCGATGTGTCAGCAGCTCCGTGGGATGCGACAGAAGGAACAGGAGGAGCAGGATCGTCCGTGGGCATGTCACCCCAAGGATCGTCCCAAGCCGTCTCTTCAGGAAGGGCCTCGGAAGACTGGTCCTCATCATTCCAACCCCAAGCGTCTCCGGGATCATCCTCATTGTCACCATTTCCTTGCTTTCCGTCATCCTCCTCCATGTCAATTTCGTCATCGAATTCCCAGCCATTTCCATTTGACTCCAAACCTTCGATGTCACTTTCTGTTCGAGCCTTCTCCTCTCTGTTGTCAAATCCCCATGCGTCTTCATCGCCCGCAGGGGCGCTATCATCGGCCTGTACTGGGACAACAGTAGGCTGGCGACTTTCCGTCTGTAATTCAACTTCCATAGTGAGAACGCCGTATTTATTGCGGGGCGACATGATGAGAACTCTTGACGCGTCCAAAATCTGAAGTCTTCTTCGCCGTTCGTAGTGTCCAGCCACGCCTTCCGCCCAACTGTGTATTAAATTGTCATGTTGATCGCCTCCAAGAATGCCTATGATGAATTTGGCTTCAAATTCAACGGCGCACCGGACGAGATCAATGAAGGGAGGAAGCTGATTGAAGGAAGATGGCAAGGCGGGCATCAAAAGGTTGTTGAGAACACTGAGACTAAGTGGTTTGCATAGCGACTGGGGAAATTGAACCTGTTGGTGCTGAGGGAGGAAGAGAAAGAGGTGGGTGGAAAGGAAGGACAAGACATTCGACAGGCCGTCAATTTTGTTCTTCCCCGAAGAATGGACGCAAGAGATTTCGTTCGCTGATACGATGATGGAGATGTCTTCTCGGAGTATACGGTCCACGTAGTTTGTCATGAGGTCGCGTCGTAGAATGTTAAGGTAGTTCACCAAAGCCTGTTCAGACAGAGAGGATAGCAGGTGTGAAAGTTTCAGTACTGTCTCCGCTTGTCGAACTTGCACAGAGGGTCGGACGATTAAGGATTCTGGAGACACGGATATGATTCTGGTATATGCCTCACCCAGTTGATCCTCAATGCGAGCTTTTGCAGAACGGAATTTGTTCTAGTTCCAATGAGAATCACAAATCTGACACGAAAATAACAGTAGGCACCTTGAGGTCGACAAGAACATCACTGTGCGTCAATGGCAGAGGAACATCGGTAAGTAATACCTCCACTTCCTTGCAAGCGGCCACAGCGTCTGGAAGCTTTCCAGCATTTACCAGACTGTCCAAAGATTCGAGTTCCGTTCGACACCGCAATAAATGAGACAGGCAGCCATGGAGAACTTCTGCATCCGCGTTTTCTTGCGCCAAGGTTACATGCTCCGTAAGAGAGTGTATTAGCGTCGGTATCAGGCCTGTCTAGTGAAATAGGTCAACGATGAAATCACAGAAATGGCGACTATTCACCTCTGGTCGTGACAACTTGTCAGAGAGACCGTCGATCTCCCTGGTTAAGGACTGCAGACGTGTCTGCAGAGACTTGGCTGACGCTAGCTGTTGTTCAAATTTTGGAAAGTCCTCATGGATACGCTCGTGTATGCGTTTCTGAGGAGGCGCATGAGTGACAGATGTGTATGCCTTGAAGAATATTGAGTGACCTTGGTTGCGTATATAATGTCGTTGAGTTCTTGGATCCACGACGACGCCAGCGCCGCATTCAGCGACTCGTTCGTCGCAGCGTCGATTTTGTTGAGAATGCTAGATGAGACATCCTGGGGAAGGGCCCTCCGAGGGAGATGGGAGGGAATGAGAAACGCCATGACGGTGTGGCCACCGACGCGTTCCACGTGTTCCTTGCTTTCTGCCACCATGTCGCTTCTTGGCCGTACGTTCCTTTTCATCGCTACGGTGGCCATTTTTCATGGTAATGACAATATTGTATAGACATAATATACACATCCTGACGTCCCCGCCATAGCTGCATTTTCTACGTATGAACGTGAGAACTACTTCAATGTCCCTCAGCATACCCCGTAACATATTGGCAGACCTTTCACATCTGAAAGCCTTGGAACGACCCGAGGGACAGTTACCGCAGGATGTGAGTGGAATTGTATCTTTGGCTATACGTTTGCTCAATCACGGCCTAGATTGTAATTGAAACATTCGTGGCGTTGGCACTCGGAATTCTGGGGGCATCCCTTAACGCCTCACCTTTGAAAGAGATAACATGGGCGAGCGAAATGGATAAGCGGTAGGTTTCACAATTCTTTTCAGCTCAGCGTCTTTAATCACAGACAGGTCAATCGACGAAATGGACGCCAGACCAAGTTTTGCCAGCTATGTAAATCGCGGAAAGAATATTCTGTCATAGTACTGATTATCTTTATTGCATGATGAAAATATTTATGGGAATGGTAAGTAAGCATTGTTACTTGGCCGACAACTCTACCGCATTCTTGAAAGCACTGAGGAGCGCCGTCAGCTGTATCTTTTCGCTTCCACCAGTGGACAAGCGATGCCTGCAAGGCAGTCAGTACGGGACACGACATATACAGCTGAACATACTCTGTTGTTGCGAGATGATCAAGGAGATAGATACGAGCAGTTGGCTTCAAATCGATGCCCTCAATGAACTCATAAGCTCCAGTAATGAGGTCCTGCAACGCCAATCCTCGCTCAATTTTCATCGCAGAAATCACTGAACAGTTATCAGTCAGGATTCGCAGAGCAGATGTCCAGATACGAACTTTGATAAGAAGTCGTGAATTCATCGGAGAGCATAGATTTTACAATGGTTTCGACGTCAGCGGGATGTGGACTCCCAGTACAGTTGTAGATTTCGGTTTCACTGATAATGTCATAGGCTGCATGACACGCCTGTAAAACATTGAGTGCCCTACGCATGTCCCCCTTTGAAAGCTTTAGCAGAGCCTTCTTGCCGTCATCTGTAAGATGAACTCTAGAAAAGCATCAGAACAATATAATAGTGCAATGAGTAGATAATACACACTTCTCGGCCTCCACCACTGTCATCAATCTCTTCTGTACCTGATCTATAGGAAGAGGCGAAAATCGAAAGCGCGTACAACGACTCTGAATAGCTGGTGCAATCTTGTTGACGTAGTTGCAAATGATGCAGAATCGGACGTTCTTGGTATACTGTTCAATTACTCGACGAAGGGCTGCTTGGGCTGCTTGGGTCATCATGTCTGCCTCGTCAAGAACAATAAGCTTGTAGCCCTTAGAGAACAGAGTACGCGTCTCCGCGAACTGTTTGATCTGCTCGCGGACAACGTCAATACCACGTTCATCTGACGCGTTGAGCTACACAAATGACTGATGAGTTGGCCGAACACAAGGTGGTACAACTTACTTCCAGGATTTGTTTCCGATAGTCAGGCCCATATATACGACGTGCGACTGCTAATATAGTGGATGTCTTGCCGGTGCCAGGGGGTCCATAGAACAAAAGATGAGGTAGACGATTCTTTTCGATGAATTTTTCGACTGGGATCAGGGTCAGGGAAATTCAACCATGGATGTTGAAACCGCGCACTAGTGCTGGTTATGTCCTTGTGCGAGACAACGTCACTCAAAGTAACCGGGCGGTACTTTTCCACCCTAAATGCTACTATATGAGAACTGTCACTACTGCTCATGAGCTGCTCACCATGGCAGGTTGTCATTGTCATAAGGCCCGGCGTCGCTACCGACAGCCTTGCCCTTGCCCTTGACAGAGGTAGGTATGGCGTTAACATCCACCATTTCGGTGTCCTCGTCGTAAAGCATTGCAGGGCCAATGAGTGATTTTGTGAAAAGAGTACGCGTCGACGCGAGAGCGCGAGCTAATTTGACTTTCCCACGAAGTTATTTATTTATTTTGTTTAGTCCTAACCTCGCGTGTCGCGCCCGAAGTGGCACCTTGCAGACAACACCGGCGATGATGCAGTCGGGTCGACAAGCCCCCAACCAGCCGCCTGTGAAAATCTATAATGCAGTCTACTCGTCAGTCCAGGTACGCTTTTCTGACGTTGCGATGGGTACGTGCTAATTGAGCACAGGTATATGAGTGCATGATCAGAGGGATTGCTGTCATGCGCAGACGCGGCGACTCGTTCGTGAACGCGACCCAGATCCTCAAAGTAGCTGGCGTTGACAAAGGACGGCGGACGAAGATCCTTGAAAAAGAGATCCTTCCAGGAAAACACGAAATCGTCCAGGGTGGATATGGCAAATACCAAGGCACCTGGTATGCATCGTCCGTTGTTGACCCTCGTTTCCTTGCTTATTATCTGCTCAGGATTCCACTTGAAAGAGGCCGAGATATCGCTTTGCAGTACGGTGTTGCCCCCTTGCTAGCGCCTTTGTTCGATTTCACACCCAGCACCAACTCTCTTGCCGCTCTTCCAGTGTCGACTCCTAATATCAACTCGGTATCGCCTAGACCTCTCTCTGCGTCATCATCTTATTCATCAATACCGTCCAATACGGCGACGAACAACTACATGGCAGGAATGCCATCCGCGCTTGCTCCGCCTCCGATAATGCCAGGTTCTGCTCTTCGACTCCTCAATCAAGGTCGCGCCCAAGGACTCTTCACACCTTCAACATCCGCTGTTTCTGCAGCGAGACCAGGCTACAAGTCCCCCAATACCTTTTCACAGTCTCCGTTCTCGCAAACCCCTCCGCCATTGTCACAGCCGCTGAAAAGAAATCGTTCGGAGGATGCACACACAGAGATGAATGCTCCGGAACCTCAAGCAGCTACTGAAGATGGACCATCGCCGACGAAACGCGCCCGAAAAGATCCCACGCCTCCTGTACTTGTCCCAGATAAACGGCTGGTCCGTCTCGCCACCAAACCATCTGTTCCACGAAACATCGATCCTTCCATACCACTGAAAGATACGCGTCGCGCTGCCGTTGTCACCTCGATATGCCAATCCGATGCCCCAGTTCCCGTTATGACTCTATTAAATGACATCGCTCCTATACCTGGCTCTAATTCAATCGAAGTCGATACTATTCTTGATGACCAAGGTCATTCTGCCCTACATCTTGCATGTGCATTGTCGCGCCTTTCTACTGTTCAAGCACTGCTATCATCGGGTGCAGACGTACATCGAGGCAATCATCTCGGAGAGACTCCGCTGATACGAACAATCCTTTCCACGCATTCATATGATGCGCAATCTCTTCCACAGTTACTTTCGTATGGACTATCACAATCTATCATGACTTTGGACACATCCAGAAAGAGCGTTCTTCACCATATCGTTGCGCTAGCTGGCGTAAACGGTCGTGCGGTGGTAGCGCGGTATTACCTGGATCAGATATTTTTATGGATTGCCAAGGAAGATAGCGATTTTGCTAAGATTGTGGATTTACAAGATGAGCACGGTGACACAGCCCTCAACATTGCAGCCCGAGTGGGTAGTAGGACGTTGGTTCGCACACTCGTTGACGTCGGCGCAAACAAAATGCTGATGAACAAGTTGGGCCTTAGGCCGGGTGATTTTGGCGTCGAAAGCGAGGTAATGTTTTTCATCACCCTTGATTCATTTGCTCATTCTTTTCAGGAGCTGAGTGGAGGACCCAAACCGGAAGATATCCTTGCGACGCTACGATCCGTACCTCCCGTACCAGTGCAGAAGTCTCAAGATGTTATTGCGGACATGACCAACATGATACAATCGTTGTCTACGGAGTTCCAAACAGAGATAAAGAGTAAGCAGGACGCATTAGATGTGACACAAGCTCATCTACGCGCTGCGACGCGTGAGCTGAGCGAACAGCGGAAACAAATTCAAATGTGGCAGGGTCGTTGCGCAGAGCTAGACATGCTGGCTCAGCGCGTACGAAATGTGGAACATGCGATCGAGGATGAGGTGCAGTTCGACTGGACGGGTCGTGGCGGCGAGAGTGAAGGAGTGGAGGACAAGAGCCCGGCGTTCCGCTACAGAGGACCTTCGTCCACGATGACTGGAACTCAGGCTCCGGTCGTCACTATTGATGTGGATCCGCCCATGCCTTCTGGTGATTCTGTTGCGTCGTTGATCAGATTAAGGCGGTTGAAGATGTGGCACGAGAAGATGGAGGAGATAACGGAGCAACGAATGAAGGGATTAAGAGGCGCAAGTGCAGAAAAAGAGTTCATGTGCCGAAAAATTGTTGCACTTTGCACAGGCATAGGTGTTGACAAGGTTGAGGACATGCTTGATAGTTTGCTTGTTGCCGTGGAAAGTGAAGCCCAAGTTGTCGATATCGGTCGGGTGTCGGGATTTATGCAAAAGGTGCAGGTCTTCCCTTTTTACTCATCTATAATGCTAACGGGATTTCTCAGGTTCGAGATGGCATAATCTAAGGACAGTCTTTTAACATCATGCCTTGTAAGTGTGGATGTATTTATTCCCTAACTCATACGACTGTCCTTGATTTCGATTATCTATGCATTTGTATGCTTAGCAATTGCAATTGTCTTGATTTTGAATTCGGTTTGAGATACTGAGCGTTCGGCTTAGGTACTAGAAGAACCAGGGTAGTCCCCAGAAGGAAGTCACGCAGCACTTTATAGCATCTTGTTTCGTCCCTGTTCGATTTGCCTCTTGCAAGTCTCAAGATCATGTCAAATACTATTCATGAAATTTGAACAAGGGGTCAAATAGTCAGGTAATAGACTTGGGAGATTGTGTAGCCTTGAACAATGCTGGAAAGGGTGAAAACATGAAGGGGAAGTAGGAATATGCAGAATCCGAAGACTGATTGTATGATCAAGGAAGGGTTGAATGGGTGGAGAAACTTCTATGAATCCTGCGCATAGATTGAGGCCAAATATATTTTTGACGCAGAAGGCGCAACTTGTGATGGTTTGCTCGTTCTCGACATGCATCTGACCAAGCCTCAGGAAACGATCCTCCAGAATGTGGAGAACATACCAGATGGAGAGAAAGCGCCACTATGAATGATGCGAACATCCTCGTACAATGTAGAAGTATTGGTGGTTTTTGTTACTCGTAGGACCCAATATTTTTCTTGTCATACACTTGTGTACTTGTCGCTGAGTGACTGGTAACAACACTTGTTCTTCAGACGTCTCAAAATTTAAATACAAGCCGATTACTGTACTCAGGTGTCCGCGCCACTTGTCTTCGAACTTGTCATTCAACGTGTCATCGCTAAATGTTTTCTCTTGATGATTTCTGGTGGGACATCCAGGCCATCGTGGTCCTCTGGTAGTGCCGGAGGCTTTCATGCTGCTAGTATTAATAGTGTATATGGTGTGTGTAGTCAGAAATGTCCTATATTTGCGTTTTGCGCAGCACCCTTGCTCCATTCCACTTTGAGACCTTCTATACCATTCTCACAGGTGGAACTCCCGTGAACCTGTTAGTCAGTGATAGGACCGGGACAAACAGTTGCCCGTGCAGACGGATTGTTTCCAGAAACGGCCACCTGTCGTCCCCCGGATAGGTGTCGCTACGCGTACACGATGTCAGAAATACTAATTAGCGAGGATTGAATTTCTTGATTAATGAACTTGGAGAAAAATACCGTGAAATATGAGTTAACCCTTCGTCTCGCGAATCGCGATGCGATAGCCTCGAATCAATCACAGTATGAAGGACCCGATCAGCAGAAGCATGAACGTAATCGATTCTATCCTTTGTTTTGGGTGTTGCACATGCGGTCACTGGGAGAACTATCCTCCGCACTGTCGCATGGCTCAAAACTTGTGCACCCCTTACTTATGCGATTCCGCGACATTCACTTGTGCCCGCCTCAGTGGTGGCAGGCCCACTTATAGTACACTTAGGTATGTGCCATTACTAGGTGGCCCCCAATCCTAATTGAAATTTCTCTATTTAAGGCCATTCTACACGGGGCTGCGGGGTACGGCCATTGAACGATGTGGGGTCATTGGCGTCCCATCAATCGATATCGTTGCATGTGACCGAAATCAGGGACAACTTAACAGAACAGAGTCAGGTCAAGTGAGAGGCAACATTCTCCATATGATCTATTCTGTTCCATGTCCTCGCACGTTAGCTTCGACGTGAAAGTCTAGGACTTTTATATTGCAATTGGCGTGGTTGCCGATAGGCACATCTTTTCAATCGGCTCCGGTGTCAATCAGTGGGCGTTTATTTAAAAGGTTGCTGATCCATCCTGCTCTTCTATCGTTCCCCCAACATGGATACGACCAAGCCTTCATCTCCTTCGTTGACTAACGAAAAGGAAGCCGGTACGGTGCAGATTGTAGAGAACTCCAATGTGTACAATCCGCATATCGACATCAGCGGCGTAGACGAGCGAAAACTCTTGCGGAAGCTTGATATTGCCTTGATACCCTGGCTATCTTTCTTGTACCTTCTAAGCTTCTTGGATCGCACAAGCATTGGGAAGTGAGTGTGGGTTTGTATTCTGAATACGTCATTCAATTCATTTCCTTTCTCAACTTTAGCGCCAAGGTGTGCCTGCCCCGTACACTGACATGAAGCCGACTTTTTGTGACTGTTCTGTATACCAGCTCTACAATTTGGAGGATGACTTGCACATATCTGACGACCAGTACCTCATAGCGCTGACCATTTTTTTCTTCAGGTGAGATATCCTAAATCAAACTCATCTACTAGTTGCTAATTCTTCTTCAGCTACTCTATTTTCGAGGTGATTTAAATACTGTGCTGTGTATTGTGAAACGTTAGCTGATACGGCTTGAGGTTCCCTCGAATGTGTTTTTGAAACGCTTACGCCCGTCCATATGGCTGTCGGCTCTCATGTTCCTTTGGGGTATAATGATGGTGAGTTAACACCGGAATGATACTTCTAATGCTGATCAGGCATCAGACCGTCCAAGGCTTAGTGCACAATTACGGTGGCCTCTTAGGTGATCACACTCTCCTTATCACTCATTCTCATGGACTAATGGGAAGTATAGGGATGCGTTGGATGTTGGGAACATTCGAAGCTGGCTTGTTTCCTGGTGTCAATTATTACTTATCATGGTACGCAGCTCACGTCCTGTCCAACGAATCTCAACGCGAGCTTCTTAGCTGGTACAAACGGTCCGAGTTTGGCATCCGGGCTGCCGTGTTCTTCTCCGCCGCAACCGTGTCCGGTGCATTTGGAGGTTTACTAGCGGTAAAGACTTTCTAGATCTATTTTTCCAGCTCGCTCTCACTCGTATATCAGGCAGCTATATCAAATATGGAGGGAATTGGCGGAAAACCGGCTTGGGCTTGGATCTTGTGAGATACTCTGTCTTTTTCATTGCTTGATTTACAAACGTTTTCATTCAGCATCATCCAAGGCCTCGCCACCGTCGTCGCGGGATTCGCCTCGTTTTGGATCATCCAAGACTTCCCCGACACGGCCAAGTTCCTTTCAGAAGAAGAGAGAACTGTGGTTGTTCGGAGATTGCAAGGAGACGATCAGTTTAGCGCGGCCGGCGAAAAGTTAAGGATGAAATACATCATGCAGAGCTTACTCGATTGGAAGACGTGGGTTGGGAGTAAGCCATTGTCATGTCCAATCACCTGGAGCTAATTGCATCAAAAATAGTTGTGATTTACATGGGTTGCGATATGCCACTGTATGCGTTCTCCCTATTTTTACCGACCATCATCAATGAGGCAAGTGTATTTCGACAATTCTCGTGTACCTTTGTCCCTTATCAGTCGCTATTAGCTTGGTAAGACCCGATGATTATCCGAAGTTCCGTGGAGAAATTCGCGTTAAATTCCTTTATTTAGGTTTCGATGCCACACCAGCAAATCTGCTGACGGTTCCTGTCTATGTGTGGGCTTGCATCATGACATGTATTGTAGGCTTTTTGGCTGACAGATGGGGTCGACGTGGTTATTTTAATCTGTGAGTAAAAATTATCTGCATCATCCACGACTCCCTGCCCTAATTATGTTTATTCCACAAAGTGTGCTCCTTTCTCTTGGTACGCCACTTTACATCGTGATCAAGTCTTTCGCCCTCAGTACTATATAACTTAGGGGCTGCGGGTTACATCATTCTCATCGCTTCGAGAAGCGCCGCACTATCATACTTCGCTGTATATCTTGCGACCTGGTCAGTCTACTTTTGGAAATGCCCCCCTCATCGCTGAACCTATCTCGTAAAGTGGTATCTATCCCATCATCCGTGAGTACTGACGAGCTCGATCGGTTTGTCTCTCACCACTGCCTGCTTGAACTTTCCAGCGAACACCGTGTAAGTTTCCCGGGTCTTTCTTGGCGCAGTCCGGCTCAAAAATATACCAGTGCTTGGATGTCCAACAACGTGGAAGGTTCCTACAAACGCAGTGTTTCTTTGGCGATGGTGATCAGCTTGTACGTCAAGATGTTCCCAGGATTTACTAGACATTCACTCTTTCAAGTGGAAACATAAACGGCGCAGTCAGCTCTAATGTGGTATGTGCAACTGTTCCCTCGTAAAGTCTGTTCACACGATCTGACTAAGTGAGGGCAGTACCGAGCCAAAGATAAACCCCGGTACATCCTTGGTACGTGCTCTCGCACACGCGTCATGAAGCTTTACTAAATATATCGATCTATCTGCACAGGACATGGTATGAATAACCATAACTCATCTCTTTGTTTGAACAAATACTCAAAAGAAACTTAGGTCTTGTACTTATGTACATTGGCCTTGGCATTATCTTTTCCATGATCTATCTGTTCTTTGCGAACAGAGAGAACAAGAAACGAGAGAGAGGGGAGAGGGACGAACTCATCGGTGATGAAGACGTACAAGGAGATGAAAGCAACGGTCGGTTCGTTACAGTCGAAGCAGCCAAGAGGGAGAAAGGCGATGCGTGGAGTGGATATAGGTACATCCTATAAACATCAGTATGTAGATGTATAATAAACGCGTTTCATGAAGAACGGTAACGGTGAACCTTAGTCTGGTATGTGACGTACGTCAATCGTAAAGCGCATGCTGCAATTTACTAAGAGCCAGTCATGGTATGTTTCCTGGAGATGTATCTAATAGATGCCTGGAATAAATTTGTACTTGACGATAGAGCAGTATCTCTCCCAGTCTTTTCCATATTTGATAGAACACCTACAAACCTGTCAAACCTGGATGAATGAAATGATCGAAAAACATACCGTTCAAAGTCACGGCTGCAGCGATGCATCAGAACGGTGATGAAAAACACCGAGTAGAAGTAAGGGATAGGCGTAGCCATGCCGATGACAGCTCCCCAAGTGAAGCTCATCGTCCAGTCTGCTACGTAGTTCTGCAACAAAATCAGAACGAGCAATACATACGATCGCTATACGAACAGGTTTTCGTGAGTATGCCCACCATCCGCTGGTGAGAAGTCGGTTTCTAGAGACAACATCAGTCTCCATGAGACAACTAAGTCTCATCGGTGAACCCACCCGTGCGCAGTCTGGATGTAGGTAGGGTTCTTAACGGTATTCCAGGGAAGCTGAGGGAATGATGTGCGGAATTTGGTAATTCCTTGCGTCTGCATCTTGAAATGGCTCTTTTGAGCCATAGCAGTATCCCAGCTGGTTGAATGTGAGTGACGCAAGAAAGAGTCAATGATATGGAAAAACGCACATATAATAGGCTGTCAAAAGCGTGGTGAACAAGACAACGTAGGTGGGTGTCGAAAATTTGTATTTTGATGGATCATGAGAGGCCATGTACACGACGGAGTAAACATAAGACTGATGGTGATCAGAAAACACGCAATAGGAATGTAGAATCGACTCACAAAAGGGACACCAGCCAAGTTCCAGAAGATGACCATAAAGCCCCATCTGCACCATCATATTAGCTGAGAATGGCTAGGTATAAACTCTTACTTCTCGTGATACATATCCCAGGTCTGGGGGATACATTCTTCGCCTTTCGCACTGAAGATAGTCAGCGATAGACTGTGATTGTGGACTGTCGCCACCTACCAGGCATTCACGTAGAGCCACGTTGCAAGGGTCATGAATGCCATGTTCTGTTTGACCGATGAGTCCACGGGGTTTTCTATCGATAAAAAAATATTAAAACATCTTACCGGAGTAACAACGCCATACTTCTCATATTGCTGGCAGCAACCCGATACCGCCAAGAAAAACACGATGACCCAAGGAATACGAACTTCTGCCCACATCTTCAAATCAACAGGACCGATCCGAGGGTTCAGTGACGCGCCCATGAAAACATCATAAATGAAGCTGCCGGACATCCGTATTTGAGTGCCAGTAGCAACGGCGATGAAGTACATCCCGAACGACACGCCGAAACCCCAGATCATAGCAACGCTCATGAGATGCCCGTAGTTGTCAATGATTTCAGTCAGACGGAAAGTGCCGGTGTAATGAAGCATGGCAGCAGTCACCATGGTCGCATAGAGCGAGTAAATTGCGTTGCAATGGTAAATGAGTGTCTTGTAGCCCAATGAAGGAACGGGAAGCCCGTTCTGCTGGAAACCAGGCATAATCCAAGCCAAGAAGAGCTGGAAAAATATGTTTGCGGAATAGACTTTCCACGCATAAGCATTGGGGCTTGCATCCTGTACAAAATGTAAGTCAGCTCCAGAAATAGACATGGAGCTGGCGCACAGTGCAAATATGATCCCACATTCTGAACAGGAAAGGCTTGACATCCTCAAACGACGTGGGGTGAACAAGCTTTCCGTCGTAGAACCATAGGCAAATCCAGAGATAATACATGAGCAAGGGAAAACCAGTCATGATGGCCGTGACACCTAGTGGACCACCGAACTCATAACTGCACTCGAGAGACCAGTAAGTACGCTGAGGACATCGGAAGAAATGGATCTACGCACGTCCCATGCTGGTCAAGCCTCTGATCAATTTTCTTCCCCTCGTCGGAGACTTTGATGATACCATCCACAGCCGTTGGCGTAACGTTGGAGGTATTCTGTTGTCGCAAAGTTCCCTTCCCGTCTGCAACCATTGAGGGAAGCAAATTAAACAAAATTCTGGCAAATTTATCGAACGATTCCGGAGAGGACTTTGGTCAACAAGTACAAATAAATGATCGAGTTTAGCGCGTCACGAATTGACCGGAATCAGTAAGTCCAATGAGTTACGTATATAAAAGTGATGCCTTATTTAATATTAAGCGACGATATTTGTTGCTCAAACCTTGCTCGAAAATAACCATTCTCTTATCAATCCAGTGAGGTCAAATCTTTCACGCTCATAAAGTGTACCTATATCCACTCCATTGATCGCCTTTCTCCATTTTCGCATCAGCGAGGGTAGCAAATCGACCATTTTTCTCGTTTCCCGTCATGCTACTATCGCCAATTATCTCGTCCCTCTCACCTCTCTCGCGTTTCTTGTTCTCTCTGTCTAAGAGAAATAGACAGGCAATCGAGGATATCATCCCGAGGCTAATGTACATGAGCACCATACCTAATGTACCTCTCAGTTGACTATGCCACATTGAAAGTGATATAACGATACGCACCGTGTCCTGTAAGATGGAACACCGAGTTTTTGTCAGTGCTTCATGAACGGTTTGATAAAGTATTTACCAAGTGTATACCATGGTTTATCACTGGCGCGGTACTATGGAAATCGATTGATGGAATGATTAACCTGTCAGTACTCTTGACCGCACGACAATGGTACATACCACGTTTGAACTGACGGCGCCATTGAGATTCCCGCTGATAATTTTTAGTCCAGTTGACACGCACCTGGATGAAAGAACGTACAAGCTAATTAGCATACCCAGAGTAACACCTCGCTTATATGTCCCCTCGATATTATTAGAAAACCAAGCACTGTTCTCATGAGCTCTACCTCTGAATGATATTATAAAGGGCGAGGGACTCACACCGTGTTCGCTAGAAAGTAAGAGGAGTTTATGGGAAAACGGAGCATGATGTGACAACACTTACGAACAACAGGGAAAATCCCACTTTTAAGCCGAAGTGAGGCCATTACAACACCATCCTGAGAGGAAGACTTACCAGGTTGCAAGATATGCGGCAAAGTATGATAAAGGGCCACTTCTCGAGGCAATAAGAATGATGTATCCCGCAGCACCTATAACAACCATTGAGTACCATGTTTGGCCATATAATGCAAAGGGGCATACCAAGGGAAAAGAACACCCTTCGAATCCAATCATGAGTTATGAGTAAGGCGAAATCTGAAAATAATAGATCACGCTTACATATTGAGATAACCACGTCGGCCCCATCTGTCACCGAAGAATCCAACAACGCATGTTACGAGGCAAGCGAACACATAAATAGGAACAGTCAGCAGATTAGCCCGTGTGGCTGTATAACCTGAAAAATCAGAGAGAAATGATGATTTACTAAACGTGACGACCAGCGGTTATTCTCACCTAGCTAGATACGAGCAACCCGTAAGCTGTCAAAATTTCATCTGACAAGACACGACATACTTACCTCATTAATGATGGAGGGTAAAAACAACGAGAACGCATACAATGGCATAGCACTCCCGGCGAAAATCATCACTATGGTAGATCGTTGATGAGTCGACGCCCCATTGTCAGGACTATGACTCACTCCCGAACCAAGTCTTCCAATCAAGTAGGCTCTGCTTTATGTATTTTAACTTGAATTTCTCGCCAGTTGCACTGAATTGACTGTCTGCTTGCAATCTCCGAACAACTACGGTCCTCTCTGCTTCAGAGAGAAACTTGGCCGTGTCAGGAAAGTCTTGAATGATCCAAAAGGAAGCAAGTGCTGCAACGACTGTGAGAACGCCCTCGAGGATACTGATAAACGGGATTAGCTGAGTTCACAGGTACAGAATAAGGTAGCTCACAAGATCCAAGCCCAAGCGGGCTTTCCGCCGACTCCATCCATGTTTGATATGGCAGCCTAATAGTGGAGTGAATTTCTATTTGGAAAGAAGACCTCGCCACCTCTTACCGCCAGCAAGCCTCCAAATGCTCCAGACACGGTAGCAGCAGAGAAGAACACAGCCGCCCGCAGTCCAAATTCGGTTCGTTTATACCAGCTTGAAGGAGGCCATGAAGATCTGCTGAGAACCGCTCAAAGCTACTCACCATGACAAGTAGAAATTGACGCCTGGGTATAGGCAAGCCTCAAACATTCCTAACATCCATCGCATACCTGTTTCCAAGTTAGGTAAAAGCAATGAAGTTGAGATAAATGATGGTGTTACCCAAAAGACCACCGAAGTTGTGCACTAAGCCTTGGACGGTCTGATACTTTGAGCATTACATCTTGCAGAATATAAACGGCGCACCATCATTATACCCCAAAGTAACATGAGAGATGACAACCACAAAGATGGGCGGAAGCGTTTGAGAAACACGTTCGAAGGGACCTTTCAAAATTCGTTAGTACATACAGACGTTGAGAAAGTCACACGATCTGTTGGCACCTCAAATAAAGCATAGCTTAAAAGGAGTTAGTAACGCCTAGTAGTCATTCCTATAAAACGAAATACCTAAAGAAAAAAACTGTCAAAGCAAGCAGGTACTGCTTGTCCGTAATTTGCAAGTCGGCTTCCAGATGATAGAGCTGAAATAACGAGAGTTATGTCGATAAGTTGTTGTCAATAGAGCGTACACAGACCTTGGCGCTATGCGATGCAGTTGAGTAAGACGGCGGAAAGCAAACATTGCAGTTGAACGTACTTTCCAATACTCGTACGATCTAAAAAGCTGAGCAGGTACAAAAAAGACAGCCAAGGTACCAGAGCAATGTCAATCTTCCGCAAGAGCTTTCTTTCATCTACACCGCTGACATCGACATGACAATTATACAAGTTACTTCCATCAAAGGATCCGGATGTCTTGGAAGTAAGTGAGGACCCGACAGTATCCATGAGGGATGGCATGAGTGTAGAAGTGGCTTGGAAGGCTTTTAAGCGTTTGAAAATGATCTCGTTGAGATCCAGGATTAATACCGGCTCCGAATATCTATTGAACACGGCGCCAGAATTGACAGGTTGCGCGCACACTTACTCGATATAGGTAACCACTTGAAAACATACGGTAAATTAGGCATCGAATGGAGCTGTCAAAGTCAGGGAATAGAATGGATCTGGCAACGCCGTAATGGTTATCTACCTAGATATTTAAGATGCTGTGAGTAATATTTTCATCCGAGTATCATTGCTGGAAGCATTCACAGTGCCGAACTCACAGCTCGATCACCAATTTAACTGTCTCGTAGAAGCAACACAGGCCGCTGCTCGTTGTATCAGGCAGCTCGAAAATTCTGGATAAGAAAGAGCAGTTAATTCGTAGGCATCTTCAAACATGTCGTCCTAAGTCCATCTCCACTCCACTGTGCAACTTCAACAAGGAGGTCTCTTTTTTTATCCGCTCCAGTAGCAGACCGCAGCTCGTACAGTGTAGCTGAAACACAATACTTAGAGCCAGTCAATACCAGACCATCCATTTACGTACATAGGTTAAAAAGAAAAGGTTCTGCAACCACAACACTCGATGGAGATGTCTTCAAAGCCTTTTCCAGCATCTCGATACCCTGGTGGCACGCGTCAATCATGACAGAGATAAAAAGGCTAACATGTACCTCTTTGAGCTTTCCTCGTCCCAAAAGCGTAACCGCCAAATTATTCACCACCTTAGGCATAATCAATCAATGCTTATAAGTCGTTAGAGAGATCAAATGCACTAACTGCGTAATCCTCGGCGTCCTTTTCCAAAATCCTTCTTAATAGTTCGCTGGCTCGCTCCCACTGACCATGCGCTGACGCCAACAAAGCCGCATTCATGTCCTTCGCTGATGGGTCTACAGACGGGTCCATTGCAACGATAGCAAAATGCTTTGTAGCCATATCAATTTGTCCCGCCTGCAAATAAATCCTGGCAATAGTGGAACGGAGGGCAGAAGACGCCGTGGTGTTCTGATCACACAGGGGATCCAGCAGCTTCGTCGCCGCACCAAAGCCCTACACCTATTAAATCAGAGGAGATAAATGTTGCAGGAGATACACAAACATTCATTTCCATCAATTGGGACGCCATAATTAAGGCCAATCTCGCTCCACGCTCTTTCCACATCGTCACGGACGTTGGGTCGTTCTTCGACGTGCGTGATTTTGACCGGCATGTGCTGAGGAGCGAGCCCAACACATCGAGATACCCAATATGATCGCCCGCCCAGTATTTTAGACGTGCATGCATGACTTCTAGCTCGAATGGAAGAATTCGCTCAAAGACCCATTCCCGTGCTGAAGGTGGCGCAATGCCGTTCAAGACGGAAAATAGATTGGTACACTCCGCTGACGTTTGGTTGAAAAGGCGGAGACGAGCTAGACACGCCAAACGTAAATACCAAAGCTAGAGAAACGCGGTGTTTAGAATTAGATAGTAAATACAACACAAGCGACATACACCCAAAATCGAGGTCAAGTCTTCTGGGTCTGAGGTAACGAGTCTATCGCGAGCCATTCTCGCAAGCGCCCTCCAGCTGTTGGTCATCTATGCAACGTTAAATTCAACTTCGCACAGGCTCTTAAAACTTAGAAGCTTACGACGAGGGTATGGAAATTGGCGTGCTGCCACTCGCCAGTCGAATCTCGAAAGGGGCGCTTATCAGGTGGATAAATATATTTGGTGAGAAGAGTAGTCAAAGGATCAGTCTAGTACGTGTCATATATGTCAACCCTTTGAAAAGCCACCACGTCAATGTGTATAAAAGAGGGCGGCGCACATTCGGGATGGGTAGGAACATCGTAGGTAGCACGAGTCCCGGTAGATACAAGTCCGGTGCTTCCTCTTCATCTGCGTCGGTGTCTACTTCTGCAGGCGGGGGCGGTGGCACGTCCTTGTGAATGTTCAAGGAAGGCGAAGCCAGTGAAGCGGCAAGAGGGATTTCCTCAGCGGGTGCCATACTTTGCCGCGAGCTAGAGAGCTGCGGCGATGGGTCGTCGGAGACGCGGCCGCTATCGCTCTTGTCATCGTCATCGTCGATGAGAAAAGGGTCCGGAACGTCCGGGTGGTTGTACACCGATGTGAACAGAGAAGACGATGATCCAACTTCGTCGGCAGTCTTGAGGTTCTCATCTGATTGCTTCTCAGCAGTCTCAACGTTACCCTGATTCCTCCCTTCCTTCTGCTCGTCATATTCATCAACTGTAGCATCAACAGGAACCTCCTCAATCAGAGGTGCTGCTGGCGCATCATGCCGTCCTTTGCTCTCACCTTCAGTCGTCTGCGACTGAACTACATCGCTCGACATGCCCGACAACGAGGAAATTGTAGTATAGGAATGATGACTGACCCGGTCGATAGCCCCGATATTCAGACACCCGAGTGAATCGCTACCGTATACCTTTGCGTTGGAGTAAGGGAAGGAATGGAGAGATTCAGCGTATTCGGGAAGGGTGGAGTTTAAAGGAAGAGTGGCAATGTTTGGTTTCGGGGACGTCGACATACTGGGACTAGGGATTACGTGAGCCGAAGACGAACCCCAGCGCCGTATCCGCTGAACTCCCCTCTTCATCTTCTGTGCCATGTTCTTTAATGGCGAACGGCGGGAGCTCTTGGCGCTGGGTTCCTCAATGTGAGAGATGGAGAGCATAATGCGACTTGATAATAGTATTGCGGCTGTTTCTTGGGCGTCCTCGAAACTGCTTTTTTAAATATTTTTCGGCACCTCTCGGGGCTCCAAGAACAATGGATCTAATCGAAATGAGACCGAGAATAATGGTCAGTAGATCAGTAGTGATAGGATAATTTCGGAGTCCGCAGGCGTAGATTCCGGCTAGATTTCTCCAGGTTGCATCGTCAATTCATCAATGATGCGGTGCGGGGCCGTCTGCAGGACCTGGATCATATCCAAATCTTACCCTGATACTGCCAGTTACTACAATGCATACAAATAGTCTCCCAGGTTTCCGTTGCTTCTGTATTGCCGCAGCGGAAAGCGCGTCTGTGATGCCATCTGAATAATTATGATGGTCCTAGATTATATTCCATATGAAAGTGCGACAATGAATGGACATGATAAGATCTCTGGTTGTGAATACAGAATAGCTGAATGACTGATATCTTCCAATGCTCTACTTGTTTGTTCCGAAAATGATGCAGTGCGCCGGTCCCAAAACTCCACTAGGCCTGTTACATTCCAGCCTGACGATTTAAAATGTAGTGACTGAGGTCTTGCCAGCCTGTTACACATCGTGATCAGAGCAAAGATAGCAACAATAAAAGACCGACAACGTACCTCCTCCAACGCGACACATTACCTTCTTCGTCGTATCGGAAGTACCTTTCCCAAGCCTCGTCAATGTCGTCAGTCGACACGTTACAACTTTCTTGCTGAGTGCGTTGGAGAAAGAATACTGAGCTTTGACCTCCTCTCCATCCTTGGGAATCTTCTTCAAGGGAGGGTCGACTCTCTCCACGAGCAATCCATGCGGTATCGAATTAACAATTATCCCGACCTCAACATCGAGCGGGTCTTTCGGGTTTCCAGGCACATACTCATGGATGGGATTGTCCATTCCTGGTGTATATGCCCCAGCACGCGAGCCAGAGCGCGAAGGAGCACGACTTGACCCATCCCGGAAGCTTGAGGGAGGAAGCTTACTCTGTAACGACGGCCGCGGAGTTCGTGCAGTCATCGTGCCGTGGTAGATCGGAATATTCATTACTCGAGAGCGCAAGGTAGACTCCGGCGTCTGCGCACGAGTAGCGGCAGCCCGGAACGTCCCCGTTGGACTCTCGCGTCCATAGCTCGAAAGCGATGTCGACGGCCGCGTTGGCGATGATAAATGTACAGTAGGAAGCGGAATCATAGAACGGCTGGGGGGCCTAGGGGGGTGGACAGAATTTACCGAGGAACTCGGCACGGTTGAAGGGGATATTGCTCTTTGCACCAATGTAGTATTACTATCGTTGTCATCCCATGCACCATCTAAGCCAAAGCTCTGCAGTTTATGAGACGGTGCTGGTATGTGGCTTGGTGTTCTTGGTCGTGGTCGTGGAGTTGGCGGCGCGGGACCAGGTGTGAATGCCCGAGAGGGAGTCTGTGCGCGCGAAGGCGGTCTGAAAGTTGGCATTGGAGGATGATTAGATGACTGTGAGGTTGACACAGAAGATGTCAAAGGAGACCACGGACGCGACGATGCCATCGACGCCCGCGATACACTGCGCTTGCTAGGAGTAGGAATTGGAGGCAGATCGTTATATATACCCATCGCGGACGGCGTACGTTTGGTCGGTGTTCCTTTCACCGCCAGCATCCGTTCTTCAACGACAACTTTCGTGGAGCTATTCCATGGCGCCTTGCCTGCACCCTTTCGTCCGATAGTCTCTGTCTTGTTAGGATTCCTAGGAGAAGGATCCGGTGTCAAGCTTTGACTATACTTATGTCCTGGGCGCTCCGGTGTGATGGAAGTGGATAGCTGGCCACCTCGAACTGAAGAGAAAAGATTCGTCCTCTGTTGTCGTGAAGCCTGGCTGAGTACAGGTTCCGAGGCGGGAGTGCGGGCTCCATTCCGCCTTAGCGGTGTGACTGGAGTGACTGGAGCAGGCGGCTGCGACTGACGGGACGAGCGTGTGATCTTGCGAGCAAACTTCCTCAAAGGGGATATAGAGCGTGATAATGTACTGGTTGCACTGGGTGCTCTTGATGAGCGAGAACCACTGGGAGGAGTCATCAAATAGCCATTTTGCGACGATGACGGTGTCCCAGAATGACTTGACCCGCCCTCGCTGAAAGCGTCTCCAGACAAAAGAAGTTTTCGCACGGCCTCCATCTCAGCATCTGTTCGAGTTATCCTTTCACGGAGATTACGCCATCGTTGGGCAGACTCTGAGTGTCTCCGCAAGGTTTCTCCGTTCTTCGTAACCCTATCCCTTACACCTTTATCGATGATGGAAAGGACTTTGGATGTAGCGGGCATATAGTGCCTGTAAATTCGACATCAACCAATTGTAGGTAAATATAGAGGGAAACGTGCGCACTTCTTTTTCGCTTCAAAGGAATCAAGAAGTGAACTGAAGACTTCAAGGTTGGGAGGTGTGCTGTCTTTTCCATTGGAGGAAGATAGTGGTAATTCAAAGTGTGAAACCAGATCATCTCTTCTATAGACTTTCCAGATGAAGTCCTGTGGATAAAAACATTCAGAAATGTCATAGCGGTGATGACTTGATGAGTACCTGACACCGGTTAACAGCCTTTTCAAGACTAGACATCATGCCATCCGCCTGATCCGTGACTGTTCTGAACACTGTTAGCCATTTGTCTTCCTTGAGTTCCTCCCGCAGCGTATCACTTTCATTTTGAACATTCTCCCAGTCCGCGACCAGCGTGGCATGCTTCCGAATTATCATAGCACTTTCACTAGCCTCTCCGTTCTCTGAAAATGTCGGCGTGGAAGAAACTTGAAGAAGCGGTACCATAGCATCTCCGATGAACTTCATTTCCTTGGACACAGCCTCTAGTTTTGCGTCAAGAGCCATCAGGGACTGGTCAATGGTGTTAGTAGTCCCCGTTGCATCGCCCGATTCGTGACTTTTATGTCGAAGTTCCTGTATGGCTATCATTTGCTAAAGTCAGAACAAGATTCAAGGGCCATGTTTATTAACCACATACAAAATATTCGCGCTTGGATATCGGCGATGATAAGAGATGTTGCTGTCAATTGGGAGGATACAACGAGGGCGGGTAGAACGGCGGACCTAGATGGGAGTAAGAACTTCATGGTGGGAGGTAAAGGTGACACGACGCACGGATCCTCGTCCTCACTCCTCCGCTTACCCTCCTTCGCGGAAATTCGACCGTGCGTAATAGTGACGTTTTCTGCAAGATACGCTTTTAAGTTGGAGGCAGCAGAGATCGCACGTGGCATGCAAAGCACCTTCATCCGCTATGTCCTGGGATGTATTGGTCGAGGATGCAAAGAGACTGGACGTTGATGCAGCGGCATTTGATGCATATACAATATTAGAGCATGAAGGCGATGTAGACATAGATATTCTTGAAGAGGATGAGCTGAGAGAAGGCATATCGTAGGATTAAAGAGAGAAATGGTTCGTGGGCCAGAAGTGTATGAGACGAGAAGAAAAGGTGGTTAAGATTGGTACAAGAATCCGCCGAAGTCGAGGCCACTATCCACAAAGTCGTTAAAAAGGGTATAAGACTCGTTGAGAGAGGTATGACACGACGCCGGCGGATCTCTGCTCCGCCGCAGAGGTCGATGAGGAAAGGTGGCTAATGTCAGATTTCCCACGGTTGCTTTACAATGCATGCATGCCATCAATGACATTGTCTAACTTGTCTTGTTACGACGGATACTTCTATGTCCACAGTTCCAATTTCCTTCTTCTCATCAAATAATATATCATACCAATAACTTACAGGAAATAACTACAAGTGGAGATAACTGAAGCGCGACTGTACTCATTAAGACCCGGATGCCTTCATATTGTCTATGCTCTCCTTGAATCCGCGAGCAAACGCCTTGAAAGGCATGAGGAACCATCCCAGTGAGCTTGGAGCTTCTTGATCCTCAGGCCTATAGTTCCCCTTCCGAGGCCGGTTTAATCGCGGGGTGTCATCGTCCGCAGTCTCTTCCAATGGGCGCTTAACTCCTCGCATTTCATTGCCATCAGACGGTGCTACCACGGTGGATTCAGACGTAGCAGAAGGAGGCGGTAACGGGCTACAGAGACGCATATCAGTGGAATTCATACAGGTGGCAAGAGAAAGACACCTACGCGGTACACGTTCTTTGGTGCGCTATCCAGTTGGTTGGATCGTAGTCCCCCGCTAGCTGTATCGTAGCTTCACAAAACTTACAGTCGGCGTGTCGAGGACCACAATCTTTGACCTGGGGGTCATTAACAAGGCGAATTCTGTCCCCGACTGCTGCCACGCGAGTGCTGGGCCTGATAGAAACTGTCAGAACAGCGAATAAAATTACAAAGAATTATCGTACGAGGTTTCAGAACAGGTTATCTGATGCTTGTTCCAGACAAACAGAGAATACTTCTGGCTACCGCATCGAATCCACTTCTGACATCGCTTGCATAACGTTTCATTCTCCCTGACAGTCTGAGCGCGTAGATCTGATTCGAGTAACATTTTCCTCTCTTCCTCAGATTTAGGTTTTTGCGTTGGCTTTATGGCGGGCGAAGCAGGTTGGTCAGTGTCCGTCAGCTCGTTCCTAGATAAACAGAGTAAGCGGGCAGAACAGAGATAGCCCAGAAAGCATACAACATCGATGACGGCACCTGCTGATCACACTTCTCTCGGTGCTTCTCCCAAGGACGGACGGTGAACGGTCTCTTAGTCCCCAAGCTCACTACCTTCCCGCACCGTGAGCACTTGACATGGTATGAGTCATCCTCGATGAACTGGCATTCTGGTTGATTCTTGAAATACTCAGTCCGTTCTGCCTCGTTTCTGCGAACTCGGCTCAGGCTAATGAAGGATTCTGCGACAGAGGCATTGTCATCCTCATCAGATTCGTATTCTTCCCGTTCAGTGGGAGGTCTGTGGTTATACATCAGCCAGCGACTAGCATCAAAGTGTCAAGTTTCAGCGTACTTGATAGAAGAACGCGGCTTCGCAGATCGTCCAACAGACGAAGGAGGCTTCCTGTTTGTCGATGGCGAGGCTTCATCGTTCGCAACACGGCTTAAAGATCCAATAGAAGATTTCCGAGTGTGAGACGAACTGGGGGGCTTGAAAGTATCATTGCGACCCTGCTTCGGGGAAGGTACTCTACAGATAGATTAGACCCTGTTTGGTCCAACATGGTGTAACTGACTTGAATTCTGATTTCTTGGTCCCAACGCTGCTTGGTGGCTACAAAGTATGAGAATAAAGGCCGCTACTAAGCAATAATCGCATTGCACCTTCATCAAGCTCTTCCCTTTATTTACGCGGGAACCACCGTTCGATTGCGTTTCCAGAGGCATCTCGTTGTCGGATCCAGAGAAAAGTCTAGAATTCTGCATCAGCCTAACATAGAATCTAGGAAAACCTTTATCGTACTCGGAGTGTTCTTGCCCACCTCGCCTCTTCTGAACTGCCGTTAGACTCGAAAGTTGAGGAAAGTCGATATATACCTTTTGCCTGTCAAGGTACGTGTACTTGATGATTCTTCTAGCGAAGGGTATCAAAAAATGCACAAATGATAAATGTAAAGAGGGTCTTACTTGCTCGGAGATGGGCTTTCCATGTGTACGCGATGATTGTGGGAGTATCCTTTGTTGATCTCTATTTTTCATTGTCTCCCCAAATAGCTGGTCTGTTCGGTCCGGTCATCCGCGTATTATTATGGCTCTTCCATCTCTGTCTGCTGCCTACATCCTCTCATTCCAATTTTCTTCTTGGTATCCTCAATTCTCTTCGAAAACCATAAAATCTACGATAATCAGACAACTCCCTCCTGACTTCGTAGAATATCTTGACTCGGACGGTGTCATAATTCCAGAGGGTTCAGAAAATCTGTTCGTGGACATATTTTAAGTCCTACGCCTCTTTTGAAATGCATTTCCTAGTGAGAGTGCTATGATTTTAGAAGATGATTCGGATGATGAGGCCGGAGAACCAGAAAAACGGTACTCATTTCCCGACTTAGACGCAGAGATCAGACAATGCATCGCAGAATATGGCGCTGTATTCCCGAAGTTGAACTTTTCATCTCCCAAGGTGTGTTTACCATTGTCATATATTTACCTGCCATAGAATTCGTTAAATTGGTTAGGATGCTTCCTGGATTCTTCCGGCGGGATCGTCCTTGAAATGTACATCGCCGTCGGATATTTATCTTCTGCTCAAATCTTCAGACTTTGCGAATCATGACCTGAGCAAAGATCATGTCTTTGAGGACTGCGAAGAACATCCAGAATCCTATGACCTAGAACTTGTACTCAGGAAATGGTATTCTATCGACCGAAGTCGGGAATGCAGATGCTTTGTTCGCAAAAACAACCTTATAGGTTCCTTTAATGTTCATGGGCAACTTTTGACGTCACTAATCCAGGTCGCTAGGAATATCGCAGCGTGACTTGAACTATTACGACTTTTGGAATGACTCAATGACGCAGGAAAAGATCACATTAGCCATCAAAGAATTCTGGCTAACAGAAGTCCAGCCGAAATGGGACTTTTCTGAGGATTGTACGTCTCACCACGACCTGTATTTGTAAAGACTAAAGTCGATTGCAGATACCTTCGATTTTCTTCTTACCCGAGACCTCTTGCGTGGACACATAATCGACTTCAACCCCTACGCTGTACGTACAGACCCTCTTCTCTTCTCTTATGAAGAATTATGGGACTTGTATCAATCTGGAGGAAGTCCGGCACTGCGTGTTATCGACTCGCGCGCACATCCGGCCGCGAATACGAACGCACCCGTTCATCAGCACAACATGATACCATTTGAAGCTTTCAGTATGAGCATTGGCCGGGACATCGATGAATTCTCGAAAGTGTGGCATGAGGAGCTCAATAAAAGTATGCAGGACGAATAATAGGACTCATGTCATATTATTGTCTAATACGTGATGGACCATAACATAGATAATTCATTGACATACACCATGAGTACCACATAATGATTGAAGGACATCACCTCGCCCATTGCTCCGCGCGAGAACCACTGCTTAGAAGGTAGAGGGACGAGAAGCAACAAAGGTCGAGCGGACCTTGGAGACACGGTGAGGAAGAGGGAATTTCAATCCCGGCGTCAACAATTGCTTAATGTAAGGGCGACGGACATCCTCAGTCTTCTCAATCTCGACGACACGGAGAATCTAGACCGTACATAAGAAACCAGGGAACAACATGAAGTAAGCGGTGACATACGTGAATTGAGCGGAAACGAGCACGGTGCCTAGCAGCCATGTCCTGATACATGCTCTTGACAGCATCAGCACGGCTGAGGTCGCGGTACTCCTTGTACATGTTGTGAGTACCAGAGCGCGAATCATATCGGAGCCAGATGCCGAAGTTCTTGACCTTCAAAGGCTTCTTCTCATGGATCTACAAAAAAAAAAAGACAAGACCACAGAAGACCATCAGCAATCCCATTCCGCCTGCCTTTTGAGGGCTGCAAGGGATGACTACACACAACGTTGACGCCGATGATTTCACCATTGGCTTTTTTGACCTTCTTCAATTGCCTAGGTAGAATGGGTCGATTTGTGTTTGTGAAGGCAGGAATATTGGCTCACCTGAGGAAGTACCAGAAACGCGACTTGGCGACAACTTCGTTAGGAGCGAAGATGCGCATGCGGTAGATTTTTGGGGTAGGCTCAGCCTCCGTGGGGAGGTGGCGACCGACGACTTGATACTCTTGAAGGCCCATCTTGTGAAACGAACGTTAGTGCCTATACAGTACATCCAAAAGCCCAGGACGCAATCCAGCCTCTCTACTGCGAATCCAGCGCCCGTTCTCGTAGAGATGGTCCGTCATGCATCCGTAAAGCATGGACAACAAATATGGAGACGTACTGGAAGGATGTCGGTGTCTTGAAGCTAGATACCCAGAAAATTTGTTGACGAGTCCACAATGTTTGGTGTTGTGGTGCAGCACCTGCCGCTTTTGGTGCTGAACGCACAGTCGATTTCAAGTTCTTTCGCACCCGACCGCATTACGTTTCTTCCGTTCCTATTGCCGGCAGCCAGGCACCTAGTCATTGATCAAATGGCAAATGTTCATGGGCTCTAGACTAGGTTTGCTCTGTCTTGCCTTTCAGATTTGCTACTTGACTGGTATGTCTATTGCATACTACAAGGCAGCGACAATTTCAGCACCGGTAATTAGGTACTGTATCCAACCGACCCTTGCGCTTGCCGATGTAAATTTTCAGATACGAAAAATTGCCGAGCCGCATTTGTTTCGTTCATGTACAAATTGTCACCGAAATTATTCAGGTTCTGTAAAACAAAGCCTGGTCTGGACTTCAGACAGACAAACTAACACAATCTATGTATCAGATGATGAGAAACCTGAACGACCGACGGTATAGCAGGAAAATATGAGGCTAAAAATCGTGATCATGGTGAGAACCTAACCAGACCAAACCGATAGCAGTCTCGACCTGCGGCTGGGGCCCGCAGTGGCTTGTACGGGGGGGTATCGACAGTGCGGACTGGTGCAGTAGTAGGACGAGTCGGAGAGGAAATAGCAGAATAAGTTGGACCAGTGCAAGTAGATTGAGTGGAAGCAGTAGAAGTGTTATATACAACGGGGATGACCAGTTATACGAAGCATGAGGTGGTCTCCTGGATGCTTCGTACCGTCTTCCATACAATCCGAGCACAGATCAAAACCAACAATAATTGGCTGACACCGAATGCTACTGTAGATCAGGCGAATGAAGATGGAAAGGGAATGGTTGAACGCACTCTTGACAACGATACCTGGGTCCTCGAATGGGTGACATGTTGCATCCGTCGCAGACTTGTTCTGAAGAAGACGGTAAGTTGAGATTAACGCCGAGTAACATAGCTTAATGGACGAACGGTAGTGGTAGGTATTCATTGCAGGCGAAGCAATGCAAATGAACCTGTGGCAAGTGGGATGGTAGTGAGGCTGCCTTATCTTGCAGCCTTCACAAAGGTCAAAGTTCTTGCAGCTGCAGACAGAATCAGATGCGTACCTGACGACCGATATTTAAGTTACTCACGTCTTACAGACATAGCGCTTGCCATGAATCGGCGTCTGGTTGCACCCGTCACAAATATATCCCTGGTGTATTGGCATTTGCGAGTTGGACCCAACCCTCAGGAACGAATGCCAACTGGGGTGGTCCCGCGGAGGCACATCACAGCAGTCCGGACAGAGATCGTAGTTCTGACAGCTGGACATAGTTCAGAGCTCGGTATAGTCGAACAGCTAGCATACGCACTCCTGGCACTTGTATCGAACACCCAGCTTGATAGGCTGATAGCATCCGTCGCAGCTGACTCCGTCAACATGGAGGGACGCGCCAGTCGAGGTGGAGGCACGGTGGGTGAGGCGCTCTGAATAGGCAGGAGGTGCATCAACAGGGATGGAGGACATAACGACGCGCGAATAGAGTAAGAGGAGAGAGTGAAAATAGGGGTTGACGTTCACAGATGGCTATGGTGGGGCTCAACCATAACATGCAAATATATGCAACGGCACCGCGTTCAACGGACGTTGCCGATCACGATTGGGTGATCGACATGCACCCGTACCGAGTATCTCATATAGGAGGTGTGTTGCTGTGGACTCTTTTGTCAAGATTTTCAGTGGCTTGCACGAAGCATTTTGCGAGGAATCTTGATGTGTAACAATTCGACATGATCTATGGAGTCACACGCGTACCAGGATTATTGAACTCCAGAGGATTCACGGCTTCATTTGTGCATTTCCAAAATCAGGTCAAATTACGGACATACGTAATTCTTTTTCTCCCCGATGTGACTTTACTCACTGAGTATGTTCTCGTCACTCAAAAGATATCGTGCGCATGATATCTCTAATCTGCGAAGACCCCGAGCGCACATCTCTTCTACTATGTCAAAATTTCCTTGAAAAGTTAAAAGACAAGTTCTGGAATCCAACTTCAGTGAGCCGTTGGAATTGGACAGATAGAACACGCGGTCAGTTAGGGTATGTGTTCAGCTAGCGTCTCCTAGTTGTGACCATTACAGTAAAGCATCTGGTGGCCATAAGCTTTGCTGAGAGTTGCGTTAGCGGTAACAGATTATATTAGTTGAAGGGAACTTGAAGAACAGAGTACAGCGAACAACTCTCTGAATCAATGACGAAAAAATAGGCCATTGAAGGGCATAAAGTGCCTTGAGATAGGAACTGAGTGACGTCTTTCGATTCTGAAGAAGCATACGTAATTACACTCCCAAGTCCAATAGACTCGTTAAATCGAACAATCCTTGCTCACAAAATCACGATAAAACGCCTAGTCTAGAGCTCTAGAAAGTACTCGTGTGATAAAACTGAACTATAAGAAACATATGTAACATTGTACTTTACACTACCGGAATGACTCACAACTGTTACAGGGTTCAAGCTTGTCTGGAGCTCAATTGTTGGATTGTAGATCAACCCTTGAATGCTGGTAGCCTCGTAAATGTTTTCGACAACTCAGTGAGGAAGGGCTGCTAAAATTCAGGAAGTGACCAAACGATTCTGTTATCACGGAAGCAATTATGACGGCCAAAAGGCGCGCATATTATTTAAGTTGAATGGAGCAAGGGAATTGCAAGATTCGAATCACCTGGTGCAGTACGGCAAGCTTGTAACTCGATAAGGATAACGTGTTTCTGCGGCCTGGTATTGGACTGTCTGTGACCGGCCGCAGCAACACATGCCGGGATGCTAGACTCAGGTCCACAGTGTGTCATACACTGGACGAAGAAGCGAGGTATGAGGACCGTATGGTGAAGAATCTGAATTACAGAATGAACGGAACGGTCAGAAATAGAAGGACCCTGAAGGAATGACGCATTTTCGAAATCCTACACTTTAATCGTGAACGGCACGAATGGTCCGAATTTGGTGACCGTCGCCTGTAGAGCTTCAACGGGAGAGGCCAAAGCGAGGGTAGAAAGGCAAAGCAGAGAAGACCGGATATGCTGGTGAACCACCGTTGAACTGGACAAAGAAAATCCTTCATCACATGTAGTAGGGTAGCATCTGATACAGTAACAATGCCCTGGGCATGACCGCAGATTAAATTGAAGCTAACCAGAACGGCCAGTACTAGAGGGATGCAGATCCATTCGCTAGTCTGATAGTTTTTGTCTTACGAAAGCGAAGAATGTTGCGTGGCAGACGAACGAGACGATGATCCGAGTCACGGTCAGGCTAGACGCTCACTCTGAAGTAGGGCGAAACTTGCACCTTAAATGCAGTTATTTCTGGATCCCTTCTGACGTCGAAGTGTTGGGAAGCAAGCAGGTGGTAATTAGTGGTAAACAGTTACGCTCCGAGTGCCGTAGCGTAACGTCATAACCCTGATCCATTAGACTTTTCTGTGCCTGGCCACAGTGCAGACAAGTTTCCGTTCAACTTGTTACCTACTAAGGCTTAACTAATGGACATGAATATCGTGCAAATATAACATCTGTATGTATAATAGAAGCTCGGGACGCGGGTGCCGATGGAATAAGTGGTATGCACAATGAAAAAGAGGTTTCCTCGCAATATACATCGACGATCGAGAGGAGGGATTATATGCAATGAAATATGCTACCAGAAAGCTGGGACGGAAAGCGATGCAATACGAAAATGCGGAATAGCAAGGCGACAACAAATGTACCAACGAGCAGGAGGGAGAGAAGAATTATTGGAGTTAGTCTTCATCACAAAGGGCCGACGCGGCAGCCACGACGAAACTTGGTAGCTTCAGTTGGGACCAGCTCCAGGATTGATAGTCGAGTTTGTAGTCTTTTGTAATGCCATGAGACCGAAGGAGATATTCTTCAACAGCGGCATCACAAGTGGCAAGGGGTTCGAACTGGGGTTCGAGTCTCACGGAAGAAGAGTGAAGAGGGAGAATCAGATGCTTAATGCGTTCGCTATCCTCGTCAGAAGTGAGGGAAGTCGTCGGTGAAGGGGTGGGAGACTGGAGAGACAATATTAGCAAGTGAGACGCGACATAAGTCATGAAAATGCGACCTTCTTTCTCGAAGGCAATTTCTTCCCGCCCAGGCCTAGATTGGGCTGTTTGCGAGCTTTCACGCACCGTCCGCGGTGAGTACGCCAGTGATGTCCGTCGAATGTGCTCTTTTCAGAGAGCTTGATGCGAGAACCACATAGCTTGCAGGTGACATGGTACGGTCCTACGATGCACGCCAGGGGGTCATCCTTGAGTCTTTGCTCTCGAGCCTGTTCTGCGGTAGTTCTGGCACTAGACGCCGATGATTGATACGATATTTAGTATTACGACTCCGACTCGCAACGGCGAGCATGAACTCACGTGTAATTCGGCAGATTGTTGGCATTAATGGCGGGGGGGATGCGAATTCGACTGCGAACAAGGTCAAGTCAGCGGCAGGTATAAAAATGAATCTATGCTTACAGAGATGGTTTGGCGGTCATTTTAACGTCTAAAGAAGAGGACTGAGTAATTGGACTGGTAAAAAAATGGTGGGATGCGAGTGGAGTCAGTGGGGCGCTCCTAATTAGGACGCGGAATGCGTGAAAGAGGGGGGGACTCTTTTCTATTATTGAAGAGAACGAGAAACAAGACGTAAAGTCGCGCAGGTAGCGTGTTTGCTGTTGGGCATGAAGCGGGAAACCTGGAGGCAACCTATTTTATGTCGGCATATTCCGAGCCAGTCCCGAGCTCCGAGCCCAGATTAGTAAATTAGCAACCTCACCGTCGACTTTGGCGGCGCCGAGCAGGCTTTCACAAACATAATCGTCAGGCATAGAGAAATGACTATCATCAAGGTCCCCGGCATATTGTCTTGAGAAGCTTTCGTACATTACACATCATGCTCTACATGATCATTATTAAAGCAACAAAATTCTATACAACATCCATCAGCTCATCTACCTCTGGTCGCTTCTTTGGCTCGAGAAAATTGGTTATGAGTTCTCTGCTAACACGATCTGCATCCCTAATCATCTGCGTCCTATCAATTTTGTACTTCGTTGGATCCACCGAGTTAACATAGCCGGCATTTAGTCCTTCCAAGGACCATAAGTGCTTGTTTCTCTCCAGACTCGTTTTGGCATCACATCCTATCGCTTCATGAACAATATCTTTCAAAAGGTGATGCGTAAGGATCTTGGGATAATACCGCCCGCTGATCATGGTGAGCGAAATCGTCATCTCGTAACCATCCTTGAGGATGGGACGAAAGTAATATCCTTCAGGCGCTTCCGGCAGAAGGTAAGGTGAAACTGGACTCGGCTGCAAATTTGACAGTGGCTTTTGGGTGCTCGCAGGTGGCATGGGACCCGAAGAAATACTCTCACTCGCGGAAGGATTTTCAATCACCTTGTCGGGATCCTCCCAGTCCTTATCAGCGAGCTCATATAGCACGCCACTTGCACGGCACTCCTTCGTCTTCTGACTCCCCGAAAATCCTTCAACCAAAAACAACCTCTCCAGCCTCATGAACAACCCCCTTGCGCCCGCTCCGTACTCCTTGGGCGATCGTCCGAGCCTGTGACATAGCTCCGTTTGTGCTTTTCCGGGTCCAGCGGGAGGTAAGATGTGCTCGGTGCCTTCTGGCGCCAAGACAGCCCGGAGCGGCTTCAGTAGCACGATCTCGTTCACCCAGATGCGTTCAGCGCCCCACCACATGCCTTGGAAATTCAGCTGTTCGATGGTCTGTCCTATCACTGGAGATGGACCGAGTATATCCTCAGCCACAGCCTGCTTTTCCTGGGATGAGAGCCCATCACGGAACCCCGACGGATCGAAACTGGAGTAGAAACTGGAAGATGGCGGTGCAGCGGTAGGAATTGATGAAGACTCCGCCTGGTGCAATGCAGTATTCTGACTACTGGCAGCCATAATTGCATCAGTGAGGGAGAATTGTGGTTGTTGTTGTTTGACCGGCGCCTGCGGTGTGAACTTGAATTGCCATTCGTCAGTCATATTCCAGAACGCAGCCAAAGAGTCCCCTATCTGGAGCGCGAAGGCATATGCTGACACGACGGACCGCCAAGAGGGAGGAGGGGAGCTCTGTGGATTGCAGGTTTGTAAGAACTCTTTGTCAAAATTGAATGCCTCTGGCTGAAGGGAATGCATAAATGTGATTACATTGCTCGGGGGAAGGTAGGCTCGATATGGGAGAACTTGACTGTCGACAACAGTATATATGCGCGAGACAGCTAAGAATTTAACTTTGTATGCATACGTCTCTGTCACCTCCCATGGAGGTACGCGCACGGGTTGAAGGACAGATTCGGATTGTTCACTTGGTTCGCCCATTTCGACAGGAGGTAAAGGCACCAAGTTCGCCCGGTCTTTCAGCCGGTTAATGGTTTTCTGAATTTTGACCTCCTCGATGATCACGGGCCAAAACGTAATTTCACCCTTATCACCCGACAATGAGATCGGGCCGTCCAGCGCCACCCAGACAACTTCTCCTTCCCTGTACCACCGTTTAAGTCGCATTTTGTGAGCGGCGTGACAACATACGGCGCGGAGGTCTTGATCTCGCTCTACGACTAGGGGAATTTTGGTGATACGACGGGACTGCTTCAATTTAGAAGTTTTTTGTACTGATGCATGGAAACCGACATGTCGCAGAGCGCTCTGTTTTTCCAATTGACGTGAACGATGGAGACCAGCAATACCGGTGCGGAGAAGAGGAGAGAATATGCCAGCCTTGCTTATGTCGGTGGTGATTTCACGTTGGGGCTTCTTGGTACAGTATTTACATCCGCAATTGGTTGTCATGTTGTTCGCGAGCCAGATGGCGTGGGGAACGAATTCAGCAATGGAGCGGAAACGGCTTGGGCCTCCTGTGAAGCAGAAGTGTCAACATCGAGTATCGACGAGAGCGACTAGAACGTACCGAAAAGGTAGATATCGTGCCTCGGCGCACCTTGAAGCCCTTTGTGGTGGTCATACATGCGATAACCTGCCGGCCAGTCTTGCAAAACGTAGGAAGGACCCACTACATTGTAATTAATGATAGCATGTCTGGCGGATATGCAAGAAAGATTACCAGGCCATTTCATCGAATTTGCCACAGATGCACCAATAGAAGCCCGCCACCGAATCGCAATTGAGTTGTCGAGCTCAATTGGTTGCATGAAATTGACATGACCATCCTCGTCCACGACTTCCGTGGTATTACGTGGCCAATGGTCCTCCTTTCCATCTGAGTAATCAATTGTTCTGTATGTGGGGTTCTCCGGAAGTGTATGCTTGTCAGAATATTGGCGACGAGCCGACATGGAGGGGTAAGTGAAGGCGAAGTGGGAAAAACTAAGTCATTTCTGTGGTAATTGTTGGCAAACAACGTGCACCGCCACCTGAGATCTATCTTATCTTAATCTTGTGGCGACTCCTTACTGAGGCTACTGGGATACACGTTGACAATGTTATAAGTAGGAACGATTCACATTCTCGATGGCCTTCATATGCATCTTATAAGAAGTATACATGCCCTGCTGTGGCTTGAACGCTTGCGCACGATGCCTTGTCATCCATCGTTGAGCTTGTGACCTTACAAACTCGAAGCAACCCCCGTACGCAGACGACCAAACAATCCAATATTAGAGCTTCCCCCAAAAGGCTTCAGGAAGACCTGGCAGCGACGCAGATGCCCTGTTTCCTGGAGACGTAACAGAGCCTTGGAAATTCACTGTCCCGCGGCGCTAGGGTGTGAGAAGATGGGGTTGGCACCGCACGGATAATGTTTATCATAAATCTCTTTGTTACTGTTGGTAGTACTTACTATCCTTGATTTCACGCGAAGCCGGAACCGTATTGGAAATTGGACTTAAATATTTCAAGCCTTTGTGTGGCAATGGCCCTAGATACAAACAGCCATTATAGCAACCAAGTGATGCATCTTTCGTTCTGCACCCAGGACTGTGTACATAGTGTGCACAGCTTGATTCTCCACTATTCTCAGCCGTCCGAAAGGTAGAATTCGTTAGAGGCCCGATTCACGCACTCTTTTTTACCACCTTTCCTCCAATTCGGCACCTTGACCCTGCCTTCGCTTCTTGGATAATATGTACCATCCGGCGCCTGGACCATCTAGCCCGATAAACCCAGGCATGCACCATCACCAGCGTCTCAGTCCTATCCCTGTATCAGAGAGCAATGCTTCTAAGCAGCGTCCAGATGACTACGTCTATTTCGAGCGCTCGACATCCAGTTTCTCAGCAGAGGCCGTTGCTCGCTCGACCGCGGCGAAGCTCAAACTGGTGTCATACTACAAGATGGCGGTGGACTCTGCAATCGAAAGGAATGCACGGTGTGTATCCAAGCAGGCGTGTCGCGCATGCTCGTCTGATCTATCATTCCTTTCAGTCGCATAGAGCTCGAAACAAGGTTAACTCAGACTCTGACTCCCGATGCCAAAGAGCGTGAAATACGCAAATATTCCAAGATGGAATCTCAACACCTCAGGCTCAGACGGACCAAGATTAAGTTGGCCGATTTCCGTACAGTCAAGGTCATAGGGAAAGGTGCATTTGGAGAGGTACCATCTCTTGGACGTCGGTCTATCTACGTCAATCTAACGCGTTTCACGTCAAGGTTCGGCTAGTCCAGAAGGTAGACACTGGAAAGGTGTACGCGATGAAGAGTCTGCAGAAGGCTGAGATGTTGAAACGAGATCAGGTATGTTCAACCTTGATATAGTTGCTCTCAGGTCGTTGATTAATCTTTAGCTGGCCCACGTTCGAGCAGAACGAGACGTCCTCGCCGAGTCCACATCTCCGTGGGTCGTACAACTGTTCTACTCTTTCCAAGATCCCCTGTACCTGTACCTCATCATGGAATTTCTTCCTGGAGGCGATCTGATGACCATGTTGATGAAATACGACGTGTTTTCTGAAGATGTAACACGGTTTTACATGGCAGAGTGTATACTCGCCATTGAAGCCGTACATAATCTTGGGTATATCCATCGGTATGGCTTACGTTGTCCTTATATGTTTCTGTATTAATCTCTGCCCCAGTGACATTAAACCAGATAATGTCCTTATCGACAAGAACGGACATTTGAAACTATCAGATTTCGGTTTAAGTACAGGTCTTCATAAGGTGTCTGACGGGGAATTCTACAAACGATTCCTAGAGCAGGAGAAGACTCGTGATCCTGCTCGGAACAGTGTGCAGGTCAATCCCATCAACTTAACAATGAGTCGCGAGCAGATTGCCACATGGAAAGCAAACCGCCGGAAACTCGTAAGCTCCAAAGACTATCTCTCCTCGACCTTTTCATGATTGTGTTAAGGCGTACTCCACTGTTGGTACCCCAGATTATGTGAGTATAGAGAGACATAACAATTCGTCCTTTGTTGATAGCAAGAAACGTCCCAGATTGCGCCAGAAGTCTTCTTGATGAAGGGGTACGGAAAGGAGTGTGACTGGTGGTCGTTAGGCGCCATTTTTTTCGAATGTTTAGTCGGATATGCTCCTTTCTGCTCCGAAAATCCTGGCGATACATACAAGAAAATTATTGACTGGCCGAATTACCTTTTCTTCCCCGATGAAGTCTACATCTCGAGAGAGGGAGAAGATCTCATTCGAAAGCGCGTATACTTATTTCGCTCACGGCTGCTTCTAATTTCACCTGCAGGATGATGACATGGGCCCAAAATCGACTGACGGTAACGCAAATCAAGACACATCCCTTCTTCTTCGGTGCGGACTGGACTTCCCTCCGAAACATCGAGCCACCCTTTGTTCCTCACCTCAAATCTATCACGGATACATCCTATTTCCCAACGGACGATCTTGGCAACCTCCCGGACCAATTGGACCAAGTAGAGTCTGTTGGCGCAGAAAAGGACCTGGCGTTCTTAGGGTATGTTTCGTTTCTATTCTCTTGCACAACTGTTGACGTAGTGATGTAGATTCACGTTCAAACGTTTCACTGGCGGCCCACAAGCGTCAGGTTAATTATTACTTCTCGGGACCGGACCACTATCTTTGCTTTGCATTGCTGTCTTGTCTTTGTTAGTTTACCGCAACCAACCACGCACGCCCAATGGTATATGTATGTACGGCACAATTCACACAACTCTCTTGTAACAACGCACCCCAGAAAGGATATTTTTTTCAAGCACGGATGATTGTACTTTTCAATCTTTGTGTATGTCCAATATTCTTGTCATACTATGGTTGTTCTTGCATATCGTTGGCTTCTATGAATTTGGAATGCATAAAAATCAGTACTAGTGGAATGAATTCGCTTTTCTAACGAGCACAGCCATCGATATAGCCGCATTCTGTTTTGTACCATATATGTTATTACGTTCTTTCCATCATCTGCTCTGCTACACCGGATGAGCACAGAAGATCCCGAGGACATACTCTCCAGTTCTTTGCAGATACTGTATGAGTACAAACCTATTGCACTGACCTCTGCAGGTTCAGTCTTTTCTTATACGTCTGATAGTATACCGGGAGGTCCGATTACCCTTCGCACACCCGACACTCTTCCATCCAACTGGTCACTGCATGCATCGTCCATCTGGGCTTCGTCTCTTTTCCTTGTCGACCATCTGCAGTTCCTAGATCTCCCCGAATCTCCGGTGGAATCGTTTCGTGTACTGGAGTTAGGTGCAGGGGCGGGGCTCCCAGGAATAACGATCGCCCGTAAACATCCCGTAATACAGGTGACAGTAAGCGACTATCCTGATGAGGAGCTCTTCCGGACATTGGAAGGAAATGTCACCAGGAACGACGCGCAAGGCAATTGTCGTACCGTCGCTTATGCATGGGGATCAGATCCGTCGGCTCTCACTGGTGAAGACGGTTTTGATGTGATAGTTGCCGCGGATACGCTCTGGAATCCGGATTTGCATGCGCTCTTCATTAAAGCGCTGCAGTTGATGTTGAAGAGATCACCAGAAGCGCGTGTTCATCTCGTTGCGGGTCTCCATACAGGGAGATACACGCTCCAGTCGTTTATCGTGGCCGCAGAGAAGGCAGGATTTACTGTCCTACAGTCAACAGAGATGGAGATAGGCGGTTCTCATAGGCGAGCGTGGTGCGTCTCGAGAGTTGAAGGAGAGGATGAGAAAGAGAGAAGACGATGGGTAGTCTGGATTGTCCTGAAGTGGACATCATTGGCGAAATCGTAAAATTCATTTACACAAAAAGTACAATAGGTGAGTACACATTTATGGTTATGTCGATTATTCAACAATATCATATTTTTCAAGCCCTACGAATAGGCGGTGCTCCAAAGGTCATAACCTTTGCGATCATCGTAGCTGTGTGCCCATCATCCTATGAAGGTATCAGCGTCGGTCAAGTGCGAGACGGTAGACCTCACGAGGATAAAGATCAGATTGTCTTCCGTAACGCTGAACTGCTGAAGGATCAGCCCTTCAAACGCGATTAAACGCGAAGTCTCCGCCGGAATGAATGAAGCTCGACAGCCAATCCATGTCCAGGATTGTGTAGACTTGCTGTACGAGTCCGGAAATGGGGAAAAATCAATAGTATGAAGTCGGCTCCTTCCCCCATTAACATTATCCACCTCGGTGAAGAACGCCCTAGATCCGACAATCAAGGGTCCCCGGATATAAGGTCCATACTTTCGCAAATCCTTCACCATGCAGAAAGCACTCCAATACGACCAGGGCAGGAACCCCTTCCTCGCCGGATATTTGACGAACGACTCTCGGACGAAGAGCCATTCGCACGCGGTATGTCCGGGGCGGATCTTTGCGGTGATTGCAAGCATACGAACTTCAGGGGCAGCGTAGAAAAGTGCATTGGAAGACGGTTCATTGTCGGTCCTCGAAGAAGTGTTAGTCGAAAACGCGAAATATGAACAACCTTTCCAGGCTTCGGGAAGTTCATATTGATTCACAATGGACATCTTCCCCACGTCATAGATTCCGTAAGAGTTCAGAACGTAAGAACCTGTCTTTCGATCTTGGCAGATACCGAGAAGGTGGTTTTCGTCTACGAAATAGATATCCAGATCCTCCAGCCACTGTTAGTGCGATCAGCCAATATCATGACACCATATATCTAGATTACGCACCGTCGCTTCCATTGTACGCCAATTCATCAGTAGGCGAAGGGTCTTCCCTCCGTGGAAATTCAAACCAACTGTGACTTTTGAACCACAAATCAAGGTGTTAACACCGATGACTCGCGTAGCGATTGCGGTCGAGACATCGAAAGATGGAGTAATCGCGTGACGGTGCTTCTTGTTGGTTCCGATATCCTTAAAGGATAGTGAAACGCAGACTTTTCCATTGTGACTATAGAAGCGTAGTTAAAAAGAAATGATCTTTAGACGAATTGAATACTCAAACGTACGTGAAAACGTGGCTTGTAACGATGAGACCTTGAGACCCGTCGACAGCCAAGCCCTCAATCTGTGACAAAGTGTACTTGAGATGACGCGTTTGGGACGGAGGCCGATTCGTCCTGCAGGAAGGAAGCTCTGATAGGTCCAAGGTGTTGAAAACGCCGTGGTTATGTATTTGAAAGATGAATTTGTCGGAGACACCTGCGATGACTGGCATGGGGATTTCTAACTGAGATTCGTGGGTCCATTGGAGCTTTGGCCAGTCTTTCTTGTAGGTCAGAAGGAGTTGAGCTCGAACGATGGGAGGTGCGCGAGCATAGGACACCGCGCCGTCTTTCATTCCCATGACAGCCAACTCAAAGCGGTAGCGAAGAACTTGAAATTCCATAACGATGTTGTAGATACGACGGAACGCCTGTCAAGAGTGTAAGCAGAGGCTCGAGGCTTAGGGTGCATGCTGACCTTGCAGGCACGCCAAAGAGACGGTGGGTCAAGATGCTCCAAAATACTGATGAGGACATCATCAGAAACTTTGTAGAAGCGCACAGCAGTGAGACGATGAGGATGCATTTCTCGCAGAGAAAGTACCAGTACTGGAGCACTCCAGAGAGAAGCATATCGATTTTATACTCGTCCTCGTTGTCATCGTCTGAACCAGATAAAAAGATAGAAAAAGAAAAGAAAAGCGGTTGCCCATTTCCCGGCATTGTCTTCGTGGTATGAAACAGTGAAAGTCGGCGTACTCGACTCCTGAGATTTGTTGGTCGATAGGCTGGTCATCGTAGGGAATAAAGAGCTTTTTGTGAGTTCGCTGACCCAAACGATCCAGGATTAGAGCAGGGTGCCATGTCAACAACAACGCGTGCCGCTGGACGACGAAAGGTAAAGGTTGCGTGGGGGTAGGACCAGTTTTCGGGGGCTCGCGAGACAATAAGATCCCTTAGCTGGGGCGCGACCTGCCTAAAACGCGAACGCGGAAGTCGGGTATGCGTTTGATGCGATATATTCTTTTTCTTCGAGCGCTGAGAAGAAGAATAATAGCCAGATACGAACTCCGTAAAGATTAATGAAGAATCGTTGTGCTCATTTTCATATTGTTTGTGAAACAGTGGAAGGACGCCTTGCGAATCGACCTGAGAGCCGGCCCGGCTTCCGGATGCAATGTATTTGTGGCTGTGTAATCGTGACATCTGTCACGAAGCTTGCTAAGCTCTAGCGGCCCAATCTCCTTCGTCCTTCAAACCACGATGGTATGCAAGAAATGTGAAAAGGTACAGTATTGTCACGCCGCATTCCCTGCATCAGATCTCTTATTGTTCTTCGCAGAAACTTTCCAAGGTTGCGGCGCCTGATCCATTTACATCAAGCTCCAGCAGCATCAAGGATGGCTCACGCAAAGTTGGGGAGAACAAGCTTCTCGCACGGCCAGGCAGCTCCAAGAATCGTTTTCAGGTAAAGTCTAGATTTTGCTGTTGATACGTGCTCTGACAATATACACAGCCGTATCAAGGGAAATGTAAGGACTGCAAGTCGACAGTCACCCAGAATAAAGCAAAGTACTGTCATGGTACGTTACCATTCCAGTTGTCTTTCAAATTTGTCCCTTCTTGGCCTTTACTATTCGCATTTCAGGGTGTGCATATAAGAAAGGTCTTTGCTCAATTTGCGGGAAGCAGATCCTGGATACTACAGGCTATGTCATGTCGAGCAAGTAAGCCCGCAAAGTTTTAGACGGATCACGGATCTTTTGTTGTCAGTGTTGCTGTGCAGTATCATATCATATCTTGTGTGTATTCTTACTCTTTTAACGTAATGACATTTTCTCTCTAGTGTGTATACTTACAAATGTGTTACCGTGTCCATCGCTTCCAGGATCTAAGATTCAGGACGCTATCCTCTTCCTTGGCATCCAGAAAGGCCCATCTTTTAACTGGCGATACCCGGCACATTTGCTGATCGACCGAACCTTCCTTTCACGCGTCTTGTCTACCTCAGGTTTGGATGCCCAGGTCCGTCGCAAGGCAATCCATCTGAAAAGCTCTTAAAGGATTTGAATTTATCTGTCAACCCAAGCTACGCGTCGTTCATTCTTTCAACCATGATCTCTACACTCTTTTACCTTTGGTTTTCGCTCCTTTTTCTTTTTTCCTTCGCGGTCGACATCGACATGGAGGGTCTGCCTGACACAGGCCTCGATACCACAGACTGGGTGGATGGAGAGCTTCCTCCTCTCGATGACATGTGGAGTCTGAATGATATGCAAATCGCTGCTAAGAATGTCATCGCGAAACGCTATTATGGTGACTTCCTTCATCTCGAATGCACGTATAATTCGCTGACATTGCTTTCGGTAGCGTCTTATAGGACTGCAGCGCTCGATGAGATTACATACCAGGCGAACCTGAACATTTGGAAAAACGTCCGCCTCAATGGCTATAGCTTTCGGGATGTTTCGAATATTGACGTTTCGTATGTCTGGCATACATGCTGTGGCGGTAGGTCTACCTGCTGAATGTTCCCTAGAACATCTATTCTAGGTTACAATTTTTCCTTGCCTTTTTTTATCGCCCCGGCTGCCAATGCAGGACATGCAAATAATTCTGCCGAGCTGTCACTAGCAACTGCTGCAGGAAAGGCAGGGATTTTATACGTCGTTAGTGAACCTATATCTATCATCCGGAGTGCTGATGAACTTAAATGAGCACCATGGTATAGCCTAGTATCTCCTCCACGAAGTCCCTAGAGGAGATCGCAAATGTCGCGTTGGACGACCAGGTCATGTTTCACCAGGAATACATTTGGTCGAATCGGTCCCGACTTGTAGATGAATTGCAGCGCATCGAAGCTGCAGGTTACAAGGCCATCTTTTTGACTGTTGATAACACCGGAATTGACGGCATTAGGTGAGTCATTATGAATCAGAATAGACAATGGACTGAACTAGAACACGAAAATGAAGGACACGTTCATTGCGATACACCGGTGAAAGCTCTGAGTATGTTTTTCACCATTTACATAGTATCATTTCTGAATTCTCGATATAGGTCTGGGCATTCAGCAACCTTCGACTTGGCCTCCCTTGCTGAGATACGTAATTTAACATCTCTTCCTATCGTTCCCAAGGGTATCAAAACAGCCGCTGACGCGCAAACTTGCCTTGACCTCGGCTTCCCTGCAATCTATGTGTCGAACCACGGTGGACGTACCCTTGATGGTGCGCCCACTGCGGTGGAAATTCTCCTTGATATCCGTCGGAATGCTCCAGAGGTGTTTGAGCGGATGGAGGTATACGCAGATGGAGGAGTGAGGAGAGGAAACCATGTGATCACGCTTCTGGCGCTTGGTGCAAGGGCTGTAGGACTAGGCCGAAGCCCTATCTTTGCGAACATCTGGGGAGAGGAAGGCGTGTCAAGGATGATCGAGATGCTCCAAACAGAGTTTGAGACGACGATGCAGTTAATGGGGGAAAGCAAGGTGGCTAACATCAACTCGAGCTATGTAAGTTCCAGAACATCACACTTTGACCCATTTTCCTGACTTTCTCGTTCGAAGATTAACACAAAGCTGGTCGAGTCGGTGTACTTTGGTAATTAAATATTATCTATTTTTACATCTATTTTTTATACTCTCGTTAAATGGACATTCCCTTTGTTGCTTATTGGTTAAAATGGTTCTTCAATTTTGTTACGAGATACCACAAGGAGAATGGAAATATGTCGACATCTCACGACAGATTCTCCATCTATATATTAGATGAAGTCCCGGAATCATCACAGCAAGTAACGATTTTCAAATACAACGCATGTGCTCGTCCGAAAACAGTTGGCATACGTGTTGACATTCAAGAATGAATTATTGTGCCATGATCTCAAACGAACAAGCATCTTCACCTGCATCTGAATTCCCAACCCCCAGCTTGTTCTGGGTTCTGATGGATGGTCAACCACGGCTGAGAATTCGAAGCCCGCATTTACCGGCGGCCCAAGGAATTATTAGATTACCCCAGGCAAAGATCACCCGGCAAATCTGATCATGAAGGGATCGCTTGGCTAAAGATTTGTGATCAGAACCATCCACCCAGGTCCCAGATCGATTGAGGTAAGTCGGTGGGAAGGCCATGTGGAAAAGGCTTGATAGATCTGCTTCGGTGGGCAGGAAACTCAGCTAACGACGATACGGGACAGGTCCCGAATCATTCGGGGTGGCATTTTGTCGCTTGCTAACGGTATGTCTCTTTCTGTGTCTCCAGGCGGCTCTGTGGGTTGATTGGTGAAACTTCTTTGGACTGGGTAGAAGGGAGGAGCAATCTATCGGGATGGTCATCTTATGTTCGATATCAATAGCGTCCGCGGGCGGTAGGTGGGTAGACAGCATCCACACATGTACAGTGAACGCCGGCGGAATGCTGGGGCTTGTCCCAAAGGCTGAATCCCTGTTTAAGCATACATGGCCTTGTACTTGATGACCAACGCACCTTGTTCTAGTCAGAAATGCCAGGGGTGTATGTGAAAAGTACGTGTATACCATGAGTTATACAAAGACCATGTGGAAATACCTACTGCATCGTCTCGATCCTACTAATGGTAAATGAGGTTTGCAACCCTGGATGCCTTCCATAAGCGGACGAGCGACTGCATTTTCATTAGCCAGCAAGCTATAGAGGGGGATGCGATGCTTCCTGCTACTAACTCTTTTCTCCACTGTTGTTGTATACTCGTCCTCTGCTATGGCCGCCCATTATTCCTGCCGGTGCTATGTCGCAACCTCCTGTCCAGCATAGGAACTTGTTGATCTTTTTCGCCCACAATTCCTTGGAAGCAGACGTTCGCGCTTTCATCCATTATGGCTGACGCGCTTGTCAAGGCGTCGTATTGCGGTTAATGAGACCGCGTAGGTCAACATGTTCACGATCTGCGGGAATGCCGGGCCGAACAGAAATCACTTTCCCACGCTTTCTAAGTTTTGATATCCATCTTTCGGTTGTCTGGGCGCCATCAAGGGCGCGTAAGGATGCGTTTCGAAGGCGTTTCATTACTCCATTGTGTGAGCTGCTCGCCATTATATCTTACCTTTTCAACTTATCCCCACTCTCTCAGCTTGGATGTCCAACGCATTGCAAATATGCCGCATCCCAAGCAATTCCGACGTTGCAGGGATCGGCGTCCGAGCTGCAACCTACCTCCAAGCATGCCTCGCCTTGTTCATGAGCTTTTCAAGCGTCGTTTACCGCACGGTGCACTTCTCCTCCACTCTTTGGGTCGGTGAAAAACGAGACGAGTCAATGTCGATAATCGAGGAGCGGGCTTTCCAAGTCCCCCCCACTCTCACAGAAGCCATAAAATCCGTGGAGAGTGCCCTTTTCATCACGAGTATATCTGTACTCATCGGTGCGATGATCCAAGCAAGGTCGTCCAGCGGCCTTAGCCCCTACCATGCGCTCGTCGTCCTGAACTTGGCCCAGATCAACAGCTACACGGCCTACCTGTTATTCCTCTGCCGGCTGACCGCCGACGATCCCGGAGCCTCGGGCTTAGTCTTCCTCAGACTGATGCTCAGGATAGCACTACGCAACTACGTCCTGTTCGCGGTTCACTCATGCATGATGGGCGCGTTTGGGTTATGGTTCTGGGGTAACACCAGCGCGTTCCTACGCTACGCGTCCGACTCGGCATCCAGCAATGACGGACCGTGCAACCCAGTCTCGCATTATTGGATATTCACGCCAGTGCTTTCGGATAACCAAGTCTTGCGGATTTTCTTCCTGATATACTACTCCGTCTCAGCATGCCCTCCCATCGCTTTCTTGGTCCCAATGGCGATGACAGCCCTCATCTTCGGAGCCGTATGGGTTGTCCTGTACACGCTCGCATTCATCTGTATCGTCCTTTTCGCACCCGTCCTTCTGGTCCTATATCTCTCCGGCATCCACGACATCCAGAAATGGATAGAAAACAAACTCGAATCCCTCGAAACCAAGTTCAGCGCCATGCTCGATTTCTCAAAAGTGAGGTGGGGAGCGGCAGTAGCAGGCTCGTTATGGTTGCTACCGATCAATCTTCCCGTCGTCTTCTACCTCTTCGCTACGGAGAAGATGATTAGGATGAACAGGCCGATTTTGGATGATGCGGAGGCGGAGGCTCAGTGGTCTTATGGGCAGACTTTGGCGCTGATCACGGCCCTGGTGACTGTGGTGTTCTTCCTCAGGGATGTGGGTAAGCTGGTGATCGAGTTGCAGCGAAATAGTGCGAAATTCCAGGTTGTTATACGACCCAGTGATAAAGCGGACGATGACAGCATAGGTTTAAGGAGGTGCAGGACAGTTTAGCTTGACCGCATCTATTTGATTTCGTGGGTGATATTTCCTACTGCCTTTAAAGTATACTGATTTTGTGCAGTAGACAGTCGATAGAAGGCTTACAAGTCCCTCTATCTCATTGGAAAGAATTCAATTTACCCCTACATAGAGTTGACAATATCCTTGATGCAGCAGAGTTTAGGGGAATGACCCTGTGGTCGAATTTTTCAATAATTCTACCGCGATACCAGTCAGACGCGATTTAGTGAAGCAGGAATCGAATTAGAAGGGAGGCAGGGGTGGATGGACTGCTGGGGATGATGGTGGTAGCATTCTCGGATAGAAAGCCCTGTTACGAGGAAGGTGCGTAACATCTGCGAAAGACGTCAGCTTTGGCCGGACGCCAAAGAATAACGAGTAGAAGTATTATAAAAAAAAACAGAAGCTCTAGTATGTCTCTTCAACATCTATAACGTTAATCTATCCCTCAGTGCGGTCATCGTCGTCCGCAGGTGGGGGGTTAACCACCCCGCTCTGCAGCATCTCCAGAATGACTTTATCGTCCTGTACACGGCTGCCTCTGTATGAACGTTATTTAGCAGCCAAAACAAAACAAAACAAAAGATTCCATTCCACGTACAACAACGCCCTCACCACATCCGGCATAACTACCCCACTGGCCACATCAACCTTCTCCACCCCCGGAACGCCATCGGCCCTCGTAGGGCCGACATTAACCACCAGAACCGGTTTGCGGAGCTCCACAGCGTGCTTGAGCAGGCGGAATGCGGAGTAGGTAGCTAGGGTCGTGCCTATGATCATCAGCCTGTCCGAGCGCTCGACGTCGAGGAACCTAATTAGTAGTAGTAGAGCATGGAAAAAAGAAAAAACACACGGGCACGTACGATCGGTCTTTGACCTCCTGTGATATGGATTCTCCGAAAAAGACAACCTCGGGTTTGTGTGTTGAGTTTCGCCGGTTTTGCAGGAGGCACGTGGGGCAGTCTGGGAGGGTGAAGGAGGTGTAGGAGGCTCCGAGGCTTTCAGCGTCGACCTAAGCGTGCTGGTTCGGGAGCGAGCACAAAAAAAAGGAGACATCGCACATCACCATCTGGGTTCGTCCGCGGTTTATTGCCTGTCCGTTCGACGTCGTCTAAAAACGCTTTCCATTGGGGGTTAGCGAGAGAAAGCATCTGCTGGAAGGTCGAGCGGTCGACTGGATGGCCATGTTTACAGCGTACGCGCTACTGGGGCGTCGGAAAGGGAAACTCAAGCAAAGGGGAGAAAGGATCCTGACGTGTAAAGTCCCGTGGAGCTCGAGGATAGCTTCTTGGGGGTTGATTAGGTGGGATAGGGAGAGGGCTTTGTGATGCAAGCCATCGACGTTCTGTTGAGGGGTACCGGTAACGAGCAAATGAATGAATTGAGAGGCACGGGTTTTGGCTCACCTGAGTGATTATACGAGGGACGACGGAAGCGTGCTGGAGCGCGGCGAGAGCGTAATGGGTCGTGTTGGGAAGGGCGCTCACGACGGGCTGGTATCCTAGATAGGACCTCAACCAGTATCGCTGCCTGCCAGTGATGATCTATGTTAAATAATGCTATCATCCCTCGAACGCACCGCCGGGCCATACCTAAAAGTGAACCCTCTCTCGGTCTCATCCACCAGCTCGTGATAAAGTATAGGCCTAAAAAGACATCTAGGCAAAAGGGCCCCCCAATGCGAGTCGTTTATAACGCACTGGTAATTAGGATTCATGTACCGGCCATCATGCCCTCTATAAGCGCGTATACCAGAATCGACGCTGACGCCAGCACCGGTGATGAGGGCCACCGTTCCTGGAGCGAGGAACTCGACGACGCGCTGGATGGCCTCTGCCGGGGGTGTGGGGGTCGAAGTTGAATGGGTCGGGATGGTCGGGATGGATATACGCATACGTGGCTGTGCAGATCGCTCGTCCCCAACACTCATGTCGTTTCTCGTGGGACCCGTTTCCGGCGCTCTGGTCGCTGGTGGGGTAGGCTCTGTGTCTTTTCTGGATGGTTCAAAGTCGGGTTTTCTGATGCGTATTTATTATAGGTTTACTATGGGTTCTCCAATTTGATACAATCGAGGTGAGAGCCAACCTTTCTTTGTTTGTTGGGAAGCTTGTGCTGACTGTTCATACATGCATAGGACGGAACAGCATCGAAAAGAGTGCGTGTTTTTTGTTTTTTTTTCCATTTAGCTTGGCTGGAAGGAATGCTGATGCCGGGACTGCAAGCCTCCACCAACTCTGCGTGCGCCTCGTCGAGACGCCCAGCATCGTCATCGCACCGCCGTCTGCGGCCTCGCGAATCGCGGCTAGGCCGTTTTCGTCTTTCGTACACGAGAAATGGAACGGGGAAGTGGATGCGGCGTACCACTGGGTTAGGACTGCTGATAAGCGAGTGCAGGAGTGGGGTCGCAAGTTGTTGTATGGTGAATAAACTAAGACACGAAAAGTAAATGCTAGTAACGCTGCTCGAACCGATCCCGGGCCTTTTGATTCCGCCTAACATCCTCCTCTGAGAGTTTTGCATTCAACGCCTGCATGAGCTCGAGTGCGTATTTTTCGCCGTCCTGAAAAAACATATATATTATTACATGTCGGGAAATCATTGAGAACCCTACCGCCAGTAAAGCTTTTATCTGGGGGAGACTAAGGTCGCCAGAGCCAATTGTGCGCATTCCCTGGAGGATAGGGCCGGGGAAAGAGTACATGAGGAGCAGGCGGAGGGGTGTTGAAGCTTCTTCCTGGAGGATAGCGTCGAGGTAGTGCACAGATGATTCGATGTTGAGGGTGATAGAGACTGGCCAGGTGTCTCTCCCTCCGAGGACCTCGCCGTCGTCCCAGTAATCGGCCAGCTCGAAATCCGGGGGGGCAGTCTGCATGTCGAAGCCGCTGTCTTTACGCGCCTTGTACTCGACCCCGCGCGTCCTCGGAACCCTGGTATCCCACAGAGCGGCACGAGCGGCCATGAAGAGCGCATCGCAGACGTTGCCTGCATCTGCTAGGACGATGATATCGAGATGGAGGGCCCATGCTTTTTTCCCAGGCAGGATGGTGAGGTTGTCGGGACGGTGGCGGGAGAGGGTGCCGTTGAGGAGGGCGGTGAGATCTGCTTGGACGTCGTCGAGGGCGGCCGGGGAGAGGTGCGGGTAGGCGGCCGGCGAGCAGGTGACGGTGCATGTCAGTTGGGGGAGAGGGCCATCTTGGACTTGGAGCTTGGTGGCGGCGAGGATCTCGGTGCCGTCAGCGATGAGGAGGCGGGCGCTGCCGTTTGCGAGAGGGACGACGCCGGTTTCGAGTGCGATGGAGCGAAAGTCGAGGAGGGAGCGGCCGTCTTGTCGTCGTGGAGGCGCGGAGAGGAGGCCGGTTTGGATGTATGATTTTTCGGCTTTTGATATGGACATGGCAGAGTCCTAATCGGGTAGATCGCCTCCCCATCGCACGACGTATGCTTCGTAATTTGCGAAATATGACTCAGTCCACGTTCACCACTGTCGCTTCCTACAGACAGTGGCGCCAGGCTGCGCGCGATGCCCGTAAAACCGTCGGGTACGTCGCGACAATGGGCGCTCTTCATGACGGGCATCTCAGCTTGGGTGCGTTGTAATCCACTCGTTATTGCCTAGCTAATTCAATGCAGTTCGACGGTCATTACGAGAAAACGACCTTACTGTACTCTCCATCTTTGTGAATCCTGCCCAATTCGCGCCCCACGAGGACCTGAAGACGTACCCCAAGACGCTAGAGAATGATCTAAAGCTCTTGTCAGCACAGAGCTTCCAAGACCGGACGGTGTCTGCCGTCTTTGCGCCCACAGTAAAGGAGATGTACCCATCTGGGATCACGCAGGACCCCGCCGCTCAAAAAGGGACGTTTGTCGAGGTGAAAGGATTCAGCTACGAGATGGAGGGAAAGAGCAGACCAACCTTCTTTCGTGGAGTATCGACGGTCGTGACAAAACTGTTCAATGTCATAGAGGTATTACCTACATTCTGCTCTAAACTACTCTAACTCTCCACAGCCAACTCAAACGTACTTTGGGCAAAAGGATATCCAGCAAGCCCTCCTTCTGCGGCGGATGTGCCGGGATCTCCTCCTCTCCCATCCTGTGCCAGAGAATCTACACATTGTACCGACGCGCCGGGACAATACTGATGGCCTCGCGCTATCCTCGCGTAACACTTATTTATCGGCTGAAGCCCGACTGGTAGCTCCAAAGCTATACGAGGCTCTTCAGGCGGGAGAGGCGGCGTGGAACGAGGGGTTGACCAAGGCGCAGAGTGTTGCCAAGGCTGTGAAAGTGATACAAGACACGGCGGGCGTCCGACTTGATTACATAGAGATGAACGATCCGGAAACGTTTGAGGCGCTGGAAGATGAATCGAGGGCAAGGGGGGACGCAGTGATTCTGAGTGGTGCAGCGTGGGTGAATACGACGCGGTTGATAGATAATATTATCCTAGGAAACGCGAATACAATCTGGGGTTAGATTCCCGGTTACGTGCTTAATAGCCGGACAAATCATGCTCTTCCTTCCGCCACCACATTGATATTCTTGCCAGCCGCTCCTCCCCGCCATGCTTGGGCCCAAACTCCCGCCAGCCGTCCTCCAAACACCCGGATATGCCCACTACTCTCTTGCATGGTCGCCCTTTCACAAGAACCGCATCGCACTCGCCTCTTCTGCAAATTTTGGCTTGGTCGGAAACGGCCGCCTTCATATCGTATCCAACGCCCCAGATTTACATGTAGACAAATTGTAAGCAATATCCTGGAGATATGCGTTTCGTTACTGACGATACCAGCTTTGAGACGCAGGACGGGCTGTATGACGTAGCGTGGTCCGAGGTACACGAGAACCAGGTCGTCACAGCGTCAGGCGACGGCTCGATACGACTCTGGGACATTATGCTCAACGTATGTTTTCCCTTTTAACAATCGTCTCCCCCCCTAAAGCTTTTCCCAGAATTTTGCCATCGCATCATGGCAAGAACACACCCGCGAAGTGTTCTCCCTCGACTGGTCCAACATCAACAAAGACACCTTTGCCTCCTCTTCATGGGACGGCTCCGTCAAACTCTGGATCCCGGACCGGCCCCGCTCCCTCTCGACCCTCCAGGCACACCACGCATGCGTCTACCAGGCCCTCTTCTCCCCGCACCAGCCCTCCATCCTCGCAACCTGCTCCACCGACGGCACACTCAAGATATTCGACCTCCGCTCCCCCGCCTACGCCCCTAGCTCCAACACCTTCTCTACCCCGCTCTCTGCCGCCGCCCTCACCGTGCCCGTCTCGGGCAGCGAGGTCCTCTCGCTCGACTGGAACAAGTACCGTCCCTTCATCTTGGCCACGGGAGGGGTCGACAAGGCCGTCAAGGTGTGGGACTGCCGGATGGTCAAGATGGGCGGCGACGGGGGCGTGGGCGGGGTGTGCGAGGCGCACCTCCCTGGTCATGAGTATGCCGTGCGCAAGGTCCAGTGGAGCCCGCATAGTCCCGACGTCTTAGCCAGTGCGAGTTATGATATGACATGTAGAGTGTGAGTCCCCCCCTCCCCAATTTTGGTGCGAGTCCTTCTGACTGCGACTAGTTGGAACAAGGGTAGGCTCGTGTATATACACGACCCGCATACCGAGTTTGTTGTTGGCTGTGGATGGTCCTTGTATGATCAGGGCCTTCTCGCTACTTGTGCCTGGGATAGCAGGCTTAATGTTTTCCGTGTGTAGGGCAATTCATCACATAAAGAGTCATTATACATCTTGAATATCGTTACGCACTCCTGGGAGGACTCCCCACTTCCAAGTTCCAGTGGTAGCTTGCGAACGCTCCTCGAAAATGTTGTAGTTACCAGCTGTAATCTAGCCAGCCATCATTTCGTGCATAGGGGCTATTTCATAATTCGGACGCGCCAAAGCGACCACTGCTGATGATGATTTCAGTTCTGAGATGATGAAAATTGATGGATTTCGATAGATAATCGCATTATTTATGTGAACAATCTTGAGAGCATGATTCATTCCATTTGCATTGAGCATGTAGATAGACAACATGGAGGAGGGGCAGACTGGGCCTGCAATAGCAGCTCATGTACTAGGGAATAAGATGGATAGACATAGTAAACAGATTAGCATCCATGGGTGAACATTTGAGATATCATACATGCTAACCAATGCAAGATTTTAAACAAGTAGTATACACAACAGAGACAGCATCAGGAATGAAATAAAGAAAGAGTGAATCTGGCATCACAGGTCCTGTAGCATGAATGAGATTGGCATAATTATTATATTCATTTTAGAGAGCCAGAGGTGTATAGGAAATAAACATTGTCATAGAAGTCCAAAAGTGTCAATCAGTCCTTTTGAGTCTGACAGCACAGTGAGGATGAGGGTGGGTTGACCTCTAAAGATGCAACAGGATCTGCATCATTGACATTGAGGTAGACATCCAACAAGGTGCCCTGCACTCTGTCATCAATCTGCTGTTTTGCAGTTGATTCAGTGCATATGGGATAAGATGGAGGAGCAATTAATCAGATGATAGACACATCAGCTTGGGAAAGTTGTTTGTTGACTTGATTGATTTGGTTGTCAAGCTCATTCAGCTCTGCTTGGATAGCATCCTCTTCTTCAGTGTTCATGTCATGATTTTTACCCCTAATTGTGACCTTTAGCCCCTATTTGTGACATACTGATGCTTACAAGAGCCTGACACATCCTGACAAATTCTGACTCCTCTGCTGCTTGATTGAGGAGTGGGATATAACTGGCTATAATGAGGGCCTTAGAGACTGCCCTCAAATCAATTGCAATATGTGAATGGCTATTATGTGCTTTTGATTGGTGAGAGGTGAGAGTGGTGGTGGTTCAAGAAGAATGAACAGGTTGCAGGAAAGATGGTTAGAGGAGGGGATGATGAGTGAATAAATATGCTAATTGCAGCTGTGCTCATAGGACAGGGTGTTCCTGAATGCAAGTGGTCCATGTTTTAGAAGACCAATGTCCAAGAGCTTGTATGATGGATTCTGAGAGTCCAAGTGATGTATAAAATGTAGCTTCTCTAGCTCTAGTGGAGTGACCACCAAAGTCTCTGCCTAGAATTGCAAAAAACTTGTTGAACCAATTTCATGATAGGATATCACCATTTTTATGAATGAAGAGTGGAGCATATAAGCCATGAAAAAGATCTTGATGTTTTATATATTGTGATAGGAGTGTAACTGAGTCTGTGAGCTCCTGTCATGTGAGTAGAATGTTGGTACTATGGTAGATAGGGTCAGATTTGTTGTAAAGAAGATGATATTGTATATTGTTCTTTTGGAGGATAAAGAAAGAAAGTTTGATTATTTTATGAAAGTCCTGAAGTTATTTGTCATTTTTCCAAATGGGCTTATCTGACCAGTGGCAGCCATAAAAGAAGCAAGCAAGGATGATGATGAATAGAAGGTCATTGTAAGAATCTAAGATGTTAGCAAGAAGACAAAAGGTGATCAAATGGAATAATTAAAGGGGTAGTTTTTGAGATGTGGGATCACCTCTCATCTTCCTTGAGCCATAGATAGTAGCTTATACTATAGAGTGTTTTTGACTGGCATCAAAGTCAGGATAGAGATCTTTTAGAAAGTGATAGACTCCAGTTAAGTATTTTGGGCCAGATGAGATAAACTGGAATGCATAGATGATGTACCTGTTGAGAGTAAGTGGTGTTGGTTTGAGAGACAATACATGACTAATGCAAAATCATATGTAGTCATGTGCTTCTGTTCTGTAACTCTTTGCTGCTCCAAGCTTAATCACATGAGCTTGGAGAAAAAGAACATGTTTATCAAGAAGAGAAAGAGAGAAAGCTGGACAAGCAATGTGAGAGACATGCTTGCTCAGCACAGTTAGAAGGATTGTCTCCATCATACTGACAGTAGGTCTCTTGGTGGAGTAAAAGTGTGGAAGTAGTCAGCAGGAAATTTATGATGATATTTATTCAAAAGAAGTTGAGAAAGCATATCTGCCCAAATATTATCTTTTCCATTAATATGTCAAACATGAACATCAATTTCTGATCTGAGTATCAGGCTTGCTGCTCCAAGTAAGGGTTCATTGTGAAGAGATTCTGATACCAATAGAGAATCAAATGCAGTGACAGAATTGAGGCTATTGGTGAAAAGTAAAAGGTGACAAGGGGGTTTGAGTAGAGATACTGCATAATGGATGGCTGAAAGAATAGCAACAAGTTCAAAAAAGATGTTGACCATATTTTTAGATGAAGGTGAATAGAGCTGATATATAAAACTATTTTCTGCAAAAATGAATGATAATGTGTTTTTTAAGCTGGCATTTGTTCAGAATATCATGTCAGCTTCTGAGCCAGTCCAGAGAGCTGAGTTGACAAAATGAACACCTATAGAATCTGGCAGGATAGATGAAAACCAGGAGAGATCCTCTTTAACAGCAGCATTAATAAAGATCTTTGTGAAAGAGTGAGTCTTTCCAGCCATCTTTCTATACAAAGAAGTAAGAGCAGGATAGCCTCATAGTAGAAAATTCAGTATCCAGTTCAGATAGCCACCTAAATGCTGCCATTTCTATAGAATAGATGCTCTTCTGGATGTTGAAAGAAATGAGTTGATCTTGGATTCAGCATTGATAATAGACTGCTGTGTAAGGAAGATACTTCTCTGGTTGGCATTGATCCAGAAACTGATAATTTTGAGAGTCTGACTATGCATCTGTTTTAGATCATCAAAAGGACAGGAGATATATTCCTAAAATATCAAAAGTTGTACTTGCTATGCTGATTGCCACTGACCTCAATAGAAAACTTGGTGATTGGTGAAATCCCAGCTGAAGAAGTCATCCATATAAATATAGAGGTCAGTGATGTTGAGATAATAGATCTCAATCCAGCATAACAAGGCTGAGATCAAGCATCAAATTCTGAGTGAAGCTCAGCTTCCAAAGATGAGTTGCCTAATGATGTGATATCAGTTGTCAACAAGGACCACTTGATGAATTTGCTATAGAGAATATGCTGGTAAATTCAAAAAAGCCTTGGCAACATTGCTTTTATACAGGGTGAAATCAGCATTAGGATGTTGTATTTTAGCATTGCAAAAAGTCTTATTAAATAAATGCATATTATCATATTTGACCTTTGCCTCACTAGCCAGGATTTCTGCATTTAAACTAGAGAAAGTATGATCTATTATGATACAGGGTTTTCCATTCTGTCAGGCCATGAATATAGATGATACTTTTATACCTGGTAGGAGTGTAAACTCATCCAGTAGAGATGGTAACCAATGATCAGCTGTGACTTTGCAATCATGAAATGCTTGTATTTTGTTGATATCTCAAGGATCTGTGGCATAATTCTCAGTCTTGTTATAGAGAGAGTCTTCTCATTCACCAAGGTCAAGAGGCTAGAATCTGTTCTGAAGACCACAAATGACTGAGGAGATAAAGGGTTCATTTAGATAAAACTGAAGGATATTCTCCAAGTGATTGACATTAAATAGTGTGTCAACTACAATAAAATCCTTTAAAGCATATAGCATAGCCTGCAAGAATAGATCATTGAGTAGATATGAAGGAGGAGAGAATAGAGGATCAGCCAACTTAGTAGATTAAGCAGTGAGAGATGTAGATATAGATGATGTAGAAGTATTTGACCAGATATAGCCACACTTAAAGTATGGGCCAATATTCTAGACCTTGCATTTGTGTTTTTGAGGCTTTAAAGATTTAAGCCCTGCTGCTGCTGCTACTACTATCTTTGCTGTTACCTCTTTTAAATCTCAGTCTCCTTTTTGATTGAGAGAGGTTGGCACATTCAGCAGTGTCTCTAGCTCAGTGTCCTGAGCTACATTTGCTACAGATACTATGCCTATGGTGATTAGTACATGGATCTTGGCAGAAACCCAGATTCCAGTTTTCACATAGAACTGTTGACCTTTTTGCAGCAGAAAGTGAAGCAGATAAAAATCATTTTCCATCTAAAGAAGTCATAGAAGAGTGAAAGACCTGGGTAAGAATAGAAATTTGTAGTTCACTCTAGATGTCCATGTGAAAAGAGAACTTAGCATATCACAGCTGAACTTCTTTGTTAGATCCAAGTTGTATGTGACTTAAACATATGATAAACTGATACTGTATCAATTTTGTACAGTCACATCAGAGTCCACTATATTGTTAGAAACATGTCAATTGATTGGACTTAAGTGCACACATGAAGGTCAATAGAGTGTGTGGGCATCAATAAAGCTATTGGCAACATTACTCTTGAGTCAAAGCCTAAGAATTTAAATTGATGAAACAGAGTTCTATTAGAGAAATAAGGAATATTCTTTATAGCAGAATCTGACAGACAGAATAGATGTTATGATTTTTTCATTTTCTTTCTTGATTAACTCCTATTTATGCTTAGTCAGAGCACTTAGGACAGATGCTTAAGACTATAGAATAGGCTTAGTCACTATAATAAGCCAAGACAGTCATTGTCCTCTGATATGATGATACCCCTCAATGATAGACAATACTCATTTGTAGATACTCATAATGCTCAAGAACAACAAGCACCATAGCTTAAAAATGCACAATTAGTAGGTATATATTTATCTCAAAAATGAATGGTATATAAGTAGAATAGCTCTCACTGTATATCCCCAACTTCAAGCTAAAGTTTATTCTTCACCACTTCATCTTGAGCCAACTGTCTTTGACCTTGAAGCATTAGATCAACAGACACACATAGTGAACTCTGATGTAACTGTATGAACCAGATACAGTGTCAGTTTATCACATGTTTAGATCACATGCAACTTGAGCTTAACAATTAGCTTGAAGCTTCTAGCTTCTCTTTTCTTATGCACAATACACATAAAGAAAACTGAATGCCACTATTGAACACATTAACCTCTGATCTTACAGATGACTTCTTTAGGC